AACTCTTATAGTAATATTAACTTAAAGATATTCTTATATTCTTTTAAGATAGTATAAATCTTTAGATCTCTATATATAGGAATCCTAGATAACTTAGGTATTCTAAACTCTTCTATTATCTTTAGATATATAATATACTATACTCCTTATATAGACTTATATTTTAGTTCTTTCTATATCTATTTAGTTAATATTAAATTTAATTATAGATTATTATTATTTAAAATATATCTATATTAATTATTAACCTATATAATATATATTTAGCTATAATTATAAATCTTTATAATAGATATTTTCTAATAGATCTTAAGGTTCTAATATTTTAGGAAATCCTACTTAAGAATAAGTTTATATTCTAGTAAATTAAATACCTATACTAAAATTATTATATACTAGCTTCTAAAAACTATTAGAAGATAAATCTTTAATCTTATAATAAGTCTCTCTCTATTAGATATTTAAATATATATATCTAAGTTTATTTTGTAGTAGTTAGAATATAAATAATTTTTCTTAAGGAAGTTAATAAAAATAAAGATATAGGAAGTACTATAATTAAATAAAGTATAAATAGTTATATTTCTATCTTAGTTATATACTAAAATTTTATAGTATAATAAGGAATCTTCTATAGTATAGAGATCTATCTTAATATTAGTAAGTTTAGCTTTCTTCTTATATTTTTCTATATTCTCTAGTTTCTATAAAATAACTAGAATAATAAGAACTACTAATACTAGATCTAATAGATCTAAATCTATATATACTAATAATTTTAAAATCTTTTTATATAACTAATAAGAACTTTAATTATTTTAATTATCTTTAGTTTTTTAATTTCTTAGTATACTTAGAATCCCTATTCTAACTCTTTTTAGATAATTAGTAATTCTATTTAATATACCCTTTTTTATTATAATTAAAATATATCTAAGTTTCTTTCTATTAATTATCCTTTAATTTATTTATAGATTTAAGAATATCTAAGTCTATTATATTAAGATTATATTAATTACTATATAGATTATTACTTCTATTCTTCTTTTTTAGATAACTAGTAATTATAACTTTTTATTTAAACTATATAAAATACTTAATTATCTCTATAAGTCTTATTAAATAATTTTAGTCTTCTATCTAATATTTTTATAACTATATTTTTATATCTTTCTATAGGAATTAAATCAGAATAGTCTCTAATATCTTAATTCTATATTTAGCTATAGTCTCTTAGAGATCTATTATATATTTAATAAAGATATAATCTCTTTAATAATTCTTCTAGAAGTAGTCCTATTATTTTTTATTACTAAGATATTCTAAGAATTTATATTTAATCTATACTTTATATACTATAAATATATAAACTTCTTAGCTTAGATCTATAACTATAATATATTACTTATAATATTTCTAAAACTAAGCTACTCTTCCTTTAAAAGCTCTATTAGCTTAAATTATCTTATTGTATTCTTCTAGTTATACTCTAGTAAACTATATAATCTTATAAAAGTAATATTTATAGTTATAGAGATACTTATATATAGTATTATACTAAATTTAGCTATTATATTTATTAATTATATAGATACTCTTTATTAATATATATTTAGTAGTTAATATACTTAACTATATATAAATAATATTAAATATAATATTATTATACTAGATAGCTTATAGTACTCTTTACTCTATATATTCCTATTTAAATATAGTAGTAATCTAGATAATAATTTTAGATATAACTATTAGATTACTATTAATACTCTATATATTTATATAAGTCTCTATAAGTACTAGTAATAGGATAGAAAGTATATATATAGTTTACTTATTTATAAGTAGAGCTTACTAATAATCTTCTAGTCTATTATTAATAGCTTTATATAAATAATAATTATCTATTATAATTAATATATTCTAGTCTTTTCTTTAGTAAAATTAAATATATTAACTCTTCTTTTTCTTTATAATAAAGTTCTTCTAAAGATATTAAGTCCTTACTATATTTCTCTTTTTACTTCTCTTAGAGGTAGCTATATTATAGTTCTTAATTACTAGTCTCCGGTTTTATTTAGAAGAATACCCTAAAATAGTATAGTTAATATAATATAATATAATAGCTTAAAAATAAAGTACTAATATATATAGATCTATAGGATTTACTATATCTTACCTATACTTAAAGTCTTAACTATCTAATTATAGTAGTTTATACTTATTCTATAAACTTTAGCTTCTAAATTCCTTTAGATAAAAGCTATATATATAGTATTAAGCTTCTATATACTATTACTATATTAAGACCCTTTTAGTAGATTTTATTACCTTTCGAATTGTTTTTTCTAGGGTTGTATAGACATTTATATTATACCCCTAGTAGCCCCTAATAGGCTATAAAAGGTACTATCTTTAAGATAATACTACTATATAAGATCTTAGAGTATAAACAAGTATATATTACTAAGTTAGGGGAAACAATAGTTAATATATATATACTAATTAAATAAATATAGCAAATAGATAGGGCCTGATCATATATAATCAGCCAACTATAGTAGATAGTAATAAACCTAGATATAGATATTACTATATATAAACGAATGTAATAGATTATAATATATAAAATATATAGGGAGAATTAGATAAAAATATCTTAATAGTTATAGTCTTCAGCCTATTATCTTTGAAAAGATATATATTTATACCCTTTTATAGGAATTGAATAAGTATTGGCTTAGATATATTAATTCTATATTTTATTATAACTTCTTATAAGTCTTTTATATATTTAATAAAGCTATAGTCTTTCTAACAGTACTTCTAGAAATAATCTTATTTTTTCTCTTTACTAAAATATTTAGAAAACTTATATTTAATCTATTTATAATATATAGTAAAGATATATATAGTATAGATTAGGTTAGATATATTAATATACTTATTATAGTATCTCTAAGTATAAGCTATATAATTCTTAAAAGCTCTATTAGAATAAATAATCTTATTATACTCTTCCGGTTTAAATCTAATAAACTAAGTAATTTTATAAAAATAATATTTATGATTATATAGGTACTTTTATATAGTATTATCTTTAATCTAGTTACTTTAATAGGATAGATATCTTTTATTAATATATACTTAATAGCTAATATATTTTTAGATAGTTAGTTTAATATAGATATAGAATATTTAAATAATAATAATATAAGTACTATAGGTACTAACTATAATATATAAGCCTATTATTTATTTTAGAATACTTAGAGAGTCTTTTATCTAGTTTGAATACTATTAATCTATCTAATAGTAACTACTATAACTACTATTCTATATTATTAAATACTAGCCTTTCTAGTAAGATTTAATACTATTTAAATAGCTTTTCTTTAATTTAAAGTTCTTCTAAAGATAACTAGATCTTTAATATTAATTAATATTTTATATCTCTCTAAATATACTACTATAGTAATACTCTAGTCTTATATAAATAAATAACCCTATAATAGTTTAGAGTAGAAATCTTCTATAGTAAATAATATATAATTATATATAATCTTTATAGAAATCCCTTAATTTATATATACTTATTTAATATTAAGTAGTCTTTAGTATATAATTATAGTAATTATTTTTATATAGTGATTTTTAAGTAGAAATCTTCATAATATAACACTTTTAGTATTATTCTATTACTAATATTATTCTAGGTCCTCTATCCCTTAGTAGATCTCTATACTATTAGATCTTCTATAAACGGATATATATATTCTTAGCTAATATAGTAATTATATCCGAATAGCCTTATAGAAGATACTATTAGAAGGTAATACTACTAGATAAGATCTTTATGGCGAAATTAGTATATTATATAGGTATATCTAACTATAGTAGGGGAAACAACTATATAATATATACCAGGTATAAAGACAAATAAAACAAACAGACTTAATCAGGTTAGATCAGGCGGTATAGACATTATAGCAGCAGACACAACGGGGATGCCGACATAGTAGGACAACATAGGAAATAATATAATATAGGAAGGCAAAAATTTAACACTATAAAGTAAAATAATATTGATTATATAGATAATAATAGAGCTAGTTAATAATTTTTTTCCTGTATTTAGTTGATATTTTAAAAATTAATACAATTAAGGGACTATCTATATTTTAGGCGGGAGTAATATAATATAACTATATAGAGAAGACTCAGGATGGGTATATTTGTACTATCTGCACGTTTATAAGGTTTGACCTACTCTCGGATACAGACCAATCAGATAATTGGCCTAGAGAGTAGCGTCCGCCTATATATATAATATAGCTCTCTCTCTTCTTTCCCTTTCCTCAACGTTGTTATTCGTTATTCTTCGCACCTTCTCCATTCTGGTAGATCGTAGGCACCTCATCACATAAGATAGTTATTTTTTTATGTAGCCAGCGAAGTAACTAAGAATTTGAACTAAGTCTTAGGTTCCTAGGACCTCTGGTTATCGAGTTATTCTAAGAATTAGATTCGACGAGAGATAGTTGTTTTTGGGAAAGAAGCTATAGGTAGCTACTATTCAGATATGAGTATATATGGGCCGGCGGCTATTATACCGCAGCCCTCCGCCCTAGCTAGTACTATAACCTCACCGCCCGCACCTCAACCTGCAGGGCTTATAACAGTACTGTGCCTATAGGGTATACTGATCCTAGATAAGCCGGATCACTAACATACTTAGATAAAGTCTTAGCTGTATCTATTTTTCTCTTCTGTATGGTTATAGCCTCCGAGACTTAGTTAATTATGGTTAGTGCTGCTGTAGTCTATTTATGTATATTGAGGAGGCATAGGAAAACCTTACGTGGCCTTTCTTCAACCCGGGGAAGCTTATCTAGTTCGGGCGGCGATAACCATAGGTTCCCTCCTTAACTCCCCTTCTACTCAACCTAAACCTTTATACTTCACTACTTATAACATTGGAAGATACTCACGCGACAATCATGGTACATACCCGCCCTCCCTAATCCTATGACAGTTAAAAATGCTGTTTATTAACACAAAACAATATCACTAGGCGCAAACACCCCAACAACGGCGCGCAAACGATCGATTCGCCAAGAGCGAAGCTGCAAAGCGAGGGAAAGCACCAGTCGCTAACAAACCCAAGCAAACCCCCAAGGCTTCCCTTTCGGCGGGCTGGGTTGGTATGTGCTCACTCTAATGGAGATATCGAGCTGCAAACTGATGGATTCTAGTGGTTCTGGCCTTTGTGGTCTGCGGTGGACTTCTCTTGGAGCTCCTCAAGATCGTTCCTGACCTTTGGTCAACTGTGGCCTCAATGATTTCCCGCGTGACCGGATGATAGATACTACATTGGGGCACTCTCCCCGTGATGATTCAAGATACCCCAAACTGAGACTGGCGTTCAATTTCAACCGCTTTGCACCCATTCGAGAGACAAACATCAGTACACCACTACGCCTAGCCATCCCCAGTCAACCGTTATACGTATGGATAGGCTTCGGAGTCATTCACCTTTAGACGGACGCATATTACAACCCCTGGAAAGCTTTCTCTTCCTCTTCCTCTCCCACTCTTCCTCTTCTTGTACTATATCAAAAGGGTTCAACTTATTTGGAGTTCTTTTTTATTCGAGTGAAGCTAGGCGGATGAGACCGCTCTCTATCTAGAATCTTTCTTTTCTTTTCTTTTCTTAGGCTTAGCAGTATCATTGTCCTCTCCCACCATCTTCTTCTTCTTCTTCTTCTTTCTCACGAGAGTTCCCTCGGAGGGCCCCCCCCTCCAGTTGGATTCGCTCTGATGCTCGTTGCATACGAAGACGCACCTGCTCCACATTTTGCATTGCTTTCATCATCTCGGCATCACCGCTATCCCCAGCCAGCGAAGGGTCTTGGCCAGTTTGACCATCTTGTGCATCCAATGTGAAATTCCCAAGCCCACTAGAATCCACCTGGAGTAGGGACCGCTTGGGGCCTGACTCTCCCAGAACCCTGGCTAAAGGCGCATGGGACACCAGCCCCTCGGGTCCAAAATTTTCATCTGTAGCAACCTCCATCCTTGATATAGCATGAGCTCGGTAATTCTCCTGGACGCCTAGAGCCTTTACTCCGGAAGGCGCACCGTCCAGCTTCAAATCGACGATGGGAATTGAGTCGATGTCCAATGTATCACCCCCCGCGGAGGGAGGAAGACCTCGACGAGGCGAGGATGTGATAGACGATGCGTCCACTGGTGCAATGTAGAATGGATCATCTCGATAGCGTTCTCTTCTGTCTGCTCTTTTCCTATCTAGACTATTCAAGTAGTCGGTTTCGCCACCATAGGAACTTTGATAGGAAGTGTCAAGCTGTAGCTCAGTAGGGGTCGCCTGTATATGAGGCATCTTTTGGGTCGCCGGAGTAGGGTCCGAAACATAATAGAACTGCTGAATGGTATCATAATGCTCAGTGCCCATCGAGGAGCTGTCAATGTCTTGGAAAAGATCTGGAAGATTATCATTGAAGGCTTTATCCAGGCATAAGTCCGAAGGCAAGACAACCCTTTTCTGGGCACTAGCCGCAACTGGGTTGAGATCCAACCCTGTGAATAAGTTAGGAATGATGGAAGTCAGAAGAAACGGCATTCCCTCTGATTCCGATTGCAGCGATTCAGCTGCCAGACGAAGGACCTCCAAGAACTCAATGGCTCGCTCTTGCACGTCCAAGTCCGGATGGGCTGCTAAAGTCTCCATGAAATGTATGACCCTCGCTAGGAGGAGAGATATTTCGCCTTTCCATGTCTCCTGCACCTCGCAAGATCGAATCACTCGAATGAGCACCTTTGGAATAGCTTGTAAAAATAGTTGGAGGGTTTCGGATGGCAAAGAGACGGTGGACGAGTCAATCAGGGACTGCAGGGTGCGGCTTGGCGACTTAAGATAATCTGCATATTCTCCTGAAACCCACGCAACATGGCCCAAGACACCGTTACTAGCACTTGTTGCAGGGAATAGTATCGACTTATTGTCGATGAGCAGAAGTGACTCAGCTGCTCGGGTAGCCTCTTGTCGTACTCCTTTCACACGAACGGCAACATTGCGAAGTTCCGACCCGATTCGAAATCCGACGGTAGTTTTCAAGCCGCTCAAGTCATCTTGGTCGCTCACAGGGGGTTCAGACCAATATTCATCTGTGTCTGCAGGTGGAAGAAGTTTAACTAGTTGAATCAAGATACTAACATACCACTCAAAATCAACGAGTTCAGAATAATTGTTCTGGGAACACATATCGACAATTCGATGAATGACTTCCGAGCGATAGGTGTTAGGCATACTAAGCGTATCCACCAAATTGCTTGAAATTGAGTCTCTGTGGGCTTCGGGTCCATCACTAGTGCGTTCTCCCAGTGCTGCCTCGATATTGGTCGTGTCTCGCGAAGAAGCTAGGCGAAGCTGGTCAACGAGACGATTCACAACAATCTGAATATTATCACTAGTAACCATTCCGGCTGCAAGGTCTAGTGCCTGCAGCCGAATAGAGACATCAAGATCGTCCAGGCAGTCCATGATAACATGCTGTTGCATGGACACTAACATGGGATGTGTCGTCACAATGCGGTTCAATGCCAGGAGTGCTACATATTTCACTGGGGTTTTATAAGTCAGCGAACCACTAAATATGTCAATGAAGACTCACAGTTGGGATCGGAGTCCATAACGATCATCCCTCGTAGTTTTCCAACACAGAGGGCCGCAATTTCATCAGTTTCTTGTAAGTTGTCCTCGATGTCTAAAATGCCTCCTTGAATGATGCCATTTATACACTCATAGAGTAAGGACATTGCTGTCGTAGTTTGTATGATATTTGTCAATGGACGCAGCAGCTTTCGAGTCAGGCGAGGCTCTAAAGGGGTTAAGGTGGCAAACTGTATTGGTTAATTTAAAACTTTCTCTGGGTTGAGATGAGATTGACAAACTAGTTTGATGATCTTGATCGCCATCCAATTGTTGCCACTGTCCACCAACAGCTCGAAAAGCCTCGGGGCCAGAGGTAGGAAATCATGGGGCCTCCTCCAACCGAGCTCACAGACGACATTGATAGCAGCCGTAGTCACACTACTATCTTCCTGGTCATCCATGAGGTGGTCTTGGATCTTTGGCCATGCCAGCTTCAATGCATCCGGGTATACTAGAGCAAGTCTATAAAGGCACACTATGGTTTTCTTGCGAACCACTGCACTTGAATGCGAGAGTCGAGACAGAATATCGGGTAATAAGGACATGGCAAGCGAAGGCGTAATGATATGCGGCAGTGTGGCTAATGGAAGGGACAGGGCAGGTATGTTGGGAGATACGATGTCCTAAGGCCGAGGTATTAGCATATTCCGCGATCGAGACCAAGGGGATTTGATGGAGAGTGAGGTGACAGAGCGACAGTATCTACCTTTTTCAACATATTAGTAGCCAGCATCAGGACCTCGGTATCTGGTCGGAAGCTTTGAACGGCACCGAGATATCCCACTCGCTTTTGGAGGTACTTCGCAGATGACATGACTTCCAGCACATGGAAAGATGCCCATGACATATCGTACCCGAACATTTCAAGGTATATAAGCTTCAAGAGTGCAGTTGCCTTCTTGTCTGTCCAATTTTAGGAAATCAACCTCAACACAGCCATGGATGAATAGGAGCGGTAAACCTACCTATATCCTGCGACTTAATCTCGGCCTTGCATTCACGCAGGCTACCTTGAATGTACTCATCTTCACTGCCTTTATGATTTCGAAGACCTTTTATCAGGTCGTACAATGATTTCTCAAACCTAATAAATATGAGTTAGCTCCGCAGTTCAGTCGGCTTCATGAATACTCGAGGTGATCACCGACATTGTGCCGGCCGCTCGCTCCGAAAGCGAGAACTAAACTCAAGGGAAACACTAATCGCAGTCCTATTTTCCCCCTTCCAGCATTATCCCTTTTACCGGAGCCCCGGAATTGGCTTGAAATTTCGAGCTGAAGATCAACGGGGGAGTTTGTTGTCACGGTTTGATATGTAGCTGAATTGACGTGGGGGAGTTGGATCGATAAGCATCACGGGATCATGTGCCCGAACCGCCAATTGTACACACACCCGCGCCCGGTTCCACCGTCCTCAAAGTGAACACCACCGCGACCTTCAATTGTTGTCCTCCGTCTACCTTGATTTACATTTTATTACTTGTTGCTTTATTATATCCTGCTTTTGATTTCTTGGTCCGTTCGAAATCTTGGACTTCCTCCGTGTTTGTTTCAACAATGGGTGCTCTCGTTGATGCTAGAGAGATCAATGGATCCGACCTGATCGCTGCCCTCCGCCTTTCTCAGCAGGCGCCTGGGCTCCTAGGCAATGGTTCTAAGAAAAACACAACCCCTTCATCGTCATCGACAGGGACCGCAGAGGAATATGGACAGATCGAACAACTGTTCCTTGCCTGTCTACGGACTGGCGATGATCAATCTGCTCAGGCTTGTCTCGATCGTTTAAGTCTCCGGTTTGGTCCGTCCAATGAGAGGGTGATGGGACTCCAGGGTTTATATCAGGAGGCGACGGCCAAGGATCGCTCTGCACTGGAGAAATGCTTGAAAGGATACGAGAATATTCTTAGCGAGAACCCGGTTAATGTGGTCAGTTTGTGGCGCTTTCTTGGACCTTAAATCATTGGTGAAATACTAACTATCCTAGCCCATTCTTAAACGTCGTGTCGCTTTATTACGCTCCCTGAACCGAACCTCTGATGCGATCGCCGCCCTCATCCAATTTCTTGATGCCATACCCACCGATGCTGAGGCATGGTGTGAGCTAGCAGACCTCTACCAGGCTGAGGGACTTGGCGCCCAGGCCATCTTCAGTCTTGAGGAGGCACTCTTGATTGCTCCCAATGCATGGAATGTGCGAATCTCTTAAGTTCCATCGGTCACACAACCCGGACCCTTGCTGATCCTGGTATAGATTCATGCCCGACTCGGGGAAATACTCTACGTCGGTGCCTCGGCTCCTGATGGAGCTCGGCTTGCAGGCAAGTCGGTTCAACATTTTTGTCGAAGCATCGAACTCTGTGATGATTATTTGCGAGGTTTCTACGGCCTGGCATTGGTATGTCCATCGCTGTGTTGAGTCTGATTGAATCCGCTCATCTAATTGCAACCTGATAGGCCTCCTCCCGCTTGTTAAACACTGGCTATGAGAGTCCGTCGGACTCGACGGCACCTTCGAAACAGACCGCTGAGCGGCTGTACCGCTTCGCCCTCCAAAGATTGCGGGACATTGTCCAGTCCCGGGCTGTTGACGATCAACATTGGGCATCTAGCCGCAGTGAACTCATTGCGGCCCAGGCGTTACTAAATCGGTTTGAGCAAACCCCATGATTTTCAGACGGTGATCATTTTACTGTTGTCTAATTCAGATATACCCCCTTGTCTCTTTCCCTCTTTCCTCTTTCCCTCTTTCACCCTTCCCCCCTTTCCCCTCTCTGACTTTAATCTCTCAATAATTCGATAAAAATGTATTCCTTCCAATGGGGTTGTAAACGATTATACTGCTATCATATATCACGTATTTAGTATACACATGGAGGTGGGGATGAGGATAGGATATTACTAACACCATGTGCTTATATATGTATAGATCGATCCATGGACCCATGGATCATCCATCGATGTATAGATCTGTGCATATGTATTGATACTTCCAAGGTTTTCTTCCCTGCTGATCTCTAGTATCCACAACTGCAGAACAGGGATAACTTTGTAGTATGTTCTAGAGTGTTCGATCGACGGATTTTGGGTAGGCCACCGCTTGGGCTTCCTCCCCCCCCTAAACCCTGAAGGTTGAGCTAGTTTAGCTACAATACGGTATATAATTCGATAATTTAGATGTACTCCTTATATTAGGCAACACTTAAAGTCCAAAAAAAACCCCCAAAACAAAACCCAATGGGTACCCATCAGACCTATCTCACCATCCAGACATCAATAGCATCGAGTCGATAGATCTTAGCGATGGTTGAGGGTTCCACCAGGGAGACATGCCCAACCGCAGTCTCGGCCCAATGGGAGTCAAAATGATCAGGCAAATTCTTCTTTGTTATCGTTTTTCTTTATTCTTCCTATTCTTCCTCCGACAATCATTGGTGGCCGTTTTCTTCCTCTACTTCTTTCCCCTCTCATCTGAATCCGTTTGTTGGAGTGTGATAAGTATATCTATATCTAGAATCTTATATACTCACTGCCTATCTTCAATATATTCCTACCTATTTCCAGGGTTGTCTCGACAACAGGGTATGTATATTTATATCCATGTCATTTCTATATATATAAGCACACATATAGATACTAAGTTGTACAGATCCCTATCCCTGACGCCCATTCGATTACTGCAAGGGATTCCCATCTAGCGGGGTTTTGTGTCTATGCGCCCAATTCCCCCACTAGATCCTTGATCAACCCGAAGAAGGAGGGAAAAAAGAAGAAAATACAGCCTCTTTTTTTTTTTAAAAAAAAAAAAGGAAGAAAAAAAATAACAATTCTTGAAGAAGAGAAATCAAGAGAAAGACAATTAGGTGGGGAGAAGGAAAGAAAGAAAAAAAGAGTAAAAAAAAAACAGAATTGGGTGACTCTTGTTAACCTTCCCCAAGTTTGTTTTGTTTACTCTCCACTCCCACACACACACTTCATCCTCCTCCTTCACCTCATCTTCCTCTCTTCCTGATACTTTTATATACTTTTCTTTCTTTTCTCTCTCGACATCTAACCCAACCCCCCCCCCCTCCTCTAAGGAGGCTCTTGTCTCTATGACGTATGTTTTGTTTCCCTTTGGCCTTTTTTTTATTTCATTTTATACTTTTTTCCCCTGCTCCCTCGAATTCCTCTTCCCCTTCCCCCTCCACCCCTCCCTCTCGCTGTCTCTCCCCTGCTTCCCTTTCCGTCTTGATCTTCCCCCCCCCACCCTCCGCCCATCAGCCCAACCCATCCTACGTGGGAGGAAACCTGGCTTCTTCCTCTTATTCTCCTCTTCCCCCCTCCCACCCCACCTCTTTCCCATGAAAAGAACAATTCAACTTCCTACCTCCGAAAAGCAAAACCAAACAACTTATATATTTTCACCCACAAAGCGATCTACCTGACTGACCATAAAATCTTCCACTTCAGGGTCAGCGTTTCGATTGGTCCCGCTGATCTGCACGATTCGGACTCCTCTTATACAGAGGACGAGGAGGACTCCTCGGTTGTGCAAGTCTCCCACCACCCTTCCGACGGGAGTCATGATTTTCTAGACGATGAAGAGTGGGCAAACCTGTCTTTGTCATATCCAGATGAAGTGAAGTCGGCTGATCCAGCCTCGAGACCAAGGACCTCACACCGCAACCGTTCACTTTACGGTTCCCGTTCGGCCTCAGGCCCTCGCCAACAATCGCGCCGTCAAATGAACACTGAGCGCGACTTCGGTGGCTCTCGAGCCCGGCGCCACTCCCCAGACTCGCCGGGAAGCCCAGACTCGGAGGAGGAAGAACATAACTTCCCCCGCGGCCACGGTGAACGACGATGGCATCCGCAGCATGCCCAGCAATATACACAGAGTGTCTCTTCAGGCCCATCCTATAATAACCAATATCCCCCAGGGCATGCACCCTTTCCTCACCAGGATTCACTCGTTCAAGTTCGACCTGGAAACCACAATGGTCAACCATACCCTTCAGCGGCTTACCCCTACGGACCACCTCATGGCGCTCATCCGATGGGCCCCTACTTTCAAGAGCAAATGCACGGTAGACATCCCCAACAGCCACCCCAGCCACGCATGGACCCGCACAATCACCCACAGCATCTACATCACATGGGAGCCCCTGGGGTACCTTCGCCCTTTGCGGGGACCCCGTTTCATCATGAACTCATGCCTTATGGTCCCAATGGATATTATAACAACTACCGTGATCCGTACAGCATGTTCCCCGGAATGATGCCCCCATCTTACTTCCCATACCCGCAAGTGCCTTCCCCAGCCCAGGCCGAAGCCAAATCCCCACCAACACCAGCTCCCGATGAAGCTCACCCGGAGGCGGCAAAGGACACCACCAAAGACGAAGCCATCGCGCGACTGGAGAAATTGATATTGGATGAACGAACCGAACGTGAAAACAAAGAAGCTGCGCGTCTAGCTGCCATCGAAGCAGCCGCGGCAGAGAAGCTCGCGCGGGAGAAACAGCTTGCGCATGATACAGCGATTGCAGAGGCTGCTGCCAGTTCTGCTGCGACCATGGCTCGCACAGAGGCAGAAAAGAGAGCGGCAGAGGAGGCGGCGAAAGCTAAGGAAGAGGCAGAGAAGGCCGCCGCTGAAGCCGCAGTCAAGGCCAAGGAGGATGCGGAGAAGGCAGCAACAGATGCAGCCACAAAGGCCTTGGAAGCTGCAGGCTTGGCTGCTGCCAAAGCCAAGGAAGAAGAAGAAGCGAAAAACAAGGTCCCCCCACCAGAGAAAAAGAAGCCTATAAAGTTCAAGGATGCCGTGGGAAGAAAATTCAGCTTTCCCTTTGAGCTCTGTGCTACATGGCAGGTAAGTTAGCTTTCTGCTTTCTCTTGGCTTTCGTTTGCTTCTCGCCAGACTAACCGCAATCCGTTGATATAGGGTATGGAGGATCTCATCAAACAAGCTTTTCTGCATATTGAGGTTATTGGGCCCCACGTAGCGGAGGGCCACTATGATTTGGTAGGGCCGAATGGCGATATCATTCTTCCCCAGGTGTGGGAAACAGTAGTGGAGCCTGACTGGCTTATTACCATGCACATGTGGCCCATACCGGAGAAGCCCAAGGAGCCTGATCCTCCTCCAGCCGCCGATCCCCCGGCAGCTGCTCCTGCCAAGTCTGCGGATGGGAAGAAGAAAGACGGTAGGTTAGCGGCTCTTTCTGGAGCTTCAATGCCCCCGCATTTTGTTACGACAGTCAATTAATAGGCCATTATTTTTCTAGGCACCAAGAAAGCGCCCCCTCCGGGCTTCGCTGGGTGGATGATGGGTCGACGTGCGCCTCCTCGACCTAAGAAAGCGCCCAAGGCTGAGAAGAAGGAAGAACCACCAGCCCAGTGAACTGACCGAAGTGCATTCAGAATGAGTGATAATTTAATTATCGCCTATCGTCTGTCTTCCCTACCTTTCCCTCCCCGGAACTATAGCACCCTTCTTCCCCTCTCCTCCCGCATATCTCACTTTCTGTGTGAGATTTCCCACAACCTTTGCAACACTATAGGGACTCCTCGGAGAACTCTAGAAGATTGGAATGCAGAAGAATGGACACTTATGAGGTATCCTATTATTGACAGAATTCCAATAATCAGGCGTCTCCAAAGCCTTTTCCTGCGTTACAAAAGGACGAAGGTATCTTTGAGGGAGCCCTTTGACGAGGGGAGATCTTCTGAGAAGCTTTTTCTTCTCTATGCTAGCACAACGATGTTGCTTTGTGGGAACCCCCTGCTATAGCTTGTCTTGTCATTCTAGCTACGAGACAAAATATCTAAACTTAATGAGATATCTGTGAATATAGTTGTGATAACAATATATATTCCCAGTTCTCCTATTCCATGGGAGTGTTTGCCAGGTAGTGCGGATATGTACCACCGTCTTATTGTAACTTTGCTTTTCTTTGAATGTTTACGATGGGAGCGGATTTGATTTGATTTGACTGTTTCTGCCCAATATGAAGTTGATGATGACAATGATGACAATGTTCTTCTAGTATAGATTACGGGTGTTTGTGTTTTCATTTTTTATACAATGTCCTTGTTGTCATTAGCGGGTTGATCTTTTGTTGGCTTCTATCTGAATTATGTTTTGTGGATTTTGACACGTTTCTCTTGAAAAGAAGCTAAATGAGTATTATTTTTCTATTTATTTATGCGATTCAAATCTACTAAAACTGTAATTCAAGGACAAACCAAACAACTGAAGCTGTACAGTATAGGTAGCATTCATTATATTTCAATGCCCAAGGCCGAGGGCACAAATTCGCCACTCATACAACATATACTTGCTGGTATAAAACACTGGGCTTTATAGGTACAAGCGGCCATCGAACAACACACAAACGAAAAGAGAATTCGTATGTGAGAGCTGTGAGTCATCGCAGACTACGTGTTGGCAAAGTCCTGCAAGAGACCTGCAAGATAGTGGGGTTTCGATGTGGTGGTGGGCAATGAGATGCGGCTCTGCACCGTACCCGCACCCTAATTAATGGACCAACAGCCTGGACAGGGACCTCCAACCTGTGGGCCCAAGAGTCTTTCTGGGCCTAGACAATTGCGTTGTTCAAGCCATGGCCATTGGATCAGGGATGTGGGTTCTGTCAAGCCCAGCCCACTATACTGTACACCTAATATTTTTAGGCCCTCTATATTCAGCCGATTGTGAGCGACTCCACAGATGGCTTTTCTGATCAACGCGAACAGAAGATTGCTTCTTGGTGATCTTTTGGTCTTCTTGATTCTAGTCAATTGAAATTGAAATTCAGTCTTTTATTTTCAAGATGGACTTTGGGTAGGAATTCAGCGGCGTGGTGAAAGAGCCGAAGGGAAACAAACTCTTCTATCGCGCATCTCCATATTGTACACGGGGACGTGATGTACACTTAGCTGTGGGGCTTGAATACGTATTTGGTTCTTCCAGTAGTCACTTTACTATCCCCTACTTTCCTCTTTCGTCTACGTGTATCCTTGATTATCTGCTTAATTGCGCCAAATAATACCCCTGCCTACACATGTGCAACTTTGCCTACACTGTTGGCTACACCTCTGCTTACACTATCGCTCATTCTTTTACCTATATCATTACTTAGAAATTATTTTCACCAGCCTCAGGAAATATGTTCAGTGTCTTTTATTTTCTTCACTATTGCTAAATGGCTAGCAGCTGATACATTTCACGGTCTCAATTGTATCTAGGTACAAGCAACAGGTATGTAGTATATACAAATTTCATCTCATAGGTGCGGCGAGCAGCGTCACTTGATAAGAGTGGCGCGGTTTCTATTGTGGGAGAAGTGGTTTCCATCCAATGTGCTCATCTGTGGAATCCCCAAGGAGATCGGGGGCGCCAGCTCCACCATCATCCCCCGGGAAAGCACCCGGTACGTGTTGGGAGACTGGGCTGATTTGCAAGGCTCGGCCATGGGCTTGATGACCATAGCCGTCACCGTGCGATGCTGTTTGAGAGCTGAGCGAGATAGGCTTTCGAGGGACTGCCGGAGGCCCCTTCTCCAGGGATTTCCTACCCAGAGATGACGGAGATTCTTTCTCATCCAGAGTCCTACCCCGTCGTGGAGGAGGCGGGGCTGGCTTTCTGTCGATGGTGTTTTTTCTCGTCAAGTTTGAATCTGGCACCCATTCAGGCTCCAGATCTGCCGAAAACGGGTTGGACTTGCGGTGAATGTTGGCGACAAGTCCGTCTTGGGGCGGCCGAATTGTTGTCTTGCCAGGAGCACCTATTCTATGGGTCAGCTTTCGCCCTCTAGGAGCTAGAAGTTACCGATAGAGACCAACTTACCATTATCTAACCACCATCTACTCCTATCAGAGCTAGCAGGCGGTAACCCGGGTGCGATTGACCCCTGCGGTGTGCTGTCATCATCATCATCGAAGTCCAAAAGGTTGACAGAATCAGAAAGAGAATCACGCTGTTTCTCTCCATAAAGCATCCGGCGCAGATCGTCTTTGACCCCCTGATCAATCACCTCAATAACGCCATCGAAAGTTGCCCACACCGGACGGTGATCAGACACCAAGAGATTTGCTACTTGGTAGTGCGTTTGACGTAGGTTTCCTCCTCTCCATAATACTCGATCACACCACGCAGGGATGCGGGCTTTCTCCCTGTTGAGCTGATTAGCAGATATATCGAGAAACGTAGCGGTGTAGGAAGATCTAACGAAGTGTCATAGTTTTCTGTCCCAATATCATATTTGTAAGTCGGGGGAAACCTAATGGGTCCCTCTGAGTAGAACTGGAAAGCTCTCCCAGCGGTCATTTGAAGATTCAACTGTTGATCTTGTCAGTGGAAATGCCAAGAGAAAAAGCATGAATAGACATAGGGCAGTGTACCTGATCATTTTCATAGAGTTTTTGATAATCACGCTGCGAGAGAAGATCCCTCACAATCTGATTTCCTAACCCAATGCGGTAATTGAAGTCTCCAAGCCAAATCACCGCGTCGTGATCTGCAATTGTTCGATTTTTTTGGAATCGCAAACCTCGATCGATTGTTTCGTAGTCCCTATTTCGCTCGTCGTAGTTGGCAAACCCCGCTGCTAGATGTGCAGTTACCAAGCAAATACTGGTATTGGAGAAATCAAATCGGATGGCGCAGCCACCTTTATTGCCAGCAATTCCTGAAAGTCCTGTCTATTTTGAAGTCAATTCTATTGTCCAAAGTACAAGAGGGAAACAGAGGAAGAAGAGTATATTGACCTTTTTAACAGCTCCTTCGACATTTTTGATATCCTTCAATACCTCTGATTTTACATAAATCATCAAGGCAGCACCCACAAGCTGTCCAGTTCTCAGGAGCACATACTTGCCAGTGCCTCTAGCCTTAGTATGTCTGTTCAAACAATCTTGCACAGCTCTTTCCCAAACTTTACGAGTTCCTGGGTCGGTTGACATGATTTGTTGAGGACTCAGATCAACAATCTCCTGAAACGCAACGGCAAAAATTGCCGGATCTTCATTTGATTGGTCTGCCTCAGGAAAGAGCCAGGGTGTTAGATCCGTCCCAGGGCCTTCATCACGACCATTCACATTGAACGTACCAACCCAAAGTCGAACGTGTTTGGTGGAGGAATATTCTGAGGCACGACGGTTGAGTTCCTCCGTGACCAGATCATTCATTGGGTCATACAGATGAACTGGGGTTTGATTAGCCAATCGACCTAGAAGTAGATCGATCGTCCTCTGCCGAGATTTGTCGGTGAAGTTATTAACATAGAGCCGCGTGGCGCTTTTTCGGGCGTCGGCAAGAGCCCCAGCGAGCGACATTTTGCCAGTCCGGGTGAAAGAAGACTTCAGAGCACCGGTACCCGCGTAGATCTTCGAGAGTGCATCACCATTATCAGCCCACAGAGTGGAATGGCGCATTTGCATATCTGAACCAAATCGCCCGCCCTGTTGTGACAGAAATGACCCCAATGCCATTGAGCTGATGATGGTTTGTACGAGATTTGTTCGGTCAAGGCAGTCTAAACAATTAGTTCGAAATACCCCTTCTTGTTGCAGGATAACCGAGGAGATATTGACTGTGTCTTCTTTTTCATATAGTGATGTAGCAGATCGAGTAGTGTCCTCAGACAGAAAATATGCAAACCCGTCAAGGGAACCCTCTAGCTCATGCTTTATTTGATTACTAGCTTCGTATCCAGCCGGACCACGAGTTTCTGCAAGGAAATCATATTCTGTCAGCCGCAGAAGACTATGATGCGCAGCTTTGTCGGTATCCTCCTTTTCTCGCAAAGAGCTGCGGGCGATATGTTGTCGGTACTTTTTTGATAGCTCCGCTTCGCCAGATCTCAGTTCGCTTAGTAAATTAACGACATGCACAGCTCCATACTCGAGTTCAAGGGTTTCAAAGTGTTGATTGAATGCATGCTGTGTTGCCTCGCTTGATCGGGTAATTTCGATCTTTTGTTGGCCTGGTATCAATCCAGGTGTTTGTTCCCAGAATATTGGTATAGAGCCTCGAACTTGGACGTATGAGAAGGCAATACTCGGAGAGACCCAGAGAACAACTTCAGTTTCAACGAAATTGGCAACGTTGCCGTCGTCGTCGATTCCCCTTGAATTGAATCTCGTGCCAGCACGCCGGGACGATTGGCGCGAAATGATCGTCAAGAGGGAGGGAAAGTTTGTCCGGACCTGCGGCAATATCGAAACAGTGGCAGGAACTTTCAAGGTACCAGCATAGCCTCGGATAACACACGTTAGGAGCTGAGAAGCATCTAGCTTCGCCTTATCTGCAGGTGGTAAGTGACTTCGGAAGAGGAGAAGGGGGTTTATCATATAAGAATTCCAAAGCATGTCCTGATCCAGGGAGTCAATGTCGAATGCTGCAGATTTATCCGAACTGCGTTTGTGTTAGTAGTAAAATGATTGGATGAATCCGTTTAACATACCGATCTTGTAAGCGATCCGTTAGATTAAAGTCCAGACTGTAGTAAAAGCTTCCATCGCCGAGGAGCTTTTTCAGAGCGAGGAAAGGATGTTCGGTCACTACATCTCGACTATCTTGACCGTTGCGTTCCTCTGCGGCAAATTGAGCACCGGATTCATACTCTAGACCATATTCATATTCTGCACGGTTGAGGCAATCTGTGATTGTTAGGTATATAGACCAAGAAGACAAGATGGATGTATTTCCTGTTTCAAAACGTACAGAAATCCACGGAGTCAATTCGAGAAACAGTTTCTCCAGGTCTCACAGTGGCAGCTTGGGATGACGTAGTGATCACACAGACGAATAGATCTTCATTCAACGTCGCCAAGCCCAAAGTACCATGACCGGCACCTAGAGGGCGATAAGCTCCAAGGTCTGCAGATGCAATATCCAAGAACTCTACTTGGCAACGTGGGGTGGTCGAAGATCCGGTGTTGGTTGCATTATAGTGGAAGATCAGGACATGATTCGACGTCGCAAGTGCAATTGTCCGCTGAGGCTGGTCTCGACAGAGGACCCGAAGGTTGAACATAGTCCGAAAGCTTAGTGAAATTCAACCCCCAATATTTTTGCATCGAATTGCTATTTCGTCGGGCTTTCTCACGCACAGCAAGGGAAAGTGTCCTGGTGCCACTGGTATTTGAGACAAGATACGGGGAAACCAGAGGCGGGGACGAAGCCCAGGAAGTTCAACACTTCTCCTTTAAGAGATACAGATATAAATCTATCTCTTTACAACCTTCATTTATCTGGAAAATATAAGATAAAGAGAAGAAAGGATGAAATGGTTGTAAGTAAGGTGAAGTATTACCAGTATAGCATTTGACCCAACTTCGCCAGTTCCGATGTGGTTCGTCGCGGGGATCTTATCGCCCCGCTGACTCATCACCGATAACGATCCCGAAATTCAAACTTTTCTTCTTTTTTTCTTTTTTTCTTCGATGTTCAGACTTTCAGGTTGTTGTCTTTCCAGCAACAATCCATAAAGTTAGGGGGGAAGCCTCTGGGTAATTTCCGTACTTTCTTTTCTACGAGCTCAAGTTTGAAAGACCAGTGTCTTGTTTATATCCGCAATCATGGGCTTAGCTGCTCCCCGAAAGTATGCGGGTCGCCCTTTCTTCTCGGACTCTTTTTTTCGTTTTTTTCGCAGGCTAAACCAGTTGCAGGAACACCAAGATCTCCCATGACCCCAACAATACGAAATGGGCTCGATCCACATCCGGATTCGGCCATAAAATTATGAGCGCCCAGGGCTGGACCCCGGGTGGTCGATTGGGAGCCCGAGATGCTGCGCACGCCGATATGTTGACCGCCGCCAGTCACTCTCACATCAAAGTGACGATTAAGGATGATACTCTGGGTCTGGGGGCCCGCTTGGGGCGGGAGAACGAACAGACCGGGCTTGATGCTTTCAAAGGGCTTCTCGGTCGGTTGAATGGCAAATCAGATGTGGAGTTGAAGAAAGATCAGCGCAAGAGGGATGATGTGAAACTGGCTCGATATGTCGCCTTGAAATTCCCCGAAGTTCGTTTCGTTCGTGGAGGGCTTCTTGCCCAAGAGAAAATTGAAAGGTTACCCGTGGAAAAGCCCCAAGATAACCAAAAGGACAATAAGTCGGATAGCAATGATTCAGAATCCGATGAAGACGTCACTTCCAGCGACTCGTCTACATCAGCCCAGAAATCCACTAAGCGCAAGTCCAAGTCCAAGTCTAAGACCGAGTCGAAATCCAAGTCGAAATCCTCAAAGAAATCCAAATCCTCAAAGAAATCTCGCTCGCGTGCGGATAGCGATGAGGATGGCGACTCGTCTTCACTTGCCGAGTCCAAGACGAAACAGATATCTAAGAAGAGGAAGGCGGACACAGATGTACCAGCTACCCCATCGGAGACCCAGACTACTGCTATTGTCTCAAGGGAGCGAAGGCCGATGGGCCGACAACTTTTTCGAAGCCGCCACATTGCACAGAAGAAAAGAGCACTTATGGATGATAAATCTCTTAATGAGGTAAGCTTTCTCGTCAGTTTTCGTCTCATAGTCGCATACTAAACAAGAACAGATTTTCATGGTGAAAGCAAAAGCGTAATTTAATTGTTGAAGCAAGAAAGCGGCCATTTGCATTTTATATAGAGACATATGGAATGGGCGTTCTGGGAGCAGTATACATTCCCCCTTTTTGGAATCCAAATCAAATCAAAGATTCTTATTATTCATCTTTTCCTGTCGCCCCTAATGACGAGCAAGTAAACTTGGAAGGGCACATACAAGGTTGTCTAACAACTTGAAGGTTTAAACAACATGACTCCATAGATTGTGCCGCTGGCCGAGAATATAGATTTTTAGTGTTGCGACTCCTATATCTTGTTCAGCCTGATCAAGTGACTTGGGACTTAAAGCTACTGAGAATTATTCTATACTCTTTTAATTACCCCAGGAAAATTGTATCTGGATATGCCTTTGTATGTAACTACATAGTACAATGCGGTGTACAGGCACGCATGGACATTCAATGTTTGATCTGTTTGATCTGTTTGAAGTGGATATGGCTGTATTACCTAATCCATACCATAACGTCATCAATCTATCTTGCTCTTGAGTCCTGGTTGAAACGCGGGGAGGTTGGACCTTTCTTCCCTCAATACACTGTTTTTATACACACGATGAATGGGGACGCTCAGTCTGGTCATAGGCCGAGACCGTCGGGAAGAAACGAAAATGTCGACAAAAAACGGTATGTACGTATCCATATTCTATCAGGAATCCGTTGACTGACAGCTGATTAGCATTCATTGGGCTCCATGGAATATTGGCCTCGAACGGCGCCTGCAGACCTTAATCGTCCTATGTCATACCCTCACAATCGCCATTTTCGTGACGACCTTCTTCTTTACCTGTGCCATCCCTTTGTTCTGGCCCCTTCTCCTTCCATATCTGGTCTACATTTCTTTGTTCTCCACCGCACCGATGTCAGGTGAACTAAAAAGCCGTAGCTCCTTCTTACGGTCGCTTCCCATCTGGTCAATGTATGCGTCTTATTTCCCAGCCAAACTTCATCGCGAGGAACAATTACCCCCAACCAAGAAATATATCTTCGGCTATCACCCACATGGGATTATTTCACATGGTGCCTTTGCTGCCTTTGGCACCGAAGCCCTGGGGTTCTCGAAACTATTCCCCGGCATCACAAACACCTTGTTGACCTTGGACTCGAACTTTCGCATCCCATTTTATCGAGAGTACGCGCTTGCAATGGGTCTAGCTAGTGTGTCTCGCGAATCTTGTGAAAGTATCCTGACCAAAGGCGGTGTAAATAATGAGGGAATGGGTCGGGCAATTACCATTGTAATTGGCGGAGCCCGAGAATCTCTCAATGCACAACCTCACAGCTTGCGATTGGTATTGAAGCGTCGGAAAGGTTTCGTCAAATTGGCTATTCGCACTGGAGCCGATCTGGTCCCTGTTTTAGCCTTTGGGGAGAATGATCTGTACGAACAGGTACATTCGGATGAACATCCCCTCATTCATAAACTTCAAATGCTTATCAAGCGGACCATGGGATTTACGATTCCTCTTTTTCACGCACGTGGTGTGTTCAACTACGATGTTGGACTCATGCCTTACCGCCGTCCACTGAACATCGTGGTGGGTCGTTCAATTCCTGTGATGCAACAACAAAATCGGGATAAAATTGATGACAAGTATATCGATGAACTGCACACCAAATACGTCCAGGAGCTTCAGCGACTATGGGACCAGTGGAAGGATGTTTATGCCAAGGATAGAACCAGTGAAATGGAGATCACCGCGTAATGTCAGCTTTTGAATCGATCTGATAATGGGTCTGCGCTTCCTAAGGTGACATTTTTCCGTGTGCCACATTTTGCGTGACTTGACTTTATTCATCCCATATGCTGACTGTCTGCGTTTTAAATAATCGCTCTATCTGATTATATACATAATCGAATTTGAATATGTATATAGCATATGGATATGATATTGGTGGATACACGATACAGCAGAGACGAAATCCAATATACAATATAAGCATTCATCCATATTCATGGATGTCTTTTTGACTGTTAATCCAACTCTTCTAGACAACCTAAAACAATAACCACATAAACGCAAAAAAATATACAAATGAAGGGGGTATCAGATCAACAGGAAGCGTCAACAAAAATTACAAGAATAAGGCAAACCATAGCCTGGCGTATTAACTCAGCGGAGAGCCTGAAGAAGTCACCTTTACTGGAGCAGGTCCAGCAGCATTCAAGCCAGGCACTTCGGCCGACATTGAGACTCGGCGGCTACCATCAGAATCTCTCTTCATTTTTTCCATGGGGCTTCTCTCCAGATGGCCACTGTCAACTCGACCCTGGATCATTTCGTCCAACATTCTAGACACCTCATCCATGTTTTTCCTCCGGTCGTCATCCTTGTCTTCTCCCCTCCCTTGTAGGTCAGGGGCCGGTGGATCGAGGGGCTTATCAGTCATACTGTGCGCGCGGGATGGACTGTTGGTATCCGATGTTGTAGATTCTCCATTCTCCTTGAGCTCTGGGGATTGCGCATCATTCGTGACAGCAGCCAGATCACGATGGCGTGCAGCAGAACGAAGAGCGGCGAGCATTCTATCTTTATCGTCCAATTGGATGCGCAGTTCATTAATCTCCATGTCCTTCTCACGAAGCAAGGTCATCATATCGGGATGCTCTGCAATGGTCGAGCTAGTTGATTTGACCCCAACAGACATGCGGGAATGACTAGAACGACGCGCTTGAAGTAGCCTTCGCTCTAATGTAGAAATATAACGGTTTTTGTCACCCAGGTCAGCTTGTAATGCGGTAACCTGCCGTTGCAGACTGGCTTTGCCGTCACCGAATTCACCCATGTCATCTTCATCTTCGTTTCCAAACGAGGTGTTGGAAAACGGCATGACCCCGGAAGGTTCATTGCTGTTGATCGACATAAAAGATATCGGTCTCATAGATGAATGACCGGCACCTAGTGTAGATTGACTAGCAGACGAGCGCAGCGAGCGGGTCCCAGAATCCGTGGCGGACATTCGCGACAATCGGCCAAACGCAGAAGACAAGCTACTATGGTTGTTTACACCAGTAGACTTGGAACTCAGGATCAAGCGATTGAGATGTTCAATTCGTTCCTTGAGCGCAGTTCGCGCTAGCTGCATCTCCAAGACCTGCTCTTCATGACGTGCCTGAGCTTCCTTTTCATACTGTTGTTCATCCCACTTGAGTTCTTTCTCTTGTTGAGCCTTGGCTTGCGTGTCAAGCTGACCACGAAGGGTTTGAATTTCCACGCGATATCGCTCAAGTAACACTCGGCTGCCAGAATCAGCTCCGCCCGCGCCATAGGCCTCTTCTGCCTTCTGTGCATGGCTGACAATGTTGTTCTTCGCTCGAGCCGCAAACTTCAGAGTGTTCAATGTTTCTCCAGAATGCGCATTCACGCCCGAAACAAGTTGAATTGTGCAAAGAATACTCACAAGGGAGTTACCCGATAGAGCACCCTGTAGCAATCGCGTTAATTTGCTGTCTCTGTAAGGCAAGTGACGACCTTCTTTATCCATGGGATTTCCCTGCTTGTCCTTGGCGTCGGAGAGCTTGGAGATGATGTTTCCTAGCGTGAGTAGACTCTTGTTGATATGGGCACCCTCAGTTCGGCGCTCTTTGTCATCGGCTGCTCGTTCAGAGCCCGCCAGATCAATTAAACTGAGTGTTGACACTCGGACACCGCCAGGAGCGATTCCAGCGCGTTTATCCTGAGCGTTGTTTGTCGGTACTCGTTCACGGCTCTCGACGACAATCTGGACAACAGCATGACTTCGTGAACTGCGCGCATTGAATTGGGTACTGCTGGTCCGTCTAGCGTGGTCTCCTCTTGCGATTACTCGAAGAAGCTGCGTTGGACTTTGGACGATTTCCTCCTTCAGAGGCGTTGCGTATACTCCTCGCTTGCTATCTTCCCGCAATTTGATTTCTTCTTGCTGGGTCGCGGCCGGACCAGTGGCGAGTGAGGCGGAAAGCAGATCATGAATTTTTTCGTTGTATATCTCCAGGTAGCTTACCCGAAGAAGAAATTCTCGATGAGGGGTTTCTCTAATGAAAGAAAAGATATCTGTAATGGCGAGCGGAATGACACCAGGAGAGGTGGCAGTACCTTGCATGGAGAATGTTTTTCCGGTGCCTGTCATACCATAAGCAAATACGGTTCCGTGGTAGCCCTCCATGACTCGCCGAACCAGTCGTTTGGCAGCGGAGTCATACACCTTGGCGTTATTTTCTTGAGCCGTGAAGACATTATCTATCTTCCTGTTAGCGCCGATTCATGAGAGTCAAGAGTGGACATCATGAGACAAAACCCCATGGCTGACATACCATAATAGTAATCTCCGCCATCTTTTCCTCTGTGAGAGATCAAGCTTTGACGTCCATCTACCCCCCACTCGCCATGATTTCTCGGGGTTTCTCCTTGGTTTATATCTGGTCGAACACGCACACTGACAATGACATTGCCCTTGCTTTCCTTTGGTTTGGAAGCCGACTTTCCCGTCATCGCTGAATCCTCTCCATCTTCGAATGTCGTTGCGCTCGTCGAACAGGACCCCTGAGCGGACGAGCTTCTGCTATGCGCCGGCGAACCCTCTGGATCCCGCGGATCTGCAGCAATGGACCGCCCATCCCCGCTTCCATTCAATAAAGACGGTGTTTTAGAGCTGCGATAGCTGCTGGTGGTTCCCGTGCTCAGTCGTGAGCTGCGTTTGGGTTTCACAGTCCCAGTAGGGTTTGCTGGGATGGCGGACACGGATGATGCGGTTGAAGGGCGACTTCCTCCTGCCTTGGGCGGTTGTGGAAAGGAGGCAATGCTGATAGTGCGACGTAATGTTTTGTCCGGGCTCCCGGGGGCCCGGCCACTGGATGCTGATCGAATGGCGCTCAGATTGGAGGTTGAATTTGAATTGGATAAAGGAGATCTTGCTAAAGATGGCTTGGGGCTCGATGGAGTGCGCAATTTCGACAGTTGTTGGTATGGAGAAGCCGGTCGTGATGTATCAGCTGGGCCTGAAGTACTTTTTCTCGGTTTGGGGTTGGGGAGAGGGGGTAATGCCCCGGTCGGGGGGTCGGCGGCTGGCCGTGACGGTTGGGGCAGGGCTGACATTGAGGCCATAGTTCTTTAAGGAACCCCTATAGTTAATTTGGTCCGTGAATATGTGGAGATCGAACGGCCATGCGGAGTGAATGGACTGATGGCGGATTGTAGTCAAGTTGGGGATCGAATAGGAATCGTATTCAGTAGTCGGCAATCGTCTGTGTGGCTTGAGGGAACTAGTCAGAATGAAGACTCCTAAGATTGGAATCTTGATGGTGACAAGGAATAGCCTGGACAAAGGGCGCAACAGCCATTAAGAGAATTCGTGCTTTTCCTGTCTTCCTCACTGTTGACCTATTTCCGGAGTGGGAGAGAGGGAAATTGTGTGAGGGACTGCATCTCGGATACTTACCGATTCAAACGACCATGCGTTGCGATCGCAACGGGGGGCGCGAAACTCAGAAAACACAGATCGCGTGTGTATGTGGGGAAGGCTTCAAGGAGGAGAGAGAGAATGGGAGAGGGAGAGCGAGAAAAAAGATGTCGCAGAGAGGAAGCTTTGAAGAGTGGGGAGGGAAGATCAGAGGATCAGAAGGGAAAGATGAAGTTCGGAGACGGCAGTTTTGTTATGTATTTCTCAGGTGGATTTGTTTGTATAGAAACCTCCGATCTCCGCAAATAAAATAAGCAATAAAGTAATGAAATTAAGAAAAAAGGCACAAACAATCCAAAGAGAACGGGAAAGAGAAAAAGGCTATTGTTGACGGATTTGGGGGAAATTATAGTTATTATAGCGATTATGCTTATTATGCTTATATGCCGACTCTTTCGTACACTATGTACACTATGTACTATGTACTAAATGCCCACAGGTGTGATGGTTATCTCCTTTAAAGACCAACCCTTTGATCCTGGACAAACCCAAGCTTCACTCTTCTTTGCACCCCTTGGACTTCCGTATCTACTGGGAGGGGGAGGTGGGGAGAAAGTTGCAACATGTATACTTCCGTACATGCCACACTTCACGTCAGTACGGAGTAAATGGAGGAATTTGGGGTACAGACAGGAGTTAGTCTCCTTCAACCAATCCTATCTCCTTCTCATACCTTGTTCTATCCTATCTGTGCCTTTAGGGGCCTCGATAGGGTGGGTGCTTTTTTTTCTTTGCTACTATGGAGCCCGAAAAAGAAACAAACATACCTAGTTTTGATCCAGGAAGGAGAAAAAAAGGGGGCAAGATCCAAACAAAACGACCTTAAGGGGATCACGAAGGAGTTGACGCCCCTCTTTCCCTCGAAGCTTAGACCAATGGCTGATCTTAGAGTGGAGATGGGAAAGTGATGCGGGACCCAGATGGCGCAGTTGGACCAGTAAGGAAAGATAATCCCAGATAAACGCCAGGAAAGAAAGAAAAAAAAAGAGAGTGAGATAAAAAAAAAAGGGGGGGCGAGAGTTCATTCTGATTATTGAGCAGTTCAAGTCTGTCCCCATCCGTTAACGGTTCGTTGATCCTTATATAAAAAGAGGATCTTCAAGACCCACCAGTGTTCTCGAATTGGTGTACTGTATGTAATCAATGGGATCCAATGGTCCTCGATATACAGCATACGATAGAAGAGAGAACAATCTTTTGCCAGAGTCCGTTAGTAACGCAATGCAAGATTGGGTTCATAATACCCAATAGTACGACGTGACAGGTTCGGCAGTAAGGACGCGGGTGGGATCGTGCGGATGGGATGACATCCCGATGTTCCCTTTCTAGGCCCAGTAAGACCCCTTTTCCCAGCAGGGAATAGATCAAGTTGCCATAGCCAGGCAGGTTGGGCATACAAATTACAACAATAGTCGCGACCACTTGCATGCAGGATGCAGATATCGTCTGTGTCGGAAATGAGTGGCGAGAGTTACTACTGTATGCAGGTTTGCCTACAGAGTAATAGGTACTACCTAATGTTTATACCGAAGTAGGTATGCCTAGGTGTATATGCATGTACAACAAATACGCCTTACAAGTACATGCAAAAATAAAAGAGAAATATGGAGAGAGAGAAAAACATGTACTTAGACATTTCAATCATTATTTCATGGCCCCAAAATCTAACTGTCGGGCTGCATTTTTGAAAGGCCCATCATCAATCTCGCCGCCGCGTCGACTCAAATCCTCGCCCATCTTTTTCGTCCCTGTCTTTCGCGGGAGATCTTCATTTCGAGTCGGCTGGGGGTCCATTGTCCACCAGTTGTGGCGGAGTACCTGGACCGCCGTGCTTCGTTTACGAGGATCCAATGCGCACATCGACATTAAAAGATCGGCACCCACCGGTCCCGCGGTAGGGAACTGCCGAAGGAAAAAGTCCCGGCCCTGCAGAGGCACCCGATGAGCGGGATCCGTAGGAATGTAATTGGGTAATTGGGTGACGTCTGGCCAGTTCTCTTCGGTGGGCGTCCCAAACGCGTCACAGATCTTAGAGATTTGATCCAGGTCGGTGTTGCCAGCAACGAAGGGGACCCGGAGCAATAATTCGGCAAACACCATGCCCATGGACCACACGTCCACTGCCCCGGAATACTGTCGGGCCCCGTAGAGCAACTCGGGGGGTCGATACCAGCGAGTGATGACTTGATGGGTCATGTTGAGATAAGGATCAGCAAACGATCGGGCCAGGCCAAAATCAGCCAATTTAACTTCTCCATCCGAGGCGACCAACAAATTGTTGGGTTTGATATCTCGATGGAGCACAAAGTTTTCATGACAGAACCATACACCTCTAGCCAACATCCCCATCCAGGCTTTAATATCTGCCGCTCCGTATTGGATGTCCCCATCCTTGATAAGCATTTCCAAGTCACCTCGCGGCAGGAATTCTAGCACTAGGCTGAGATTTTGATCTTTGGACGAGAACACGTCATGAAGCGCAATGACGTTAGGATGTGAGAGTTCTTGTAGATATTTGACCTCCCGGATCGCATCCATAGTCAATCCATCTTTGTATTCAGCGTTGACTTTGATCTTTTTGATGGCGACAAAGGATGATGGATCTTCTCGTAGGTGCCCCAGATACACGACGGCATATGTACCTTCTCCTAATTTCTTATCTGATATATCATTAGCTTCTGCCTTGCGATTTTATGCTGTCAAAGCCATTGAACTTACCTTTTACGTATTTCTGCCGCACTTCGGCATTGAGTTGCTCAGTGAGCTCTTGATCTGGCATAGGCGTAGGCTTAGAGGCAGTTCCTCCACTGGCCTTCAGCCTCAGAGCATTTGGTGAAGCCACTGCCACCGAGGGAGACCGGGAGGTGAACGGTGAGGCGGCCATGATGCGCGTCGCGGTAGGCGGGGAGGTTGGCGGAGTAGTAGATCGTCAAAGTAAAATGTTAAAATGAGAAAGAAGAAAGACCTTTGGTTGTTGTAGTCAGACAGCATGAGGAGCTGTTACCACATAGTCAATATATTCATCTCCAGGTCTGCATCACTTAAACCAAAATTCGAGAACAAGCTTGGTCTGCAAGAGTGATGTATCAAGCTCCAAGGGTGGTAGAATGCGCATTGGCCGGAGTATCATTGATCCCGTGACCGCCCGAAATTTCTCAAGGAACAAACAACCGCAACGTCCAAGAGTCGCATCCGAAGCTTCAATTGGTTCCCAGTCTCAGTTTTCCAGCCACCGGGGTTTGTTTTGGTTCTATTCTTTCATTATTTATCTCCAGATCCCGACATTCAAGCTCTAGTGCCGACGGGTCGAATCCCCTGAGCACCCAAGCCATCATGGCAATGCGCACGCAACAACTCCGCAACTTCCCATCACGGCTCTTTCAGACCGTCAGCCTGTCGAAACAATGCATTCGGTCTTTGCATGGGAAAACACCATTACCGGTACCTGCGCCAACCCCCTTTGTTCCCGACGTTCAAACATTCTTCACCTTGATCGGCCGAGAAATGTCGAAGCACGCCAGCAAGATCCCCTCATGGGAGCAACTCTTCACCCTCAGTTCCAACGAACTTCGAGAACTGGGCATTGAACCCGCCCGTCAGCGCAAATATTTACTTCGCAAGCGCGAAAAGTTCCGCAATGGATTGCATGGGCCAGGAGGTGACTTGGAACAGGTCGTGGACGGAGTCGCCCAGTTGCGAGTCGTGGAAATCCCAGATGAGACTCAGTCGTCCGCCTCTGCTACATTGACACCCGGCATGAAAAAGACTATCGTGAACATGCTTCCCGGTGTTACGGAATACAAGCACGACCCGTCCGCTCAGATCAAGAAGTTTGCGCATATGAAAATCTACCGAGGCTCTAAGATCATGGGCCCTTTCCTCCAGCCCCTCAAGGGAAGCAATGGTACAGCAGCCACAATTACAGTCTCCGCAGGTATGTGGGAAGACAAGCGTGGGCAGAAGGTGGATGGTGGTGAACGACGCCGGGTTGAGGTGCGGGCGAAGAAGCGACTCGAGGAAAGGAGACAAGCGTAATTGGTAGGGTAGTGGAGTGGTGTTTCTTGCATATTTCTTGAGCCCTGATGATCTGTGTTCCTATTATCTCTCTACATTGTACTATACTATATATACACATCATATTGAAGACACCTCAGTGCCTTTTTATTCGATCTATGGACATGGGTAGTTCGACTCCCAAAATGATATTGTCTCCATATTTCAACTTTCGCCGTTATCAATTGCAAGGGAATCGAATGTATTATTTTTCGAGTCGTGTTCGATTAAAAAGATATTGTAGAGGTATCAACACAAACGGCAGAAGTGACTCAAGCCACAAAAGAATAGGGAAGTAAAAGAATAATGTACAATAGCAAGAGTTCATTCAAAGACGTCAAAGCATGACACGAAGCCGTATGTATGCTGTAAACCGGTTTTCTGAAGTTCCAGCCGCCCAAGCGCGTCAAAGAAGGTAATTATAATGAAGGCAATAGGGAGCCGGATTCAAACTCATTTCATGCGTTCCTGGTTGGCTGTTTTTCTTTTGAAAAGCTAGTGAAATGCGCATCCATCTACTCTTTCACGCCACGCTTTTCGTATTGTACAAATGACTTGCCCAGAGGCTTGGAGAACAATGACTGAGAAGGAAGTTAGCATTCTTGCGAGCACTGGAACAAATTATGGTTTGGGATCAAATAAAACTTACTGAGTAGTCAGTCTCAGGAACGCCGGTGCGGTCATGGGGGTTTGAGAACTTGAAGTGGCGCACCAGCGCAGCCAGAATAGCGCCTAATTGCACGTAGGCAAACTGTTCACCAATGCAACGATGACGACCAGCTCCGAACGGCAGGTAAGGGCTGTTAGTACCCTTGCTGACGAGACCGTAGCCGTAATCAATCTTCTCCTCATCCTCGTCCTCCTTGGGCTCAGGAGTTTCGTCCCAACGGTGGGGTTTCCAGGTCAAGGGCTCTGGGAAGAATTCCTCTGATCTGGCAGTTACACCAGGGGAGGAGAGCACATTGTGAGTGGTAGGAATGACATAGGGGGTTCCATCGACGGGCATGGGGTTCTTGACGGCACGAATGATAGAGTGAATTGGGGCGTGGATACGAAGGGTTTCCTTGATAACCTTGGCGTGGAGGTCCAACTTCTGGAGGTTTTCAAAAGTGACAGGGGGCATATCCTCTCCCAGAACGCGAAGTTGTTCCTGATAGAGCTCATCCATGATTCCAGGGCGAGTCGCCATACGCAGAACGATCCAAGCAGCGGTAGAAGAGGAAGAATGTTGACCAGCCATCAGAAGCGCGATCATCATATGAGCGACTTCTTCATCAGGGACGGGGGTACCATTCTTGTAGGCACATGACATGAGGTTCCAAACCATGTCCTCTTCCTCATTTTTCTTGCCACCAGTCTCACGGCGCTCGCGGATAATGTCCATGTAGGTTTGGGTCATCTTCTTCTGAGCTGCGTCACGCTTGCGGTTGTGGGGGAGAGGAGCCCAAGGGAGCATGAAGTTAATTGGCGCAAATCCCTTATCCAGATCATGGTACATCTCCGCAAAAGTCGAATCGAAGCGAGCCCGTACCTCCTTGCCCTGAAGCGAGCGTGAGGCAGTGTAGATGGTGATTTCGGCGATGGTCTTGGAGACATCAAAGGTGCCCTTGGTATCTTGGAACGCGGGAGAGTTCTTAACGAAGAGGTCGACTTCATCGGTGATCAGGCGAACGTAGGAACGGAGGGCTTCTGAGGTAAGGCCAAATTTGACGAACTTTGAGGAAGCCAGTCAGTGAGTTTCATTCGATTTCCAGGTGATACATTGCCTTACCTTCTTTTGTTCCATCAGCTTAGAGTTGGGGCAATCGTAAACAACATGGCGACCAAAGACCGGGGTTGTCAGTGGCGAATAGACCTCTTCGGCACAAACGTCGCGCAATTTACCATTCAGGATGAATTCATTGCCCTTGGTGCCCAAGTAGACCGTGGTTTTCTTTCCAAGAAGGATGAAAGTAAAAATATCACCGTACTGTCAAAAGTAGAAGAAGTGAGTTTGATGATCTTATCATCCCAAAGAGGTTTTTCTTTTCCTTAGGGAAAAAAAAATCCACCCTTGAACCATAACCGCAAGAAATGTTTCTCACGGGGGGATCTCTAGCAGGATGAACACACCTTTGCGCGAGTAACATTGAAGAACTTGTAGGGGTCAATTCCATAGCTGATTGTGCTTCCAACAAAAGGGAACCAATGGAAGACTACAGGGGGCTCATGAGGGTTCTTGAAGAGCAACTGGCGCAAGACATTGACGACGACGGACAGGGCGATAAAGGATAAACCACCAACCAGAGCCAAGGTGTAGATGGACTGGGTGGAGCAATGCTCGCAGAACGTGTCGAGAAAACTGCTGAAAATACCCATGACGACGTACAGGAAGAAAAAAGGGCCAGGGGGACACAAGGTGAAGGAAGAAGCCTTGGAAGGGGGGGAGAAGATGTAAAATAATAATCTCCGTTGTCATTCGATGAGGCCACGCCGAAGGGACCCGCTTGCTTGGCTTTCCCCTGTTTTTCTGGACTTCGATCTTGCAAAGGATTTGACTCGATTTGTTTCTTTCTACCATATATATATATCTTGCTAACAATTCGAAACCATATATTGTACAAATATATTTATTTTTCCTGAATCATTGTCCTCCGTAAAAGATCCTGGTCCCAATATAAGGGGGAAAAACCGTCCAACGCGGCAGTTCTCATCACGCCACGTCGGCGGGGGCGACATCCGCTAGTACCTGACGATCGTCTGATATACACACTATGTACAACACATCTGCACTTTGATAGACGGAAATACGTAGAATTTTTCTTATGATATTATAAACACTTCAGATGTCGAGTAAATAGAATCTTTTATTAAATTCTACACTATACATTAAGTTCGGTATTGCTTTTTTTTGGCTGCCCTTTGATCCCAATCACCTTGATAACCCCAACCAGTAACAGATAAATACACCAGAGAACGCGGGATATTACCAAACAAAGCCCACCAAAAGGAGAGAGAGAGAGAGAGAGAGAGAGAGAGAGAGAGAGAGAGAGAGAGAAAAGTAAGGATACAAAAGCACATCCACAAAATCTAAACCAAACGCCATGTCTTATTTGGCCCGACCCGCAGGTTTGTCATCGTATAATGTGGGATCACCACCTTGGCCGAGGTTCACGAAATTATCGGCACCACCGTTATTGCCGGGAGATTCTTCACGGCGCTTGACTTTAGCAGGCCGATTGTGAACCCGCTTGCCAGCATCATTCTTGTGAATGACTTTAACTGGAGTGCCACTGCCTTCCACATGCTCACTGAATCCACCGTCATTGACACTGCTCAGCAGAGTTCGCTCTCGCTCAATCTTGCGCTTGGAGAAATCCAACTTGCCCAGGGCACCTGTCAGCCCATCGGTGCTGTCTGTAACACTGGGGTACTTCTGGGTCATCCAGGGGTGTTCAAGACACTCGTCTACCGTGATTCGTTTGTCCACATCCACGGTGAGCATTCGGTCGATCAGGTCCAGGGCAGGGTCGCCCACCGAGTCCCAATATGGCGAGGGATAGTCAAATTTGCCCATCTTGATTTGCTGGGCCAAAGTATATGGATTGTCTCGGGTGTACAACTCATCAGAAAATGGGGGGAATCCGCAGAGACAAATGTAGAGAACTACCCCGAGGGACCAGACGTCCACTGCTTTAGTGTACCGTCGACGGCGAGTATCTTGTAAAATTTCGGGCGCAACATCTGCAAAAAGGCAAAAACGAAAAGTGAAGAGCCGCAAATCAGTCTCATACCCTTCACTAGAATATTACGTTCGATCAACTTACAACTGGGTGTACCACACCTGTTTGGGATATGACATTAGTAACAATATGTAGTAGGGATTTGGTTTTGCGCTTACAAAGTGGTGGTAAAAGAGTCCTCGCCAATGATCTTGGCAAGACCGAAATCACCGAGCTTGACTGTCAACTTTTTGTCGGCAAGTAAAATATTCTCGGGCTTGATGTCTCGATGGACAATTCCTCTTTCGTGCTGAAAAATTCCCATGTGGTTAGACTTTCCTGCTCACACTTTCTAGAGACAAAGAAGGGGCCGGTTTACCAAATACTTTAGCCCATCCAGGAGCTGTCGGAATAGATGACGAGTTTCCGACTCACTGAGCTTCTGCTTGCTGACAATTAGATTGAAAAGTTCGCCTTCTGGGGCCAGCTCAAGGATCAGATAAGCCCCATCGGTTTCATAAAATGTGTCCTTCAGGCAAAGGAGGTTGGGGTGATTGACTCCTTTCAGAAGAGCAATCTCTTGCTGCAAAGTCTCTGACTGGGACTGGGACTTTTGTGAATCACCTGGGCGCTTCTCAAAGACCTTGACCGCAAATTGTTTGCCAGTAGACCCTTCTACGCATAAATACACCGCTGCAAAATGGCCTTTTCCTAGTTGGCGGTGCATTTGATACTGTTGGCGGAACCGATTGGTGTCTCGAGTTCTGGGGTAGCGAAAGACAAACCGGGCATCGTCCAAAATGGATACCTCATCGCCATTTTCAAGTTCACGAGATTTGTTTCGTCCCACAATGGCGTCATTCACGAAAGTTCCATTAGTAGAAAGGTCCTCCAGCATGGCGACAACGTCACCTTTTCTCTTCTCCTCAAATAGAAGAAAATGACGATTTGATATCGTGGGAATCTCGATCATCAAGTCTGAGGAGAAGAGATCAGTTCAAGTCATCATAGACAAGGGACCAAGGGTTTTCACTAACCGCACTCAGGATGACGACCAACTAGGTAACCGCCAGGTGCTCGAGCACTGCCTTGTTTGCGAGATTGAGACTTCTTCCCAGTCTTATCTTTGGTCGCATCTTCCCGGTTCTCACAAGTATCACGCTTCTTCAAGACGAATGTGCCACCAACTTTGTCACTGAGCGGGATCAGGTATCCCCAAACGCCCTCTGCGTCTTCATCTTCCACCTCGTCCGCGAAAGCTCTTGGCGGGTAGACAAATTGCGAGAGGGCCTGCGTATCCCCCGGTGGAGATGATGGGAGCTGAGACAACTCGACATTAGGGGGGGATTGTACACGGCCTCGACTCGGACTGTCCGGCGGAGTGGCAGTCACTTCATTACGGAGATCCGTGGCAGTCGAACGGCCATGCGTTAGCGGAGTCGGTAGATAATCGTAATCGATCGGTGTCTCTTGTGGCTGATGTTGGCTGGATATTCTCTGGGACCGACGTGGCTTTTTCAAATCTTGTGCATCGGCATCCACGCTGAGCTAGAAGGGGTCGGTAGGTGGTCAGCAAATCGTCACACATGGGGGAAAGGTCACCACGCACTCTACCCCGCTTGAGAGCGCTTTGTTCTCGAGGTGCCATAGTTTCAATTTCAGTTGAGATTATACAAACACACGCCCCGACACTTTGTCCACAGACCAATGAACGTCGTAGGCTGCAGGCAAGCTTACTGTGACATGAATGGCAGAAGCGCGGCAATCCAAGTAAGCAGGTCCAAATAAGGACGTAGGGATTGATAAGCTTGTGTCTCTCAGCTTCACAAAAGAGAAGGTCAGACGAATGACGGGGAGGAAGGGAACTAGAGCTGGGGAGTGGTGGGGAGAATAGAAGCTTGTAGTTTCTCGAAATCTACAGAGGAATCGGCGGGTCTGGAGGCTCTTGGGGGAAAGCGCGCTCTCCGCCACCCGCCCCCATCAAAAAAACCCAGACTAAACGCTACAAGAGGGATGTACTAGTAAATAGTACTCTGGACATAATCTAAGCTAAGATTGAGAATGAGAATGAGAATGAGAAAAAAAAGCAGCAAAATGATGTCTACTTAGTCTATAATAATATTATTAATAACCTATAAAGGGAGAATTGTTTACTCATACATACCAAGTATGTCCAGTAATGTAAACCTAGGTTCGCGTTAATCTGGGACACGTGAACTCCGAGTTCCTGGAATTCATGGATTCAATGATCCATCTCGGCCTTTCTGGCTCTGCCCCCCTTTTCTTCTCCCACCCTTTTTCTTTTGACAGGTCGATCTATAAGGGGAGAGTTTATTTCGCTTTTGTTTCTTTAACAAAAAAAAATGGATGGGTAGGACTCTGCTTCATTCCATTGAGTAGTACCATGGCTAACGTTCGCTGTAGCCTCTCGGTCGGCGTGCGACGCTCGGCTTTCGAGAAGCTTGCGGCTTTAGCTGTCAAGTCGCCCGCCCAAGATGGATCCAACCTTGATCGGCTGGCTCAACAGTCTCGGCCAGCACGTCCTAATGATGGAGCATTAAATGGGATTCTCAAAAACCAGGCCCCTACATCTCGGGTGCCAATGGTGAGTTCAACCTTCCCCAGAATATACCGAGACCCTCTCGTGGGTGACGTAAACTGACTTCGGGCAGGGAATCCGTGAACTTGATGTCCTGCTAGCCCTATGCACCGCCGCTCTAGCTGTCGATCAACAAGACCATGCGCAAAGACTAGTCACCCAATTGATCCAATACCTGCCCGAGTCCCCGAGTCAGTTGTTTCGACCGTCGCCCTTCCTACAAAGCATTACTCCGTCACCATGGGAAAATCTGGCGCACAGCCTAACGCTAGCGTTACTCTCCATGGGTATGAAGTACCCGGCCCTGCGCAAAGAAGCCATCGGTGGTATCACGGGGTATTTGAATAATTGTGCAGAGGCGATTAGCTCAGTCACACCGTTTCATTATTCTACATCGGATGCAAGTGGCCGGGGCGTGGTGCATGAATCTATTGCGATTTTGTCTATTGCGGTATCACTCGTGGGATTCTTGGAGGCCTCGGCGAAGAATACAGTCTTCTGGACAGCGCGGGAGAAGCTCCAAATTATCGATCACTTGCGAGCCATGCTCTCAGAGTCCTTTCTGATCGCAGTCGAAACAGCCTCATCTACAATCCGCAATGCCATGGGCACAGAAAGCGTCGTGAAAGACTGGAGAAAGTACACCAGGAGATATGCAGCGCATGGGCGCCCAATGGGTGCCATGCTACTGCAGGATGGCTTCATGCGCTTCGTCAAATCATGCGCGGCATCTTTAATCGGCTCGCAGAATTTGTCCGATGATCAACTATTGGATGACTATATGGCGGGTGTAGGTATCGCCAAGAGCTATGATGAGTCTGACATTGCCTTGATTGAGCGTATCACAGATCTCATTAGCGAGGAAATCCACCTTCTAGAGGATGGCTCGGATTATTTGCAAGTCGGCTCTCCTTCTCAACAGTCATTGGCTTTCTCTGTGAAAGGAAATGCTCTCGTTGGCTTCCTTAATTGTGTTGTTCTGGGCGAGGATGCGGCTAATAATGATGTCCTCCTCTCTTGGCTCGAGGACACACTGATCGACACTCAACAAATGGCTTCGCCGCAACTAGCGGTGACAGCCTTGAAATGCACAGCCATTCTCGCGAGAATGTCTCCCAATGGCGCTTCGATTGCAAGGAGATGTCTGCTGAGGTTTTTGACCCAAGGAGGCGCATCGGTAGGCTCTGTTGTTGCTGTGGCTGCCCGATGCCTCGCCCAAGTCCTTAGTATTCTGTCCGAAGATGCTGTCATCACTACCCTTTACTCTCTAGGGAATGCCTTGAGCCCGAGCCCCAGCTCTGACCAATCCGAATCAGTGCAGGAACCCTTTGCTGGCGATGCCACCGGCTCTGCAAGTTTCGCGCAGCCAGGAAATAGTAGCCAGACATCTATCCCCACCGTCAATGAGCAAGAGAAGCTGATATATCGGAATGTTGTTCATGCTATTGTTATCATAGCAACGAGCTGCAGCGACGACAAAATCAGCGCTTTGGCGCAATCTATGCTATTGCAAAAGGTTGGTAAGATGAATGTTGCAGTGGATGCCTATATCATTCAAGAAACCGCCGTTCTTGCCCTAAGCAGCGGAAAGGCCGAGTTCCAGCTGTTGCTCAAGTTTTATGCGCGCATCTATCTCGACGGGGCCCACAAAGGAGTGGCGATGATTTCTGACGCAGTTCAATCCGCTATGGCATATCTCTCTGTGACATTGGACCAACACTCTGCGCTCCATGGAATTTACTTGACGCATCTACTAGAAAGCATTGTCAATAAGGGTGATGTTCCAGATACAGAAACCGAACGCCATGCAGAGATGGTTTTTGCCCCTACCGATATTACCCCTCTATTGAGGCCTTTGGCACTTCTCGTATCTTCTGTGAAACGTTCACCAGCTACCCCAGACCCAATACTCGACTATGACGATGCTACCTTATCATTGTTCCGTGATGCCTGGTTCAACATTGCCATCCACGGCATTACACTTAATTCAGCCGTCTTCCAGCAATACTTCAAGGAGCTTCGCTTGCTTGCGAGCCACTCCCCACCCCTTGTGGCCGAGGATCGTATGGAATCGCTTGAGAGTGACGTGGAACTCAATACAGTGCTCAGGAGAGGCGCAGGTCCACAGCGAGTATTGGAGCAAAAGCGAGTTTTGATCACTGAGCTGGCTGGTCGTGAGTCTGACATCAAGCGGTTGGATTACCCACGATCAGTCTTCCTTAACGCTGTCTTACTGGTCGAAAATCTCCGTGCATCTTCTGGAGATTGTACTAAGATCCTTCGGTACTTCCGCGATCCATCCCTGGCCACCCCCGAGATGGTTGTCTGCATGAATTCTGTCGCAGAGAAGACTGTGACCAGCTATCTTTCACGCACTTTGTCAGAAGAATATGATGACTTTTCGGCACCCTACTTGTCGAAGCAACTCGCTGCCTACCTGGTAGCTTGTTGCCATCGTATCGAGCGTGTACAGAGCATTGCGATAACCTGCACAGACAAAATTATACGGCAATGTCCTTCTGCACTTTGCGAGAAGCACTCTCTTTTCGCTTTGCTGGAAATTTTGACTGTCATGTGGGAGTCTTGTCTTCAAGGAGAGCTAGATGAGTTCGAGTGGAAACCCACACTGGTCTCACCCATGGGCATTGTGAAAGTCGACCTTCCCGATAATTATGCTCTGAGGAAGGTGACATTAGATCGATTCCTTGTGCGAGCACGAACATGGGTGACTGCTGTCTTGAACATTGCCCCACTGGATGTCAAGGGACTTCTTCAAACATACCTTTCTGAATATGACGATGATGGAGGCTATGGTCACATTGCCCTCGGTCGTTCATTTGCCCTTGAAATGGGTTCTCTTATACCGCAAAGCGATCCTCGCCTTGGATCAATCGAGGGCTATAATGCGAGCGATGTCAACATCGCATCTGACTTCATGGCTTTATACACGACCCGCCAAAAGTATCGCCGACCTGAAGTATCTTCTTCTAAGGCTCCGAGCAACGAATTCTATCTCACCGATAGTCCAAAGATAGAACCTTCCACGAAGGTCGAGTCTGGTGATGACATTGACCAATCTCTTTCTGCCCTATACCGGCGCAGCATGGATGGAGAGGATCTTCCTCTTCTCGAGGTCAGGGATGTTTTGCGACGAGCTGCAGCTTTGATTTGTAGCAGCAGTACGCCTCGCCTGTCTGTGGTTCATTATTTGGTTGCTCTACCTTTCCAGATTTTCACCAAGGAAATAATCAAACTGGGTGTCTCTCTTTGGCTTGGTGTCATACACGAAAACCCCAACATTGAACCGCGGGTTCTAGCAGAGGTCGTGGAGGCATGGGAAGGGAGTATCCAACGCCGGAAAGGGTTATTTGATACTTCTTTCAACTACTCCGATCCGTTACACACCAAGATCGAGTTGTTGCCTACAGACAAGGCGTTGATGCTTCGGGAGCAGGAGAGTGCACAGAACACACTTTCGCCACACTTGCGCGTTCTCCAGTTTTTTGAGAGTCATTTCAATGCAATCCGCCTCGGCAATCTGCAGGACCAACAGCTGTTCTGTCGCTTAATTAGCAGCACGGTAGTTGCTCTTGCAAATACGGGCTGTCATCCTCTGGCTCGAGAAATTCACTTCCGCATCGTACTTTTTGGTTTGAATATCCTGAAACACTTCAGCCCACGCAACAAGGCTGCGTCTTGGAGACTTAAAGATCAGATTCTATCTGCTGCCCTAAGCTGGTTCAAGCACCCTCCCAGGTTCGTAAATGGTATCTGCCCATCTAAAGAAAAATGATGTCCGTACTGATAGCTCTCATAAGATGGTCTTTTGGCGGTAATCGACTGCAGATCAAGGCCGAAGACAAGATCCTGGAAGATGTCCTTTCCACACTAAGTAGTGTTGCGGATATTGCTGTCCAGTCCTTCGGCGCATACAAATCACTTCAACCCAAGCAGGAACTAACCCAATTATTGATCGAGAATGAAAAGTCTCGACTTCGAGTCTGGCTATTTCCTCTAGATCCCGAGCGAAAACACCATATGCCATCGCTAGGAGGCAAGCCTGCCACAGATGTCTGTTCCCACGGTCCTTTTCCTATCCAGGCATATAATGTTGCCAACATGGAATTAACATTGTATTATTTAGGGCGTTGCGTCATTCCTTCGACTTGCTTGGTCTGAGAGTCCCGGATTGGCTATCCAGCTTGCCTCTCGCTTTCCATCACCTAAGATGCAAAACGATGTTCGATGGTTAATCTTGAACCACCCCGAGAAGGCTGTTCCGGAGGCGAGTGCCCTGGACATCATGTTTGAGTCCTCTCTGCCATCGGATGTCAATTTCCAACTCAAAGTAGGTGTTATTCGTGCCCTTTGCGCCTGAATTATGCTGACTATTTCCAAAGTATCTGCTATACTGGGCGCCTGTGAACCCTACAGAGGCATTGACCTACTTCTTGCCTGCCTATGGCAACCACCCATTCATCTTGCAATATGCAATGCGGGCTTTGGAGAGTCACTCTATTGATGTTCGCTTTTATTTCGTACCCCAGCTGGTGCAGGCATTGCGATACGATGCGTTAGGATACGTGGAGCGCTATATCCTAGAAACAGCAAAGTTATCACAACTTTTTGCACACCAAGTTATTTGGAATATGAAGGCCAATTCTTACAAAGATGAAGAATCTCAAATTGTAAGTGCATCCAGCTTCCCGGGGTCTCCTGTTTGGACATTCTAACATAGAATCGCGACTTTGCAGCCGGATCCCCTGAAGCCAACACTTGATCGATTCATTGAGTCATTGATCTCAAGCTTCTCTGATGAAGAGCGCAACTTCTACGAACGGGAATTCTCATTCTTCAACGAAATCACCGATGTCTCCGGAAAACTTCGACCGTACATCAAGAAGAGCAAACCTGAGAAGAAGGAGAAGATCGAGGAAGAGCTACGTAAAATCAAAGTGGAAGTCGGGGTGTATCTCCCTAGTAACCCTGATGGCGTGGTCGTAGGTATTGATCGAAAATCTGGCAAGCCTCTGCAGAGTCATGCAAAGGCGCCATACATGGCTACTTTCCGAATCCAAAAGACTCGGCCTCTATTGGAGACCAAGACGAACAATACCGAGGCAGCTCAGGTGGCTAAGAGAGCCTCATACGCCCAACAGCAGACGTACGAGGTTTGGCAATCGGCAATTTTCAAAGTCGGCGATGACTGTCGTCAAGACATGCTCGCACTGCAAATGATTGCAGCCTTCCGCAGCATTTTCACCAACGTGGGACTCGATGTTTGGGTATTCCCATATAGAGTCACCTCCACTGCCCCCGGATGTGGTGTTATTGATGTTCTGCCTAATTCAATCTCTCGAGACATGCTAGGCCGTGAGGCAGTCAATGGCTTATACGACTACTTTGTCTCCAAATACGGAGGTGAAGACTCCATCCGATTCCAGGAGGCACGCACAAACTTTGTCAAGAGTATGGCAGCTTATTCCGTTATCTCATACTTGCTCCAATTCAAAGACCGACACAACGGCAACATCATGATTGACGACGCGGGACATATCATTCACATCGACTTCGGGTTCTGTTTCGATATTGCACCCGGTGGTGTGCGATTTGAGCGTGCTCCATTCAAGTTGACCTCGGAGATGGTTGCTGTGATCAGTGGTACCCATGATCCAGCCCATCATCCCAGCAACAACCCTGGAATCAGTCTGCCGGGAACTAACTCATTCAACCCTACCGCCACTCAGCCTTATCGTTGGTTTGAGTCGTTAGTTGTGAAGGCCTTCTTAGCTTCGCGTCCCTATTGCTCGAAGCTGTCGCACATTGTGTCCTTAATGCTGGATAGTGGTCTGCCGTGTTTCAAGCCGGAGACGCTCAAAAACTTCCGTGATCGCTTTGTTCTGGATAAGAGCGAGAGGGATGCTGCTGAATTTATGCGTGACTTGGTGCGCAAGTCATACATGAGTCGATCTACAAAGGGATACGATCAGTTCCAGCTGATGACCAACGGTATTCCCTACTGATTGAATATTCATTGAAATCTGATCGTCAAATTTCTGTCTGTTTTATTTCTTGGTCTTACCCTTTTGTGATCTACTTAAATTACTTGAAATTCTTATTTAATTCAACTTAACTTTATCATTTACCTTGCTTGTTGTGAAACTTTGTGTCGTGTAGCTATATATGGCGGCCGAGTTTGCCCCAGTCCAAGCTCAAAATTGTCGACTACCTCTGTAAAAGTTTAAAAAGAAACCGGGAGTTTAAAATATAGCGTCCAGAGAATGAATGTATTACACTCCTCAGGATAATATACTTAATATATCTCGACCCTCTCCATTCTCAGCTAATCTAAAGTGCTGTCGGCTGAGACTGACAATGAGTGTAAACCCCATCTCGATTTGCCTCCAACCAACTACATGTATACACCCTTCGTCGCCTCGCCAGTCGCCCCCAAGACATTAATTAGCCAAGAAAGTTCTATAACCGCGGCTGACTCCGCATTCCAGAAGCAGTTTTGCTTTGGGTATAGAACCTAAATGGTTGATTGACGTCACGACTTCGTGCCCGCCACCAATTCCCCAATGAAAGCCCTCGTGCAGAATGGGAACATGACGAAATTGGCTTGGTGGCACATCAGCCTCCCGCTGATGGCGAACAGGGGTTCAAGCTGTAGAATAGTATTAGAATTCAAAGGAAGCCAAGGTTAAATCTAACAGGTGTAACGAGGCATTGCGAAGGGGTATATGTATGTGTATACCTCGACAAAGTACTTTTCAAGCTTGGCTTATTGTTGAAATCTCACATCAACAACATCAGATAGCTAAATACACAAATACTCAAATAGCTATAGCTAGCTCCATCCATGACGGGTTCATCCAGTTCATGGAATGGCCCGGGAGTGGCAACTTGAATCATCGAGCCACCTTGTAAAAAGCAGGCCTTTAAAAAGGTTCGAATGACTTAGTTGTATGCCTAGTTCTTTCTCTTCCTCAGTCCAAATTTCCTTTCTTTGTCTCTTCGCCCGTTATTCCATACATGCGTCTACTCCTCGCCTGAACGCATTAATCAATTCTTTGTCCACAGGATGAAGCTCCCATTCTTCAACAAGCAGGAAGGTGAAGGGGGTGGCACCCCTCCCTTGACGGATATATCCGCGGCGTCCATCGATAACGAGAAGCGACGAAGTAGCTCATTCGATGAATCCCGCGTACCCTGGGTGACATGGAGATCATTGACCCTCGGAGCCTTCGTATCCATCGGTGGTATCATTTTTGGATATGACACTGGACAGATCTCGGGGTTTCTCGAAATGAAGAACTATAAGCAACGCTATGGGCAACAGAAGAGTGATGGAACTTTGTATTTCAGTAATGTTCGATCTGGATTGATTGTTTCTATGGTAAGTTGGTGATCATATCGAAATGGAACCCTTCCAATCCATTCTTCCAATTTTCATGTTTAGTTGTCTAACTCTGGCACTTTGAATCAATTAGCTGTCTATTGGTACCTTGATAGGTGCTCTTATAGCTGGCCCACTGGCAGATCGTATTGGGCGTAAATGGTCGATATTCGCATGGTGTATTATTCTACACGTCGGTCTAATCATTCAGATATCATCACCCGCCGGGAAATGGTATCAAATGATGATGGGCCGATTTGTCACTGGATTTGGTGTTGGATCATTATCATTGCTAGTACCAATGTACCAGGGTGAAATTGCACCGAGACATATTCGAGGTGCCATGGTCTGGTAAGCTTTTAATCGTTCTTGTTTTGTGAATTGTTGCTCGAGGGTGAGACAGGACACCTGACACGATGATAGTTCATACCAATTGTTCGTCACACTGGGTATTTTCGTTGCATACTGTATCAATTTTGGCACAGAGACAATTTCAGACACCGCTTCATGGAGAATCCCTTTGGGAATCACCTTCTTGTGGGGCCTTATTCTCGGATTTGGAATTCTCTTGTTCCCCGAAAGCCCACGTTATGATTATCGTCATGGGCAAGTGGCGACAGCCAAAAAGACGATGGCTAAGTTATATGGTGTGCCTGAAAACCACCGAGTCATTGTTCATGAGATCTTGGAGATCCAGGAGCAACAGGAAGCCGAGAAGGGCTCTGCCGGTGGCTTCCATGGCTGGATTGAAATGATGCAGGCTCCACGAATGCCATATCGAATCGCCTTGGGTATGACGCTTCAAGCATTGCAGCAACTGACAGGTGCCAATTACTTCTTCTACTATGTAAGTGACCTCCCGGGGGGGGATTGTTAGAGATATAGATGTTCAAAAGCTGATATTTATGAAATTCATTTAGGGAACGACCATTTTCAATGGAGCTGGAATCTCGAACACATACGTTACACAGATGATTCTAGGTGGTGTGAACTTCGGTACTACCTTTGGAGGTCTCTATGTCATTGAGCACTATGGTCGCCGCAAGTCACTTATTGCTGGCGGTATTTGGATGTTCATCTGTTTCATAGTATTTGCATCAGTGGGACATTTCTCTCTCGACGTGAAAACTCCTGCCAACACGCCCGGGGCTGGCAAAGCAATGGTGGTGTTTGCATGTCTCTTTATCACCGGGTTTGCAATGACCTGGGGTCCCATGGTGTGGGCCATTGTGGCAGAGCTGTACCCATCGCGATATCGGGCCCGAGCTATGGCATTGGCAACTGCGTCCAATTGGCTGTGGAATTTCCTGATTGGATTTTTCACCCCCTTCATTACTGGAGATATTGACTTCGCGTACGGATACGTATTCGCAGGGTGCCTCTTCTTTGCAGTGTTAGTAGTGTATTTCTTTGTCATTGAGGGCAAGGATAAGACACTGGAGGAGATGGACATGATGTATGTTATGCGTGTGCCACCATGGAAGAGCAGCAAGTGGACCCCACCGGCGCCAGAGCACCAACTCACGACGAGCCAGCTTATGGATCGAAATGTGGCTGAGAATTACGATCGAGAGGAAGAGCCGGAATCCAGCCAGAAACAGGCAGATATGCCGGCTCATGTACATGCAGAGGATTCCACCATTGCTGGTTCTTCTGCGGCGTAGATTAGTCTTGATGATGGGCGCACGGCCAAATAAATTTTTGGGAGGATAATGCAGTGTGAAGGCAATGAGCCAAGCTTTATGTGGAGACGTGTATAGAAAGGTTAAACTAGGTAGAAATACCATCTCAAGTTGTTAAAGACAACAGACCCTAGCAGTGGTCACGTCCACATCCATCCAATACACATCGTATGAAGAGTTCCTATTCATTTCTCAATTATCTATTTATCCAACCTTCAAACCCACTCTCCTATCGACTCGCATTTGAAAATTAGATTCCTATAAACTCGACCATAATCTATCCAGTGGTAATGCACTGATATAGAACCCAATCATTTATGAGTCCCACACTAAGTTGTAGCAGCCTTAATGCCCAGGTAGCTCAATCAATATTTATAATAGGGAAAAAATCATTGTATGGGCTTTCCATCTCGTCAAAGATGGAATATTTCGAATTTGCATTGAATCATTCAAATATCATATCAATTTGGGTTTCATATACCAGCGTCATTCCTCAGCACCAGGATGAGGTAAGAATAAAAATAGCTCCGATACTCAAAACAACATAAACAACCTTGGAATGGCAAAGAATAATGTTCAAGGTGTGCATGAGAAGAAAAGATAAGAAAGGAGAAACATTGCTTTCCAATCCCGCTACCAAGTGACATAAGAAGAGAAGAATATGGACGAGTTTTTTTTTAAACAACTCTTTGAGCAGCAAATTTAAGAACACAGGGTCTGAAAGGTAGTCGGGACGTTTCCCATGCATCGAAAAATAACAGTCGACAGACTTTGAAAGTCAGAAGAGAGAGAAGAAGAAAAAGAGAATATCATCGTCTTGCAAGTAGAATGTCAGGGTTCATTTAACCATCTACGAGCCTAGTCCATGAAATCACCTCGTAAGATCTTCTCCTGGAAGAAGTCGGGCTTCTTCTGCTTAGGCTGTCTGGGCATCTCTCGAACGGGTTGTTCCATGGTGGCAATGGATGCTGCACGCTGGTGAGTTGGATGACGGGCCGACTGGGCAGGGGAAACGGGGCCACCGATTGAAGGGGCACGCTCAGCACGGGTGCGGAGGGCCTCAGACCAGTTGAAGCCTTCGCCTAATCGGCGCGATGCGTTAGATCTCTCATCCTTGGGAGAAGTGGCGGTACTTGCAGGAGAGCGAGCAGAGGGAGGAGCCCCTGCGGGTAATGATGCGGGGGGTACTCTACCATTGCTTATGCTGCCGGCCCTGGCCTCTCGCAGAGCCTGAGCTCCGAAGGAGACCCGTCGGGCGAACGGCGAATTTGGGGAGTTTCCATCTGCATCTTCAGTCACAGCATCCTCATTGGGGACACTCGAGCTCCAAGAGCTGGACAGGCTGCCACGACGGAGGGAACGGTTTCCGAAGGCAGATGTCTGCGTGGGAGATCCGGACAATCCCAGTGTAGTGATCGACAGTCGCCGTTGGTTGGCCTGGGTAGAGGCAGCTTCCTTAGCGGACTGATTGTTCTGCTTCGAGAAGAGATCGGTGAAGGGGAGGCCGGACGCGATGGATCCCCGGCGGGGGCGCGCTTGGGACTCGGGGACGTTGATGGGAGAGGTTGAACGATCGTTGGACATGGCGTATAGGGTACAAAGAGGATGAGATCCAGCGGGATCGGAGTATCACAAAAGATAATGAAAAAGGAGACAAGGAACAAAGAAGTAGTAGAAGAAGGAGAAAGCGTTTCACAGATGAGAAGGGTGACTATTGGACGGACCTGCCGCCCTTCTCATTAAAGTAAGTCGGATTGGAGAGAGCGGAGATCTGGCAGCAGGGAAAATCAAACCCGGTGCAGCAGAGAGATGTGGAAGATTCACAAGGATGAAACTTCGAGACACACAAGGGAGGTTGATAGAATACAAACGACGTCAGGGAGGGGAAAGTCAACAGAGAGATGATGAAGTGATGAAGTGATGAGATAGAGGAGGTGGGGGGTGGATGGATGGGAATGTCAGATGTAATGAGAGTAGGGAGAGGATGGATGGAGGGGGGCGAAGGGGAGTTACTCAGTAGTGGGAAAGTAGGGAAGGGAAGGATCATAAGATGTTCAAAGAGGGGGAAAAAGAGGGAATGTGTTGTGGCAGCTAAGCTTAAGCAACGAACAGCCAATATCCGGGGTAGGAGAGAGTCGCGCCACCTATAAGAGACTAAGAAAGTGCTAATACTATGGGGACCTATATGTGGACACTCTGCTTCAGGCCATGGTCGCACTCTAAGTGGGGAAAATGATGATGTTGATGATGTCCAGATACACCAATTTGACGTTTCATTGGTTGATTGCATTTCCACTCTGGGGCCACTCTGGACCACTTTGAAGCACTTGGGGGGAGGCGAGACACAGTTGATTGGTCAGCGGAATGTGGTTGACCGTGGACCGCATTCGGCAGGATTAGCTCATCCAGAATTGAGGGGTTTGATTGGTCGAGAGCCGAATTCAGTTCAGGATTATGTCAGCATAGATGTGCAGGGGATCACGTGTCATAGTCTACTATTACTAAGACACTAAACATCAATCAATTGCTCTAGAGAAGGAAGTTGATCTAGAGAATGCCCTAAATACAAACATTGGATTATCAATTACCACGGAAATATACATCAGACTCATAATAATCACCATATCTACATCACAGGCAAACCCCTCATTCCTACAGAACGCCTCCCCCCATACCGCAACCCCAAAGGTAACACAGACAAACAATACGCCAACCCAAAAGTATAAAAAAAGATGGGGAAAGAAAAGACACGCAAAGAAATAAGGTCACGATCATAAGTAAAGAGAAGATCATGAGGGTAAAATAAAATAAAACTTATAACAATAAGAAAATTCGTATGCCTTGGGGATTACAAAAAAGAAAGGGCAAAGAAAACAAAGCAGAATAGGAAGCTGGCGACTTTCGTCCATGTATGAAGACATCCCAAAAGAATAGGAGGTTCACGATGCGAGTGCGTGAGGGAAGAGGATAAAGAGAGAGGAGAGAAAAAAAATACCGTATACATCATATATTGCTCGTTTCCCATATATATTTTTAAAAATCTAATTTCCCTCCAGTTTCACAATGTACTCCAATAGATATTAAAAACATGTCAAGGTCAGAGAAGAGAGAAGAGAAACGTGCGGAAAAGGAAGAGAAAGGGCTCAACGACAAAGGGGACGAGGGGAGAAGGTAGCAGTAGCATTCTCTCCACAATATTATGCCCTTCAAGCCAGTCCCAGTCATACAAAGCCATCCTCTTTCTTTCCTTGAAGATCCCAAACTTAGAGTTCGAGGATGGAGTCCGAATAGTTCGGAGTCTATCAGACCTGGTGGAACAGCTGGAGTAATTTTCGGCCGACGGTCGTCTCGATTTCTGTGCCGTCTCGGGCAATTTTCACTTCACGATTGGCGTTCCACGGGTTACGGAGTCCACGCGTACGATGGAAGGGTAATCGTGCAGTCGAGAGCCACTGGATACGAAAAGGTTTGCCAAAAGCTTGACCTTCTGCGTCAACCTCCTCGGGGGGTACCTCGCTTTTCTCGCTGAGGGCATCGTCATGTTCGTCTTCCAATGACTCAACTTCCCAAAAGATCGTACCCCGAGCCGAGTCATCGATGATCCGACCTTTCGGGGCCGTCGACGTAGCTGATGTTTGAATCACATCTAATTCCTCCACACTGTTGGGAAGAGGTTCCGGTCGGGTAGGCATCTCCAATGCAAGTTCTTCATCGTCACTAATCGGTGATAACATGCGAGCATATCCAAAATACTCCCCAGACTTGTTGGCCGAGAAGATCAGATATACATGGTCCGTAGTCTAACAAGAAAGGGGAAGATTAGACATCGAACTGAAAAGCTCCAAGAATCAAGAAAAGAATACTTACCTCAAAAGCCTGGTTCAGATTGGTTTCGTTGTGTGTTTGGGTGGCCCATATTCCACTCTGCTTGCTTAATTCAAGGTCTTCAACCGTGAGACTTTTGACAATGAAATACCGATCTAATGATCGCGTATTATCTTCTGGAAGCGGTAAGATTTTAGCATCAGAGGCGGGTTGCATCTCGTCGGTCGGAGCTAAATCAGTGTTTTCCTCTGGCCGTCTGGAGTTCGGTGCCATAGACCCAGATCCAGGAACCGTCAAGCCTTTGCGTAGTCGACATACAAGGCGAACACCTTGAAATCGTGAGTCGTGGAATCTCCCCAGTGCCATTGCACAGGCAGAAGCAGATTTGTAGTTCACAAATGCGCAATTACTCTTAGAGATAAGAAACACGCTCTCAATATCGTTAGTCGCCTCCTGTGAGAAGTGGTCTTTAAGATCCATAACATTGGTGCCAGGGGGAAGGTTTCCGACCCAAAGAGCATGACCTGACTGCTTTGGTTTCCGTGGTGGGCCTCGGGGTGTGCTGGGAGTCGAAATTGTGTTGGCAAGAGAAACCGGGTCTGCGAAGCACACACACGCAACAACGAATCAGCGATCAGGAAGGATCCTTTGGCAAAGTTCAGCAGGTGAACATACCAGCGATTAAAGTAGTTTGAATTAGCTTTGAAGGGTTCGAGCCGTCCACAATCGTCTTCGAAACATCATAAATCAAATCAGAAGCTCGTCTATCCTCCATTGGTCTCGCGTTCGTGAGTGGCGGGCCCGTCGGGGCTCGATGGGGCTGGGCTTGCGCCTGTACTTGACCAGTCAGAGGTGTTGCATGTCCAAAGGCTGTAGCATAAGGGTGAGTATAGTAGCCGTTTCCATAAACTTGAGGTTGTCCTGCGCCAATGCTTTGTACCGCTCGATTGGCAAGGTATGGTTGATAATGGCCCCCACCATGTTGCGCTGTCCCTGGATGTTGTGGCAGATAGGGTGAGTATGCTGGCGTATATGACATTCCATATGGCATACCAGAAGCCTGTCCAGGATAATGACCCACTGATTGCATGGGGTAAACCATGCCTTGGGTAGGTACGTGAGGATATGGGTTGACAAGATGTGGCTCAAATGGCGATGGCTGCGAATGAGGATTCGGCAGTGAATAAGCCATATGATTCATATTCATAGGCGATGCTGGTCCATATCGTCCATGCCCCATTTGTTGATAGTCTTGTGCTGGTTTCGTTGACTGAGTGGCGACACTGGTACCTAGATTATCGGAGGACAACAGTCAGCACATTTACTCCCCCTTTGCTTGGTGACTTTATCAAAATTTATTTCGCTGGAAAAATTTACCAGATCCTGGAGTTGGAGTTGAGGCATTCGTATCTGATGCCAGGGTAGTCCCTTCTGCCCCTCGGGGTGAGTTATCCTTGTCTGAAGGAACATCACCCATGGGGCCCGGTCGTTTAACACAAGGACTGGAGATAAAGAACAAGAGGAATCCCTAAATGAAGTGATAGTCAGAAAGTATTCTCTGGAAATTTCCAAAATAGCGTTGCATCCCACTAACCTCTTAAAGTCCCCCCGGATTGCCCAGAATGTAAAACCACTTGGGTCTAAGCTCCCTCTACAGAAGCTTGTCCAACGAATCGGTATACCAAGGTATGCAATATTTGATAAATAACAGCCGAAAGTCCGCGATGGTGACAATTCTGCTCTACATGCATTCAGTTGTTAACAATCAAGCCGTATAGCCAAAAGGTGACGTGGGTAATGTAAATCATCCAGAAAGGCAATGAAGATAGCGCGTTAGATAAATCACCCAAACAAAAAGAAAAGTTAAAAAGGTGGATAGAGAATAAAGAAGAAGAAAAAAAAAGGAAAAAAAGATACAAAGGCGGGGGTAGGAGTGGATGCAAATGGAGGAGAAAAAACAGTGCGGACGGCGTGTATTATTCGCGCTTAAGAAAGTGGCTAGCCAACCGACTTTCCAAAAGGGAAACCAAACTGGGGCTCATTCATGCCAGGTCAAGCGGAAGGGGGAAGGACGGTGAAAACAAGGAATATAAACAAAAAAAGGTAGTATAACTTTAAGGGGCCAAGGCAAATCCGGGTGGGTACATGGCCAAGTCCTCTTTCAACATGGTGAAGGGGCGGGAAAAGAAAACATCTTGGGAAGCGATTTTCATAATCATCCCCTCGCAGAGTACTTCGAATAAGGTATAGGGGAAAGAGAAGATCAGAACATAGAGAGAAAAGATCATTTAGGGCTCGGCGGGCATAGAAATCCAGAAAGGAAAAGCAACTCCGCCAATGAATGATTGGCTTATACCAGGGGAGAACAAGATATTTCGGAGTTGCAGATTGCGGAAAATGAAGAACAAACGAGGCAAAATATGAAAAAAACGTACCTTGATATCGAATTTGATCTTTGGATTATTTAGCCGAGGAGGAAGAGTCAAGTCGACTAAGCTAGTCAACTAAGAGATTGGGGAAGAAACACCAAGCGCAATACGGCAACAAAATCAGCACCTTGAACAAATAGTCCAGTCCAGACCTACATACAGCTAGTTAGCGATCAATGCACACGGGGAGGGGATTATGGAGGATGGGAGGATGGGAAGATCGCACAATTTGGCACCTCAGGAAACTCGGAATAATGCAAGAGAGCTGGGCTAAGTGTGGCTTGAAGAAGCTAATTAGCTTGCGCACACAGGCACCTTAGGAGCTAAAATAGGATCCGACGAGGACGGGTGCACGACCAGCGGGGCTTTGCAAACCCAGATATACCTCTTGTGGGGGGAAGGGGGGCAGAGACACGATAGGAAAGAGATGGGAAAGGAACAGAAGAAATAAGTGCAAAAAGACAAAATTAAAAAGAAATTAAAAAAGAGACTGTATCAGCAATAGATGTCTGGCCGACGAACGCCCAACGCCCTAGGGTTCTCGTGGAGTCAAAACAGTGGCGGATGGAGTCGAAAGAGGCTTGCAGGTTTGGGATGTGGCTGATATGACAAATGGGTCAGGCAATGGATCAGGAAATTGCACCAAAAAAAAGGGCTGTTACAGAGGACAAGTGACCATGTGGACAGACAGCTGTGGGGGTGATCGGAGCAGGGACGAGTTCGAGGGGAGGTATACCTGGGTGGGCCGGAACTATGGTGAGTTGTGCGTTTGAGTCTGTGGCGGGACCCCGTTAACATACCGAGTCGGATGTCAAGACTGGGCTGGAATATTTTTCTAATGGGGCTAATCGTCTAAACGACGATCTTTCGCGTCTCATACGGTATGCCCCTGCAGTGACAAATGCTTGTCATCTAGTGGAGTCCGGGAAGGGCCAATTCTCAAATCCAGGCTCGTGGATCAGAAACCACTAGCTTAAAAGGAAGAGAGGGAGAGAAGAGGGGGGAGAAATGGGGCTTGGCCGGCCCACGGATCTGTTCAAGACACTGAAGATTCCAGCGGGGGCCAGCTATGTGTATGCCCAGTAAAAAGTCGTAGCCAAGATTGGTCAAAGGGATATCTTTTGGTAGGGCTGTGGCGAACCGGACCAGACGGATGTGTATTTACGAAGCAATTATACCAGACTAAATCTCGGCAGTCTGCGATAGGCAATAAGTTTATTCGGTGAATGATGAATCGGCGGATTTACAAAATGATGGCCCGCATCAATGCCATGGTTGATGCAGGCCCGATTTGCCACTGTCAGGGGTTTGTGGGTTAAGAAGGGGGAAAAGTGGAGGGAAGTGGAGGGTAGGACCGAGAGCGAGGAAGGGAAAGAAGGATTAAAATGGTAAAAAGAAAAATAAATATCGGATATAAATATAAATAATATCAAAAAGGGACAAAGAAAGGAATATGATACCAATACAATACCTGGAAGAAGCCACATGAGAGGACCGGACCATGATGCACGAAGATAAGACCTGCATTCCATGTCAAAAGACCTCATTGTAATCAATATACATGTAATTACAATGAGTGCGCATTCCGAGCGGGTACTGAGCCTATCATTGACCAAAGATGTCTCTTGACGGGCGGCGCCGAGGCCGCAAGGAGAAGGCGTGGACTGGAGTCTGAGCTGGCTACACTCCCACTAGGCTCGATCATGATCCCACCAATGATGAAGCAGCCACTGGGGTCCATCCGAATCCCGTGGAAACCTAACGGAAATGTGGCGTTTCTCTCGGCTGGGACCGGTTGGGGAGAAGAAGTGGAAGCCCATCAACGCGAGGCTTATGCTCAGACTTTCGAGCAACTGCCCTGGCCCCCTACAGCGGAATATTAGGCAGGAATCAAGTAAGAATTCGTTGGAATCAAGTTCTGCTGTTGATATTTAAAGTTGATTCCCGTGGTACAACGTTTGGACTCCCGGGGGTGACCCAAGGCACCTAGTCGATCAGACCATACTGTCGGTAACGGGAAACCCGCTGCATGGGTTGTATTTTGACCTCTGCGTCTCCGTACTCCGTAGGGATTAATGGAACTTGGATCATTTGACGGGGAACAAGTGGCGTGGTCTCCACTGTATGTATCTAATTACATATAACGCCATTAGATGAGAATTGGCCGATGAGAACATTTTGAAGGAACGAAGAGGGGGCACAAGGAGTTGACGAGCATGAAAAGGACTCAAAACAAGGAAACATAAAGAGACAAAGAAAAAAAATTTATTGAGGAAATATTGGACTTCGGAGTGACTCCACCATGATCCATACATTACATACATGACGACCCCCACTCTCACTCAACACTGATCGGCATGTCGGGCCAGCCAATCAGAGCTCAGATCCCGGAGAGGGCTTCCATTTCTTACTGTACATTACCATACGCCGTGCACATGTGCGCACATGTGTATATGTATGCTGTACAACCTTTTCTTTTGGCACCAGACCCAACTTTGTATATATGGAGGGGTTTTCCCTTTCGCTTTTGATTTGACCCTTCCTCCTCCCTCTTGTTTTTTTCTCCTTTTGTTTGTGGTGGCAATCACATGGAATTGCAAGTGAAGATGTTGATGACAGCACTTGAGTTATTTCCACAGTTTAACAGTGCTTAGCCGAGATCAATGCTGTTCCCAACCACCTACAATTGACATAGATTGATACTACACATGGTCCATGAAAAAAGTTCATTGTGTATTATTAAAGCTTCGAGTAGAAACTCATGTAGATGTGAATATCTTTAGGCCCTACTATGCCTGGTCAAATGGCCAACCTACACATCTATGACCGTCGTGGAAGTAAACATTCCCCGTAACTTTTGCAAGTTTTGCAATGTTTGCAATATTTGCAAGTATATCTGCCCGGAAGATTTATCCAAAGGTCAGGTGACCCCCTATTCATACATACAGCAGAAGTTATGGTGCCCAGGCAAGTTTTGAATTTTGAATTTTCAAAGCCACATGTAACTGTATTTAGGATATGTAGGTACTTTTTACAGCAGGGGATGCAATATGCAGAGTGATACGTCCTATGCCGATCAGGGACTCTGCAAGGCATGTACCAGCAAGTAATGTATACATACGTACGTACAATCATGCAGTCCACTTGGGCACCTGTCTTCGATTGTGGCTATTATTATACCATTTGGGCAACATACGGTGTAATGTACACTATATAGCCTTTGAAATCGTGGTTCGTATATACAGGTATACTATTCTGGCTTAATCCCCCTGATTAGGAAAAGGGCGGCTTATACCGAGGGCGCACACCCCTAACCCCTGCAAATGTATGTACAGTATGAGAGTGTGTACGTGTACCGCCCATATACAATCCCACAATTTGGAGAAAGGATCCCCAGTACTCAAGACGATCAGCCCATGATAACTGGACGTCCCCTTCCTTCGAGAACCATCAACCTCATTTTACGCCTCAGGCGCCACATGTGGTGCATTGTGATGCACCATGACGTCACTGGATGATGCACATCAATCTTCTTTTCTCCACGTTCCTAGCTCCAACGTCCAACCATTATCCATCATTGATCTGCTCGGTCGCAATCGGCAAGACCTAAGATTTCCGCTTTCCAATTGTTCAAGTGAGAATTACACCAGGACCCACCATTGGTTCCTTTCCAACGCCGCTGATGTCTATTATTCTCGCACAACCCTCGACCTGCACCAGATGTTGCTGCAAGAGGCTCGAAATAATTAGCGGTCTCGAAAAGAGGCACCTGAGAACCCCACTGACATAACTTGGATTTCGATCAGTTACCTCATCCTGAACACATGAATTTATCACCTGCATATGTAGTACTTGCTGGCCTTGTTCTAGGGTCAAAAGGCAGGATCCTAACCAACGTACAATGATTTAGTAAGATTTACCATACTGTGAAATAGTTATACGGTACGCTAATACCCCTAGACAAGGAGACAATTGTTTCAAGTCCATACCTAAGGCTAGATCAGCGGCTATATTACCCAAAAAAGGACTAGACTGAGCGGAGCTACATCCATAACATGTGTACAACTGTAGCTCCATGGGGCGGGGTTAGATGAACGCGGCGCTGCTTAAGTGGTTCATGCATCACATGGCGCTGTGGCTGTGAAACGCCAGGTGGATTTACATCCCTCCCAAAACAGAAATGAGCTGGTTTTTCAATGGGGATCTACAAAGAGTCGGGGAAGAGAAATGGCTCAACTTCGCCTCATCAAGGGCCAAGCCCACACACCGCACGGTACTGTAAGCATACAGCCCTGGAGTAGTACATATAAACCCGTTACAACCGCTGGTTCCGGCAATTCCACAGGTATCAGACCTCGATGCTGATCTAGAGTCACCGAAAATACTACTTTCGGTGATTTCGGGGCCTCCGTTCCAACTTTCGACCGTTTCTAAACGCCACAGACCCACGGCCCTTCTACAAAGATAGTCATCGTCAGGTGCTGAGCTCCATGGTACAGTATTATGAGTCAAAATGAGTGGGCATTGCCACATCCAGGCAACGACATATTCATGTCTGTACGTAGTAGCATTTGGAAGGGTTGTTTGGATTCCGGTTTACGCAGGCGTGATCAGGGAACGGAGAGGAGGACCTCAGAAGGGGGGAGGGGGGTGCAGTTGACCTATTGAATATGGCATGAGAGAAATTAGTCGTTCTGCTCAAGCTTATACGGTTGGGATGCTGCTTGGGTAGAACGAAGGAAGAAATACAGTATTCATTATCAAAAATGAAGCCTAGCATTTGCCATACTTGGTGATTTCATATTTAAATTGAATTAGAAACCTGAAGACCTCGATTTGAAAAGAACGTTGGTACAGAGCATTAGAACAGTGCCAAATTGTTCTGATCAAATGAAGACACTCATAGTTCAGACTCTGGCTTCAGGAAGGTACAAGGAAAGTGAGGTATCAGAGATGCATTCGTAAACACGCATCTATACAAGAAGGCATTCTCTCCTTTTTGATGGGGGGCAAGGCGAAAAGAAAAAGCCAGGTTCATGATGGCAGCAAATAACATATTTCAAGAGCAAAAATAAAGGACCCCGTTCTGTTCAGAGTCAAAGAAGAGAAAGAAAAGACCAGCTAGAATACCAATTAGAGAGCAATTGGAAGATGCCAAGTCATACACAGAAGGGTCATCAGAGAAGGAAATTTTCATGCGCGTCTCATTAGGATGGGTATAATTAGTAATTACTGGGTACGACAGCTCAGGAAACCCAAAAGGATTATCGGTCAATCCCGAGAGATGCCACTTTCCCTGCGAATCGAGCGCCGGCGCTTCCTCGCTTAGAAAGCTTATCTTTTTCCTTGGAGTCGACTTGGTTAGGAGCCTGGGACCCGGATGAGGCAGAGCTATCCCTGCTTGACCCCCGAATAGTGGGGAGCGACCCAAGAGTATCACTAGGAGCAGCCTTTCCAGAAAAGGCGGGAGGTGCGGGCGAACTGAAAGCAGTGTTCCTCGCAGTTCGCTGGCTGAGGTAAAGTTGGGCGGCAGGAGAGAGAGGAATAGAAGGGGGTTGTGGGGGGATCTCCGTGCCGTTCTGAACCAGCAGTTCGGCAACAGGGAATGGTATCGCTTTTGCGTTAGATCGAGCAGAGAGACCGGTGGAAGTGGAGCCCGGAGAAGCAGGATCGGCCGCAGCAAGAGCCAAAAACACAGCATGTGTGTTACGAGAGCGGTCTGGAACATTGACATTGGCCCGCAGTGCAATTCCATATAGGACACCTTGAATGTCATTCCGTTTGATAGAGGCAAGAAGAGTTTCATCAGGAGTCGCAAACCGAGATCGGGGAGATGGTAACGGTTCAACATAGAGTCGATCGACATATTTAGCCGTTATAAACTTCAGCCTCTGCTCTCTTGTGGAACCTGCACTCGGTTTGAGTGATTGGTCCAGTGTCGCCTCCCAAATTATGTTGCTCACCCGATTTCCAATCTGCAAAAGAATTTCAACAATGTCATTTGAGAATGAGTGCACGTCAAGCGTTAATGACCGAATCTTCGAAATATGTGTTCCCAAAGAACGGTGGATACCGCTGCACTCAATGCAGAGAACAATTCCGAGGTTTATCGACACCCATTCAACCTTCGAGGAAGACCCACAGTCGGCACACCAATTGTTTCCTTCATCTGCATCACGCACGGCTTGTAGAAGTTGTGAAGGGTTATCTTCGTAGCTGTTGCTATCATGGCGCACGTAGCTGGGTCGTGCTCCAACGGTAGTGCGGCGAGTTACTCCGGCACCACTGGAACCACTAGAATATGAATGGTGACCAGACACTGACGAGCTTTTCCCTGTTAAGACAGAACCGATATCACGACCTGTCGATGACTCATTCTTAGATGATGCAGGAGGAGCATGCGGGATACCTCGACCTTCCACTGCACTCTGTAAAGCATTGTTAATGGAGCGAATCCAATTCCCCATGTCCTCCTCAGATGTGGCCTGATAGACTCGTTTGAACTGAGGTGTTATCACTTCAAAGCAGAATCGTCGCTCAGCATTTCGAGCTTCGCGAACGGATGCCATACGAAGGTCGATGGGATCCATATGGAGGTCCAACTTCTGTTTCCAGTTGCTATATTCCGAAAGTTTCCCCTGGTCCAACACGATCCAGAACCTAAAGATGAGGGTGACGATGTGAGTATGCTGCGAATGAGAAGCTGTAGGGAGCTAAGGGAAACCACTTACTTGTGCCAAGCTTGCTTGTTGATGCCCTTTGGATCAATATGGGATCCAGGGCGTGAAAGAGCCCATAGAAGGCCTTCCTTTCGTTGTTGGCCATCAGTACGATCAGACCCAACAGATTCTCGCTCCTCGAGGTCGCGAATTCCCTTAAAGCGATTCTGGTTTGATGTGCCCGCAGGCCCTGCGTTGGCTACAGTTGCAGAGCCGTTGCCGCCGCCCCCGCCACTGCCACTACCAACGCCAGCTGTCGATGTGACCGACCCAGCGTTTGCCTGAGACGAGATTGATGAACTATTACTGATAACACCACGGATCTGAGAGCTCGTGCTATCGGCCCGGCCCAACTCGACTTCCGTAGAGCCGCCTCCATTGGCAGGCCCGGTAGGACTTGAAATACCTGCAGTAGCCAGGGCATCAGGCTCAAGGTATGTGTTGCTGTTCTTTTCCAAAGCCCGCCGTTTCTCTTCTCGCTCAGTTCGCTTGAACTGAAACTCTTTGTCAACCTCATTTACCTCATGTATGAGGGCGTCCAGCTGAGGGACCATCTCTTCGATCTTCTTGGCGACTGCCAAGAAATTCTTGGCCTGAAAATCGGCGTACTTGGTAAGGTGGGAGAGCACTTCTTGTTCCTTGCGCCCGCCATGAAGGTCTTGCATGAAAGAGGAATAGTCAAATCGTTTCAGCTCGAAGTTGCGGCGCTTAGCCTGGTATTTCGAGTCGCTTTCGACCCGCTTCTTCTCCTTCAGTGAGTCTTGCCGCTGGCCAAGATACCGGCTGACATAGGCATAATAGTCACGACTCTCTTCATCGAATTCCTTCTTCTTTGATTCAGCTTGTTTGATATCATTTTGATAGAGTTTTATGAGTGGTTCGATGACTAGCTTCTGCAATTGCAGAGTATTCAACTGCTCATAGGTCAGGATTTGGCGAGCGATTTTCTCAAAGTAATGGTCCAATGCAGGCTGAATGGCATTGCCGTTGGATGTCGAAGCATCACTCAAAGAGCTCAAGAAAGCCTCCATAGACTCATTGCAAGACGATTGGGTCTGCTGAGCAGCCTCGGCTTTCTTCAAGAGTTTCTTAATTTTTGTCCGCATGTTGCCCGTTTTTTGCTCCAGAGCTTTCATGGTAGCTCGGAAGAGTGGCCCATCGTCTACCCCATTCATATCATCGCCAGGCCGGGAGTGTGGCAAGTCGACTTTGACGGGAGGCGGCGGCGGGGGTTGTGTTGGGGGAGGAGGAGCTCCATCAGCTGTATCAGGTGGCGTGGTAGAATGTGATATTTTCTGTGTACTCTCGGAGTCGCTGAAATGAGAAACGGTGGACTGAGCAGAAGGAACGCGACTGCGAGGAGGAACGGGTAACTCGAGATTGGGTGACGACATCTGCGGGCTTAGTATAAGGCGCACTGAGTTATGAACCCAGAAAGAAAAGTGCGCGAGGGTGTTCAAGCGATTAGTTCTTTGGTCATAGTCCAGCAAGCTACAGCTGTTTCGCCAACCGCCGCCTTTGTCTTCGATTCCCTTGGGAGGCTTCCATCTCCAAGACCACTCGAATGACACTGACGGTGTGCCATCTGTAGAGAAGTCGCCGATAAGCTGAACGTTGGAGTTATTTTGAAGGTTTGGGTTCGCGTGGAATTCTCTTGTAATGAGGTTGTCAAGTTCTTTGGAGTTTGACGCATGCGCGAACGTAAGCCCATTCAGAACAGTGTCGGTCACCTCTGGCAGAGAGGTTGCGACGCCGTTCACAGTAGAGCCCGTAGCGTTGCCTGTTTGTGTTTGACGGAGGATGAATGTGAAGTTGAAAATTAGTTCATCGTCGTTTGCTAGGCGTAGCAAGAAAGTCGGTGCTGGAGCGGTAGGGGGGACGTCGGGGTCCTGTATTTTGGACGCCTGAATTAGCCCGAGTGTTTGCGGGGAGAGGAGGGAACTTGGGGCGGCACCACGATACCTGGATATATTCGATTGGAGCATCATCCCCTGTATCTCGTTTGGCTATGTATCTCACGGCGGGAAATGCGTTAGGGGAAAGGGTGAGGAGACGACGCCTGGAGTTGCTTATAGTGATGGAGGCGATCGAGACTAAGATCTGATCAGCATCGCGACGACGCCACGAGAAGACGGAGATATTTCCACCTACATCTGTTCTGATCCTTGAAGAACAAGCTTCCGGCTTCATCGAGACGGCTGGCAATATTGCCCATGATGGCGCAGGTACAGGAGGATTATCAAGTCACAGCGCGAAAAGGAATATAGGCAAGCACCGAACCAATCGGCCATCGACAGGGTGCGCGGCAGTCAGATGGCCTGTAAAAGAGAAGAATCGAATGAGTCGAAGAATCCGTCATTCAGCTCAGAATTTCACCCAAAAGAGAATAGAGAAAAAAGCGAAGAGGGGGGGGGGGGGGGGTGGAGTCGAAGCTTAGGATCGGGTAGTTGATCGCGTTGGAATTGAAGGAGAGGGGGGTAATGTACTCCGGAGATCGAATCACAAACAGTGGAGACTTGGACAGAACGCCCCCTTTTTTAAGTCTCTGCAGATGAGAATTCCCAAATATATAATTCAATAATATTTGGGGTATTTGATCTTGCGTCGATATAGTAAGATTTCCCTTTTCATTCAAGCCTTCTTTACCTATGTTAGGTGGGCAGTACATGTCTTGGCCCCCTTTGAAGAGGGGCCAGGGCAGCTTTTGACTTCAGCCCCACGAGAGGGGCGACTTTCAGGGACCAGGAGGCCTTTCAAGTTTGGAGAAGCTTATGTCTTGAGATTTGTATTCATATGGGGTGTTTAGCACGTAGTAACACACACGTTGAGTTGTCATTGGGTAGGCTTGAGTGGCACTACATGTGGGTGATTCAGGCATATACATCACCATCATCATTTAGTATACTGTATCTAGATATTATATAAAAAGAACTCACATGGACATGCTACGACACTTTTAACGATAAAAGGGTTTGATTTATAATAATTAAAGCCCACTGGATAGTCAATAGTATAAAATCACCTCGAATTAATGTACATCGTTCCCAACAGGTGCATTTTGACCGTGGTATTCAATCTCATCATTAACGTCGTGACGCTCGGTTTCCGGCCCGAGGAAAGTAAGTCAAAGCAGAGGCAAAAAAAAAAGAAGAAAGAAGAATATTATAAAAAGCAACGAAGTTAACCGTGTCGCATTTCAAGTTGCAGCATCAGCTTTGGATGGAGCCGTAGACGATCGAATCTCCCCAGCCGACGCTGCTCGTTCCCGAGTAACAAGGCGGTGTTTAGACCGATTAGCATGTCCATCAGCCTCGACCCATTTCATCATTTGACCCTTCACGTCGCGCATCTCGTGGACTTTCCGATGTAGATCCCCTCGCGGTGCTTTCTGCCCGCTACGTTCATTGAGCTCGTCTTCATCCGAGCTGGAGATGGAAAGGGAGGAGACACTGCTCTGCTGAAGGTATGTGATAAGCTGGCCCTGTGACTGTTTTACCTCCCGCTGCTCGTTTTTTAACTGGCCCATACGCTCAGCGTCTGCCTGACAATCTAATGTCGTGACATTGAGACCCGGGAAATTTGACGCGATGAACTCCTTCAAAAGGTGCAACTTCTCCGCGTTGGGACGATAGGTCCCGCTATCGTTGTCGATGAAAAGTTCATAGTCGGATGGTTCGGTGGAGATCTGTTGAACTTCTTCCAAAGGCTCATCGTCCTCTTCTACCGGGAAGCTATCAGTCTCGTTATCCCCAGTTCGCGATGAAGGAGAGGAACGTCGTTGACGATGAATGCGCCGGCGGACGAAAAATTCTCCCGAGTAAGCAATATAAATCGACACATCACTATGCATTGTATGTTTGCTCAATAGATCAACTCCGAATTCCTTGCCAGTCTCTGTGAATCGCAACTGTCCGTCCAAGGTGATCACATAGGTGAAAATTCGTCCGTTCTGTCCCCAATTAGTAAACTCGAGGAATTTCTGGGCAAATTCTCGACAGGGCTCGGGAAAGGTTCCATCGATGGTACTGCGATCGAAGTTGTAAATTCGCTGGTGTTGATGATGAAGTGCCTTGTGTAGGATTCGCCCCCTTAGGCTTTGCGCTTGAAACATGCCAGCCACAAATGGTCTGAATTCCACATATCGATGATAAAGGTCAGAAGGAACAGGACCAGTGAGTTGCATTTGAATGGCTTGAAAACTATTGAGAAAAAAAAGAATTAGCCTGAGTCAACGAAGATCATACAACCTTTGGAATTTTCTATGGGTTAAAACATACTTATATCGACTGACTGGCTTGCCATTCGTATCGTGGTTTTGGATTTGATCCTTCACTCCCGCTAATCTTCCGATGAGGGGGGAGAAGTGTTTAAACCAGTGGTTCGGACCAAGAGTATACAATTGGCCGCCGTCAGTCCCGGGTGTTTTCCCTAGACATTCAATACTCATGATCAAGAAAGACTCCTTGTGGTGACCCGTGGCGAAGGCCGAGACGTTGGTAAAGACATAGACTCGCTTGCTTCCAAAACGCTTCTTGATCTTGAACGACTGTTCCTTGAACCCGGCCCACCCTTCCGACAATGAAGGTACTTCGATGAATGCGATTCCCAGTTTATCATCATGATCCGCGGGATCTTCGTCCATCACGTACGCCTTGAGGAGAAATCCTGACGCAGGTACATTTGCGACCACCCATTCACAATTCCATATTGGGTTCATGTTTTTGCGCACAGTCGGGGTTCGGAAGGTCATGATAGGATCTTGTTTATGGCGTCGCGGAAGGTCCACCTGAAGTTGCGCATGGACATAAGGGTCCGAGGAGAAACTACCGAAATCTGCGACAGGGAGATCATGGCCGCGGTGGAAGGTAAACTTGACGGTATAACCCGGCGGGGCTTTGGGGATGGGAGTCGCATCGAATCCTCCGGCGGGCTTCGAGTGATCTTCATTCGTCGCCATTCGAGATTGGATCTTGTCGGCTTTTTCGACCAACTTAGGGCCGAACTTGTCCACTGGTTTCGTGGCCATGATGAAGGGGAATAAGAATGATTTAAGTCAGGTTAAAACGTAGGTGGGGCAATGTCATAATTCGACGATAAGGATAAGTAATAAGGATAAACGGCAGAGAGGGAGAGGGGGGAAGAACAATTAATGGATCATGAAGAGTGGGAGAAGGAGGATCTTTGCTTGATATGTTCCTTTTTATTGTCGTTTCCCAGTTGGGTTCCAGGGCTGAGATGTTCTTCGAGGGGGAAGTGGATACAAGGGAAGAGAGAAAGCGCAAAGCCGAGGAAAATGGTCAAGAGCCAAGGAAAATCAGCCTTACCAGGCAACCGCCAATCCTACTAGTATAGACTTTGCATATAATGTGGATGCAGTCCCGATCACTTGAGTATAAATATGAGATGATCTCATAAGGCTATTTCTTGGATTTTGTACATCTGATCCACTAAATCGGTTCCTGTTGACTCTAGATAGTACCTGTACCTAGTACAGTATTATTCTCCAACCTTGGAAGTACACTCACTATCTTAAAGTGTTTGCGCAGACTCTGAAAAATATAATACAATCTATTCTCTTCCAAGTACAAAAGGATGGCAGCTAATTCTGAAGGAATATGATAAAAGAGGTTCGTGAGGTCATTTCGGTAAGGTGGTGGGTGGGTCGCCAATGCGTGTCCCTCGCTCGGTGACGTCGGGTCCAAATATCTGGAGATTTGACGATGGTGGCGGATCGGGTAATTTCGCTCTCTTTCTAGGTGCCACGGAACAGAAACTGCATATCTTCAGGGGTTAATTTTTCCAGGGCTTGATCTTGATCCTTATTGATGGTTCCTCGGATAAGATTCGCTTTCTTCTCTTGCAGTTGGACAATTCGGGACTCGACCGAATCTTCAATGCTAAGACGAGTGACCACACAGGGTCGTTGCTGACCAATGCGATGACTCCGATCGGCACTTTGCCATTCTGCTGCCGGGTTCCACCATCTATGAAAAGAGAAAAAGTTAGTAGAAGATCGGCAGGAAATGGGGTTACGTAGGAAAGGAGGGGAAGGCAAGACTATCAAAAGAGAGATACCGAGAGGGAGAGATACTTACGGGTCAATGATAAATACCCGGGAGGCTTCAGTCAAGTTGAGGGCCACGCCGCCAGCTTTGAGAGAGACCAAAAAAATCTCCACTTCAGCGTGGATCATGAAATGCTCAATAGATTTCTGTCGCTGCGCAGGGGTCATAGTTCCATCGAGCATGACTGTGTTGAAACCTGCATGACGTAGACGCCACTCCACGAGTTGCAGCATCGAAGTAAACTGCGAGAAGATAATGGACTTGGGTGTGTGGCTCTTCTTTCGCTGCAGGTAGAGCTCATAGATAAGTGTTTCTATCTTGGTCGATGAAGTCCAGTCTTCCATGTGAATTCGATTGATGATCGAATTCTTCTTGACAGAATCCTCCGTTTGTTCGATTGTGGGCTGCTCGAGATCGATCGAAAGGGAAATATGACACTGTGGGCAATCCACAAGAGATGGATCATCGAAAGACTCAATGTAATCCTTGGCGCATTTACGACAGAACTCGTGGCGACAGCGAGACCGAATAGCGTCCTCCGCAGGTTCATCACAGACTCGGCACACCAAAACGTTGAACCCAGGCTGTACATGCTTTTTAAGAAGCAGATCTGGGTGGTTAGCCACTTGGCGCATCTGCATAATCAAGCCGAAGATGTTCGCATAGTTGTTCAGCATAACACCTTGACTAACGTATGTATCGAATTTTCGCGATGAGTTGCTCATAATGCTGCGTGAGAAATCATGCTCGATCTCCCCAAAAAATTCATTATGCAGAACAACCCTGGATTTTCAAGTTAGTTACCAAGCTAGGATAAAGAGATAGGACTCCTTTTTACTGACCGCTTAGGCGGGAGCTCCATCGATGAGGTATGCTCGTGTTTCATGCGGCGAAGCATAATATGATCGGTGATAAGACGAAGCTTGTTCAAGCCTTTCTTGCGCTCCTCTTGTGTTCTTCCCTCCGTGACTAGATTCGTTCAAGTTAGTTTTGGCTAGAAGGAAAGATAGAATCCCAAAGCCGGAAACTTACTTGGATTGAGAATTTCTTTGTTAAAAATTGAAATGTGATTGAATCCCCTAGATATTGTCAGCAGTGATATTGACATGGTCCAGACTGGAAGACATACGTATGCTCGCATTCCGTGCAGCGGCCTTGCTTGTCTGCGGTCCATTGCAACTGCTCACAATCGCACTGCTTACAAAAATAACACGAAAACGGGCGGACTTGCAGAAATCGAAGCAGGGAGAAGAATTCACCAATTCGATTTTGAACAGGGGTTCCGGACAGGCACCACTTATAAGTGGCCTTAAGGGCAAAACAGGCTTTGGCAACGCCAGTAGTACGTTGCTAATCGGAAGAAGTTAGATATATATATTTTCTTCAGGGTTGAAATGGTAGACTGACCTTGATGCTGTGTGCTTCGTCAAGAACAAGTCGATGATAGTGAATGGAGTGTATGACGCCTTTGATCATAAGAATATGCACTATAGAATAAAGATACTCTGGTAGACAACTCACTGTCTGCTTTGACAACCCCACCATCGCGTGCCCAGCCTTTCTCTTGCTTTCGGTAGATGGATTCTAGACTCGAATCTGAGTGAGATGTCAGACACAGTGCCTAAATAAAATATAATAAGTCAAAAGGGGAAAACATACAAGATATCATGATTACATTGTACTGCATCAAATCTGCCGCCGTAAGCTTTTTGACTTTGGAGTCAGCATTGTGGTAAACAAGAACTTTCAATTTGCCATCGGTGTATTCCTATTCTCATTGGTGAGTTGACGTACTAAAGAAAGCGGGAGGATATATCAAACCTTGATTTCAGAGACCCATTGCATCAACGCGACTGGCGGTACAAGTACGAGGGTTGGATTAGGCTGGGGGAAGTCCGACATGATCAGGGAGACTGCCTGGATGGTCTTTCCCATACCCATCTCGTCACCTAATAGACCACCTTGGTACGAGGACTTCTCCTGCTCCATCATCCAGTTCAGTCCTTCCAATTGGAATGGTTTCAAAGTGCGAGTAATAGACTGGGGCTGGGAGGCTTGCTTTGGAACAATCAGAGGCTGAGCTTTCAGATCATCCCACATAGTACTGATGACTGGATGTTTCTTCTCCAATTTCTTCCGATCTGCTTCTTTCTGTATAGCTGTTAGTGAGACGCACTCAAAGGAAGATAAAACAACGCATTATTGGGGACGTACACGGCGTATCTTTTTTTGCTCCTCCCATGTAGGTGGAAGCTCATCGTATTGATCCCCATCAGCATCGAGGCGTGGTGCTCTTGGTGCCCTACCTCTGCGTTGTCGTTGTGGTTCCAAGGCTAGCCTATTGAAAAATGAAGTTCGGTTTCCCGGGTTTTCATCAACATCACTTTCAATTGCCTCTGATTCAGTATCACTTAAGCTGTAAGGATCTTCCTCTGAGGATCGAGACGGAGAAAGACGAGGAGATCCAGTAAGATTTGAAAGACTTTCAGAGTCCGATGTGTCAAACCCTGCTTGGCCTAGAAGTAAGTCTTTCGCTGTTTGTTTGCTTTGCCGTATACCCCTTTGTGATTTCTTCTGCTTCTTATTAGGATGAGGCTGGTCGTATTCCTCCATCTGAAGCGCACGGGCTATTGCCGCATCCAGGTCGGAACGGTCAACTGTCTCCGAAGACATATCACCCGCGGATCTTTTGGTTCCCCTAGGGATTTGCTGAGACATTCGACTCATGCGCATTTGCTGAGCTCTAGCAGATGCGTTGACTCTGCGAGGTTTATTGGAGTCTCCCTCCGCGGGTACACCCACACTAGTAGCAGGCGTGTTAACACCTGAGACACCATCAGCTGATGGGACTCCCAAGGAGCTGCGGGATGAGTCTGTCGGTGATACATGGTTCGCAGAAATCACCACTTTCACACTATCTGAATTTGTTTTGTTCGCCGCGATCGAATCGGGCAGATCGAAGGCATCGGAACTTTCGTCTTCGGAGTCTTTGACGACGCGAGTGCGTGATTTGGAATGAGACCCGCTCTCTGGCAGGCTCTCCGGCAAGGGTTCCGGGTTCTGGGCTTGCGAGGAATTCGGCAATGACGTATCCGCAAAGGATACATCATCCTGAGAATCTGGAATAATGCTTCTGCGAGTGCGCATGATGGCAAAGTGAACGAATATGTGTGTATGTACGCGATAAAAAGTAACAGGGTCGACGATGTGAGAACCTAGAAGGGTCCGATCTAAGTCAACACAAAAGCCAGTTAGTTCATCCGTGGTTTAACAAATGACGACAAGCCAATTTTAGGCCTATATGTGAAGGGGATGACGATACTGTAAATTGAAGTGGGAACCTGGGCTTATCACCGAGCCGGACTCCTGCTGTTTCGCGAGCGCCGCAGAGAAGGTACAGCGAGTAGAAGTCAAAGTATTCCGGAGCGAATGAGGGAAAGAGCAGATCAATAAACACTTTAGAGCGAACGTAGAAAGAAAAACAGGAGTGATGAGGGGGAAGGGGTCAAGAGAAGAGAAAGGATGAGATCGGAGGCAGAAGTTGATCGATCGAGCCTGGAGGTGCCTGAACCAGGAAAACTTTTTATCTGGTTGGATGGACTTATTTGCCATTCCATTCCCAAACTTTGCCTTGGTCAGATAGAAATTTCCACCGCGAGTCCCTGATTATCGTATTATCTCTTGGGCGCATTACTCTTCTCCATTCCTTGACATCCGATGTGATTGTCGCTCCATGCCACTTATCGCAACGCCCCGATAAGGTTCTCGCGTTAAGTGGCAGGCCAAAAGTCTGAAACACGCATCCAGGCCATTTAATGCTTACCGCCTTCATTATACTATGCCCAAGTTTATGTAGATGTTTTTCAACGTAGCTCTGAAACGGCATAATATTATATAATCAAGAGAGCGTAACGCAAACTTTTGGACCCGCCACTGGAAGTGCAACGCGAAACTTCCGCGAAACCTGTGACTTGCATATACCGTCCATCTCTTTCTTTTGCCACCTCCTCGAGCTACAACATTTCGATCTTTACATTCATCATGTGAGTCCCAATTTCCTCGACACTTACTTATTTAAACAGCGCTAAGAACATTTTGCAGGACCGGTAGACGGGCAAGAGGCAATGCCAATATTCGGGGCCCGTATGACTTCATCCCCTTCTAACTCCACGTCTCACATCACTAATAAAACATGCTCTCTTAGACGTTCTGCTTTGACCGATTTCCTTGCTGTATGTGACCTTATCAATTTATGTCGAGTTGTATCGAAAAGGTAGACTGATTCTGCGATATACTACAGGCTAATAACATTTCTGCTGCGCAAATTCGCGATGACCACGACCGTCGGGTTGCAGAGGCTGGGCAGGCAAATAACGAGGAGGAAGGACAGGCTGCAGATGAAGATTACCAAGATGAGGCCTCGTCTGAACCCCAACCAGAATCCCCCGAGGAAAAATCCCGAAAACGCAAGCGACAGCAAGCCATAGAGAAGATCAAGAAAAGCAAGGAGTTTGCTCGCAGGAAGGCTCGGCGCACCGGAGAGCCTGATGATGACGATGAAGCGTTGGCAAATGAAATGGCGAATGAAAAAGAACGGCCCAATCCAGGCCAACTGGCAAATTGCGAGGTCTGTGGCAAGCGTTTCACCGTTACGCCCTACAGCAAGACAGGCCTAGATGGTGGTCTTCTTTGTCCTGCTTGCTCTAAAAAACATACTGGAAAGGATAAAAAAGACAAACCTAAGAAGATAGGTCCCGAGCGCCGCAAGATACAAGCCAGCCTGATGGACGGAATCGCTCTGGTTGGTTCTCGAAGCTTGTTGGAGACATGCATTAAAGTAGGTTTTTTTGTTCATTGCAGAGACTGAGCCTAGCATTACTGACAATTTATTTCAGAAAGTTGCCGACAATATTAATGATGTGGAAGAGTTTGGTGACCTTCCTCCCCCAGTGATGCATCGCTTAAGCCAAATTTTGTCTCGCAATCGCGCTGTCACACCAAGGACTCTGGATCTTTTTTTGCGACCGCTCCACAAGGAATTGAATGTTTATGACTGCGCTAGTAGGTGCTCCCATTTGTTCCTCAGACATTTCCCCAGGGACACTGCTTTTTAAGTAAAGGTTTCTGACATCCTGCGCAGAGTTAGGAACCAATGATTTCCATAAAATACTGGCCACTATGCCGGCCTTGACTCGTCTGAACCTGAGATTCGTGAGTCAAATGAAAAACCCAGTTTTTGAATACATGATTGCCCGAGAAATGAAGATTCAAGATCTTCATCTAGACTCGCCAAATCTTGTGACAGATGACATATGGCGGCAACTATGGATGAACATGGGCTCTCATCTTCAGAGCCTGAAATTATGGAATCTTGATAGCGCTTTTGATGATGAGACTCTCGAAATAATGAGCAAGCACTGCACCAACTTACGGCGCTTGAAGCTGAAACATCTCGCACGGCTTGGAGACGGGGCCTTAGAGGCAATCTCAACAATGCAGTCCCTGGAGCACCTGTCTCTTGATTTTGATAAAGAAACAGACCCAGATATTCTTCTCAAAATGATTTCTCAAACAGGGCCCAGCCTTCGCTCTCTTTCCCTCGAAGGGTTTGATCATGCAGATGATAGGTTGCCTCAACACATCCATGATAATTGCCGTGCGTTATTCAAGCTTCGAATTTCTAGAAATTCCGATATCACCGACAAGGCAATAGCTGAGCTTTTCAATGATTGGTCAAACCCCCCTTTGAAACGTGTGGATTTCAGCTTTCTTCGAGATGTTGATATGTCTAACCCCGAAGGCCCACCTGAGCCCGTGGGCCTTGCATCGGATGGGTTTATTGCCTTGATGAAACATTCAGGCTCTAAACTCACGAAGTTGAAAACGGCTTCGTGTCGTCATATTTCGTACGCCGCCTATGAGGAAGTATTTGCTGAGAATAAGCAATATCCCGAGCTCAAGTTCATGGATATTTCTTTCAATGGAGCCGTTGATGACTATATCGCGCAAAGTATTTTCCGTTGTTGTCCTGCTCTCACGAGGCTGGTTGTTTTCGGCTGTTTCAAGATTCGTGACCTTACCGTGCCAGTAGGCGTGGCCGTTATTGGCACCGTGGGTGCAAAATTAACAGTCCGTGGGATTGCGCAGAAGGAGCTTGTCTAGCGGCTCCACTGAAAATCAGTTTAATGACTTGTACATTACCATCCAGAGACACTGCATGCGAATACGATTTCTTAACATAGTTCTTTGTATCCCTTCAGGGTTTGTCTATTTCCAAGGTGCCTATATGTGCATATGACCGCACTTGGCGTCTATATTCCCGGCCGCCGAGATCACTTCGTTAAAAACCCCGTGAACTGGACAATGAAGGTTGGACTCGCCCATAGATCTCCCTGGTCAGCCTTACAATCATTGCAACCTTGCAAATACTATTGACAAACCGCCGGCAGTGCTTCTAGAACCACCGCACTGTAGGGATCTTCCAGGTTCACGAGTATCGAGCAAAAGGGAATTTCAACAGAAGCTTTAGAAACTTTGTTATTTATATTTCGTTACCTTCCCTAAGCCATGATTGCATCAAGAAATCAAATGTCTGTGTGGCTGTCAAAGCAAAAGCTTTCAAACTAGTATGATTCCATGCCACCATTAATAAACTAGCAATCCTGATATTGTCATGAGTGCGCTATTTAATGATTTATACCTCCTTAAGAAGAACCTTCGCTGTATTTTATCTGATTAACCATAAATTTATCCATTTTGACAATATTAAAGGCTGATTACTTTACAAGCATATGACGAACCCGCACTGGCAATATATTTTTATGTACTTTGTCGGTGATTTGACTAACAATCCACGTCATGCAGCCGATAATGCCGGTGTCCTTCGTGGCATTATGTCTGCCGGCGAAGCTGTTACTTTTGCAATTAACAGCCGTGGCACTTCTTTCGTCGTCAAGGCAGGCGCAATTGGCGACTTTTATGCCACTAGTGTTATCTGCATGGGATATATGGCACTATTTATCATCGAAGAAACAAACTACTTTGCCAAGAATGAAGAAGAAGTCACGTTGCCAAAACACATCAAATTCGCAAGTGAACGCGGCACCAAGATCGAGGCCTGTGATGAGGCGCATCTCGAACAATCCTGCGGAAAAAATGCGAAGTTGGAAGGTAAATCGGTTCATTTAGAACGACTATAAGGCCAAAGAGAAATTTGGAAGGCAGGACGACAGGTATATCCATTATTTTTGTGACCATAAAGATCGAATTAGGGCCCGAGTAATCATAAATTAGTCATGGAAGTGTAACTGTCCTTCTGTATCCACAATCTTAATCCATCCCAATCGAAATCAAAACTTTCGGAGGAGCTTTGGAAAGAGGTGGATGCAATTATTGCCCCTGTTGCCGCGACAGCCGCGAGTCGTCACAACCAATTCCGATATCATGGCTATTCATCGGTGATCAATCTGCTTGACCTAACGAGTGTTGCGGTTCCAGTCGAAGCTCCGAATATGCATATCGATGTGAAGAAGGATACTTATGGGCCACTAGATCAGCTGGATCCTGATGTTCAGGCTGAGTACGATCCTGAGGCATATCATGGTGCTCCTATTGCGGTTCAGATCATTGGACGTAGGCTGACTGAAGAGAAGACCTTGACTCTTGCGTAGAAGATCGGACTTCTGTTTGGTGAATAGATAAAACCATAGGTTGAAATATGGGTAGACAGCTGGTTCAAATTTTGTAAAATGCAGTTGATTTCAAACATTGAATGTTCACACCGTTCGAATGAATGCTTCCAAGGTTCTGTTAGTACCCCGGGCTAGATACAGTGTACACAGTATTCGATGCTTCAAGGCATAAGTTCATTGATTCATGTATATTTTTCTCGTCTTGCAGGTAAATAATGCGTAACGTAATCATCATTCCTTGGAATTAAATAAAGCCTATCTTAAACGCCTGAATTTATCAAGTACATTAAACAATCCATAGTAAAAGCAACCTTGCGACCTCTAGTAAGATCCCATCCGCTTGCCAATTTCACTCTCCCAACCACGCGACTTTTCGAATCCATTTGAGGCAGTTTGGTAATCAAGCATTGCTTGGTAGACATCTTCCTGACTACTCAAGACAAACGGGCCATATTGGACAACCTTTTGATCTAATGGCTGACCGGAAACGATCAAGAAGCGAGCCTCCTCCTCGGAATTGTCTGGAACAGATGCCTCAATCAAGTCTCCGGCCTGCTCAAACACCACGTTGTGGAACTCTTTCACCACCTTGGTGGAATCATTAGAGCCAAAAATAGTGCTTCCAGACAAGGTATAAGCGAAAGTGTTCCAGCCCTGGGGCAGAGTCTGAGAAATGCGACCACCAGGACGAATTGTAACATCCAAAATCCAGACTGGGGTATAAGCCAAGTCCCGAACAGAGTCGACACCATGCGACTGGCCTGAAATAACCTTGACTGTGACGCGGCCATCATCAGCTTGGGCAACGGGGATCTCGCTGGAGCGTAAGTCCCGGTAGCGAGGCTCGCACATCTTCAGCTTTTCGGGCAAATCAACCCAGAGCTGCATGCCGACGTTGGGACTGCCGTCAGGGTTCTCGTGGGGCATTTCAGCATGCATAATACCGCGGCCGGCGGTCATAAATTGAAGATCACCAGGTCCGATGGTGCCCTTGTTACCGGCGAAGTCTTCGTGGTCGACTCCGCCTGAGAGCAGATATGTGATGGTCTCTTGACCACGGTGCGGGTGGTCAGGGAAACCAGCGCCCTTACCGATAGTGAAGTGATCGAGCATGAGGAAAGGACTGAAATTGCGAAGCTTAGCTGTGCCGATGGAGCGACGGACACGTGCACCAGCTCCCTCTGCCTGCTCAATGGCTAGGAAAACTTGACGAATTGCACGAGGGACAGACATCTCGTTGACTGGGATGACGATTGGATGGGGAAAATCCAAAGAAGAAGAAGAAGAAGAATGTTCTGAAGGATTAAATATGTCGCTGCTGGTATTTATCAAGAAGCGCGATAGACTTGTTGGTAGCTTTTGACTTAAGAATGCGATAGTATAGTCTTGAATTGAGGGACAATATGCAAGGAAAACTGCAGTGATGCAAATTAGAAGAGGCAGAATCAACCTCATGGATGTTAAGAAGGGCTTTAGTAGTTTTTCGGGGGTAGGTAAATCGAAGTTTCGAGTCGACTATTGCTGTTAAGGACTGGTAATATTCAAGTCAGCGTTAGTCAATGGCTCATAAGTACTCTTCAAAGCGGCTTAACCAGTGCTTTGCAAGACATCAGTCAGCGGCTGCAGCGACTGCCACCACTGCCACCTCTATGCAGCCCACCAATCAAAGGCTGCCATGCTTATTACAAAGACCCCGGTAAGCAGCCTCTAATCGAGCTAATATATTATGGGACTAGCGTTGACACCTGATATAACAGGCAGTAATATATCACATGACATGCACATGACAAAGGATTAGCTAAAGGTTGCCAAGACTTTAATTATGCGGTGGCCGAGCCAGACTCTAGATGCCTCCAGACTCCAACAGTACTATGTATATCGGAATTCTAGAGATATGTCCCTTTCACATAGTACTCAAACTTGTAGATCGCGTTATTCCGTTCTCAGAATTGAAATATTGAATTGAATTTCAGAGACATATAAGGGCAACATCTTTGGAGGTTTTGCTCCTCAAAAAATATACTAGTAGTTTGAACAGCTGGAGGGTCTGTATAAGCGCTCATATAAACTAGAAATTCAGCTACTTAGAAACACCTCTCACATTTCAACTACCAGTACGAAATTTGAATAATATGGATACCCTCATCGAATGATTTTGAATTTAGTTTATAGAAGTATTAAGTGCGGCGGGTAATGTGGCCCTGCGGAGCCGGCAATAATCGTCACTATCAGATAAGGCCACGGAGCAGCTCCCGCTCTCCGCCCCGATTCCTCAACGAGCTGGACCTCAACGATCATGAACGCCTTTCTTCCATTTATTGCCGTCTCTTTCTAGAAGCGCGGGTTAAACGAATCATATCGTATCTATTCGTTCGTACTGACGTTCGAATCCGACTGCCAAGGCTCAAGCACGCAGGGGCAAGCAGACTAAGCTTGCCCACCTATGCGATCACGGAGCATCCATTACAAGATGCGACAATCAACACTGAACCTGGCCCCATGGCTTGCGCTAGCTTGGATGGGATCAGGAGCTCTAGCAGATAAGAGACCGTTTAATATCAATGATGATATTCTGGCCTACCCACAGGTGAGTTGAAGACAACTCCGCGCTGGTCTAGCTCGATCTAACTTCTTGCTCTCGCACAGTTCCAAGTGAAATTCCCAGACGAATACATCCTCGATTCCCATGCAGAAGAGCTCTTACAAGCACAATCTGATTTAAATTACGAAGGGACATACCAAGACCAGAAAGACCCCCAAATATATACCGGCAATGTCCATGCCAACGACGCAACACAAGACAGCAAATATGTCGACGGACCGAAATTTGCCTACGAAGAAATGATCTTGGATGACCGAAGACTTCTTTGTCAGATCCCTCAAGTTCATAATGACGAAACAAATACGACGGCTGGCAACAAACCGACCGAGGCGGATGAACAAAAGGAGCTGGCTCGCGCAACCGACCGTGGTCTGGAGCTTTTACGGGAACTAGAGGGTAAATGCATGTACTACTTCTCTGGGTGGTGGTCGTATTCATTCTGCTATCGACAGCAGGTTAAGCAGTTCCATGCACTACCTGCCGGGCGTGGAGGCCCCCACTACCCTCCAGCTGAAGACCCCCACACCCACTCTTTTATCTTGGGACAGTTCCCTGCCGATAGCAAAGACCAGGATAAAGAAGGAGCGGAGGCAAAAAAGTCACACGATTCCGAATTGGCTGAATTGCATACCAAAGGTGGCTCGCGGTATCTCGTACAACACTTAAGCGGTGGCACCAAATGTGATCTTACTGGCCGTGAACGCCGAATTGAGGTGCAGTTTCACTGCCACCCGCAGTCTACAGACCAAATCGGCTGGATCAAAGAGCTTACTACTTGTTCTTATCTAATGGTCATCTACACACCTCGTCTCTGTGACGATGCTGCCTTCATGCCGCCGCGACAGGATGAAGTCAACGAGATTGAATGTCGTGAGATCCTTATGCCCGATGAAGTTACTGAGTGGCAGGATATTAAAGAATGGTATCTGGCCCAGCGACTAGTTGATGAGGCCAGAACCCTTTCAGATGTGCAAACTGTGGGCGGCATTGAAGTCGGTGCTCGCAAACTAGTGGGAATGGAAGGCAAGCAGATTGAAAAGGGTCGAGTGGCTTCGATTGGCGAAGAACACGTAGACATCCTTGCAACGCGCGAGAATGGCGAGGTGAAGCAAATGTCCAAACAAGCCTTGAAGAAATATGATCTCGACCCTGAAAAACTCGAGAACTTGAAAAAGCAAGTTGAGAGGATGGCTGGGGATGATGACTGGGTTCTCGAAGTTGTGGAGCTCAATGGCGGGTACACCTTCAGAGGTGGCCGCCCCGACGAAGACACGGAGGAGACAAAGAAGAAAAAGGAGCAGAAAAAGGCCGAGTCGGACTCAGAGCCTGTGCAACAGCAGTATGGGGGCAACGAGGACGACAACCCGATCGCGAAAGAGAAAGAACCTGAAGCCCAGAAAGCCGCAGCTCAAAAGGGATCATCTAACAATGAGCAGAAACCCGAAAGTCTGCCCAATTCCGAAAAAGAGCCCGAGCATACAGAAGGCAGTGAGGAAACCTTCAAAGACGAGTTATGAAAACCCCTTGGAGAGAGAATACCTAGCTTTGTATAGTTGATTTGGAGCCCTCAGCAGTACAACTTCTCAGTGAGGGCTTGATGTATTTGGCGTTTCACATTTAAACAAAACATTAGCATTTTCAATACCCGATTTACACATATTACCAGCTTGACTTGTTCACTATCTGTACGTACCTATATATTGTGTAGTATATATATTAGCCATTGATTAGATCAGGTTCAGGAACAACTAGTTTCATGCCCAAAGACGTCAGATAGCCCCAGTTGCCGGGTCTCCGAGTGGGGGTCTCTCTCTCTCTCTATGATTAGGGGGGGGGGGAAACTATGCAGTCAGGCACACGGCACGAGTGGTCCAGTATAGTAATGATTAGTTGTAGGGGAAATATATGTTGAAAATTTTAGAACTTTATGAATAATATTAATCTCAAATAGCATCTACATAAAAAGGAATATATGTATGTGTTTTGTAGTGTCAAGATCCCCGTCAACGTTACCTGCGTAAGGAACGTGACCGTGAACTCCTAGCGATCGTCTAGGCCCACCTTTCTCTCCCTCCCTGATCCAACCTCTCAACCTACTCACGCTTCCCTTGAGTTGGCTCAGTCCAATTCTCACTCGTCATATCTCTGGACTAAATTGTCTCTGAAACCTACGCGCACTGGGACAAGCTTGCCAAGGCACACCCGATAACGGCCACCGTCATCGCCCCGACCTCCCCGGTTCTCCGACAACACCCCACGGGACACACCATCCTAGTCGGCACCAGACCCTTCATACTGCCACTCGTGGCGCCTGGACTCTGCGTCAATTCCAGTTTCTGCTCAGCTGAGTCCAACGATCGCCCGCGACAATGGGATTCCTCGGCGTTTACTCTGCCGTGTATGATTACCAGCCTCAGGGAGAGGGTGAACTTGAGATTCGAGAGGGCGACCTTCTCTACGTATTAGAGAAGAGCAAAGAAGATGACTGGTGGAAAGCAAAGAAGAAAGCAGACGAAGACGACGAGGATGAGCCGGAAGGTTTAGTCCCAAATAACTATGTCCAAGAGGTAAGCACAACTCCTGTCAATTGCATGTAATAGACATCTCTTTTACGCGGATCATGGTCGGCGCCACCGAATGCGTTCGATCTTTCACAATCCGAGAAAACATTTGATCATGATATTTACCTCCATATATTGAATAGGCGCAACCTGTACACCATGCCAAGGCCCTTTTCGACTACACCCGGCAAACAGACGAAGAGGTCTCATTTTCGGAAGACGCAGCACTAGAGGTGTATGATATTTCAGATCCTGACTGGACATTGGTCGGAATCAATGGAGACTTCGGATTTGCGCCGGCAAATTATATCGAAGTTCTTGAAGATATCGCTCCAACTTCGGCTGCTATTCCTCCTCCGCCTCCACCCCAAGCCCATCATGATGAAGAACAAGCACCTTCTCTTCCACAACGGCCGACACAGCCCGCTCATGAAGACTACGAAGAAACTTACCCTTCTCATTCTCCCATCGATACAGTACAAAACCCAGCGGCCGCGGCAATCGCAAGCATTATACACTCACAGCATGCCCCCGCCAACATCCACCGAGAGCCATCAAGAGAAGAGTCGCCTCCACCCCCTCAGCTCCCAACTAGGCCCTCCCAGGACTACGAGGTCGAGGAAGAAGAACCGCCCGCGCCTGCTTTACCTCGACGACCTCCATCGGAACAGATTACTCCACCAATGAATACCTACTCCCCCGAGCCATCCCCAGCTCCCCCGCGCCCCAAGGCTGCAGCCCCGCCAATGGGACGCGACAGAACTCACGTCAAAGAATCACCCCCGTACAATCGAGCTGGTGAGCTGACTCCTCGATCGCCCTCTGGATATCATATTTACAACATCAACGAGATGGTGGAGGTCATGGGAAAGAGGAAGAAGATGCCAACAACGTTGGGTATTAACATGGTCACTGGTATCATCTTTATCTCGCCGGAAGGTGACGACCGCCAACAAGATTGGACTGCGGAAAAGCTCACGCACTATTCAATCGAAGGCAAGCATGTATTTGTTGACCTTGTCCGGCCAAGCAAGAGCGTTGATTTCCATGCTGGAGCCAAAGACACTGCTCAAGAGATTGTGGCTGCGCTGGGAGAAATCGCAGGGGCTTATCGTGCCGAAGGCTTGCGAGAGGTGATCGCAGCCAGCGAAGGGGGTGGAGGCCAGAAGAAAGGAACGATTTTGTATGACTTTATGGCGCAAGGAGATGATGAGGTTACCGTGGCCGTGGATGATGAAGTCGTCGTTATTGATGATATGAAGTCAGAAGAATGGTGGATGGTGAAGCGGCTCAAGAACGGCAAAGAGGGAGTGGTTCCTAGCAGCTATGTTGAGATTACCGGCTTCGTGACTAAGGACATCCCCCCCGAGCCCGGCGTGTCAACAGTGGAGAAAAATCGAAAGGAAGAGGCCAGGTTGGCTAAAGCCTCTGCTGGGAAGTCTAGGGCAGACTCGATGGAATCAGGAGAGGTATGTTTGCGAAGGAAAACCTCAAATATTGCATTTTGAATATCCCAGCTGATAAGCTATACACAGCGTCATAAGCGTGAGAGTAAATCCAAGGCCAGTGAGTAGCCCATTTCAATTACCGCACTCTCTAGTCATAAGGTTGCTAATCAGATAATCCTCCAGAGCCGGATTCGAGCAAGGTCAGAAAATGGACAGACCGTAGTAAGGCTTTCACTGTTGAGGCGCAATTCATTGGGTTGCAGGATGGCAAGATTCATCTTCACAAAGTCAACGGCATCAAGATCGCTGTTCCTGTTGCGAAGATGTCTGTCGAGGACCTTGAGTACGTGGAGAAGGCAGCGGGTGTTTCGCTGGATGAAGACAAGCCCCTTTCAAGTATTCGAAAGCGTGCCACTTCTGAAGCCAAGGGAACTGGTAACGCGGGTGCTTCGGTGGCACGCCCCGAGTACGATTGGTTTGACTTTTTCTTGAAATCTGGCGTTGGGCCCCATCAATGTGAACGATATGCGCAGAACTTCATCAAAGACTCCATGGACGAGTCTATTCTGCCTGATATTTCTCCCGAAACTCTTCGTTCTCTAGGTTTGAAAGAAGGTGACATCCTGCGGGTCATGCGTTATCTGGATAGCACCCTTGGCCGCACAGGCAACAAGTCTAAGCTCCGAAATGTCAGCTTTGGTGGCGAGGAAGTCATTGGTAATGGCGAGGATGGCGGTCAAGGGGGACTGTTTTCTGGTCTAGGCGGTTCTTTGCGCAATAATACTCGCAAGGGAAGACCGGCACCCTCCGTTCAGGCCGGTGATATTGTGGATCCCAAGGCTTTTGAGCAAGCTGATGACTCCAAGCCGAAGGAAGAGCGAGTTGCAACTCCTCCAGCTCCCTCTCCTGCACCACCCGAGAAAGAGCAACCAGTTTCACGTGGGTTTGACGATGATGCTTGGGAGGTAAAGCAGCCCAAGCAGGTTACTACCGCTCCGGTCGCATCAAGTCCACCTCCAAGTACATCGCCCACCGCGCCTCAACCTCAAATTCAGAAGCAAATAACAGGCGCCATGGCAGATTTGTCTATTCTTCAAGCTCCTCTACAGCCTACTCCAGCCTTACCGGCTCCTGTGTCGCAGAATGTATCAAGCATTCCTGCTTTGCAGCCTCAACAAACTGCGGTACAGGCCCCTCCTGCGCCACAGCAATCTCAGCATACCGGTGCCACGCCTGGATTTTTCAATCAAATAGCCCAAATGGGACAACAGGCTAGACAGCGTCCGCAGCCTCCCGCGCACAACGCAAACCAAAATTCGCTACTGCCTCCTCCCCCACAGCGCCCTCTTTCAGCACCACAAAACTTTTCGCAAGATCAGAACGCATTTGCGCCTCCTCCATTACAGGCTCAGCTGACTGGACTTCCCCTAGCTGGTCCTCAAGTTGCTCCTCCGGGACAAAGTCTGTCGGACTTGAACCAACAGCGCTTTCAGCCGCAAATGCAGCAGATGCAGCCGCAAGCGACGGGTTTCATGGGGCAGAATCAATTTCAGAACGGTCTGATGCCCCAGCCAACCGGCTTCTCCCCTCAATCGCAATTCGGTATCCAGCAGCAACAGCAAATGACTGGCCAACCCATGCCAACAGGCCAACCAGGCTTCCAGGGGATGGCCCCACAGCCTACTGGCTTCGCCGGATTTGCGCAGCCCCAACAGCCGATGCAAACTGGCATTAATTCCGTGCTTCCCCCGGCTTTGCAACCCCAACCAACTGGTGCCAATGGTTTTGGCAATACATCTTTCAATCAGCCTCCACCTCCTGTGCCACCAATTCCGCAACAGCCGACAGCGGCCCCCCTATCTCCTCAAAAGACAGGCCCTCCGCCCTCTATCAGGTTCGGTGTGAAACCAGATGCCCCAAAGAAACTTGCACCCCAGCCAACCGGGCTCAGGGCGAATCTTTCCCAAGCCAGTGAGTACCGTCATTACTATAATAGATAAAAATGCTCAGATCACTAACCTCAATAATTTCACAGCGCCCAACAACCCCTTTGGTTTCTAATGTGGCTATGTATCTTGCATCCTAGGTTGGCATATATAACTTTATCCATGCTGGCAATTGATGCAAGGGACTTTCTCTGGCTATTACCGACCTTTCAATGCTCGCTCAAGCCAGAACATCACACCCCTCAGCTTGTCAGATTCGAAACTGCTCTTTTCACATTGACATAGCGTACATATCATGGTCTCCGGCTCGATCTGTTTCTAATGCAGCGCGCAATCAAATACCATGAAGCTTGGTTTCCTTGCAAAACTCCTTACTTAGCGAGCCATCGTTGATTCCCATGTTCCCCTTGCGCCACCTAACACCTCGGCATTCTCATATCACATCATGTTTCCCCTCTTTTCCCATATCGTCATATAATTCCACCGACTGATGGTAATGCTTATTGTCTTTTAACGTTCCCATCCCATTTTCCTTTTTCTTTTGTGACTCGGACGCCTCTTCGCTTCCCCCCTGCCTCTTTATGCTTTGCTGTCCCATGCTGAAGTAATGTATTCAGCAGCATTCCTCATGCCTTTCTTAGCTACAATTTTCACTGAACAATTTCATGGTACATACAGAATATTAAGTGGAGTACACTCGTATGCATACCTATTTTAGAGTCCATTGAGACAGTATACACGCACGACATTATTTACTGCAGCGGTGCTGTGCTGCAACATGTCGTTTCAAGAGCTCAAAATCTACAGATCACTTGTATCAGTGGATTGGAATAGTGTTTAAATTGGCGCCCGGTGGGGTATATAATAATTGTGAAAGCATAAGAAGAGCTTACCCAACCCTAAAAATCTAGTAGAAGTGCGAAAGCCGCCAAATCAACCGTAGTCATGCGATCATGTATCGTTTGCTTCCTCGAAGACAGCCCAGCCAGAAGGTAGGCGTTGGTCACCCAATTGAGAATTCCAATAGGAGAAGATATTGCGACAGAGTGAGGATTATATCAAGGCTCTTCCCAAAGGCCGAATACAGGCAGGTCTTCCGCCATATATAACAGCCCGTTTTCAGGAAAAATGACATCAGAGAGCGGTGATGGACCGCCAGAAAGCGCGGGCTGCCCGGTAGGTATTGTCCCACCAGGGGAACAACCAACAGGGATACCAGAGGTAGTTAAAGCAGAGATAGCGGCATCGTAAGAAAGGGCCGATGCGTCCGTCCCGCTATAGAGTGAGTCCCACATATCGCCTCCCAGTTGATGGGCATTGGTGGGGTCTGGCGGGGGCTGTTGAGTGAGGAAGGAGGAAGGAGTTGTTCCAGCAAGTTTGCCGGGGGATATTGGAGAAACCACAACGGGGGGTTGTTGGGTCTCATCTGAGCGAATTGGTGGAGGGAGGTCTTGGCCAGGGGTCGGTGTGAAAGCAGGGGAGTGATGATTCCCATTGGCGGGAATTCCGCCAACCTGGCCGAAGAGTTGATCGACTTGCCTACTTCTTCGATCCATCCATTGTCGATTTCGCCGTTGAATATACTCGGCCACGGCACCACGCAGATACTTTATAATCTGATAGAAGCGACAAGCATGGGGATCATGAGGAACAAATAGTTCGAGGAAATTTTCTGCTTTGTTCAATCCTTCTTCAAGGGGTAATAGGTTGTCATAGTCCGCGAAGAACGCAGCTCCAATAACAACAGCAGAGTTGAAGACAGAATTGATCAAGAAGGGAAGGCGGCGTGGTAGAGATGCGAACCGGCCGAGGCCATCCACAACATCCAAGCCTCGAAGCGCAGAATAGACGCATGCATCTGCAAACAGTGAAATGCGAGAGCTACCAGTTTGGCTAGCTGGGGCAGATGGGTTTGCCTTATTTTTCACGTACTGAGCCACCCTGTAGACTAGGAATGGCCGAGTGAGGAGAATAATAGACCAGTAATATGAGCCGAACACATGAGCTGCTGCCAAGTTGTCCTCCATAGGCTTATTATTAATCTGTTCTGTTTGTTCCTTAAGAAACGCTGGTAGTGTTTTGACCCAAGCACGGTGTTGATTTGAGATGGACTCTGCAACATTAATTGAAATGACTTGTTTCATGTAAACATCGGTAAGGATTCGCTCGAAAATTCGACATAGCGAAGTCACCGCAAGTGAAAGTTGCTTATCAGGAGTTAGGTTCCTCTGTTGCTCGCTGGATGGAAAAGCATCCTCCCGAATGTCATAATCATAATCTGATGTCGCAGGGGGTCGGCCTAATGAGGCGCTAAGGAATAAATCCATCATACGAAGACTCTTCCATACTCGCTCTCTGGCTCGACGTTCGCGTCCACAAAAGAGCGCATTTGCATCCTTTCGATGAATTCCTACTGCATAGGCAGCTCTTAAGGCGATTCCCAAATTCATAAATGCGCCGTTGCGTCTGCATGCACCGAGCATGTACATTGACACCAGAATATACGACTGGATGGTATGAATACTTGGCGTTTCCTGGAAAGCAGCAAACGCCAATTGACGACCACTGCTAAAGTATTGCTCGGCCAAGGTTTGGTTGACGTCCGAGACTTGAGCACCAATGGCAAGCACAAGGTAGAAAATGGAACTGACAGTATCTTCATCGCCCGAAGGGTTCTCTACCCAGTTAGCGAGTCGTGGGTGGAATTCCTCAAGATCAACCAAATCAAGCAAGGGACTTGTCGCGAGGACATATTGTCGTGCGAGGCTCTGAGCCTCTTCGTTGCTGGGCGGCGGGATGAGGGGACCTGGCTGAGTGCTTGGGTTGTTTTGGAAAGCTTCCAGCATGGAGTGTCGAGAATTGTCCTCTGTAAATTCACACCGGCCGATTGATGAAGAAACAACACGTCGGACACTTTGCAAGAATGACAAGCTCGCAGAATCTCCGATGTACATGAATTTGCCCTGGCCGTCGCGAAGAAGCCGCGCTACCTTGGGAACCGGGGCCATTCCCTCTTTCTCGTCGGTATCCTGCTGCTCTAAATTTGTGTCCTTGTCTTCCAGCGAATTCAATAAGCGATCCATTGCCGTTTTTCGTTGAGGGGAAGGTACTGTTCGTTCGCTAAGCAGCATGGTCGAGTCTTTGGCGTCTGGCTTGAGGAGACGTGCGGGGCGGTCCGAAAAATGGCATTCTGACTCCTTGTGTCGCTGGACACAAATTGTGCAGGGTTGCTCGCCATTGCATTTCTGTTTGCGCCGCTTACAGCTGTCGCATGCCCGGCGACACCGGAGTCGAGCCCCTGGTGCTGTACTTGCTCGAGGCATACCGATCACACCTTTGCGGCTTGTCCGGTTAGAGGGGCGTCCGACAGCGGCGGGTAGAAGACATCGAAGCGCAGCTTCTTATATGGGCGATTGTCGGGGCGATTGTCGGATATCGAAGAATAGATGCACTTGAGATGTCTCACGGCATAGCGAATGCACAGTCCAGGGGAGTTCAATGAGTCTATTCGAAGGTTGAGTTGAGTGAGTTGCTTGGTCGATCAATTACTTTCCCCGGACTCTTGGCGGGTACAAATATTACTAATCATCGCGTTTCCTCCCCTCAGCTTCTACATGAACATGCTTCTAAAGCTATCACGATCACATCTACTTAATATTATAGAACATCATTTGCGAGTAGTTACAGGAAACTTCAATCTAGGTTCCTTTAGATCATGATTCTCTGATCATTCTGGGCGAAAAGATACCACTTTGCCCCAAGTGTCCGCAGTACCCCAAATCCCAGCTCGAAGGCATTCCAACTGCACAATCTGGCTGTGATCGACAAACAGGTTGGCATCGATGCCAAATTCCCGGATGTACCAATTGAAAACCTTAGGATCGGCAGCTTCAAACATCACCTTCTCAGGGGGAAGCTGCTTCATGATCTGAGAAACCACATCAGTCCGCCATGTCTCCACGTTCTCGGTGATGCCCTCCGACTCGATCATCAGACGCTCCACACCAGCACTAAGGAACTTATGACCCATATTGACAAGCTTTCCGGGGTCAGAAGTCCCCACGCTAAATCCAGGAGTATCCCCCCGGCGCCAAACTGAATTCCCAATTCCGGCTTTGCCTTGAGCTTGTACGAATGGACTTTGTCGACGAGACGAAGCCAATCGTCGTCTGGAATGGACAGGAAGCCGGCGGATAACTCGATAACATCGAACCTGGGATCAATTCAATCAATTCATATTAATGAGAAGATCTGTATCTCTAGGTAGTATTCTGGGCTTACCCTAGATCCTTGCATTTCTTCAGGTAACGGTCGAATGCACTGTTTACCTCAGGGTGTGTCAGAATATGCTCGGCCCAGCCGCCCTGTTGAAAGATCCTTAAGTCAGCCTTGTTAGACTAATGGGATGATATGTAGGTATCGTCTGTTGGGGGTATATACTGTTGAGACATAAACATCATTCTCATGTGCCAGATCAATCAATTCGCGCAACGGCTTCTCTTCGAATAGCGAGAAAGATCCTGGATAAAATATCAGTCATCGCTTCCAAAATAGATGTACAACTACAATTTAAGTGATTTCAGCTGACCTCCAGCAAACTTTAGCCCATCGACATGATTGCCCATTCTGTATGCTTATGTCAGAGTGATAGCCCTTGGCGAGTAGTGCGTGAAATGAAAAGAATGACGTTACGTTTCAAGCACGTCTGCTAGATAACGCTTTCCCATTGCCTTTTTTGTACAGTTAGTATACAGCGCTGGCGCTGATCTCATTGATAGAGTCTTCATACTGAGTAATAGGGACCTCGAATCTCGGTGACACCCTTGGATCTAGGTTTGGCCGGTCTTGGATTGGATCTTGCGAAGCCAAATCCATTTTGTTTGTCTTGTAGGAGAGTGACTCCGTGTGAAGTTCGCTTGGTTGACAGGCATTGAGACTGTCCAATCGCTATCTTAGCGGCCCCTGTTGTGTAACTCGGGAGCCTTCTAGAGGGGTTTAGGATCAAAGAGGTAGTTCCAAGCATTGTGCAAAAGAAGGCGTAAATGGCGGTATGGTAGTTCGATAGACCAGTGTAGAGTATGCCAAGTGTCAAATAAAGAAGATAAGATGGTGGAAATATCTAGGTTGTATTCATTGTATGAGAATATTCAAAAGAAATAGAATTACGTGATAACCGGTTTGAAAACTAGTCATAGGTAGAAAAGGATGAGTGGAATGTAGTTTGGATTTGACGTCAAGAATACTTCACTCTTCTCAAGGCGTGAAAGAAACAAGGGCCTATGTATGCTTTGGGTGAGCCATTAGGTGCCTTAAATCAGAATGACATCAGATCTGCCGTGAATCTCAGGCACCAAATGGGGACTTTGTAACGTTAGTTAACTATAACTAACTAACTAACTAGAACCTGGTAACTTACACCCTTATATTCGTATGCAATAATTTCTCGCTCCTCTGGATTATTCTCAGGGGATCAACTAGGGATTTTTCACTACTATGTACTTGGGGAATAAATGATTAAGTCTCGGCATGATCCATCTCGAAACCTTGGGAATAATCCATGTTCATTATTGAACGCTCAAATATGCAGTTGGTAGATCGATTGATACTTTCAGCTCCACTAAGCGTCTTGGATTGACGAGCGCAATTTTATTCACTACCAAACAAACGGACTCGGAGGGTGTGAACCTCGGCCTGATAGGGTGGAGATGTTAACATCAATCAGCCTTTGCTCCTCTTTCCTGTGCTTAGCCGTCCAAGGCTACTTGGGATATGCATCACCCACACACAAACAAGCCAGTAATCACCGGGATTCGGAATGAGCCTATCGCCGAGAGTTAGGCGCTTGGCACCTACCTGTGCACAATCTAGTCTCCACTCCACTCGGTCCCGACTAGGCATCGATCAACGCGGCACTTGTATGGAGCACTACAGGGCTGATAGGGACCTTGTCAAGATTCAATTAAAAGTTGGTGCCTGCTCCTTGTCTTTCGTGCGCATCGGATGACTATAATTGGGCCAACACATATTTCTTCACTCCCATGATGGGCTCGAACAAAGAAAAATTCTTCCAGCATACGAAAACGAGTAGGGCACGCGACACTATTCGGGCCTCGATGTATACAAAGGAAGCCACGGGACCACTAGGGTTTGGTACCTTCTTGTTTTGGTTCGGGAGACAGTGGAGAATCTTTTCGAACCTATGCAGCTTCTACCGAATCAGGCTGTGCTCTAAGCCAGTCAATGGGATCCTTTCATGCTTTCATGCTTTGACGCTTCCATGAGTTCCGGAACTGACGGGCTTTCAGACATCCGTACTTTCTCTATATGGATGTGCGTATTGTACACAATAATAAAGAATGCAGACATCAATCACTATAATCTCGGCCAAATCTCTCCTCCGATGCTTCCCCCTCTCTCAAGGGTGTTTTCTTAGATCCAGTCCAGAACGTTATTTCTTCCCTTCTACACCAGCATTTTTATGATCCGGATGACCCTCTGTATTATATTCTCTTTGCATCTTCATTTCTCTTATTCCTTTGTCTTTGCGGATTCTCCTATACATACTCGTTCCGGACACCTACCGAACACCCCAAGTTCCTAGTGGTGGCTGCCCGACCAAGTTCCACCATGGGGGCTGGTGTCATTCTTGAGCCGCTGGTAGTCGTCGTTCTACTCTTTGGAGGGAGCTGGATCAATCGACGTACATCTGCCTTCACATCCCAAAATCACTTCCGGTGGACATCCGACGAGACTATGCGCTCGGAATCTCCTGATTCCCTGCAATCAAAATATGCTAGTCCAACACCCAAGGATGGACTATTGAGCCCGCGCGCAGTTTCCCCAGTTTCCTCGATTGGCATCTTCGGCCTGTCATTTCTTGTGACATCTCCCAATACAATTGTCTTTGAAGATCGATTACTGAGCAGGCTACTTCGAAAGCTGCCGTTTCTGGTAGAGAATTGGTATTGGGCTTTAGTATATTGGGTAATATGAACTATGCGACAATACAGCTCGATTTGAGTATATTTACTGACATCCCTACAGACTTACCAGCTTGGTCGAGCCTTTACTGCTGTTACACTACAAGAAGGCACCGTCGATGTAGCCCGTCGCCATGCCCTACAGCTCGTCAAACTCGAAGAGAAGCTTGGGATGTTTTGGGAGCTTCCGATTCAGCGATATTTCCTCCGCCATCCTTTAGCAATGACCTGGATCAACTGGATCTACTCCTTTATTCATATTCCCGGCACGATCGCTTTTCTCGTCTGGCTCTACTACTATACTATCACCCGAAACCGAGTGGATGAGCATCAACTGGGGAAAACTGCAGGTACTGTAAGTGGGTCACCAGCTGGTCCTCTCCTGTATCAAGCCCGACGACGAACATTGGCCGTATGCAACCTTTTGGCGTTTGTTGTTTTCACCCTGTGGCCGTGTATGCCTCCACGACTGCTCAGTGATCCGGCTGCGGAAGGAATCGAGGCAGAACTGGGTCGAAGTTATGGGTTCGTGGATACTGTTCATGGAACTAAGGGAGCGGGAAGTGTATGGACTGAGAACCGCTTTTGTAATCAATATGGTGGGTGATGCTCCTTTAAATACTCTTCAGTGCACGAGATTGCCATTCTAATATTCATTCAGCTGCGATGCCATCCTTGCATTTCGGGTATTCCCTTATGATCGGTCTTACGATAATGACTATCCCGCTTCCTTCGCTTCATCAACGAGCGGTTCGCTTTCGCTTCAGCCACGGCATCGGCCTCTGGTTACCATCCTGGTACCACCTAGTCTGTTTAGTGCTCGGTTTCTTATACCCCTTTGTCATTTTGATTGCTATCGTGGCTACTGCGAATCATTTCATCCTCGATGCAGTTGCGGGTGCTTTGGTTTGCGCGTTGGGATGGCGGTTCAATGGGGTTTTGTTAAATCTGCTTCCCCTAGAGGGTTATTTTCTCTGTCTTGTCCGTATCCACAAGCCGGAGCCCTCCGAGAACAACATGCGCTATAGCTCAAGGGACTGGGACAGTGACAATTCTGACGAGAGAAACAATGCGTTGTCTGCATGAGTATGGACATAATGCTGTTTTGCTGTTTTGCTGTTTTTGGATTGGAATACCGTGATACCCCTATCCCTATTGAGCTCCTCATGAAGTTCCTTCTTATATTATCTTCTCTTTCTCGGTGTCTGGCTCCTAGTGAATTGGCAATGTACATAAAACCTAGGTACCTTTATCCTTAATTAGGCTCCGTATATACTTGCGCCATCCAAAGTGAAAGTGGCGTGTTTTTTACTCTTGAATGGTGGAATTGTAGAATAAATGTAACTTTTACGGCGTTCCAGTTTAAATAAAAGAGAGTCATGGAATAATCCCAAATCTTCCAAAGGAGTCTGCGGAAAAGGGGCTTTTTTTTTAAGAAGAAAAAAGTACACTCCAACTGGTAAGAATAACGCACAACTAACTCAATAGGCATCTGATTGTTTCAGTATATCTGATTAGTTCGGTATCTACATAGTAACTGCTATAAGTTGGCTATGTATCCCCATGTTAACTACCTAGCATACCTTTTTTGTTAAAATGACATTGAAATATATCGATATCTGTAAGAAACCGGTCTGATCCTATGGTAGGCTACTTGAAAAAAATAAGCGGGCACGACCACAAATAAGGGGCTAAAGCTCTCTGTAGTCCAATAGAATTGGCCTGTTCCCCTATCACCAATTATTTTCTGCAGGTATTCCTGTAGTGAAACTGTGTTAGGAAGATTTGGTCGTCGTGGCATTCAACTTGAAGATCGTGGGTCGATGGGGATAGTTTAACAAAGAGTACGTACGGAGTGGAGGGTCCGACTAAGTTAAGTACATATTTTAGCCTTCACTTGTCATCATTTTCTTAACATTTCAACCTTCGCGACCCGGAGAATATAATGTTCAAGTTCAGAACAGAGCCAGAAACTTCCAAGTGATTGAATAACAGAAAAGCGCACAAACTACATATATAAGGCTCCTTGGAGATATAGTCAGCTGTTTCCTTAGCAAACGTTGACACTATGAAGCAACTGTCGATTCGAGCTTGACGTCGCTGATTCGAACAAAGATCTGGCATCTATTGAAGCACTATCTATCGCATAAGAAACACGATCTACGGACTATTCCAGAATGCCCCTCAAAGAATCTCAATTTTAGTATCTCTGCGAGCAAGTTATTAAGGACCACCAGAAGTGCCAGGAAGGGGATGAATACTACAATTCCAAGCAGACTACTCAGTCTGGCTGGCAAAGGCTTCGTAGCCTTATGAAGGGAAACAGTGGTAGTGGTTGGCTTCATCTATGACCATTGGAGACCAAGCTTTGAACTATATACCATATTCTTTTCCAAATGAGCCATATTCGTTGCTGATGAACTCCCCAGCGCCGTGAATATTCCCCAATTGGGATACAATGATATCCTCCAAAAAGTTGCCAGCAATTGAGAAGAACTTGATTGCAACTTAAATATTATCAAGCGAATAGCAGATTGATGCAACGTCAATCAGTCATCGTCTTGCATTGTGCTCCTCCTCCTTCTCTACTGGCAAAGCTCCCCATCAGCTTGAAAACGACTGGCTATCCCTGAAAATTGGTCTTGATTACATCTCGTCCCTGGTGAGACATCCCTAGACATCTAGGTTATCAAGAGATGAAGTTGGGGAGTTGTGGCGTCATTGGTGATTTTCTTCCCGTTCTTAGACCCAACCCAAACTTGAACCAACGCGTCGCTCTCTTCCCGCGCTCCCTGCGCGACTCTTCCTTCTCCACATCTTCCTCTCCCACATCTTCCCCTTCCAAGCCATTCCCCCTCTCCCAAGACGTTCCCCCCTTTCCCCAACTTTGGATTCATTTTCAACAACCTGATACTGCCCGCCATTATGGCCGAAGAGAACCCCATCACAGCGCCTGAGGCTGCTGAACAGCCTGAACAAACGATCGCTGAGAGCAAGCCCGCCGACAACCAGTCGGAGAACACCGCTGCCCCAGAAAACACCTCTACCGGTAAGTTTGGTTTGGATATACCCCTCTCGATCTATCGTGCAGCTTCTACTGGAGGCTGTTAATGATGGGGAGGTGCATTCTGCTCTTTCTAGGCTTGTGCGACCAAGGTCCGCTGATCCACTTGTTCTTTCCTTAGAGAATGCCGATGCGACCGACGACAAGAAGGAGCCTGAACCTGAGAAAGACAAGGCTGATGCGACTGGCGAATCGGCCTCCGCTGATGCCGAGACCGCAGCTCCGGAATCCAACGGAGCCCCTGCGTCAGCGAAGAAGTCATCCAAGGACCGCCGTCGCTCCAGTGCTGTCGGCGAAAAGAAGCTGAATCGCAAGAAGTCGCAGTCTCGCATCACCAACCTGGATGTGAAGCCTGGCGAGTATTACCTGGCGCGTCTTCGCAGCTATGCGCCATGGCCCTCCATCATCTGTGACGACGAGATCCTACCCAATTCGCTTCTTGAAAGCCGTCCCGTTACAGCGATTCAAGAAGATGGAACATACCGCGCCGAGTATGCCGACGATGGCAAGAGAGCTCATGAGCGGACGTATCCTGTGATGTTCTTCGAGACCAATGAATTGTAAGTCATTGCAGCTCAGCCCGCCTTACATTGTTATTACGTTGGATTTCTCTCGGCGGGGGATACTGATTTTGCTAAATAGTGCCTGGATCCCGAACACCAACCTGACTCCGCTTGACCCGGCTGCGTGCAAGGACGTATCCGAGAAGAACAAGGCCAAGTCGCTCATCTCAGCTTACAAGATTGCTGCGGAGGGCCATGATCTACAATATTTCAAGTCCCTTCTGTCAGACCACGAAGCTGCCCTAGAGCAGGAGAGGGAAGAAGCCGAGCGCGAAGAGGAGGAGAAAGAGAAGGCAAAGGCCGAAAAGGCGGCTAAGAAGAACAAGCGCAAGAGCAAAGGACCTGAGACTGATGTGGAAATGGAGGACGAAGAGGACACCAAGAAGTCTAAAGCTACCAAGAAGAGAAAGAAGGACGAGACAGATGCTGAGACAGAGAAGGTAATCCCCCGGAAACGCATCTCTAATATAAGCAGTCTTTGGTTAACTAATAGCTCTTTCTAGCCTGCTAAAACCCCAAAGACTCCAAAGACTGCGACGAAGCTTAAATTGACGACCCCGAAGGCTCCTGCTGAAGAGAAGAAAAAGACACCTGCCTCCAAGGCCAAGAAGGCTGCGCCAAAGAAGGGCAAGGCTGTCGCCGCCGCTAGCGATGAGGAGGCTGCTGCTGCTACAGAGACAAAGCAGCCAGAGAAGCAAGTCGATCCCGAGGAGCTCAAAAAGAAGAAAGAAAAAGAAAGTATGTGTTCTATGGCATTCCGTTATCACGGTCCACAGAAATGTTTTCGATACTAACTTGTTTGTCCTCCAGTTCTGTTCTTACGCCACAAGCTGCAGAAGGGGTTCATTTCCCGCGACCAGCCACCGAAGGAGGATGAGATGGCCACCATGGCCACTTACTTCGACAAGTTGGAGAAGCACGCCGATCTGGAAGTCGCCATAATTCGCTCAACCAAGATCAACAAGGTTCTAAAGATGATTGTCAAGCTCAATTCGATCCCTCGCGATGAAGAGTTCAACTTCCGTTCCCGTTCAATGGGTATCCTGTCAAGCTGGAAGAACGTGCTGGATGGAGATGCTCCAGCTGCCTCAACTGACAAAGAGGACAAGCCCGCCGCTAACGGTGCTCTGAAGGATGGGGACTCTCCCGAGGAACCTAAGATTGAGACCGAAGAGGAGAAAGAATCTGAGAACAAGCCAACCGATGATACCCCTATGCCTGATGCTGATTCTGAGAAACCAGAAGCGCCTGATACTGAAGAGGCTCCCAAGGAGGAAAATGAGGATGAGAAGGCTACTGAAGAGAAGTCCGAGGAATAAATGTGCCTCAAGGCTAGTAGTTTGTTCCATGTTCCATGTTCTTCTACTTTGTTTTTCTTTGTCGTGTTTTTATTACTATTTCCTCCCTGGACAGGTTTGGGTGCCCTGATTCTCTAACCCATTGTTTTCCCCTCTTTGTCTGCTGTGTTCTTTTGCCCTTGATAATCCAACCATTGTTCACTTATGTAGTATTCAGGAATCAGGGGCTGGACTCGTTCAGCGACCGTGTTTGTGCTTTTATTACGATCTCAACCAGAGGACCAAAACTGTGCTTCAGTTTGACTTTTTCCTGACTGTTTTCCCGTTCTTATGATCTTTCTTTCGTCTGTTTTATATGATATGGAAACCTTGAAAGTAATCCGGTCACCCGTGGGCCACGGGGATCTTGGCTCCTGGATTGTCAAGGTTCAAATTACCTTGGAATATCTCTTCCTAGGTATATGCAGTGCAGAATAAGAGGTGTTGCAGTCAGCTTCATCAACAGTAGCCTAATTTCATGTAGATTCGACAAGAGAATTGTGTTCAAGTAAGTCCTTTTTGAGTACATGTCTTTAATCCTGCTAGGACGTTGCCCAGGTCAACTAGTCGTAGACTAATATACTAGATACAGGTAGCCCCGAGTGGGTAACAATATGAGCCAGCAGCTGAGCTCACCTCGATTCTCTATATGGATGTCTCATCGTTTCAGTTTTACTGTCAGGGACCGCTCGATGTGTATATTTGTTGCCAAAGTTTGAAGCCGAAGATCCGTCTCGCAACGGCATCAGCATAAGTCTATTGATTACTATAAAATATCAAGTCCAGGCCCAGAAACACAAAACTCATATGTAAATGGCACGTACTGCCACCCAAAAGAAAAAACCACAGCGCCCCAGAATGCACAGTAATGAAAGTATATAAAAAAAAGCCTCTCCTGCGTCCTACCTAGAACGATTATGAACCACCATTGACATCTCTATACATTAAGAATAGGCCATTGAAAGTTATCTAAGAACCATCGCCATTTGCGGCAATACTCTCGTCGATAGCGATAACGACAATGGTGCAAATATCATCGACTTTTCCTCCGCGGTAATAGTCACCGGGATAGTAACGCTGGGCCTCTTTGGCAAAAGGGCCATCGCGGCGCATATCGACACTAGCAATCTTAGCCTCACCAGAGATGGATGCTGCAACAAGAGACTGAAGCGTCAGTTCAGATTCCATTCGAACGAGTTCCTTCCTCTCCTTCGCGTCCATGCCTGAGGGGGGAGGGAACGCGGAGGCGAGTCCGCCTGGGACTGTGAGCTCGCGAAGGCTATCTGAGACGCCAACACCGTGGTCTGGTGTAGCATTCCAGGCGCCTGTCACGAGCATTCGGCTAGACACAATCTTGAGTAGATCCTGGTTGTTGAGGTTGTCGAACACGCCATCGGTAGCAAGCATGAGTACATCACCATGCTGCATCTGTAAATTGGTAACGGCCGCATCACGGGGGAAATCTTCAAGGTACCCGCCTCCGAACACGGAAGCCTGTTGGCGCATACGGGGAGGAATAACGCTGAGTTGGTAAGGGGTGTTGAAGCCATGTGTCTGAGGGGTAGAGTAGTGATGCACTGCAGCGAGACGAAGCAAAACGGAACCCGAATCACCCAAATTCGCCAGCTCGACACGACCATCCGGAAGCGCAATTCCAACAGAAGCAGTGCTACCTCCGGCTTTGACGCTTGGATCAGATTTGACGCGGTCATATCCAGACTGCAGGAGCTGCTTCGGACGCAGCTTCTCAGAAGACTCGTCCCATGCCAGCGCTGTATCAGCCATGTGGCCACATATCCCGTGTGAGAAGTCCGCTGGGTCAACTCGAGATTCAGTCCAGCCCCCGACACCATCAGCGACAGCGAATGCGACCGCCTCCGCACCTTCCGTGTATTGTTCGGCTTGCCGATGAGAGCCCACGCGGCTCACAAAGAAAGCATCTTCGCCACTATCTGGACGGGATCGTCGTCGAACAGCCGGGCTCTTATCGCTGGATACGCCTATAGCGTCTGACACGCTCGGATCGAAATTATATGCATTTTTGAGGGGGTGAAATCGACGGCCTTTACCGGTTGAGGACACGGCAACCCGATAGGAGATGCGCGAAGGTGGGGAGTTTGAGGAAAGACGGGGAGTCGAGTGGAAGGCTTTGCGAGATTCACGGTTCAAAGTGTACTGCGAGGCGACTTTCCATGAAGGGCGACCCGAGTATAAAGAAGTAAAAAGAGGCGTAGTGGATCGGACGGAAATGGGGCTAAGCCCGGCACGAACAAGAGTTTGTAGGCTGCAGGTGGGACTGCAGGCTCTACAGGACAGACTTGGCGAGACCATTGCCGGGAGACCTTGAACTTCCCGCAGGAATCGAGCTCACGGGAGCATTTGAAGGGGGGAAGAGCTTGAAAGAGAAGAACGGGCGTGAATAAAAAGGAGAAGTAAATGAGATCAATGAGAATGAACCACGATTAAAAATCATGGCCGGATAAGAAACCGAGTGATCTTATCATATTGACCGCCTAGGTCATTGCTCTACATTCGGGACAACTTGTATACATGGGCTGTTACTGTACAACGGGATTTTATATGTATTTTATATGTATTTTGATAGATATTATGAGTAAATGAAATATGTAACAAGACATTTGGTACTGATGTCTAAATCACATTTAGATAATGGGTTTTCTACACTGTTTTTGAGCACAACTACTAGTAGAGCTGTGGTTGCAAGTATAGATGCTCAGGTGGATATAAAGTATTGGACAGCTGCCAATAGTCCGAGTAAAATTAAATGGTTCCAACTGATATTAAAATAAATTCAAGAAATAGACCACAAACTGTTCATCAACTTCCTCTCATATTATCAATCCTTGACGCATCGTATACTCCATATTTGTGCATAGTGCTTTGGCGGAGAAGAAGCACGGATAAATCTCTATCGCGGGCTTATCAGTTCTGCCATCGGCAACTTCTTCCCTCCCAACTTCTTGCTCCCCTTCAGCGGCCATCACATCCTTGTGCGCCTCCTCTCTCTACGGCCCTATTCCCCAGAAGCGTCGTCTTCTGAACCACAAATATGATGCACCCCTCTCGACAAGCTTACGTTGAGGAGGCGGAGGTGAGCAATCTACTCCCCAATGGACATTCCTGAAACTGTTCAAGCTCCTACAATCGCTCCCCCGCGAGCTCTATGATCTTGAATCATTATGGCGCGTTCTTATACATTATATAAATTTCTACTGGATAGCTAGCTGACCTGCACTGCTGTATTACAGGACACAGATATGGGAATCGATCTGGCCAATATTCGTTAGTTTACCTCCCCAGTTATGTCTCTCTTACTTCTACTGACTGCGCAATGACAGCCACCGACCAAGACTATGAGATCCCGGCTTCTGCAGCGGGGATTCCCGCAGAACGAGCCTCCGCCATATATTCCCAATTCGAGCGCAAACGTAGAGCAGCTGCCATGGCAGTGCCGACGGACGATACCAGGGTACGCGCACGGTTAAGAGAACTCGGTGAACCCATTACATTATTCGCAGAAGGACCAGGGGACCGTCGAGATCGATTGCGCGAGCTTTTAACGGATCTATCAGAACGACAAACTGGCGAGGGAGATGTTGAGATGGAAGAAGTCGAGGAAGAGGAGGTAGAACAACAAGAGGAATTTTACACCGAAGGAACAAATGATTTACTGGAAGCGCGCAAAGACATAGCTCGATTTTCTTTACCGAGAGCCAAGTCCCGCGTGGCGCGACTCAAGGACGAATCAACAATTCCACTCCGAACACATGTGAAGCATCGCAAAGCAATCAAAGAAAAGCTTCAAGGGTTCGACCTTTATGGTTCTCAAATTGCGGGAGATCGCCCCGTTAGTGTTTGTCGATTCGCACCAGATGGACAGACTATTGCAGCTGGAAACTGGAGCGGAGGTATCAAGCTGCTGTCAGTTCCCAATCTGGAGGAGAAGGCAAGTTTTAAGGGACATACAGACAGAATTGGTGGACTTTCATGGTTTCCGGGTGCTACGCTTGGTCACTCCAACGTCTCACCCTCATCGGTCAATCTCATGTCCGGTGGAGGCGAAGGAAACATTAATCTATGGGCGCTTGATCAAGACAAGCCGTTGGCAACGCTGTCCGGTCACTCCGGCCGTGTTTGCCGAACAGAATTTCACCCCTCAGGGAAATATGCGGCATCCGCATCTTTCGATACTACTTGGCGCTTATGGGATGTGGAAACAACGACAGAGCTACTTCTGCAAGAAGGCCATTCTCGCGAGGTATATGCGGTAGCATTCAACAACGATGGATCTCTTGTTGCTAGCGGCGGTCTGGACAGTATTGGTCGTATCTGGGATTTGCGAACAGGGCGAGCAGTTATGGTTCTTGAAGGACATATCCGCGAGATCTATGGGATGGATTGGGGTGTGGACGGCTATCGGGTGCTTTCAGGTTCTGGAGATGGATGGGTCAAATGCTGGGACCTGCGACAAGTGCGCAGCACCGGTGGAATTGGTGCACACAAGAGTTTAGTATCTGACTTGCGATGGTACAAGGGTTCAGATGCAGCCTCTTATCTGCCCTCTGCAGATGTTTCAAACGGCCAAATGGATGTTGATGGCGACTCGCCAGCGACAAGTGATACCGTGACAAATGTGCCAGTTGAACCGAAGAAGGCTGGCACCTTTTTTGTGTCCAGTGGGTTTGACAGGAACGTGAATGTCTTCAGTGCCGATGACTGGTCTCTACTCAAGACATTGAGTGGGCATTCTGGCAATGTTCTCAGTACAGATATCAGTGATGATGCCAGGTGGATTGCCAGCTGTGGCCATGACCGAACAGTAAAGCTCTGGGGCATTGAGTAAGTTCAAGTCGAATATTCATTGCTTGATAATCGACAGGCTTTTTTTTGTCACTGAATATTTCCCACACATTGACCTGTGAAACTAAAAAAACTTGCATTTAACATACCTGCCATGTACCCTAAAATTAGCCAGACTCTTATAATTCAATCAAAAGCTATCAAACCAACCATGAATCTATAGTATACGCGAGTATCCAAAGCCTGGAATCAATGTATAAAAGTCACGTGCACCAAATGCGGGGATGACGTAAGGCCTTCTTTTCCGCGGCCGCAATCTGTATCGCTCTTCTAAACTTTGACTCCTCACGACTAGATCCTGCGTCCTAGATTTCATTATGGCAGGAAGACCACAGAGCTTGGTCCGGCAAATACGCTGCCCAGCAACAACCCGGTCCTTTACATCATATTCCCGCCCCAGCTTGAGTTTGAGTCCCAAAAACCCTCGCAGTGCATGTGCGCCTTATCAATATCGCATGCGGCCCACTCAAACCTCAACATTCGCTCCAAAAACCCCAGAGCTTTCTATAAACTCCATATTTAACCGTCGCCGTGCATCCACAAACACCTCATCAGAACCCTCCGACTCTGCCGAAACAAGCGTCACAGGAGCGCCCGATATCACAAATTATTACACAATCTTCACCCGGACAATCCCCACCGGGCCCCCACCAGCTTCAAGCTTCGATATTTCAGCCAGCGATCTTCGTCGCGAATTTCTTCAATTGCAAGGTCTAGTGCACCCAGACAAATACCCCGCCGGTGAAATAAAGCAACACGCCGAGGCGCTATCAGCCCGCATCAACGAGGCTTACCGCACTCTTCTAGACCCGCTCCAGCGGGCACAATATCTCCTGCGAGAATGGCATGGAATTGATGTTACTGCCGAAGATGCATCAACTAAGCACGCACTTGATGCCGAGACCCTGATGGAGGTTATGGAGGTACAAGAAACAATTGAGGAAGTCGGCGCTTCGCCGGAAGCTGAAGAGGAAATTAATTCATTGAAGCAGGAGAACAAGGCGCGCATTCAGGCGTGTGTAAAGTCTTTGGGTGCCGCTATTGATCGCGGGGATATCGAGAAGGCAAGACAGGAGTGTGTGCGTTTGCGCTTTTGGTACAGTGTTGGCGAGGGCCTTCACGAGTGGCAGCCTGGCCATACGGAGATTCGTCTTGTTCACGGCCACTAATTCTCAGGAATTAACATGATCTCTTGTATAATGAGCTGCTAGACATAAATTCTGGATATATGTACCATAGAATTGAAATACTATCCTCCCCATTCTCACTATATTACATGTTTCCTACCACTAAACTGCGAACTGTAGTGGATAGAGAAGTCCATTTTTCTATTGGCAGATATAAAACCAAGATATTTGCTAGTAATACATAATTTCACGTCACCTCAGCCGGCTTTCGCCTACGAAAATATTTTCAAAGCTGCAATAATTGATGGCCCATACTCGTAGGAGCTCCAGCCCAAAGCACCTACAGTTGCGAGAGCTGTTATGCTGAATCTAATGACCGCGGACTTGACTTTTGGACCCAAGAATCCCTGGACTAGAGCTTGAAACTTCTCAGGCTCATTTCGTCCAGGGTATTTTTCCTTGGGAACGGGGACTTCCAAGAAGGGGCAAATTGCTTCCCAGTCAAGATTGTCTTTCTCGAGATCAATGAGGCACAGGCGATCAGCTGGAATGGTGGCCTTTGCCCTTTTAATGCTGTTTGATATTTCATATTAGTACAGAGAGTTTGGCTGAAAGGTGAAGCTCTAAAACTTACTAGTCCTCATAGTACTTGCATAGCATCTTTTCGTTATCCTCGTCACCAATTTTCGTGCCCCCAGCAACAGATTTGTAGACCACGACATTCAAATCAAGGAAGTGATAAAGGACAGGCTCGAAGTACTTCAGAATATTGAATGGAAAGCGGAATCCCATGTTGGCGACTTGACCCGCTGTATTATTGACGGATTTGGCCCACTTCTCAGGGCTTCTCTCGGTAAGAATGAATTTCACATTGGGATCGTCCGCATAGGCTTCAATGAAGTCCATTCCCATATAGCTGGGGATTTCAACCAGGCACTGACATGCGTGAGAACGGAGCACCAGTGACATGAAAATTGGAATGAACTCACATCATAGTTAGCCAACCACTTTTCACAGTCCTTTCGATCGAAGCGTCTAACCCCAGAGAGCTGATTACACTGAGCAATGATTGCTTCCTTAAACACCTTGATGTGAGTTAAACCATTGACAGCAACACACTCGTAAATGTGGTATGTATTGTACCCTAGGATCTTCATTGCCATGTAGAGTCCAAGGGTTCCCGATCTGCAGACAGGGACAATTGGACCAATATTAGTTCATGAATCTTTGAGAATCATCTTAGACTTAAGTAAATTGGATATCTTACCGACTGGGACTGGCAACTATCACTTTGACCTTCCGTTGTGCCCCGGAGGGCATGGGCATTTGATCTACTTCTCGAGACATGTTGTTTAAACTTCACGAAATCAACAATAGAATTAGATAACAGGATATATCATAGAAAAGCTCTAATTGAAGAGAAATTTAAGAAAAAGACTTTCTATTTATAGCACTTGGTCGGATTTTAAAATGACATAGGACCCGATGCCTACATACACTCAGCCCTTTAGCTCAGCCGCCATCTGTCCTTGCCTGAACGTTTAAACTTTATATTCTAAGCGTTAGCGACGAGACTCTCACTAAGGTAATCAATCCAAGATATTGCTGTTCATATCGAGACTTAGCTCTTATGTTATACCCTGCTCTATGGTTGAAAGGAGTCGGACCCCACATGGAAGTAAGCTCTAGCAGCAATTTCGGGTTAAATGAGCCAATTGAACAGCATCGGCCTGAATAGCGGCGGGTCCGTGTATACGAGATGTCTTAACTTTCTCAGCCGCACATGGGTCAGGGCTCATTTTCTGGGGATATTGAGCTGGTCATTGCGCTTTTGGGATAAAGGGGTCCAGTGTCATCGTTCATCTGGCTGGTGATATTGACAAGGATAATTTAGCCTAAGCCGACGGGAGATATTACACATTTCAGCCTTCCTGAATCGTGACCTTGGTACGTTGGTCAGATTATGTTTAGTCGTAGCCCTATTCTCATATATGGGAAACCTGCTTTTTGGAATTGCAGCGAAGTGGAAGATGTCTCTTGGTCCAACTTGAAGAAGAATTATATTTCTCCACAGATCGCTATCATTATAGAGACCGATGAAATCAAAAGGCTGCTTCTAGCAAGCTCTAGTATGTACTTTTCAAGTTCAAGTTATTGCTCCACTCTCTCTATTCAGCAGTCCCCGCCAAAGACTAACCTGTATACAAACATACAAACATACAACGGAGAAGCAATACTGAAGGACTGTCTTTTTAAATATTGGAATTGACATATAGTCGTATAGAGCCAGTCTACATAGTAGTCAATTTTGAATATTTAGAGTCTTATAATATCTCCATAGCGTTACCTGTTCGTCTACAATGCATGGCCAGAGAATGCTTCTTCTATGAAGGGGCGGGTTCAACCCAGCTGTCTACATCCCTTCAAATGTGTAGTATCCGTTTTCATCAATAATTTCTACGAAATGATAAATTCTTCTTAGTCATTTCTATCATGATGATAGTTCGATATAACTAACGGTGCAATTTAGCTCATCCTCCACCTTACCTTGTTGGTTTTTAAGTTGATTCGCCATTGTTTCTCCACTATGACGAATCCTATCTTATCTCAGGGTTTCAATAGCTTCCAGCATAGTTTTTATCACCACTCTCTATATTTGGCAATGAAAATCCGAAATAAATAAAACTGAAATAAAGAAAGCCAATGAAATATCACTCAAGGCTGAAACAGTATCTTGGGTGGAGTTGCGATCCATACAGGGAAATTGGTGGATTCCCGAACACCATGAACATCCACGCATCATAGGGACAGACCGCCTCAAAATTTGAATTTATCAAGCAAAGGAAAGCGAAAGAAAAAAGTGAAGCTACGGGCATACATGACGAATACCGACCTGTGGACAAATCAACTAGTGAGGCCCGCAGTTGGGTTTCTCTGAAGGCTGGGATTGGGCACGAACGGCGGATGCCCATCCATTCAAGTGCAGCGACCCCGAGAAAACCGAACGCTTTTGGACCACGATGGTTTGCCCTGAAACAAAAACTGCAGCCATGCTGCGGCATGCATCTAAGAAGAAGCGGACATGGGTGTTCACGGAGTTCTATGATGTTCTTTTGCATATGTTCGTAAAGGGTTCAATACACACAGAAGACTTGCAAGGTTGTAGAATATGTTTCGACCCCCAGGATGGCGCCTTTGAAGCTCCAATAGGTACCTAATCTATTCAAAGTAAGTAGTAGTTTGAGGGATTCAAGTCGGTCTGCTGGCATGCTGGCGTCGGTGATATTCCACCCCCACACACCCATCAGGACTGCACACGTAGCAGACTAAAAGGACTATCTGGGTCGCTTAAGGCGCGTGAGCAACCTTGGTGATTTAGCCCAAAGCTCCCTACAAACATTTAAAGCAGAATTAGTATCCCATAGCTGTAGAGTACAATATTTCCTCAGTAACATATAGCCATTTCAGCCTGTAGTACATACCTAACTGACCGCAACTTGGTGCATCAGCTCCTCATGGACTCCACTCCGGACTATACTAGGTGTGTATCGACAAAGGCCCCAGCTAAAACCCGCATTGTCTTGGAAAAAGAATTTGGCTAACTCACACAATTTCAATCATGATCACAGTATAATTCTTTCGCCTTCCTTTACCTTCCTCGTTGGCCCGAAACACACGAAGTTGACAATCCAGTCGGCTTTGGCCCAGCATGTCTCCAAACCATTGCATAATCTCATGAACAATGGATATACTCGAGAGTCAAAACATCGCATCGCAGTATTAGAGGAAGAGGACGTCGAAACATTTGTCGCTTTCTGTGAATATGCATACACAGGTGATTATAATGTGCCTCAACTACCAGCTCATAGAGAGGAAGAAAGGATAAGAGTTGCCATTGCCGAAACTGCAACAAGCCCTGCAAAGTCCTGGAGAGGACTTCATCGCTCTGACTCTATGTCCTCGGGTGTACCCCCTCCGGCGCCATCTCCACCTCCCGAGTCTGTCGCATCCGTTAGCCAGACTGTGAAACCACAGAATGAACCCGAGCCTGTAATCGAAGAGGAGCCAACGGCAGATGCAACGGCCGTAAAAGAGGAAGAAACTGTCTCTCAGGAAAAAGAGGAAACCCAAGTCGAGCATGAGTCACAAAATACGCCAGAAGAACCGGTCGCATCTCTCCAGACTGAAATAGAGCTGGAGGACGCTGCGCAGGAGCCTGGTATGAATGCAGGTCCAGTTAATGAAGCCGACGAACTGGAAGATCAGAGTCCTGCGGAGAAAAAGAAGACAAAAAAGCTTTCAAAGAAAAAGAAGAAGCATGCTTCCAAACCATCGACAGAGGAGGCAGTTGTGAATTTGACACCGCCATCGACACCGCCCCCCGAGGCCCCAATGGAAGTGAATGAAGCTCCTGGGGAAGCATCGACCCCCGAGCAAGCCTTTGAGGAGCCAGTTGGAAGTGGGGAGGCGAGTTGGTGGGAAGAGCCTACAGCAGCAGAGCCAGAGACGACCGAAACCCACGAGCCATATGAAGCCGAAGCTCAAACCGAAACCGGGCCTGAACCAGCGCCTGATTCCGAGCAGGTGAGAAAAGCTGAGATCTCCGTGGAGGAGTGGACAGAGCCAGCAGAAGATCAACCAGCGGAGGATACTCTTCAACAAGATCAATGGCACGAGAGTAATGGCGAAACGGAAACGGAAAAAGAACCGAAACAAGCCCCTCCGACACCATTCATTGATATGTCTTTCGCCAAACAATCCCAGTCCGACTCCTCGCCTCGCACCCCCGGCTTGAGTCTATGGGATGAATTTGCTGGACTCCAATACGAAGACGAAAAGCAAGACTCAAACCAAAACACCCCCAGTTCCTCAACCTCAGACCTTCCCTATCTCACCTTCCATGCCAAAGTGTACGTGTTTGCTACACGTTACCTCATCCCAGCACTGGCACAGCTTTGTCTAAGAAAGCTCCACCGGGATCTTCTGAGTCTTGCATTAGAGGATGCGGATACCATGAACTCAATGATGGATTCCCAAGTATTCGACAACATGACTGCACTTCAGATCCCGATGGTTCTGGATTTGTTGCGGTACGCCTACACAAAGACAACAAGATTAGAACCGATCTCACCTACCTCTGCCACACAGCTTCGGGAGAATGAGCTTCGACGATTGATCGCTCATTATGCCGCCTGCAAGGTGAAGGAGTTGGCGCGTTATCACTTGCCTGGAGACAGTGGAGCAGCCACTCCCGCCGTTCGACCGACAGCTGCCAAAGGACATCGGATTGAGGCTACACCCCCTAAAAGCCTTCGATCATTACTAGACATGACCCCAGAGCTGGCCTCTGATCTTGTCTACCGAATGATGTAAACGCAATTGAACGGAAACGTTGGGTTGGGGATGATAGAGTGGGGTTCCAGAGATTACCCACTATGCCGAGTATGACGGTCTTGGTATTGCGCAATTCTGACCATTCTATTTCCTTTGTTATGTGTTACTGTTTTGCATCATTCCGGTTTGTTACTTAAGGGGGCGCTTGAGTTGTTTCAATGACGCGGAGTATCTTGGCTGTTGTTTAGAGTTTGTCCATTATCTATGTGATTTATGATACATTTATGAACTTGGCATTGCTGCATGAATTGAAAGATAAGGAACTAATCCAGTGTTTGAATAATGGAATCTGATAATTCAATAGAATGAGGCTTTGTAATTGAAAATTGTAGACTGGGGGGCACTTGATTGATTGATTGTCTCGATCTCGATCCACTTTCCTCCGTATGGCATGGCGACTCTGGGCATTCTTGGCTGCCTAATGTAGTCGTCAATTCTGATTCTCAAAATTAAGCATGAACCTGGGCTCTGAATCCTCTGAGCCTGATTGCCGCGTCAGTATAGGTGCCGAGTTAGTTCTTGGCGTAACTTTGCGATCAATAGTGCTGGCTGGCGCGGGGGCTGTGTAGATAAGAGCCCTGGAGATGTTCAGGGGCATAAAATCTACAGGGTTAAGAAATGCCCAATTATGCCCACTCAATCCCCGCAAAGATCATGCTATATACAAATATTGATACACTGTACTAAACTTGATAACATTAATATACTCTATTCAATTATATGATGACTTATGAGGAGAGGCGGTGTTGTGTTTTCAATTTCAAAGTTTGGGTTAAACAACATCATGATTGAAGTATATATTATATCTCATAATAGTAACTGTAGATAGTAGTTCATTGCCTTATCGATTGATATAATCGAGCGATTTTTAAATCGAATTATATCCTCGAATTCCAAATTAATGCATCATTTTCGTTGCCATCGCCCCTTTCATTCACTTTTCTTCACTGCCACGGTGAAGCTTGGCAGCGGTCCGTCTAACGATGCACCGTCGATCATAACTGTCTTGGCTCTTGGCTATGACATTTTAAGTCGATAAGTCAGTTTTTGAGTGAATCCACATTATCGCCCGTCAGTTCCCATTGAGGTCGACACGACCGTAAGAGGTAATCCAAAAATAACCTTGCATCAACTCTGTAAGGATATGGAGTACTGCCAATTAGTGGCCACTCTCTAGGCACTGTTTCACAAAACCTGACATGTTACAGGCAACATATTCTCAAGAACAGGGAAATTCTTGGCTACAGCTGCAAAACGTTTTCCCGTCTAGGCGTCAAAGTTTCTTTAGACCTAGTCCGCTCTATCTATACTGCCAAGGCCTTTGTTGTTTAACCACCCTCCCGTTTCTGGCTACCTCGGGCATTGGCACGTCTCCATATGCCACAACAGGCATTCCAATTTACCCGCCAGTATAGTCTTTGCCGAGACTGATGATCCAAGCCGATCTACTATTGATATCTTGGCGACTACGCTCATTCGCTCGGAAGACCACGTTCATGCTTGGAGCCTTGTTCGATTTCCAGGAGGCGAACTCCCTTCTATACTCTGCAGGCTGTGCATGGTTCTTGGTGTTTTCGTGGCTGTAGAATACTAGCAAATTCTTGGTGAACAGCCTTTGTGCTTTTGGGTGTGTAGATCTCATTTGGTTTTAGACTTTAAATTGGAAGCTCGCCGCCCTTCTCGAAATCAATATCAACTTCAAGACTCCATTCACAGCATCAATCATTTTCAGCATTGCGATTTATTTCTCGTCTTTCATATAGACTTATACTTCATACACTCATTCTTTACTCTAAAAAGCACTCTACCACGATCTATTTCTGCTTTCGTCTCTCCATCTCACTCTCACAATGTCCAGTCCAAGTCTCCTAGGAGCAGAATGCTACGAACTACCTCCCCACTCCTCCCACTCAGATACTCCATTCATGGACGCGGAAAAGAACCACAAACAATTACGGCTCGGCTTCGGCCATCGACTACGGCATTTCACATGGGCATGGTATACATTGACCATGAGTACGGGCGGATTGGCTCTTTTGATAGCCAGCCAACCTAATCGGTTCAAAGGCCTAGATGAGATGGGTCTCGCAATCTATATATTGAACTTGGTCATGTTTGCTCTTGTCTGTTCATTGATGGCAGCAAGATTTATTATTCATGGTGGATTAGTCCAGTCACTCAAGCATGACCGCGAAGGACTCTTCTTCCCAACATTTTGGCTTTCAATCGCAACCATGATTACCGGTCTGGAACGATACTTCGGCGATAACCCTGCAAAGTCTTTCTCAACTACCCTCGAGGTTTTATTCTGGCTATATTGCGTTTGTACCTTTGCCGTTTCCGTCCTCCAATATTCCTACCTCTTTACCTCGGTCGAATACCGCCTGCAAACCATGATGCCTTCTTGGATCTTGCCAGCCTTTCCCGTTATGCTCAGTGGTACAATCGCCTCCGTCATCGCTGAGAGACAACCTGACCGGTCAGCCATCCCTATCGTCACAGCTGGAATGACCTTCCAAGGTCTGGGATTCTGCATTAGCTTTATGATGTACTCACACTATATTGGCCGGCTGATGGAGTCTGGCCTCCCCAACCGTGAGCATAGACCCGGTATGTTCATTTGTGTCGGCCCGCCGGCATTCACAGCATTGGCGCTTATTGGCATGGCCCGTGGCCTACCGGAGACCTTCAAGGTGATGGGCAGTGAGGACACAGCGGCTGATGGCCGAATGATCGAGATCTTGGCCCTGGCAGCAGGCGCCTTCTTGTGGGCCCTCAGCCTATGGTTCTTCTGTATTGCATTAATTGCGGTCATTCGGTCGCCACCTACAAGCTTCCATCTGAGCTGGTGGGCAATGGTCTTCCCAAATACTGGATTCACTATTGCCACTATTACCCTTGGCAACTCGTTTGAGAATGCGGGTATCAAAGGATTTGGCTCAGCGTTATCTGTGTGCATAGTTTGCATGTGGCTGTTCGTCTTGGTCAACCTTATTCTCGCTATTATTAGACAAGATATCATGTATCCTGGCAAGGATGAAGATATCTCGGAATAGTTCAGAGCGTTTCATTATTTTTGTTGACTTTTTCATTCCTTCTCCAACGTTGATATACTATTAGATTCCCTCACTGTATATATATATATAGAAAACTCTCTGATATTTACCAATCTCAGTACTTATTCCCTCAGGCTCCCCGCGGGTATAAAAGATGATCAATCTTCCATTTACACTCCAAAATTCATATCACTCTTTTGCAAAGCGTCGCTCAACTCAAAGGCTCTCTATAAATTGCCAAATCTATCCGTCATAATATACCGACTATCCATCCATCATGTCTATCACATCGGCTGTGGCCATTCCAACCATCACATGCAAGGCAACCGATGATAGATATTTCACATATGACGAATCCAACAATAGCTATAATAGCGAAGCCAGTCAACAACGTACGAGTCTTTCCAAAGCCATTGGCCAAGACGAAGTCACAAGAGAAAAGTTGCTACATGCCCTCGACTTCTCAGGAGGGGACTGGTTCCAGAAGCCTGCGCCGAAGAAACTGAATCCCACCACTTGGGTCTCTGACGTGAGCAATGATCACTCGCCTTGAATACTCTATTGCGTTATCCCAGCACAGTGGGGAATGCGAGTTACGGTTTTTGATCCAGGCCCAACCCGACGGTGAGGAAAACAGTCGAACCGCTGTTCAAAATACTACCTCCCGTTTGACTGCGGATATAGAGATGAAGTATGGTCCTAGAAAATTCTGCCTCGAACATATGAAGCTTATTGGAGATTTTTTCTTTCCTTCTGATCCACAAGGCAACCTAGCGTCGTGGCACAGCTTTGCTACCTCAAAGACTATGGAAAAGTGGAAGATCTACTTGAACCCACGGGCCTCTGGCATGGAAAACACTTTCAATACCACGCAACAAGCTCTGGAGCGTCTAGGGTTAACCGAACCATAGAAGTTATTAGAAAACATAATGACATGCGGCGATTACCCTATATACTTTGCACTCGGTTTATCTCCAGATCCTGAAGATGCCGAGGTTACGGTATTGGGAAGATAAGGATTTGGGGTTGATATCGTACATTCTTCCTCCAGATCATTTATACACAATAGAACTCTTTTCTACACTTCGAACATAAAATTTCAATGAGTATAGTATAAAAGCCGTAAGTGTGCTATCCATATGGATATTCGTCCATTCATAGTGATTCATCGTGGTTAATTCACTATTTCCAGTTGTTCCAATATCATATCATTCCCATTGTACTTCAATCGGAATAATAGCTCCAGCGATACTAGTCCCAATTAAACCAAAATGATCAAACTCATTCAACTTGAGGCTACCGTTCAACCCATCAGGTCGGTTCTCACCTCACCTCACGGTATAAATACCTCGATTTTGTCTCCTTCTTTTCCTTTCTTCCCAACTACCCAACCTCTCCTCCCACATTCCCTCGCCCCCCTCCAATATGAAAGCACTTCTTGCTCCTGTTTTCTTGGGGTGGATGTCCTACAAGACGTTCCTATTCGTCTTCACGCACTTCACGCGTGTCATACAAAGGGGCCCATCTCTGACCTGTTGAGTTGGGCCTTCGATCAGGTAAGATCTCTGATGTCTCTAGTTGAACCGACCATCCTACTTTCTCCCAACTCCTTCTTCCCCTTTCTCCTCTAGAGTTCATCACCTGTTCCCTGGACATGCTTCACCTCCTAGAAAAGCTTGCCAACTTCGAGATCTTACCAGCATTTTGCTCACTGGCGGGGGCCCGGTTTTCTTTCTCTCTAGGAATTTACTTGACCTTCGATGCTTCAGATGACAATGTCTCGCTGATGCTCTTCCGATAGGCGAATGAAGCTCTTCTAGACTAGGTAAGATCCCTGGTGTCTCTAGTCGAACGGATCCTGTTTTATTCCACCTTCTATGTCCCCCTTCTCCTCTAGAGCTCATCACTTGTTCCCTAGATAGGATACGAGTGTCAATGACGAGATCTTACCAGCAATTTGCTGACGCGGTAGATTCGCGCTTCTCTTCTTCTGGGATTCGGAATGCGCTCCTCATCGTCCTCGGGTCTGTCTCAATCATCGAGAAGCACATCAAGCTCTATGGTTATTTGAATGGAACTCATGGCATAGCAGGATCAACATATTGTTGTGGATGTGGGGTTGAGGCTGAGTGAGCTCTGGATTTTACCGCACGTGCGCCTCCCAGTGTACAATGTGGTAGTTTATTGGATAAATTTGATCGAGTCTTTTCATTATCCTTGTTTCTTCCTCTCTTGATTCCAACTTTCTATATGATATTGTTTGGATCTTCATGCACTTCACAATTGGTATGATACGAGGAAGAAGAAACAGAAGGAAAAGGAGGAAAAACAAACAGTGAAATTGCAACAAATTAGCCGTGGGGAAATGATAAAAAAGCTGATCTCCCGTATCCACCAATACAATCTCACCATATCGTTGGTCAACAGCTGTACGTCCTCAACCACAGCCTCGTCCCTGTGGGGCTCTCTTCCACATCATTTTCACAAGCTTTCTCAACAGCTCGAGGAAGATATTCGTGGATCGGCAAACGCTCGCCGGTCGCCAACCTCAATACCCAAATCGCTGCACTTTGAAGCTTTCCTTTTATCCTCCACGTGAGAATATTCTCTATCAAAACAAAGGTAGATAGACCGCTAATAATATGACAGCCCCAAGCACGAAAATCAACTAAACATGGACATCAGCCATGACCTGTCCCGCCTCAAAGGGAGAACATTATTGATAACAGGCGGCGCATCCGGCTTTGGCGCTGCCTTCAGTGCTCGTTGGGCATCCGCTGGTGCCACTGTGATAATCGGCGATATCAATCCATCCGGAGAAGAAGTTGCCGCGCGAATCCGACAGGAAACCCAAAACTCCAATGTTCATTTTATCCAGCTCGATGTCACATCTTGGACATCACAGGTGAACTTCTTCCGTGAATCTGTTCGGTTAAGCCCCCACGGTGGAATCGATGCGGTCGTCGCAAACGCGGGGATCAACGATGCTCGGGAATCTAAAGCTTTCGAAAAGCCTGATGCTGATTACTTGAATGATCCCAACCCGCCGGCGCCGACTTTTAATACGCTTGATATAAATATCACTGGCGTTATGTACACGGTGCATCTAGCGCTGTTCTTCTTACCGAAGAATCCCGGTTCGGAGCACTGCGAGAGTGAATCTGTCAATGAGTCAGGAAGAGACAGACATATACTGCTGCTGGGCTCCGTTGCAAGTTTACATCCGCTCATGACACAGATTCCATATACCGTGTCGAAGCACGGCGTGCTTGGATTGTTTCGGTGCTTGCGAATCTCTGCAGCGGTCGAGGCGGGTATCCGGGTGAATATTATCTGTCCATACTATACCGATACCCCGTTTATGCAAGCGCCTGTTCGGGGATTTTTGGCTGGAGTTCCGCTTGGGAAGATTGAGGATGTTGTGGATGCTGCTTCGTATTTGGTTGCAGATACCTCATGTATAGGTCGCTCGTTGGTTACGGGGCCAAAGCTGCCATCCACTGAATTGACTGGTGCCAATGAACAGGAGGGTCCAATTTGGGAGTGCTATCTACATGATTGGGAACCGGCAGATGTGTTTACTCGACGGATGCTGACAGCTGTCAATGCGGGCATTAAGGCAAGGGGATGGGCTGGCTGGGCGTATGATATGGCTGGTGCATTGACTTGGCCAGTCCGCCGATGGTGGAATTCTAAACCTCAGGAGAAGCCTCGACGTGATTGATTTGATGTGCCGGAGGCGCGATAAGGTCAATTGGTTTATAAGTTAACAGTAACATTCAGATTGACCAGCGTCAACGTGACAAGATTAATATTGGAAATTTCTTTTATTTTTTTTATAACACAGTATATACAGAAAACCCAACCCAACTGGAAGCGCCGTAAAATGCGATGCAAAGACAAAGATGTTGACTTTTAGTGGTGAATAGTAAGAGACATCGGGTATCATGATATTCAGATCGAGAGAGAAGCAATTGATGACACGGTAGTGCTAGATTCCACCGTACTGCAACTCAGAATTCAAGCTCGCTATCCCAAAAAGAGCTTTGAAAGCCTCGTGGATCCACACGCGTCTGAATTGCACGTGTAAGAGTTTGACTTCGAAGTCCGTACATCCAACGACTTCGAGGCCATCACGGAGCCAGCAATCGTCTGCAGATGTGCCCACCCAGCAAAGACCGGGGGATAGAAAGCCAGTCCGAGGTGCTTCAAGTGCAACAAGACAAGCGCTAGTAATGGAATATCACCACTAGTAATTTAAGCAACCTTTCTGCCGACATTGCCAATACCACGTCCAACTACACTAATAATCACGTCACCGGTATCATTCTCACTGGAGGCATCACGAATACCCCAACCAGGTGCACCGAACTTCGACAGATCACGCGCAAGCTGGATCACATTAGGATCAGCGATCACTTCCCTGCCCACCTGCAAGCGGCCCACATCTTCGGAGCCCATAGTCATGAGAGTAAACATAGTTGTCGCAGCAGCAGGTGCCACACAGCCGCCCTTGGAGACAGTCTCTAGCAGCTGGTACGCACACTTCCTACCAATATCCTCAGGAGCCTCACCACCTGATGGCGGGGAAGCGACATCAGCCGAGAAGAGACAGCCAGTCGAAGACTCAGCGACTAGGGACAGACCGAAGCCGAGTCCAATCTTCTTCTTGGCATTAAGGTTGTTTCGGTCGTTGGCGGATATGAGAGGAGCAGATGAGACGTCAGAGAAAATGTAGGTATCGGGACTGAGCGGGTTGAGAACACCACGGCAAACGTCAATCATGCGGGCGTTATTCGAAGCTGACACACCGACGGAGTATGCGACACCACGGATGCGCTTTATGCGACCAGGGTTCATCAGATGTAATGTCTTCGGAACACGGATCTGATGACCAAAGGTGAATGACACTTCACCACCACCGCCACGACCGTTGGGGCCCGGGTTCGAGCGTCGGAGAATGCGGATTTCGACATTGTTGAACATGCCGAATTGGTTATAAAGCGGGAGGATGGCTGTGCGGACGCTGTCGACGGACATATCGCCGGTCGGAGTAGATGAAGTGATGACACCAGGACCGGTAAAGAGGACCTTCATGGGAGCTTTAGAGAAGGGAGCCAAGAGGCAGAGGGGAATCAAGTAGTAGCTGAGGCCGCGGTTGCAGCCCGAGGGCAATTCGTGTGTAATGACACCTCCACTAGCGCCAACACCTGTGCCACTACCAGTGATCAGACCGGGCTTGAAGACAACAATTGTACCGGTGTATGATATTTCCATTTGAGAGCCGTTGGTGACAGCCTCCAAGAGGCGGAGGAAAGAAATCTCATGAGGAGCTAAACCTGGGTTGGTTGGCGAGTTTGGACGAATTTGTGAGATATGCACGGTACGGCCGGTGAGGGTCGAGAGAACGAGGCGATAGAGCAGATTATGGTGTGAGGTAAACCTCAACGGAGGTTGTTGAGTGGCCATGATGTTGCTGTCTAGATATCACCTCTTCAACATCGAGACCGTTCAAGCTTCAGAAAAAAGAAAAATCGGGCGGAACGACGGGTTATTCCGTTCCGGTGCATCGGTTTAACTCCGACCTCTTATCACCGATCAGATAGCGGGATTGATGAACAATCAATGAGAAAGACCCTGAACTCACGCGACTCTGCTTCTTTTAAACTTACACATACACCTTTGCAACTCGCTAATCGACGGGTGCTATCTTCAAAATGCTGCCCCCTGCACTAAATATTCCCAAATGGTACGATATTCCCGATCTCGATCCCCATATAGTATGTGACAGACCAATTCACTCATCAACCCAATTCTACCCGGTGAATCAATGTGGGGTGATCGCAACGAACATCGTAGGAATTGAAGCGCAACGAACAAAACTTTCCATAAAGATAACTAACCATAAAAACGCTACTCCATCTAGGCTAGAAGCTAATTCTCATCTCCTTCAACCACCAGTCAACAACTACTGCGTGTATCACCCCTCATCTCCGGCAACCGCCGGTTATACTGTGATGATCGTCGGCGGGCCCAACGCGCGAACAGACTATCATATCAATACGACACCGGAGTTCTTCTATCAGTACCGAGGATCTTTACTTTTAAAAACAGTCGATACATCCACTACCCCACCTACATTTCAAGATATCCCTGTGCATGAGGGGTCTATCTACCTCTTACCGGCGAACACCCCACATTGCCCTGTGCGATTTAAGGATACAGTTGGTGTAGTAATGGAACAGCCGCGAGTACCAGGTGCAGAAGACATCATGCGATGGTATTGCCAGAAGTGTAGCGGAGTGGTGTGGGAAAAGCATTTTGTCTGCACAGATTTGGGAACACAGGTGAAGGCCGTTGTGGAAGAGTTTGGAGCAGACGAGCAGAAAAGACGGTGCAAGAGCTGTGGAGAGATAGCGGCGACGCGATACCAGGAAGGAGAATTGGTGCAGCCGCCCACGCATCCTGAATAAAGGGAATTTCCAATCCTTGTCTATAAAATACAGCGGAGTAAGGAGGGTGTATTCTATACGAAGAACTGGTAGTCAAGCCCAAGATGTATTATGAGAGATGAGCATGCCAATCCTACGAAGGGATGTTTGAATTGAACCGGTATAAGCCGGGTGCATATCTATTACTGCAGCCTATACGCCCTTGCTCGAAGTAGAAGTTTAAAGATTTGGAATCATGAAGATGATGTGAGTATGATAAATTATATTTATATTGCCTTCTAGAATCTAGCCAGAGTCTAGAGGAAGTATGGCACGGTGCAGAGATCTAAAGTATGATCTAGGTCGGGGGAATAGTGTCAATCCACATAATTTTGGACACTGGGATAAAAATGTGGTGAAAAAAGAAAAATGTAAAGAATAGAAAAGAGTTCGGGGATCAAAATGAACAAGGTGTATATCAACAAGCACCAAGGAATAGAAGAAAGAATGGGCAAGATCCGAAATGATAGAAGGGAATAATACATGGTGGAAACGAAGGTAGAAGGCATCGACACTCAGATCTCGTGCAACGCAGAATCGAAAAAAAAATAAAATAAAATGATGGGAAGAATTTGGCGAGAAGGAGAATGAGAAGGGATAAAAAGAAAACATGTACTAGAAAAGAGTCAAAATGCAACCAATATCATCCCCGGATAGGTTGCTAACTGATGCAATTCGCTCCAAAAAAGCCCCCAACAGAATCCATACAAATAATTTCAACCATGGGACATTATTCATCAAATGGACAATCGATACTCTCATGGCCATCTCGCTCACAGAGAGCACACCACTTGGACTCGTCAATGACTCCAGAGGACATGCCAGCCACAGGGGCCATAGAGTTCCCTAGGCCGCCAATGCCTTTCAGTCCCTCAAGGACAACATCCCGACCAGTCTTAGGGGATGGAGAGGGGTCTGCGTAGCTCTCGTTGCTTCCATTTTGGTTCGAATCGGCATGATCATCGGGCTTATTAGCTGAGCTATCGTTCGAGGCCTCTGTTGCTTTTGGATTGGCGGTGTGATCACCCGAACCAAACATGCTTGTACAGTTGAGAATATCATGGCCACCAGTCTCACATATCTCACACCACAAAGCATCATCATCAGAAGATCGTTCAGACTCAGGCATGGGCTCAAGTCGTGGCTGGGACGAGTTGGATATACCGCGATTATGCTGGCGGGGTTCTGAAGGAGCATCGTGCCACTCAGGAGGGACCACTGTGCGGTCAGAGAGACGGTGTGAATTATTAGCGTTGTTTCCCATGGGCATGTTGCCTTGGGAGTTCGATGGCTTATGCTGCTTTGGCGGGGAAAGGGTGACAGTTGAACTGCGATTGCGACCCCCTTCACTGGAGCTGACTCGTAGCTCTTGTAGCTCACGCTCAAGCTCTTCAATACGGGTGTCTTTAAACCCAGTGTTGCCTTCGGCTTCTTGTAGACGTTGCTCCAGTTCAGAGATCCGCTCCGTTTGTTCATTGTGAGCATCTGCACCATTTTCATTCGGGTTCGCAGCATTGGGGTTCCCGCGACTAAGAGAGTGGATGATGGCCTTGAGGCCGCGGATTTCGTCGTCTTTCTGCTCCAGATCATTTGAATGCCGGGGACCGTCTGCTGCAGCCTGTGCATCCTTCAGTGCTGCCGCAGAATGATCCCGTTCCTTTTTCAGTTCTAGTTTGGTCCTTTCGACTTCACCACGAAGGAATTCAACCTCGCCTCTAGCTTCTGCTTCACCTCGACGGGCATCTTCAAGCCCCTCTTCAAGTTCAGAGACCAGCTCCTCCAATTGCTTCAATTGCTGGGCAACAATCTCGACATCCTCGCCGCGGTCCTGCAACTCCTTGTTCTGGTGCATGAGCTCATCAAGACGCTGTTCGTAGACACGCTCGGTTTCAGACGCAGCAATCTCCAATGTATCAAGCGTACTCCGGAAATCCGCGCGGTGTCCATCAAACTCCGCGGTCAACTGGTTAATGCGTTCGTTCCTCTCACGAAGCTGAACACGGATCGAAAGAGCATCTGATCCTTCCATCTCCTCCATTGCCTTTTGAAAATCGCCCAAAATCTTTGACTGTTCTTCCAATTGCTTGTCCCGGTCAAGCAACTGCTTTTCCAGCCCTTTGACCTGGTCCCTCAACTGTTGTGTCTCGGCGGACGAAGGTCGTGGGAAGTCGGAAGGTCTCCCGTACGACGAACCACCATCATCATCCACGCTCAGTCGGGACGGTGGTCGATCTGACAGTCGCGAAGGTGCCTTGGTAGGGCTCCGTTGGTAGCCATTGGATGTCTTCGACGCGGCGGAGGGAGTGCGCAAACCACTTAAGCTCAGTTTGGGAGCAGGAACGCGTGGTGATTCGGGACGAGGAAGTGATGGACGACGGATCTTAGGACGAGGAGTGGACAGGCTTGGGCCAACTGACTTGCTGAAGTTGGCAGGCGGGGCACGCGCAGGAGTTGTAGGCACGGCGAAATTGCTGGAGGTAGATCGACGAGTAACATATTTGCTATTGTTCATGGGTACAAAGATTCCAGAACCTGGAACCGATGTTGCAAAGTATTTCCGACCCTCCACATCACCACTATTTTTACCTCGTGAAGAATACTCGCTGCTCAACTCGATGCCCGCAAATTTACCGGGCTTCCCTGCCACGGACCCCAAATATTTCACAGTGCCAAACATACCCCCAGGCACATTGACGACGTCACCCACTTGGACATCGTCGAGGGCCGCCATGGCTTCGGGGGACTTATTTGGAAAAGACGTATGGGTTGTGTGGTTGTTGTTAAGAGTGAAGTTTGAACCAGCGAGTGCGGAGCGACTTTAGTGAGTTGTTTGTTTTGTCAGGAGAAATGTTAGGCTCTTAGCCCAACCTCGAACCATAGGGACCCGACAGAATATTAAAGAGGGTAAAAACAGAGAGAAATGTACCATAGAATAGAATTAAATTCTTCCAAATGACTCTCCTATACAAAAGTTCCCTTCAAGAAAGGGGGAAACAACAAACCCATGGATACAGCACTTCTCTTGCTTGTGCTCCACTTGGCGTAATCCAATCTCCATTCTCCATCCGCTCGTCCTCTTACCTCTTGCATCTCCCCCCCCAATCTCCCCTTACCTCTTTCAAACTGGATCTTCCCCTTGTCATTTCTGTGTATTTTACTTAAAATCCTGCAGCATATTACAGGAAAACAAGACATAATCACCAGACGCATCTATTTGCACCCATCCAATCATTCCGCCACTCAAGCCGATCTGTCAGATCGGGGCCTATACTAGCCATGGCGCAGTACTTCTTCGACCTCCTCTACAATTTCACTGATTGCATGTGCTGTTTCCCCAGCTCGCCGCAATTGAAGATCAATAATCGAAGCTTTAAATTACTCCGGCTCCTAGGCGAGGTATGAAACAGCCCCCAAGGCGACGCGACGAAAGGTTGCGTGGCTTGTATACTGACAGATTTATTTCCAATCGAATAGGGCGGTTTCTCCTACGTCTACCTCGTCCAAGACAAATCCTCCTCCGAACTCTTCGCCTTGAAAAAAATCCGTTGTCCCTTCGGTCAAGAATCGGTGTCGCAAGCTCTGAAAGAAGTCGAAGCATACAACCTATTCACCTCGCAAGCCAATATCATCCATTCAATCGATCATTGCGTTTCCACAGAGTCAGGCTCTACATTCCGATCCGACGGCGGCGATGCTGGCTCCAAGACCGTCTATATTCTACTACCATACTATCAACGAGGAAACCTCCAAGATGCTATCAACGCGAACTTGGTCAACCACACCCGCTTTCCAGAGAAGCGGTTGATGATGCTGATTCTCGGGGTAGCCAATGCGCTTCGATCAATGCACCAGTATCGTGTCAAAAGCGGTGCGGAATCCACCCGCAAGGCGAGAGGCGTTCGCGCGGAAGGCGAGGAGGCGGATTCGGAGAGGACCATGCAAATGAAACCGAAACGGCGATCGACTAATCGTCCGCAAGAGGATGACGACGATGAGGAGAATGAACCCTTGATGGACGATGAAGTGACACAAAGCCAGGAAGGTGTTCAGGATGGTGACTTGCGTCCCTATGCGCATCGCGATATCAAGCCTGGTGAGCTACATGTCGAGGTAATTTCAAGATGTATTCGCATTTACTAATTTTTGGTCCTGCAGGTAACATTATGATCGACGACGACGGCCAATCTCCTATTCTCATGGATCTTGGTTCCTTGGCACCCAGCCCCATTGCCATTACCTCCCGGTCTCTAGCGTTAGCTGTTCAAGATACAGCCGCAGAGCACAGTACCATGCCCTACCGTGCACCCGAACTATTTGATGTGAAGACCGGATCAATTATTGATACCAAGGTTGATGTTTGGTCGCTAGGCTGCACGCTGTATGCATGCCTGGTCGGGAAAAGCCCCTTCGAGGCCCGCAGCGAGGAAACCGGTGGTAGTCTGAGTATGTGTGTTCTCGGTGGTGACTGGCGATTCCCAGATGAGAAGTCCAATGCTACCAAGGGCAAAGGAAAGGCCGGAGGTGACAGCGATGATGCGTCAAAGAGTAGCGGAAGCACCACAATCAGCGCCCCGGTCAAGGAACTCGTTCGCAAGTGCCTCCAGGTCGAACCCTCCGAACGCCCCGATATTGATGAATTAATCACCCTCATCAAGGAAGTGGTCACTCAATTGGCAGACGACGACGGAGCCAGTGCATCTCATTAGATCCATCCGCTCCTTCCACCAACTCTCTTCCCCGCCCTTTTCTACTCTCTTTGATTCTTCTCTATTCAATTTCGAATACCCGGCAGGCTCTGCTCAACCACCTTGTGCGCGATTTGTATTCTTTGGCGACCTGTACAGTATAGGCCGGACTCCGGTTATTTGGCATCACGGTAATTTGGCGATACGTATCCTGTTTGATTGTCATTGCATATTCTCATGGTATAAAATATATGCAATCTCAGTTTTATCTTCTTACAGACAGTAGCCAACAAGTACTTCACCAGTTCCCACAGAAGTAGATGATATTAGAGTAATCAGTTAAGATCTCTTTAATCTATGCCATCGAAAACAAAACCATCAGCAATCATATGACCTTTATAAGCATCTGTTTACAATTTACGGTAGTTATTCCCCTTTGTACGAAGTGGTCCATGTTTACGCATCTCGGGAAAGGCTTGCTCTCATCATGACGAAACATGTAACATGATGTTTTGGTTGTGTTCCCAGGAACATCTGCCCCTCTCCAAACCATCCCAATTCCCATTCATTACGCTTGATACTAATGCATCATGGCGCATCTAAGATGTGATACACAAGGGGCTCAGGTGGCAGAAATGTTCCCAGAACAAGTGAAGAACAAGACTTGTAAGCGACTGAAATACCATACCATCAAAAAAGGACAGAATATTGATATCAACCCGAACCAGTTGTACTCTCAGGTCTTATTCAAGGTGGCCTCGCTGCAACAACGGGTGACAATCTCGCCCACGGCGGTGCTGCTACGATCATCTTTACCGGACGCTCCCAGCCAGAGGGACAAGCAGTGATCGGGCACATCACCCGAAAGCACCCACAAACCAAGATGATCTTTATCCTGGCAGATACGAATAGTCTGTCCTCGGTATATGAAGCAGCGAAAGCGATCAAGGCGCTGGACGTGTCCATAGATGGGTTTATAGGATTCCCATCGGCGATGGCTGCACCTTGGGAGATCACGTTGGACGGAATAGAAAGTCATTTCCAGAGGAACTATCTATGTTTCTTCTTGTTAGTGACACAGTTGAAGATTCTTTTGCTCTCGGCTCCCGGGTCGTGTCGATGACAACCAGCATAAGGCGAGATGCGCCTGCACCGAAATGGGATAATGTGAATTTTTCAGTTAGTCTCTTCTCCTCGATTGATCTTACGATGTATCCTTGCTGAGCTGTGCTGTTGTTCAGGATGGAGAAAGTTATCATCCCCTCGATGCGTATACACAGTCCGCGTTTGCGAATATACTGTTTGCAAAATCTCTTGCACAAGCATATCCTTCCCATGCAGCCTTCTCTGCAAATCCAGGCAGTGAGTATATCATATCGGAGCGTTACTGTATTCCGAATTCTCATCAATACAGATACGAAGGCCAATTTCCAAACATATGTATCATCCGACGAAGTCTGCGAGTGTTTACAACGCAAAAAAGATGGTATGTAAACCTTGGAATCCAGCCAATACGGTTCTCCTTGCGTCATCCTGATAATCTGCTCTATTCCAGAGGGACAAGAGTTGCCAATTCTTCTCCAACAAGCCCCAATATCCCTAGCTCAAGCTAGTGCCACCGTTCTCCGCGGATTGCTGGATCCCACTCTAAGCGGCAAGTAAACCCCCAAGGGCCCCAAACCCCACAGCTGTCAAGTGGAGCCACTAAGACGAGCCGAGGTAGAACAATCCGGAGCTTTCCTCGATAATAGCGAAGTTCTAGGCTTACCTGGTATGGATTTTCCTGCGGGTGAAGATAGTGCAACGGCGCTGTGGAGATTGAGCGAACAGTTGATTGCAGGAGTTGAGCTTGAAAAATGTCAATGTTAGGGGACTAGATAGATAGATATGCAAGGCTTTCGGCTTCTGGGGGCCGTGTCTATGCGGGAGGCAACTATGTCAGAGACTCAGACTCAAGTGCTAAATCATAGATAAATTAGTGTGAAATGATTGGGTCCGTTACTCTTGATAAGCGTTGGGGTACTCCCTAGCGGTCTCCAGTCCGCCGAGTCCACATTTCTTCTACTTGGATAGCTTTGATAAGTATACAGATGAAAAGAATTAAAAATAAAACAAAATGTATTTCTGATTGATTTATTGATTTTGTTTGGCATTAAGATAAATAGATAAGAATGGACAATTGGTGCTCTAGATTAGTTCCCCATGATAGTATGAAGCTACACATGTCAGATCAGAAACCCTTGAAGTAAGTTGCCCAATCTAGCAAGTAATCTACCCCCATTATCTGCCAAGTTAATTAGCTTTTTTTTCTTATACGTAGCTTGAACACAAGATAGTAACGGATTAGGTAACAAAAGTGCGGGGAAGCGGTTCCTAAGGTTTAATCGGGATCCAGTTTAAAGCGCCGCAGCTTATCGTCAGGTCTGCATTCCACGCTGCAATTGGTGTCATAGCTCGTACTGATTAGACGGAACTCTTCCGCAAACTTTTAACTTGTCTGTTTGTATTCTTTATTCTTTCTTGTCTCCTAATCTATCATCCTTTGCCGATTTCCCCTCTGATCGGCAAAATACCTAGTTCTTATCATGCTGTGAAACTACTTGGTCTTTACTCAAATACATCCTTTGCTGCAGGGTCGTATCCGCCATCGCCCTGTATTCCTTCTCCCTTTCCAGCCCCTCATATACCGAATATTTGCCCTTTGATGGCTCCGGTAGTCGATAGCTCGGCAATTCCGGGCACAGTAACGCTGGTTGATGTGCAGCATGTTCTACATACGCGACATTTAGATCATGGTGATGGAGATATTGTTCTTATCCCTACGCCCTCTGGCGATCCAGATGACCCCCTCAATTGGAGTCCCAGTAGGAAACTGCTGTCTACGATTTCCGTGAGCGTGTACGTATATATACAGGTCTATGTATTAGTTTGAGCAATTTCGCTAATAGAAGTCTACTTAGATATACATTATTTTCGGGAATCGCTTGCTCGGTCGTCTACTCGGTTCTTACAGAGCTGTCGGAGGAGACCGGTCTTTCAGTCGATACATTGAATCAAGGAACGGGTTATTTGTTTTTATTGGCAGGATGGGGACTCTTGTTTTGGCAGCCTTTTGCCATGCAGTATGGAAAACGAATGACATATATTCTTTCATTGGCGGGGATCTTGGTAAGTCTACAAACCGGATCTGGTAATCAAGCGATACACATGCTCATAAGTTCTTATATAGGGTACTACCATGTGGGGGTAAGTTACGAGCTTAGAAGCACTGTTCATTCGCCACGAGAGACCATATATTGACCCCAACTTAGACCTTACGCGAAAACCCAAGGCCAATGGATCGCTAGATGCGTTCTTCAAGGTTTCTTTACTGCTCCCATCGAAGCACTCCCAGAGATAACAGTCACGGATGTCGTAGGATACTCTCATCTACCACTGAAATTACACCTGAATTTGACTACTAACACAGACAGTATTTTACCCACGAGCGTGGGACCTATATGGGCTTATATGCCTTTTTCCTGGCTGGTAGCAATTACTTCGCCCCAGTCATCTGTGGCTTCATTGCCCAATATCAGGGCTGGAGATGGGTCTTTTACTGGCCTAGCGTTTTCTGTGGAATTGCTATGATCTTCCTCTTCTTTTTCATGGAAGAAACAAATTACGTTCGCGAAGATAATATCCAAGATGCCACCGTTGCTAATGTTCGACTGGCGCCCTCTCAAAGCGCTAATAGTAGCGAGGCGGATCCTGAAAAGGTTCTTTCCTCCGATGAGCCCTCCCCGACTGCAGAAGTTGGCGCGGTATATACAAAGAAACCATACTGGAAGAAACTCTCAATTTTGGGTCCTCGACAAAAACAAAATACCATGTTTCGGAGAGCTTGGCAAAGTTTATATTACTTGTCCTGGCCCGTCATCTTCTATGCTGGGTAAGTTGCTCTCTGACTTGATGGAAATGACATTGCTGACCATTGGATTAGATTCTCTTACGGCTCATATTTGGTCCTTTTTAATATCCTGAACGGAACTGCATCGATAATCTTGGGGGGAGCTCCATACAAATTTGGGTATGTCCTTTGTCATATCACTTTGCACGGAATGTTTAATTAACCAAAAAAAAACCAGATCCTCCATGGTTGGTCTCAGCTACCTAGCATGTTGCCTCGGAGTTGGCATAGGGTGAGTGTCTTAGACATCCGATATTCTTGCCTTCAATACTGATATTGCATACGTAGATCAATATTCACTGGACGATTTAGTGATTGGTTGACAGTCAAGCTTGCTCGCCGCAACAATGGAATTATGGAGGCTGAGCATCGTCTCTGGCCATTCATTGCCTGCCTCTTTCTAGTACCGGGCTCCCTCCTCCTTTGGGGAGTCGGTGCTGCTCATGAAGTTCACTGGTTTGGTCTTCTTGTCGCCATGTGCATGCTCGCATTTACCAACACCTGTGGCATTACACTCAGCGTCAATTACTTGGTTGATAGCTATCGAGAGCTGAGCGGAGTGGCAATGGCAACTGTGATTTTGGTGCGAAATACGATGTCATTCGCTATCGGTTACGGGTAAGTCAAGGATCTCCCCCTATCCAAGACAGTATCACTAACATAAATGACCACAGTATTACCCCATGGGTTGATAACCTCGGATACCAGAATTGCTTTGTATCCGCTGCTTTTGTCGGAATGGCCTGTGCGGCTGTTTTCCTGGTGATGATTAAGTATGGAAAGTCTTATCGTATTCGCAGCCGGGAGAGATACTGGAAGATTGTACAAGAGAACTGGGAGAAGGGAATGGGACACTAAATGCTTGAATCCTATAATAGCAGAAATTCACAATACAGAATTATTCCTTCTCAAATATCCAACTTCAATCTTTCTTCGGATATTCATTGATCTACCAAGATAATCTAGACATATCTCCAAGTCATCTACCTTACAAATATCTCCTATTCTTCCAAAGTTGAAGCCAAACTAATCTTCCCCTCTTCATCATGAACAATCTCTCTCATCTTAACAGATCTCAAATGATCCACCCCATCAGACAACTCACAATCATGATAAAACAAATACCACTTCTCTCGAAACTCGACAATAGAATGATGCGTCGTCCACCCAAGCACAGGCTCAAGAATACGTCCTTGATACGTAAACGGACCCAAAGGCGAAGACCCAATAGCATAAACCAAACAATGCGTATCACCAGTCGAATAAGAGAAATAGTAGGTCCCATTATGCTTATGCATCCACGCCGCCTCAAAGAATCGTCTCTCATGATCATCCGCCGCAACAGGCTTTCCCGACTCAGGCGCCAAAATCTGCAGATCCACAGGCGGCGCAACGAACGAAAGCATATCATCCGATAACTGCCCAACGCGTGGTGAAAGAGCAACCACACCTTCACCCTTTGGTTCCTGCGGTCCAGACTTCGACTCATCGAATATCAACCCGTTGACATCGTGCTCTGAGCTTTCTGCAGTACCAGCTGACCAGCACTGCAATTGGCCACCCCAGATTCCTCCGAAATATAGATATGCCTTGCCGTCTGTGTCTACAAATGATGCGGGATCGATACTGTAGCTGCCGGGGATATATGAAGGCTCGGGAACAAATGGTCCTTCCGGGGTAGAAGAAACAGCCACGCCGATACGGAAGATGCCCTTTGTGTCGCGGGCAGGGAAATACATGTAGTATTTACCGTTTTTCTCAGCTGCGTCTGGGGCCCACATTTGCTTGGAGACCCATGGCACATCTTTGGCTGTGAGGACAACGCCGTGGTCTGTTACGGGTCCGTCGGGGAAGTCCATTGAGAAGACGTGGTAGTCTGTCATGTCGTATTGATCGCCATTGTCGTTGAATTTGATGTCCGTCTCACGGTCGTGGGAGGGATAGATGTAGATTTTGTTATTGAAGACATGGGCAGATGGATCTGCAGTGTACATGTGCGTAACTAGGGGCTTGGGAGACATGGTGAATAGTTTGTGTTCTATGACTGGTCGATAGAAAAGAAAGAAATATAGTTGAAGGCACAAGAATAGATTTAAAAGGGGGAAAACCAGAAAAATTGCAACTATTTGAATAGCTGGCAAATCTTCCATTACTGCCGAGTATACCTAGCCACGTTTGCTTTTATCCGTAGCGGCTAAACAGTGACATTGCGGGGGAAGCCCCGCGTCAAAGGAATCGAGACTCGATCCATAATAGAGAAAGATATACCAGAGCAAAAGAAGTATTTTTCGAGAGTCATTCAAAGGCATATTTGAGCGTGCTGGAACTTAGCCTTTTGATCAAGCTCTCAATGATGCATATGCCAATATTTGACCCTATTACTCTGACCTTTCAAGGTTGTTCTGTCAACAGCCCGCTCTAGAAATGTCTAAAAATGCATAAACAAAGAGAGATGCTATTGTTTCAGTAAAAAGATCAAACAAAGAATATTTTGAAACAATCGACGAAAGAATGAAACACAGATCCGCCGAGAGGAACATAATGATTATTATGATGATGACAGAAAGAGACGCTAACCAATAAAAACCCAGTCTATAAAAGCACACCTCTAACAAAGGTCCAAGCCGCCAGCGCCTCGCGAACAGCCTAATTTGCCTTCTTTTATTTCCACCCGTACGAATGACAGTGATCAGCCTGCGCCTGCGCCAAAGCAGCCTGTCACTTGTACTCCATATACTCCATAATGTGGACCGACCTCTCACTATCTACCCGGATGCCTTTGATAATGTTTGCCATGGCGCTCTCATCCAGCTCCATTAGTGGCGACAAAGCTTCCAAATTGATCTGCAGTGGCTCTGACTGTGGTCTTGGCTCTTCAAAGAAGAGTCCGTGCTCTTTAGTAGGTGATTCACAGCCTTGGAGCCCAATAAAGCGCCCAAAGCGGCGACGCTTGGTCTCGATAGAAACGCCTTGTTCGGCTCTGGCACCGATCCAGGGTTTGTTCATAGGGCGCGGGTAGTGTGAGGTCTCTGGTATCGCGGGGGATATCTGGTGAAAAAACCAGGCGAGATCATCGAGTTGCTCATGAGTGAGGAGCTTATATGCAAGTAATGTATCGGGGAAATCTGCGGGAGCTTCACCTGACATGCAGCCAACAAGAGGCACCAGACTTTGTCCGAGGAACTGGACGAAAGCTTGGAAGTCTGGGTGAGATAGTTGTCGAGGCGGAGGAAGCTGTGAGGAGGCAGCAACTTTTCGTCCAGCCACTGGGAAGGACATGGTATTTTGACGGCTGGGTGAAATCGGAGTGGAAACCATAATGAATATAGAAGTAAGATTGAATCCGATATCCGAAATAAGAATAAATAGAGACACGCTCAAGTATATAAACGGAGATGAGAGTATATTCGCTAGGTAAATCGTGAGAAAATGAATGAACAATCGGTCCAAAGGCGCCGCTCTTATATACCGCCCCAGACACCGAATTGTTATAATATAGTTATAATAATGCCAATGACTTAAACAATCATATGAAACGTCCCGAAATAGCGCTTTGTTGTTTCCAGACACTAAAGCCAACCGCGCTTGTTGTAAAGATTCAAAATAAATTATCCCAAACACCTGGATTCCCCGGTGCTTTGTTTACAAAAGGCAGATATGACACGAGCCACAGTTCTGTGGCCAAACTGCGGCCGAAATGTCTCATACCTGTTGCATCATCGCAAAGCCACAGGGCTGAATCAGAGAGCAAGGGTGTTCATGCCCGATGAAAGATCCGGTTCGTCAGCGGCCGGCGGCAAGCCAACGTACTTATTGATCCAATTCAACACAGTCTTGTGCCACAAAAGGGAGTTTTCGGGATTTATAACCCAATGGTTCTCATCCGGGAATGTGAGAAAGGCGCTGTCGATGCCACGCATTTGTAACACGTTGAATGCGGCTAACCCCTCAGAGATGGGTAGTCGGTAGTCGAGCTCATTGTGAATGATGAGATGTGGTGTCTGCCAGTTTTGCAAAAATCGTGCCGGGTTCCATTGGGCCCAGTTCTCCGGCTTTTTCCACATCGGCCCCTGCAGATCGTGGAGAGGGAAATACAACTCCTCGCTTGACAGAAGCGACTCGACATTGAAAACGCCATCGTGGGTGACCAAAGCCTTGAATTTGCGACCTAGGGGATGACCCTGGATCCAGTTCATCATGTATCCACCATACGAGGCACCCAGCGCGACAGCCCGAGAGGTGTCAACATAAGCTAGGTTTTGCTCGATAAATTCAAAGCCTCTTACGAGATCTTCATAAGGTCGGCCACCCCATTGACCAATGATACCGTCGGTGAACGACTGGCCATAACCAGTGCTACCAGTTGGGTTAGGTGTGATGACAACATAGCCTTGCTCTGCAAACACCGCAGGATTCCAGCGAGTGCTCCACTGGTCGTTCCATGCACCCTGAGGGCCACCATGAATCAGATATGCTAGAGGGTACTTCTCGCCGGGTTTGAAGTCAGAAGGCTTCACAACCCAGGCATGTACTTGGTGGCCTTCTGCTCCTGGGAACCAGATTTCATCTACCTGGGACGCTGAAAGGCCAAACGCCGACCCGCCGCGTCCACTGGAAGAAACCATCTGATGTTCTTCAGGGCTTGATGGGTCAAGGATAGACCAGACGCTATTATCGATGAGACTACTACTAGAGAGGAACAGTTTCGAAGACCCTAAAGCTGCAGGAACCGCATCGTTCACGTATCCCGACCGAGTAAGTCTCTTCAAGGAATCAGGCTTAGACTGCCTGATGTTATCCAGAGAAAGCTGATAGAGAACACCGCGCCCGATTTCTTCAGTTTGGATGAATAACGACTTGTCGTCATGCGAAAACGAAAGGGCAGAAGGACTCAACTCCCAAAATCCCTTGCCGTCTGGAGACTCAAAGACTTCAATCATCTCCCCATTCCAGGGATTTGGAACATACAGAATTCTGTTCTTATCAGATTCATAACCATCCTCTCCCATTGCCAGGAGAGCGATAGAACCTCCATCCGAAGACAGAACAGGGGAAGACATAGCTCCTCGAAGCGCAGCGACTTTGCAAGGTTTGATTTCAGGGGTACCCACACCAGCAATGCTAGTCCATGAGAACATAGGGGCATAATAACAGGAACAGGAGGTATGAGTAGCAGGGTTTAAGCTAGGGTCCTTGCCAACAAAAACAATTGCAGATGGACTAATGTCAAAGTCACCAGTGCCCCCGAAGGGTGGCATTGGGGACTCAACAGCTCCCAATCCAGACACTGCAATCAAATTTGTAAGGCCCGACACAGAATACTTGCCTGCCTGCCTTCGGGCAGGCGTCAAGGCAGCTTGCTCCAGAAGCCCATACCAAATCGAGTTCTTCTGAGGCTCTACATAGGCATCCCAATGTCGTACAAAAAGTGACGTGTATATGCGACCCGTTGTGTGTGATTTCTTGGCATCGTGAGGATTGTAGAGAGACCCATCTGGATTGGCTTTACCACTGACAGCAAAGCCGATCTTGCCTGGCTCGATGATGGTTACTTTCAAGTCCGATACAGGACCCGGAACAGTACCCGCAGTGTAGGTTTTATCAGCTTCGCGCGCATCGCCAACGATAAAGCTAGTGTTCCCATTGGTCTTGGTCTTTAGCCAGACCAATTGATCTTCAGTTCCTAGCCACTGCGGGTTACTCGCACCAGGGTCATTTGTGATTAGGGCAGATCGACCAGTCTCAATTTCGATGACTCGAATTTCATTTGTTTTGGAATGCGATTCGAAAGAGTATGAAGTTTGGGTATAGACTGCAAGGGTACCGGCTGCGTTTGGAATGGCTGATGACCGCCTAGGAGCACCGAGGAGGACCCTGTGCGCAAGAAATGGTTCGTTAGAACTATCACACAAAGCCAGCCGTCGCGTGGAACATCGATTTAGGCTGTTAATGGTTCAGGGATCACTTACTCGGGTGTTAACTTCATGGAGCGGATGGTCATATCACCTTCTTTTCTTTCGGTCCGAGATGATCGCCAGAAAGATAAGATAAGTATTGGATCAGAAATAGCTTGCTAAGCGGAGCTCTTTTAAGCTTCGGCAGGAATTGAATAAGCGAGTTCAAGGGAAACTCTGACAGATACAATGGACCAAAGGAATGGGGAATAGGAGAAAAGAGAAACTGATGGAAGGGGGAATATTGAAATTGAGTCAGCAATAAGTACACGGTGAGATGAAAAGGAAAGAGGGGGTGCACATGTGGAAAAGAGCTTCCCAAGGGGGCTACGCTTGGTTACGTTGGGGTCCACTTGAGGGTCTTCTCAGTTGGGGAAGGTTTGGGGGGCGTCAACGTGACCTACTCCATTTTGCGGGGTCAATCATGATCATCGGGGGGGCCATTTTTACACTATATAGGGGGACAAGATTAAAACCAAGAAATGGTAAAACTCCTTTTATATCCTGATAAGATCGTAACAACAAGATAGTGGAACTATTATTACACAAAAATGAAAATTTTAAATCAAAAATTGAGGCCATGGCCCTTTCCTGTTTATTCCTCCTCCTCTTCCTCGCTCTCGTCCTCGTCCATTCCTTCAGCTGCAGTCACGGAGAATGTGGGGGCCTGATCCACACCGACATAACTATCACTCATCAGGTAAAGCGTTAGATCATGCGTGCCAGGTGTGGGCACAACATATTCCAGACGAAGCTCGAGCTTACGACCAATGGTAACACGCTTGATCGCCAGCAAGTTCTTGGTCTTCTCATCGCCAACCACAAGCCACCAGTTCTCCATCTTCTGGCTAGGGTAGAAGGGCGAGTGGACGACAGTGTCGGGCTCTTCATCTTCCTCAACCTCCCGTTCAATCTTCACCTTCAGGTAGGCAGGATCACCAGATGTAATGCTCTCGGGGTCCTCAACCTCGAAGTCCAGTTCAATGTTGGGGTATTTCTCGTTGGTGAAAGCAGCCGCCTGGGCCAATTGCTTGTTGTTCATTCCCAAACGCTTGACAAGAGTACCGTAGTCCTTGTTTTCCGAGGGGTCCATAGCTTCCATGAATTCAAAGATATCATTGATACTGCGTAGACAAGAAACGTTAGTAAGTGCGTGGGTAGTCAAAACATTTGGATAAACATACTTGTATTCCTTAGCCACCTCAATAGCCTCGGGCGAGAAATGAGGAATCTGCTTGAGTGGACTATCACGGTCCCACATGGCTTGGACAACCATCTGTGACAATTCCATGGCGTTCATAGCATTGATATGGCCTTCAGAGGAAAGGACATCCACACATGCACTGAGCAAGTTGAGAACCTTGCGAATAATGTCCTCCTGGTCCTTGGCAAGATCAATTGGCAACTGCATGCGGGAGAAGTGAGCCTGGAGCAGGACAAATGCCTTGAAGTGAGGGGAGTCAAAAGCGGCCTGCGACATCTTGACTGGCACACGATCGTAGACACGGCGGAGAATGTGGTCCTCGTGGCGACGCATCTGGATAGACTCAAACTCGGTGGCTGATGTAACAATCTCCAGAATACCCTTTAGCTTGGTACGGGCCGAAAGCGACAGCAAGAAAGTCTGCATGGTGATGAAGGAGATGTTGTAGTAAGCGCTGATCATCGCGGCGTTCAGGGGAGACACTGTATCATCTTCTTCGTCCAGGTCAATGATCTTGGCCTCGGACAGCTCCTTTAGTGTGTTCTCAACCAATTCAGACAAGAAAGTGCTGAGTCCTTCGTGGCTAACATCACTGAGGCCATAGAAGCTGGGGTTTGCAAGCAGACGGCGGTAGAAATAAGTGTAGGTCATCCAATCCACAGCATCCTGGGTCGAGGCGACGGTCTTGGTGCTGGCCTCGGTGACAAAGGCATCGTGCAGATAGACCTGGAGATGACTTTCCACTGGCAGAGCCTCACTAAGGAACTTCTTGTAGTAGTCACGTTTGACAGCAGGCACCATCAAGACACCACGTCCGATCTTATCCTGTCCTGGCCGAGAGGCCTTGCCAAACATCTGGAGAATGTCACTGATGGGGTAATCAATGTAACGATGTTCACGTCCATCAAAGAATTGTGTGTTCATAACAATAACCAGATGGGCAGTCAGGTCCAACTCCCAGCAAACTTCACGCGAGGCCAATAGAACCTGGATAGCACCAATGCTGAATAGATGCGAGACGATGCGCTTATCAGTGGGGCTCAATGCCTCGTGGTAATACCCAATACCGTGAGATAGGGATGTAGCAAGAGTCTGCTCTTGGACCCGGCTAAGGAGGGGTGCTAACTCTTCAACATCGGCGTTCAGGAAGCGGTCCTCATCACCATCGATACCGCAAGCCGCTAGCAGATCTATGGCAGTGGATCGAGTCTGCTTGCGACTAGGCACAAAAACTAAAGCGGGCTTGTCAGGAGACAGCTGAAGGATGGACTGATAAGCTGGGCGTGACATCGCAAGCATCAGGGACGGGAAATGAGGGATGGTGAATGACTGGATGTGAAGCTCCAGGGGAACTGGCCGAGCATTCGGGCTGAAGTTGTAGATAGTGTGCTTATTGGCTCCGATCCACTCTCCAATATCACGAGCATTGGCAAGCGGCACACTCAATCCAACAATGCGCATGTCGTTTTCAGTCTGTAGAGCGACGTAGTGCATACGAGAAACAACAACTTCATAGACGTAGCCACCATAGCCACCGAGCATGTGAAGTTCATCAGCAATGAACAACTGCACAGTCTGAACATTCTTGCGTCTCTGCCATTGGCGAGAAAGCACGTCCCACTGGACAGGGGTAGCAAGAACCAGGTCAGCGCGCTCAAGAAGTTTGAGATCAGCAGTCGTCTCGCCAGTAAGCTTGACAATTGTTTTGCCACTAGCAAGGCCACCCAATCGCTTCTCCCAGTCAGCGAGGCGTAAATCTACGAGCTCTTGGAAAGGAGCTACATAGACTGCCCTACCACTGTTTTCGGTTGACCAATGGCGAAGTAGGGCTAACTCGGCACAGACGGTCTTTCCACTGCCCGTTGGAGCACCAATGAAGACATTGTCGTCTGAATCAAAGACGGACTTGAAAACCTGTGTTTGGATCTTGTTGAAGTGTTCCCAGTTGGGATAAAGCTTCTGGTACTCCTCGCGCTTCAGAGCTTTGACAGGCGCACGCTGCATATCAAGCAAAGGTGTGTGAGGGGGGAAACGCTCTGGCAGGACAAGCTTCTGGAAAGACACGGCAATCTTCGTCTCAGAATGCATCCAACGATCAGAGACCAGAGAGATAAAGTAGTTGGGAGGCATCGGCTCAGTAATCGGGACGGTGAACTCAATAAGATGCTCATTCATCTCAGCTTGAGCAAATTCACGTCGAAGCAGGAAGCGATCATGGTATAAAATTTCTTCGCCATCGCAGTCTTCGACCAGGATCCAAAAGTCTTGAGCGTTGCCATGGATGGCATCATCCCAAACAAAGTTAGGGGAAAGGGTCAGCTCGACGCGAAGCAATGAGCGAGTGATAGGTTGCACCTGAGCTTGAACTTCAAGCCGAGGAAATTTGGAAACAAGATCGCAAACAACACGGCCAGCCTTGGGCATACCAAGAAGCTCACCCATGCGTGGCGGATCCAAGTCAAAATACCTGGGCCACGGCACGTCAATACGCTCAGCCTTTTGCAGGATGTCCCTTGGACAACCAGGGAACTGACGCAGAGGAGACATTGTTGGCCACATTCGCTTCTCGGCCATTTTGCAAAGGTCAAGTGCGGTCTTCGCTACGCCAGACCAACCCTTTTTCAGGCAAATCTCGAAGATGGCACGAATGATACGACCAGCGGATTGGGTGACGTAAACCATGTCAGCCATCAAGGCCAACCCATCGAGCTTCAGTCGGGAGATGTAAGCCTGAAGCAGGACATTGATCTTTGCGTGGGGTTCATCAATCGTCTCTTTGACAGGCACGGGGACTCGCCCCAAAAGCTTGCCAAGCTCCAGCTTCTCATCTTGACGTACCGGAATATACTTGAATTCATCGCTCAGTGCGAAAATACGGAAGAGCTCAATCGTGGTGATAGATGGTTGAAGATGCTGAGAATAGGTGAGCATGGAATTGTGGCCAATATAGTAATGAGAAGAAATCCGGCCCAGTTCAGTTGATTGGAGTCGCCCAGTTTTCTTCTCATACTTGACCAATCCAGCTCGCTCGAGCACGGCGGCAGCGGAATGAATGAGGTCGACACGCTTCTGCTCCAGAGCGTCGTCATTTTCGTAATCCGCACCGACGCTATACAGGCCTGGGGATCGCAGCATCCTGACGTAAAGATAACTGTAGCCTAGCCATTCCACACCTTCATCGCGGGTACGAACATTTCCCAGGACAATTTCTGCGTTCAGATTGTCCGCAAGCTTGCTGACAAGCTGAGACTCGATCGGCAATTGCATGTTCAACAGGGATAGGTAATACTGGATTTCTGCTTGTGAGGTAATGATAATACCCTCGCCAAAAGTATCATACTGAGGTCGGCCAGCACGTCCGAGCATCTGAAGAACGTCTTGAGGGCTCAACTCGACCCAGCTACCCTTTTCAGGCGAGTAGACCTGAGTTCCCTTGATGATGACAGTGTGCGCTGGCAAGTTGACACCCCAAGCAAGGGTTGCAGTACAAACGAGAACTTGGATACTGCCATCAGCAAAAAGCGCCTGGACAGAGTCACGATCGGCAAGACTCAAACCAGCATGGTGGATACCCAGACCGTATGGCAAAAGGTCCTTTAGGGAAGCGTCATCAACAGACTCGGCCTCTTCAGACAGAATAGCACGGCTTGCGGCGTCGCTTCGGAGGATTTGGCCAATGGTTTCCATTTCAACGGCCTTGTCTCTGATATATTTGGCCGTTTTTGCTGTTTCTTTTCTTGAGTGGACGAAAATAAGCATCTGGTTTCGATTCTGACCAACTTGTTCCAAGACCTTGTTGTAACAAATGTCATTCATAGTCTTGAGTTGCTTAATGGCCTTCTTATCTGTAACACCAATGAACTCTTGCTTGAGAGGGCAAGGACGGTAGGAACCATCGAAATGGAATACACTCTTCTCTGGATCAGCCCGAAGGAAGTTTCCAACATCGCGGTAATTTGGAAGGGTAGCACTGAGACCAACAATTCGCACGGGGTCACCAGTCTGCTCAACACGGCGAATAGTGCGACTGACAATGCTCTCGAGCACAGGTCCACGATCATCATGGAGGAGATGGATTTCGTCGATAACTATCAGTCGAACAAGGTTGGTGTAACTAGTTTCCGATGCTTTTCTGGTGATTACATCGAACTTCTCAGGAGTAGTGACAATAATCTGAGTGTCGGCAATCTGCTGCTTGGTGAGTTGACGATCACCAGTAAGCTCAGAAACCCGAATTCCGTAGGGCTCAAGACGCTTGCCAAGATTTCCAACTTGCTCTTGAACCAAGGCCTTAAGAGGAGAGATGTATACAATCTTAAAATCGTCGAGCATGATTTCGCCGGTTTCAGGATTGCGGTGTTTGCCGATTTCTCGTAGGATGGTGAGCATAGCAACGTTGGTTTTTCCAGAACCGGTAGGAGCACAGACAAGCATGTTGCCATCATCGTGGAAAGCTGAGGGGTAACATTTGGTCTGCACCCGGTTAAGCTCCTTGGAGCTTCCAAATCCAACACGAGCCCAATCAGGGAGCTCTGTAGTGGGGATGTTCTTCTCTCCCGGCTCTCTCTTGGCTTTGGGTGGGGGTACATGGATCTCCTCATATCCCTTGAAGGTGCGCTTTGTGGAGCCTTGGGGAAGCTTAACATTAGGGTTGGTCATAAGGTGATTTCCTTGGTGGAAAACAAGATTCTCGAGGTTAATGAGCTTCTTGGGCTGCAGACCACCAATTAATCCGCCTTCCGTTGTAGGCTTCTCGTCTTGCTGTGGGGCTGAAGGTACATCAACATCCATCAAATCCAGCTTCATCTTCTTCTCCGGGCGATCGGCAAGCTCATCACCAGCGGTCTTTCCGCGAATTTCGTCCAAGATAGAGCGATGACCAGCCTCAACCATTTGACTTTCCACGAGGTTACGAGCATCAGCATCTTCAGCAACCTGCTTCCAGCGCGTAACCCAATTGACCTTATCACGATTTGTCACTAGCTTTGCAACAATATCGGCATGCTCGTAGTCGAAAAGCTCCATCAGGTCATTCTCAACATCACGGAGAGGCCGTTCAGAGCCATCTTCTGTTTGGCCACCAAGAATATCGAGGGCTTCTTGTGTCTTTTCTTGTTGGATATGGGCATCTGAGTACAACGCACCGATTTGCCGTTGCAACCAGTAAGCGTCGATCTCGTGAGCAGGAATCTTGAGTCCGGCTTTATCGCCAGCTTTATTATCGCGATCGAGGCCGCCGTCGATGACCATTTCATCTCCATCCGCTTGTTGAACAGCTGAATCATCGGCATCGGGTTGATCTTGCTCATCTGCTTCATCTTCGTCGCTGTCCTCGTCTCGGATTTCGTCCATAGTGCCCATTCGCTCGTCATCTTCATCTTCCTCGTCAAAAACAACAGCAACACCTTGGCGTTCATCAAGTTCAGCGTCGGCATCATCGAAACCACCATCCATATCCTCGTCCTCGTCTTGTGCGTCGTAGTCTGTGATTTTCTTGCCGAGATTCACCAGCTCATTGAACTCTTTGGGGTTCATCGAGCTTCCCAGAAGGTCGTCAACTTCTTTTTTCTTATCGAAATCCTTCATATCTTCGTCTTTAAGGTATTCCAAAACGGCGTCGGCGGCACTTCGAACGACTTCGTGGGGCACATCACCCAAATGGCTTCCGGTAATTGTCAAAATAAGATCGTAGGTCGCCCGAGTCGCGGGTGTTCGAGGGCGGTATTTCAAGCCTTCAACGAGGGCATCGGCGGCTGAGAGGATACCTTGGCCACGGAATTGTGCTGGTTGACCACGGCGCTTTTTCTGTTCACGAGATAAGACATCTTCACCCTCATCAATTGCACCCCGCTCAATATCTGTAGAGACGGTTTTCTTTTTCGACTTGGGCGCATCTTCGCGTGCTATGCGTGAGCCCATTTCTCGAATACCAATGCGACCTGCCAGAGACTCAGGGTCTCCGGTGGCCTCATCATTGGTTCGGCTGATAAAACGACGGTCCGCCTGGAGAACCAGGTTGGACATCGCCGAGTACTTATACTGAGAAATATTTTGGTCCGCCATCGTGGTCGTGGAGCGAGTGACTCGCGAAAGAGATTAGGAATAAAAAAGAGAAAAAGAGTGTCTCGCGCGACTTGGCTCGGCTTGAATGCGCCGATCTTAAACCACGCCGCCGCGAGAAAAATCAAGAATGAAGGGTATTCAAACGTTTAAACAGTTGCACAAACCTGACTCATCCTCCGGCCGCAAGTAGAATGACTTGATTGCAAGGGAGAAATGAGGGCCAGGATTGGGTTGGGAGGTTAATACCTTTGGTGAGAAGAAGCTCGGGAAGATTTCGGTGGCGAAGGCGGAAGGATGGGGAGCTTTCTGGTTCTGCCGCTTCACATACCAAGTTCCTCTTGCTTGCGACGCAACAATGCACATAAATGGTATAAACGGTGGGCTAACCTTGCTGCGGACTCGTTTGAAAGTTTCGCCATGTCCTAAAACCAGGAAGACACTCGTTCCGGCTTACAGATGCCAAATCCATCGAACTATATGCCATCATGCGCGTCGAGCTGTACCCCTACGCGTCGCCGCCAGCGCGCCGTCAGATGGAAGTCGAAGAGGCGCCAAATCACAAGCTACAGTTCAATCGAAGGATCTTCCACAGGGTGTGGTGAAACTGGAGACATATGATAATGGAGCTGATGATGCCCCTCGATATCCTACTGTGGTTCAAGGGCATCGCAATAATATGCAAAAGTTTAAGAACTGCGTTATATTGACTCGAGTTGGAGGATTTTATGAGGTACAGATCAACCACAACTTAGTGCATGGCATGATAACTTACACGACATATAGTTGTACTTCGAACAAGCTGAAGAATTTGCACCATTGCTCAGCTTGAAGCTAGCGTTCAAGAAAACCACCGCCGGGCCAGTTCCCATGGCGGGTTTCCCCTTTTTCCAATTAGATCGCTTCCTCAAAATTCTTGTTCAAGACCTCAACAAATATGTGGCTATTAGTGAAGAGTTTGCCCATGAGGTAGAGGACAAAGCTCGATCCGGGGGTTTGATGTTCGATCGCAAAGTGGCCAGGGTCATCACCCCGGGCACTTTGATTGATGAAAAGTTCCTTGACCCATCTGAGAACAATTTCCTGTTGGCTATATACCTGGATGTCCCTGCGCTAGAAGTTGAATCAAGGCAGAATGTTGACCCGCAGGCCTCACAGCATGTGTTGTCCTCCGTACCTCAGCGTGTAGGACTATCGTGGTTAGACCTGTCAACTGGAGACTTCTTTACGCAACTAACAACGGCTCAAATGTTACCGTCGGCAATTGCCAGAATCGGAGCACGCGAGATTCTGGTAGATCAAAATGTTCAGGAAAGTATTGGACAAGAGTTGCAACAGCTGTTTGGGCATGAGCATCGCCTTGTCTCGTTCTTCCAATTCCCGAAAGAATTCGAGCCAATGTCAAAATGGGACACAATGCTAGAAGCGCCAATTCCGGTAAACACACATGCATCCTTCACCCCGGAAGAAGTAGCTGCCGGCTACAGTCTATTAGAATATATCCGAGTGCAATTGCAGGGATCAAATCTCAAACTCCAGCCTCCGCGCCGGAGGCATCTCGACGAGTCGATGAGTATTGATCGCAGTAGTCTTAGGGGACTCGAAATACTCGAAACTTCAAGAGACGGGTTTGGGAAGGGAAGTTTGCTCCATGCCGTCCGTAGGACTTCCACAAAGAGCGGTGCCCGTCTTCTACGCGATCGACTCAGTAAGCCAATTCAGATCGATTTACATATGTCACTGCTAACATAACCTCAAAGCATCTCCGTCCACGTCTCTTCTAGTTCTCAACGAAAGGCTTGACCTAGTTTCGATATTCATCGAAAACGAAAACCTTCGCGATAGCGTGATTCGATTACTTAAACGAAGTTATGACTCTCAACGATTGGTTCAGAAATTCGCCATGGGAAAGGGAGATCCAGATGACTTAATTTGTCTTTCTCGAGCGATTGAAGCCTCCAAGGGAGTTAAGCAGGTTCTTTCTGAGCACGAACGATTGCTGGAATTTGATACTACTTCCGGTGTCAAAAACAGTCTCAATTCCATGATTTCACGACTTTATTTGCAAGGGCCGGCCGCTCTCGCTGATCAAATTCTGTCAGCTATCGACGAAGAAGGGGTGCTCCAGCAGCAACGCATTCAAGACAATACCGCCGCTGAAGCAGCCAGCCTAGCACAAGAGGTTGCTGTGAACGAAGGCACATCGAGCGAATTGCAGTCGTTGCCCAAAAAAGTCAGGACGAAAAGTGGTGACCAGACAGTAGCTGAGTCTGAAAATGGAGAAATGGAGACATGGATCATGAGACGCAACGCCAGTGACATCTTGAACACTCTCCATACGGAGTTGGAAGGTCTGTTGGATGACAAAATCGCATTGATCAAACAACTACGGGACTATGTTGGGTCGTCTGCCCTCAATCTGAAGTGGACGCCCGGTCTGGGACACATCTGCCATGTGAAGGGTGCAAAAATTTCCCAGCAATCGCTTGAAGAACTAGGAGTCACCCGAAATGTCTCGTCGACTAAATCAACGCGATCTTTTTATCTCCCAGCATGGACAGAGTTAGGAAACAAGATGGATCGCGTGAAAACACAAATACGGCAAGAGGAACAAGCAATATTTGAGCGTCTTCGTCGTGAGGTGATCTTGAATTTGGTGAAGATTCGCCGCAATGCGGCAGTCATGGATGAGTTGGATGTTGCTTGTTCTTTCGCAACACTGGCTCAGGAGCAGCAAATGATACGACCTATTCTCAACGAAGGGACTACCCACAAGATCGCGGGTGGGAGACATCCAACAGTCAAACTCGGACTTGAAGAGCAAGGTAGATCCTTTGTGAGCAATGACTGCTTTCTCGGCGGTCAGGAACGAATCTGGCTGATCACAGGGCCAAACATGGCAGGCAAAAGTACATTTTTGCGCCAGAACGCTTTAATCACCATCCTTGCACAGGTAGGTTCATATGTGCCTGCGGCGTATGCCGAAATTGGCATTGTGGATCAGATATTCAGTCGAATCGGCGCAGCCGATGATCTGTTTCGTGATCAGTCTACGTTTATGGTAGAGATGCTTGAAACTGCTGCCATTCTGAAGCAAGCTACCCCGCGATCCTTTGTTATCATGGATGAAGTTGGTAGAGGGACCACTCCCGAGGATGGTACAGCTGTTAGCTTTGCCTGTCTTCATCACTTGCATTATCACAATCAGTCTCGCACTCTTTTCGCTACTCATTTCCACGGCCTTGCAGACATGACGCAGAAGTTTCAAAATCTTGAAAGATACTGCACTGACATTAAAGAAACAGCGACAGGCTCTTTCTCATTCGTTCATCGTCTTCGGAGAGGCGTCAACCGTGAATCACATGCGTTGAAAGTCGCACAGTTGGCTGGTCTTCCCCAAGAAACCATTGAACTGGCTACTAGTGTGCGGGACGAACTGATGAATGAGAAGCATTCATTGCCAGCTAACAAACCATAACATTGCTTATATCAGGGGTATTCCAGTGTGTGTCCAAACCACTGGATAGTGAACACCCTTTTTGTTATGCTGCTCTATATCCTCGACCTCACCACGAACCACATAAAGTGTCTCTTAAGTATAGTAGCCCCGACATTTTTGTACAATCCTCAGAATTCTATGTATAAATAAAATTACTAAATATCAATCGTCCCTAATTTCCAGATTTATGAGATCCTTTGAATTATACTATCACCGACACATTCATCAGACCTTCAAGTTGGACCCGGAGCCCTAGTAATAGGGATCCTTTTCTTCAGGATTGTGACTCGTGAGTCACTGGTCTGCGTTTCTATGTGGGTTGAAGAGGTAGATATCATGAAGAAAAGTGTACCAAATCCATCTCCAAAGCTTCATGGCTAAACATATGGAGCAAAATGAATTGGTGAGTTGCCTTGTATCTATTAATATGAGACAATGTAATAAACGTACATCATGGCATTATCGTCGAAAAGTTCCAAATAATGCATCAGGGAGAACTTGATCAAATGTCAGAAAGTTCATATTGATGTTGTTTGTTAATCATCTGGAATCAATCATTTGTCTTCCTTGGCAGGAACAAAAATGGCGTATATGCGAAGGTCAGAATATATAACCACAGCATATACTCTCCTCAGTTGGGCTGAGCAGTAGTTGGGTTGGCATTTATGAGCCCAGCGCTCAAGTCATTGATCTGACCGGGAATTCTCCGTGGCAGATGCATCGAAGAGTTTGTACGAGAACAGCCAGTGGCCACCAGTACCTTTCAACTAGACCCAAGTAAGATGGTTCATTTAAAAGATAGTGGCCATTGGTAAGTGTTCATTTCGGGACGCTCAAATATGAATGGAAAAGGCAGTGCGCAAGAAACGCTCTCAGCTTGCATCCGCTTCGCCCGCTTCCAGGCGAGCTTTTTTCGCACGCCGCTTCAATTCCCGCTTCGATAATGGCTTCTCAGCTTCCTCATTGACTGCCTCGGAACCGATAGAAGCTTTTCTTTTCAAGTTATCGGCGCCTTTGTCCACCTCAGATGACACCTTCGCATTGGGACCACTTTTTTTTGTTGGCGCGGGTTTCTCGACGTTGACCTTCTCTCCACCGTGTACGATATCAACGATTCCCCGCCAGCTAGTTCGCTTCAGCTTGGCTAACGCGGTCACTTTCCGCGCCTCTTCACATATTGCCTCCTTGCCGCGTTCTTGTGACAGACCCCAGACGCAAGTCAGATTGATCACATCCCAGGGAGCTCGTAAGCCCAATGTCTTCCGGGCTTCACTTGACACTATGATGCCGCGGCCGCGTGTTGCCCGAACCAACGACATAGCATTCCCAATAAGGTTTCGACGAGCATCAACCCCGCTTCCAGTAACTCCAGGGCCATAGCAGATCTCGAGACGAACTCCACGTGACACTGCAGCAGATAGCATCTTGAATTTGAAGTGGTATGGAAGCCGAACGGAGAGGTCAAGTGAGATAATATCACATTCTAAATTTGTGCAAGCGTTAAGGAGGGCCTTTTCGTTGGTGGGTCGCAGAGCAATCAAATCGTAGGACTGGGTCAGATTATTAAGACGCTGGTTCTGAGCCGGGTCGGCGAGGATCAAGTTCAATCGGGTTAAGAGTTGTAGAGTTTTAGGTGGATTTGGCGGGCTTGATGGGGGCGCAAGGACCGCAGGAATTTTTCCATTGATTGTTTGGGAGAGTGCAATAGTGGTGTAGCCCACTGGAAGAAGTCAGGTCAATACATCATGCGCACAGGTACTAGCCATGTGCTAGGAAGGTCGGTAAGATGACTTACGTTCAGCCAGGAAATTCAGGGTGTGCGGCACCTCTGGATCATCCGGGCTATATGGGACATTGAGGTCATAAAACATGACTTTTTGTGGCCTCTGAAAGAAATAAAGAGGCAGCTTAGGCCGGGTCAAGACTCGAAGATTTATCGCAGACGCGAGCTTCAAAAAGTCACGATACTGTCCGAAAGAGGAAATTCAAATCATCGGGAAATCGATATTCCGACAGGCCACACTCTAACTGTATTCGGACTGCTCTCCACACAGCGATCCCGTGACATAGCGGAACAGCAGATCTCGCTCTCATAATAATATCTCCCCCTCCATTACCCATTGCTTTCAGGACCGATCGATCGAACCGCTGAGTTCGGGCTGGTCAGTTGCTGGGCCTTCAAATTACACTAGTCATCCTTTTCCTTCTTCCCCCGATCACTTTCGCATCCGTCCTTGGTCGTGACCCCGCTTAAAACCCCGCCGCATCTGATTTCGATTGTGGGCAGACTCGGAAGCCGTCTGCGATCATTATGGCGCGCGTCTATGCTGATGTCAACGAGCATATGCCTCGTTCCTACTGGGACTATGACAGTGTGAACATTTCTTGGGGTGTCTTGGAAAACTACGAGATTGTGCGCAAGATAGGTACGGTGCCTCTGATTGGAGCCATCCATCCCGGAGAATAGCGGTATCACCTGCGTCTATACCTCTGGCGTGTGGGGTCACTGCCTGATCGACCTTTCACTGACTATATTTCTCATAGGCCGAGGGAAATACTCCGAGGTATTCGAGGGCATCAATGTCGTCAACTACCAAAAATGTGTCATCAAGGTTCTCAAGCCCGTCAAGAAGAAGAAGATTAAGCGTGAGATCAAGATTCTTCAGAATCTTGCTGGCGGCCCGAATGTTGTCGCTCTGCTGGATGTAGTACGGGACAACCAAAGCAAGACCCCCAGCTTGGTCTTTGAGGCGGTCAACAATACCGATTTCCGGACCCTCTACCCCCGCTTCACGGACTATGACGTGCGTTTCTACGTATTTGAGCTACTGAAGGCGCTTGATTTCTGTCACAGCAAGGGTATTATGCATCGAGATGTGAAGCCTCACAACGTTATGATCGACCATGAGAAGCGCAAGGTTCGTCAATCCATCTAGATATATATATATATATATATATATTTACATATATAGCCTTGATCTCCTGGTAATTTTGGTGAACTGACATCTTTCCAGTTGCGATTGATCGATTGGGGTCTGGCAGAATTTTACCACAAGGGCACAGAATACAACGTCCGTGTGGCCTCCCGATACTTCAAAGGACCCGAGCTGCTTGTTGATTTCCAAGAGTACGACTACTCTTTGGACATGTGGTCCCTCGGAGCAATGTTTGCGTCCATGATTTTCCGCAAGGAGCCTTTCTTCCATGGTAACAGCAACTCAGACCAATTGGTGAAGATTGCCAAAGTTCTTGGCACTGAGGAGTTGTTTGAGTACCTGGACAAGTATGATATTGAGCTGGACCCACAGTATGATGAGATTCTCTCGCGCTTCCCTCGCAAGCCGTGGCACTCGTTTGTCACTGCTGAAAACCAGCGCTTCGTTAGCGATGAGGCTATCGATTTTCTCGACAAGCTCCTGCGCTATGACCATGCTGTATGTTGCATCAATATCCGCTTTCCGTATTTTTCACTAACCATGAGTCCTAGGAACGTCTGACCGCCCAAGAAGCCATGGCACACCCATACTTCGAGCCAGTTCGTGCTGATGCTCGCAACAATGCTTCTCAATCTTGAATGCCTTTTACGTGCTGATGATGGCTTCCTTATATTATCTCTGTGGTTTTTCGATTTCCTCTAATGCCCAACTTTTTCTCTATCTATACCTCACACTGCCATCAGAATAAGCATCTGGTTTTCTGAAATTCCCCCCTCCCTTTGTCTGAATTTAAACCATACCGCTGCGAACGGTGCATGATCGCGAAAGCCGAGGGAGAACGTTTGATGCAATGACCTAAGTATCTCTTCACTGGGTCTGCTCACCTCTCACTGAATGAAGAGTGTCTCCAGTGGATGACCGACTCCCGAACGGAGACGACGTTGACGACAAGACATGACCTCTAATTTCCTTGGACCCATTAGGTCTATACCGCCCCGGTCCTATGGGCGTGATAGTGAGCGCAATAAATCAGTTGATGTTTTAGAGCGGGAATGATTTCTCTCCCATATCTGTCTAATTGTACAGCGCTGCTTTCCCTGTCTTCGCCATTTCTCTTATATCTCTCGTCGCTGGTACGGTGTTCTGGCTATCTCTCTCTGTTCATTAGTTCTGTTTGTTTGTCCTCGTCCTTCGTATTTTACATCCATGGTTTTCGTGGCTCTTTTACTACTTCCTGCACAGTTTTTCCTGGAGTGTCGGGCTTAGGAAGGGTACGTATGTTATATGTATGCTGTGACCTTGTCCACGAGAGAGGATTTGAAGAGATAAATGCAATTTCAAATTTCCGGAAACGTCAAAGACTTACCCCATGCTTTGAGTGTATTAATTGGTCTAAGTGTTCTAGGACTGGCTAGGCTATACTAGTACATACATACTTACTCCGTAGTAAAGCCCCAGCGTAGATCAGATCGCGTGTTGGCACCAGCGCCATCACGTGAGCTCAATTTGAAATTAGTCGCAGGAATAGTCGATCTTCAAATTGTTGATGCAAAAGATTATGCGACAACAAGGAAATATCCGATAAGCACATGCAGACTTCAATGTTGAAATTCTTGTGTCCTTATACTCTTTGAGTCATAGTCCTGCAAGTATTGCAAGCGTCCCCACCGATCCTCAGTTGAGCCCCGCCTTCTCATTCGTTGCTTCTGGGTGGAAATTTAATTTGCCCGCGTCTCGCACAACCAACCCCTCCTTCGAACGTCCTTTTTGTCCGCAACTCCCTCAAGATACTTATTCGGCGATTCGTGGCGCGATCGGCGCCTTGGAGATTCACTCCGCAATATCGATCATTTTCCAGGATGGCTCAGAACTCTGCCTCCCAACTCCCCAGTGCGTTCTACCCTCTCAAGAAAGACTGACGCCGCGACAGCTCATTGACATCATGAAATAGCTGGGGAATCCAATGCCCCCGCCCAGCAACCTCAACAGGCTGGCCAGGACGCTTTGGCCGCCCCTAAAGTGAAGACCGAAAAGGAGCGTACGTCAACCCCGCGCAATACACGATTCATTCCAATTCTACGCCGATCCAGATAACAACCATGAGACAATTTCGCTGACTTCGGAATTATTTAGTCGAGCGCGAGCGCAAGAAGGCTGAAAAGGCCAAGAAGTTTGCTGAGAAGAAGGCTAAGGCTTCCACCGCTCAGCCTGCTGCCCCCAAGGCCGAGAAGAAACCCAAGGTTGAGAAGGAGAAGACCACCGACGCATATGACCCCGCGACTATCGAGGAGGGACGTCTCGACTGGTGGGAAAAGCAGGATCTCTTCAAGCCCGAATGGGGTCCTGATGGCAAAGTTAAGCCCGAGGGATCCTTCGTCATCCCCATTCCTCCACCCAACGTTACCGGTTCCCTACACATGGGTCACGCCTTGACCAATGCTCTTCAAGACACCATGATCCGCTGGCAGCGTATGAAGGGTAAGACCACTTTGTGGCTACCTGGTATGGATCATGCCGGTATTTCAACACAGAGCGTTGTGGAGAAGATGCTGTGGAAGAAAGAGCAGAAGACCCGTCATGATCTTGGACGTGAGGCCATGACCAACTTGATCTGGGACTGGAAGGATCAATACCACAGCAACATCAAGAATGCCCTGCGAAGATTGGGTGGTTCGTTCGACTGGTCTCGTGAGGCCTTCACCATGGATCCTAACCTGTCCGCCGCTGTCACCGAGACCTTTGTTCGTCTTCACGAAGAAGGTATCATTTACCGTGCCAACCGTCTCGTCAACTGGTGTGTTGCCTTGAACACATCACTCTCCAACCTCGAGGTTGACAACAAGGAGATCGAGGGCCGCACTCTTCTAGATGTGCCTGGCTACGAGAAGAAGGTTGAGTTTGGTGTTTTGACCCACTTCTGCTATGAGATGGATGGCAGCAAGGAGCGTATCGAAATTGCTACTACCCGCCCTGAGACCATGGTGGGAGATACTGGTATTGCTGTTCACCCTAATGATAAGCGTTACGCGCATCTTATTGGTAAGAACGCTCGCCACCCGTTCATTGACCGTCTCCTGCCCATCGTGGCCGATGACGGTGTCGACCCTGAATTCGGTACCGGTGCCGTGAAAATCACACCGGCTCATGACTTCAACGATTTCAACCGTGGAAAGCAGCACAACCTGGAATTTATTTCCGTCATGAACGACGACGGAACCTTCAATAAGAACGCCGGTCCTTATGCTGGTATGAAGCGATTCGATGCTCGTTACCAGGTCATCAATGACCTTAAAGAGAAGGATCTCTATGTCAAGTGGGAGCATAATCCCATGAAGGTGCCTCGTTGCGCTAAGTCCAACGATGTGATCGAGCCTATCCTCAAGCCACAATGGTGGATGAAGATGGAGAGTCTCGTTGGCCCTGCCATCAAGGCTGTCCGGGATGGCGAGATTATTATTCGCCCCGAGAGCGCAGAGAAGAGCTATTTCCGCTGGATGGAAAACCTCAATGACTGGTGTCTATCCCGTCAGCTCTGGTGGGGTCACCAGGCCCCCGCCTACTTCGTGAAGGTTGAGGGCGAAGAGAATTCCGACAGTGACGGTAACTTCTGGGTCACCGGGCGAACCGAGGATGATGCCCGTAAGAAGGCTGAGGCTAAGTTCCCTGGTAAGAAGTTTGAGCTGGTGCGCGATCCTGATGTTTTGGACACCTGGTTCTCGTCTGGTCTCTGGCCCTTCTCAACCCTGGGATGGCCTAACAAAACCCACGACTTTGAGAACCTCTACCCTACCTCTGTTTTGGAGACCGGTTGGGACATTCTCTTCTTCTGGGTCGCCCGTATGATTATGCTTGGTATCAAGTTGACTGGGAAGGTGCCCTTTAAGGAGGTGTACTGCCATTCCCTCATTCGAGACTCTGAAGGTCGCAAGATGTCCAAATCCCTCGGTAATGTTGTCGACCCTCTGGACGTCATGGAAGGCATTCAGCTGCAGACTCTTCATGACAAACTGCTGGTTGGTAACCTCGCTGATAAGGAGGTCGCCGCTGCTACTAAGTATCAGAAGAAGGCATTCCCCAAGGGAATCCCCGAGTGTGGTGCCGATGCATTGCGCTTCGCCCTTGTCTCCTACACTACTGGTGGTATGTATTGTCTACCCTTTTTAATTTCCTTATTACATAAATCTAATTATCTCTTTCCAGGTGGTGATATTGCTTTTGATATTCAGGTTATCTTCGGATACCGCCGTTTCTGTAACAAGATTTACCAAGCTACTAAGTTTATTCTTGGTAAGCTCGGAGATGACTTTAAGCCTCAGGCCAAGGTCGCCAAGACTGGCCATGAGTCTCTGTCTGAACGCTGGATTCTTCACCAGTTCAACGCTGCTGCTAAGGAAGTGAACGAGTCATTAGAGAAGCGTGAATTCTCCAACGCCGCCAACGTCAGCTACCAGTATTGGTATGGCCAGCTTTGTGATGTGTTCATTGAGAACTCCAAGTATCTCTTGGCTGAGGATGCTTCGGCCGAGACCCAGGAATCTGCCAAACAGACTCTTTACACCGCGCTTGAGGGTGCACTGGCTTTGATTCATCCTATGATGCCCTTCGTAACTGAACATCTCTGGCAGCGTCTGCCCCGCCGACCTGAAGACAAGACAATCTCCATTATGAAGGCCAAGTTCCCCGAGTACCAGGTCGAGTTTGACGATCCCGCTGCCGCAGCTGCGTATGAGCTTATCCTGAACACATCCAAGGGCATTCGCTCCATCTTGGCTCAATACGATGTCAAGACCCAGGGCGATATTATTATCAAATCTGCCAACTCTACCAGCCAACAAACTATCTCCGAGCAGATGACCAGTATCAAATCCCTGGGTGGCAAGACTTTGGGTGAACTCACTCACGTTGGCCCTGATGCCCCGACACCCTCTGGTTGCGTTGTGGTTCCCGTCGGTTCCGATGCTGCTGTCTACCTTCGTGTTTCCAAGGAGGTTGCCTTGGACCAGGAAGAGAAGGCCAAAGCTGCCCTTAACAGGGCTCTTGAGACTGTGCGCAGATCTCAGAAGGTCATGAGTGCTCCTTTGTATCAGGAGAAGGTCAAGGCCGAGGTTCGCGAGCAGGAGGAGAAGCGCTTGCGGGATGCCGAGAGTGAGGCTGCTCGATTGGAAGAGCAGATCAAAGAGTTTGAGAAGCTTCGCTTGGAATAATTTTCCAGCCAAAGAAATACATAAAAAGAAATTCAAGATGTCAAATATAAGAATTCAATTCAATCTTTATCTATTTTAATAATATGGCCAAAGTTGTGTACGTGGATCGGGTGAGAAAAAACCTGTTGTTTCGAGCATGAATGCCATATACTAGTTCAAACTCATTCAAAGTATTCAATTATTCCAATTATTCTATTTCCCGCCCCCATTATTCCCATTATTTCTGATAGTACTGGTGCCAACACGACATTTCAATAGTTTGACCGTCTCAAGGTTCTAAGCTTATCGGCTTTGCGGCCGACAGTAGGCTCTTATCGATAAGCGTGCCAAGCCTTCCCCCCAAAACTTTTCTGCGTTTTTTACTCCGAATCTTCTTCCAAGAAAAAAAAAGGAAAAAGTCACAGCCACCATTATGTTGCGCGAAGTGTACGTATCCGGATTGATCGAATTTCTTACTCGTCTGACTTATAACATTCTAGTAAACCCAAGAACCCGCGCACTGCGCGTATTCTTAAGGCGCGGGAGCCTCAACTCATTGAGGGTCCCAAGAAGACTCTATTGCTGCACGGCACCAAATGCCCCCAAGCTCTCGACACCGTTCTCAAGACCTTTAACTCCCTCACAAAGCCAAACTCCGTACTATTCCACAAGAAGAATGCGAATGTCCACCCCTTTGAGAACACCGAGAGCCTTGAATTCATGGCCAACAAGAACGACTGTGGATTGGTAGTCTACGGAAGTAGCAACAAGAAGCGACCCAACTGCGTTACACTGGCCCGAATTTTCGACTCACAACTCTTGGATCTGTGCGAGCTGCTTCTCCTGCCACCAGCAGACGGTAGTTCCATTCCCCCTATCAACGAACTCGTCATGCACGTTGGCCAAGGACTGCGCCCAATGATGCTCTTCGCTGGAAGCCCATGGGACGACCCGACATCCTCTGCGCACGTTATGCTGAAGAGCTTCTTCCTGGATTTGTTCAAGGGCGAAGAAACCGACCGTATCGACGTTGAGGGTCTCCAGTATGTCATGATGGTTGGAGCGGAGGAGGCCCGCGAGGGTCTGTCACCTATTGTGCACCTGCGCTGGTACAAGGTGGTTACCAAGCGTAGTGGACACAAGCTTCCGCGTGTTGAGTTGGACGGAATCGGTCCCAAATTCGATTTCAAGATTGGACGCACACGTCCTGCTGCGGCCGATCTGATGAAGCAGGCCCTGAAGCAGGGCAAGCGACCCAACGAGGAGGGCAGGACGAAGAAGAACATCACTATGGATTCTATGGGTGACAAGGTTGGCCGTGTTCACTTGACCAAGCAGGATCTGAGCGACCTCCAGACCCGTAAGATGAAGGGTTTGAAGCGTCGGGCTGATGGGGAGTCCGATGAGGGCGAGGATATGATGGATGTGGATGATGATGATGATGATGAGATCTCCGAGGATGAGGGCCACAAGCGGGCTCGCACAAACTAGACTTGATCTTCTTGCATTGTTGTAACTTCTTGTCCAGGCGTTCTCTTTGGGCCGGTTTAGGGTTTGTGCTTTTTTAATGTCCGCCATTCTTTGCAGGTGGAATATCAGGTACCGACATGGAAAAGTATGTTCTATATTGGACTATGATCACAAAATACAGCCATATACTTAAATGTTCTCGTTCTTCACCATTTAGATATAGAATACCAAAACTAAACCATTGATTATTGATGCTTTCTATGTTATATTAATGCTGCGTACTCTATATACTAAGAACACACGTGACCATGACGTCGGCCTGCTCGGCATCCTCTCACATGCCGAGGCCCTTTTCACTCGCGCTGGTCCGAACCCAAGTGCCGTCATTCCCTATTCTTCTTCCCCATATTCTTCTTCTTTCTGTCTTTCACCTAATGACCTGGATCGAGCTCAAGACTTATCACTGTGGTGGAAATCCAAAGTAGTCCTCTTCATCCAAGTCCGACCTCCCGCTGAGGTCTTGCGACGCCATGGATACACTTTTAGTGAGTAATTGTCCCCCCGCCTCAAGCACGTGTCAATCAGGTCGACTAACTAAAGAACCTTACAAGACACAACTAGATGCCCTCGTCCTCAAGCCTGAGCTTGCTCCATTCTTATCGCTACTCAAGGGCGCTCGTAATGGCATCGTCTATGGATCGAAGGTGCGGTTTCCGCATGCGCTGGTGTACGTCCGACTTCCGAAGCTTTTAAACCGAGCAGAAAGCTCGGGAAAACAATCGTGGGAACTGACGATGGTATCAATAGCATGATCTTTCTTTTTCGATCGGGAACGTATGTACTCAAGTCTTTCAAGTTGTTGCGGCAAATGTCAAGTTTCCCGTCGGGCTAACGATTCAACGTATAGATTCCGGGAAAAGGCCAAGCTCGTCCTCAACGCAACGCGCCAGCATGCGCGCAATCTTTCCACATTTGCAATCGTTTACAAAGCCTCGATGATCATTCTCAGGAATATCAATCCATCAGGCGTCGGGAAAGAGGGACGGTACGATAGCTTTGTTGCTGGTTTGCTGGGTGGATATACAGTCTTCGGACGCCAACCGGGGAGTGTCAGCCAGCAGGTATGAGTCCAGAACGATCGTCCGGTTCCAATTTGAGGGAATCTTTGCACTTCAAGCAAGCTAATTGAGGTTTAGATTGTCATCTACGTTTTCGCCCGTGTGATGCTCTCTCTAGCCAAGCTCGCCGTCGAGCCTAACATGCACCCCCTCTCCCCTCTTGTTACTCCTGAGGCACGCGCCAAAATCTACGAATATGCCTGGCCTGCATTCGCCAGTTTCACTTGGGCGTTCGTCATGTACATCTTTCGATGGTACCCGGATACCCTGGTGTCCAGTTTGCGTAGTAGCATGGTCTATATGTACGTCACCATGTTCTACTTGCATCTTCATCTTACTCTTTGCACACTCATATGGCATACTCATAGCCATTTACACCTACACTATCTGTTTTTAGTAATTCTGACGCTAACAACCTCGCCATCTTTACAGCTACGCGGACTCGGACCATTGGGACTCGTTCCGAAATTTGTTCATACACAACAAATAAGTCTACAACGGTGCCTCGCCGTTATTGGCTGCTATCAAATAGCAACACCTTGTTTAGACTGATTCCCATTCTTATCATTCTTATTTTTATTTTTATTCTCCAGCTGGTTTTGGATACTGAATGAAGAACGGCGCATAGAGGGAGTTATATATTTTGACGGGATTTGCGGTCTTGAACACGAGGCAGTCATGCATTTTTATACGAGAATAAGGTTGTGGTTTAACAATCAATATAACAGTCGGATCTGACATTTACTATGCGCGCGTATACTAACATCAATTGCCACGCCTAGTAAAGGGCAAGATACGCTAATCTGATGAAATTTTATTCTCATTATATCTCGAAACTCGAAACTGGGCCATAGCTTCCGAGCCTTTAAATAGTATGATTTGACTTTGCAACTTTAGCGAGGGTGAGATAATGGAAAGCTGAAGATAGTTCTCCCGGTCATATCCAGTATGATGGAGATTCTTGGGAAGAGACTTGCGAAACCATTGCCTTCTAAACAGTTTGATATATCTATCATAAGAAAAAGATATGGTTTATTATATATTTTTGTATTTCATTTCAGAACGACTAGTAACACAAGAGGGTATGAAAGAAACAAAGCTGAACTGAAAAAGCCTTGAGAACAACGCGCCACCAATGCCAAAACAAAAATCCGAATAAGACATCAATCATACATCGATCCCCCACGGCAGGAGCCACGAGAGAAGTAAGCCGAGGGTAAGATCAGTTCCGAAGAGAAGCGCAACTCCATCTACTGAATATATTTTAGGTGTCAATCAATGTCCACCAAGACCTTCAGTTCCCCGTCCATCCAGTCTACTGTTTCTGCAGACAGAAGGGCAAAGGTCCATTCCTTTTCACTGTGAATAGGAATGAGACCATCAGGAAGCCAAGCAGTGACTTTCCAGGTGGCAGTAACGGCATCTCGTGTTTGTTGAGCGACCGAATCTAGATTCTCAGTATCCGCGAGAAAATTCAGACCAGGGATTTGGGTTGGGTAGCGCCGTATTATAGACTGCTTCATCGAGTCAGCGCTGGTGCACTGAACAGCCGGGATATCCAGTCGAGGAAGAATGCGTTTTCCTTGCTGGAGAAGGTTGATTCGGAGATATGTCTCATTTGACGAAGGGGGATTAGATGGAGCGTTCGAGGACGAAATGGGAACAAAGGGTTGATGATTATGGAGTTGGTGGCCTGCATTTGGCGCGTGGTTGTTGACTGCCGCATGATCGCCCTGTCTTGTAGCGATGTTCTCGCGAATAATTCGCGAGACGTCTCGAGTGATACTACTAGCACTGTTGAGGGAGTTAGCATGTCTTGATATTGAGTTTAGTTCATACAATTGACGAAAGACTTACAAATCATCGCGCGCTGGGGTATTGCGTTCACCTCCAATACGCCAAGACAGGCCCATAGTGGAATCGGCATGAATAATACGATCAACGTTGGCGTCCTCACAAGGACTTGGACACTCGTAATCGCCGTTGTGGACAATACGATAATGGCTATCAACGGCTGCGACTAAACCACGCCATTCGGGTTGTTCAAGACCAGACAAAGACCACAAATTATCCAATTCGTACCCTTGATTATACGTATCATAAGACTTGGCAAAATCGTTCCATTCCATCGAATATCCATCAAGGAGAAGGTCAGTCAAAGCAAGGTCCATGGCTTGGTTTGTGTCCATGGTGTCTTGATGGATCTGAACGGAGGGTGGTTGCATGGGTTGCTGCACGTCATCCGGTCGGTGTCCCTGGTTATGCAGCTGGAGTTGTTGAATGGGTGAGAAGCGAGAGCCATTGAAGTCGTCTTGGAAGCCTTCGTTTGTCTGACGGCGACGACGCTCATCCCCAGGACCGCCTTTGCGGGTTTCAATCGCATATTGACGTTGACGTTCGTTGGTAACCATTCGACGTAATAGCGGAATGACTAAAGAGATTATCTTCTGCTGATCGCGGGGCCAGATATAAGTCCTTGTGCCCATGCCTTCGTTCAACACATCTTCTCCGAAGAATCGCTCGCCATTTCCCTCCGCTTCGAGGAAGTGCCGAACACAGTTCCACAGCCGTAACTTGACCATCTCAGTGTCGCCTTTACCTCGTTGGCCCACACAGTCCCGTCGCTCAGGATGATCATCATCGAGCATAAATCCTTTCGCCGCGGCCTGTAGGTGGAGGAAATTTTCAGGCGAGAGTTCAAGTGACGCAAACAGCTTCGACATAGGGGGACGAGTATACTTCTTGTTGCTAGATGGCTGTCTAAACAGCGCTGCGGCTGAATGTACACCGACAGCGCGAGCTTCAGACAAAGACTGAGGGGGTACGGGCCGAATATCCATATTATCTCCAGAGTATCCATGCGGAGCTTGTTGAGACGATTGCGAATGTTGCTGCTGGTGAAGACCGGTTCCAGCTAGTGCAGGGTCGAGGTTATCATCATTTCGCTTTCGCTTTTTGGAAACAGTGCGAGACAAGCCGGGGCTCTGGCCATGGTCATTTGGGACTCTCAAATGTCTACTATTTCCCATGCCAGAACCAAAGTTCGCATCGCTGAAGCTGTCTTCTCCGATATGAATATCCTGACCATAGCTATCTAGTTGCTGGCTATTTACCGCAGCCGCGGCCGCCGCCCAGTGCGATAAATCTTGGTCTTGGTCTGCAGCCGCGGTGGCAGCTTCCACTAAGCCCGCAAGCTGATTGTCATTCGCTGTATAGCTATTGTTCGCATCGAGGTGGGTGTTTGAATTCGATTGGGATGCATGGTCGTTCAGAGAAGTCGAAGGATGCTGGTTAGTCGAATTGGAGGACATATTCACTTCGGCGCAATATGCGATATTTTTGTTGAGCTAGTGCGGTCACTTGAGGGAAACCGGATGACCTGGGCGCGTCCTGAGAAAATCAGTCCGGCGTGTGCAGAACACCTCTGCTTCCTAGTGTGATCTACTTTGTCCCAATGCGATTTCGATTTGTGGTGGAGTCGCGGGCAATAAGCTTTATCGCAATGCGATAACTAGCATTCGCGAGTAGCCGATGTTGTAGTACAAGCAGCTAATGGCTTCAGCAAATGTCTGACGCGGCCACACCCCAGGAAGGGGTGAAAAGCGCGTAAAATATTAATTTCAAAGCCAGTGGCCCTAGAAAAGAGCTTTGGACGCACTTCGAGCGTAAAGCTGATAAGAGCACAACGCGACAGGCGATGATGGATGTTTGCGTGGTTTGAAGGAAGGACAGACAGTGCAAACCTCTAGGGTGGTGGGTTCTGTGATCACGTGCAAATCGACTCATCCAATTACGTCGAGTGTCATGGATGCATTCGATAAGGTTGCAGCACACACAGATGGTTACAGAGAGACACAAGATCTATGAAACATACGATTTCAGTGAAAATAGGAGAGTATGTATCGGTTTCGAGAAGATGATATTACAATCCTCCGTTCGTGCTATTTAGTATTGACAATTACGAGTAGAGGTCATAGCGTGACTACAAATGTCGTAGCTATCCGTGAAAAACGAGTAAGTATGAAAATTGAGGGGAAATACAGTGCATTCGCAAATTTCCTAATAGTATGTATTATAATCAAGTAAAAACTCGGAGCTAAATTGCATGATTCAAGTCGAGCCCATGTACAACTCTACTAGCTTCAGTAATGAAGACTTCATCCACCATGCAAGTTTTGGCTCTTGAATCTCGTATGATTAGCTTTTTGGTGCAACGATGAAATACTTGAGCTCATATATGACCATGGTTGGTTAATAGCAATATTGTTACATCTGATAATACTATATAACATTGCAGAGAGTCTGTAAGTTCGCCCCGCTCCATTAAAAACGAGTAGACGACGGGCAGACCTCCAGATGTCGTATATACAAATTATTCCAGCCACTGCAAGGAAATTGCACAAAGAAAATGACTCAAAATATGCACGCAAGTAATGAAAGAATCAAACATAATCTTTCAACGGTTCGCAGATCGATATTGCGTCACCAAGTTGAAATCAACAGATCAACAGCAAAGCCCGAGCAAACAATATCGAAAATACTTCGACATGCATTGTATATTGCTTGAGATGGGCAGTTTGGATAACACAGACACATCATCTTCAAGCAAGTAGACCCACCAATATGAAGGGTTTTCCAAAATTGGCGGCCCGAAAAGGATACAGTTGACATTTATGAATCGTTGACTCCATAATGTGATATATCAAGTCCACGGATCCGTTCCGGAATCTTTCCCGAAAACCCCCCCATATCGACACCCCAGAAAATCTTCCGAATAGTTCCATTGATCCCTTGCATGTTCTTATCATCAATAGCAATTGACTTTCCATTGTCAATGTTATTGTCTGGTTGAAATTTAATTGTTTGCTTTCTAGAAATTTAACGGGGGGGATCTCATGTTGGCTGCCAGTGGCGGGTTGGCACAAAACCCCTCTTGGTGGATCACGAAAAGCAAAACGATACTGCAGATAATACATCAAGTCCAAGAAATGCATGTCAATCAGCTGTCCGAAATTTCTGACATATCAAGATCAATCTTGTTTGTATGACGGCAAGGGATGATATATCCTAAAAGCTTCTTTTCTTCAATATTGTGAGACACGGAATTGCCGTCAATGCACTCCGAACCATGATTTCTGGGGCATGACAGGCAGTTGATCGGCAGCTCGTATACATCCCTTGAGATGAAATCCGGGCACTATCAATTTCTCTCGCTTTTATTGCTATCCAACCGTCATCTTGGCGAGGTATATTTTCTGTCCCATGCAGCCGCAGCATGTATGATTGGTGCATAACCCCACTATGATACTTTCTATGATCTGTCAACAAAGTTCGATAGATATGACATGTCTAGGTGGAGATCGCGGTTGCCCTATCCCTATCCAAAAGTCCTGGATCCTGGTATAATAACAACCGTGGCCCCGCTGTGATTCCAAATCATCAAAGTTTCTTCAAGAGATCTTGCTGCTTCCTTCAAGCCTAACACACTTGGGTTTTACCCGTCATGTCTTCCACTGGCAAACAGACTTCTGCGGGGATGAGTGCAGATATCTACCAGCCCAATGAATCATTGCGAACATCTGTCAAAGTCTCGCTTGCTTTTGCTTTCACTATATCTACAGTTGCTGTAGCTTTGCGGATCTGGGCGCGCAAGTTGACCGGCTGCAAATTGTTTCTGGATGACTATTTGATCTTGATAGCTTTGGTATGAACATTTCAAAACAGTGGATCTGCCGTTAGTGGAGAACTGACTTAATATTCGATTTACTAGCTTTTTAAATATGGCTGCTCCATCGGCGTCACAATGCGTAAGTGATTTGGAATTACCTGCAGCCCTATGCAAGCCATACTGACGCAAGGATTAGTATTGTTCAACGGCCTGGGCTACCACATGGACATTGTTCCAGAGGAACAAATCGTGGCCTACTTCAAGGTATGCTCTTTCTAACATCTAATCATTTGTTCAACACCCAAACTAATTGATTTGTATAGATCGGATGGGCAAATCCATTTGTCTACACTCCGTGTGTAGCATTTATCAAGTTGTCTGTTCTGGCGCTCTACAAGCGTCTCTTTGCAGTTAGATACATGGTATTAGCTTGCAATATAATGGCCTCGGTTGTTATATTGTGGACTGTCAGTATTCTGGTCGCGAATACATTGAGTTGTATCCCGATCAAGAAGTCCTGGGATATGTCGATCGATGGATCCTGTATCGACATGGCCAGCTTCTACTACGGCATGCAGATCCCAAATATTGTCTCCGATCTCATCATATTGGTGATGCCTATCAAGGTTGTTGTTGGCCTGCCGATCGCAAAAACACAAAAACTGCTCTTATCTTGTGTCTTCCTCGTGGGTGGCTTGTATGTTCAAATCCATGATGAATCATACTTGACAGAAAGATACTGACTTAGACCTCCAGAACCTTTATTTTTGACTGTGTCCGTTTGTGGGTTGCTATCCAGCTAACTAAATCAGGACCTGATATTACTTGTGAGTCCTCTAAGGCTATCTATATCCTTGCTTTCTTTTTCGTCTCCTAGTACGAACCTTTTCTTACCATTTACAGACAACCAAGCTCCAACTGCCATGTGGACCTGCACTGAATCCGCAGTCGGTATCGTCGGCGCTTGTCTTCCCAATCTCAGGCCACTGTTCAAGATTGGCTCTGGTAACTTCTGGTCTCAACTTCGATCTAGCCGTGGATCATCAAAGAAGGGCCTTATGAATTCCAACACTACGAACACCACCAGCACATCAGAGTCTTCAACTATTGCAAAGCCGCACATGATTGATCATATAAGTGAGCAAGGAACTCAAGGGATTGAAGTTCACCGATACAGCAGATATGCCGAAGGTGAAAAACATTAATAAGCTTGGTCATACCCATTTGATTGCATTTGGGAGCCTGGTTTTTGGGAAACTTGTAAGACAAAAAGTTAACGAGGAAATGTCGGGCATGGGTTGGATTGAGATACCTAGGTAGCTAGCTTAGTTTCATTTCGTCAATACTTTTTTCTCAATAAAGGATTTAATATTTTCACGGTTTTATTTTCGAGAATCGTACATACTACCAAATATATATCCGCAACATGATGCTAAGCCAGTGGTTGTATTTGTATGTATACCCACTGGCATGTATATAGGTAAAATGGATAAACGCATATGTGGAAATAGTATAGATATATTGAGAGATGATGTCTTAAAATAAAATACGAGTTACAAATATATCAGTTTTAAATGGACAATCTTCATTTAAACCTGACTGGAATCATCCCAAGGTTCATTCACCGTATACTTAGGAGCAGTAGGACTAGACCACGGCTATCTCCGCTAACTGTGGCGGTGGCGCCTATCAGGGACCGGCGATTTGTTATCTCACGTGACCACGTGAAAACTTGCGGCCGACGCATCCCAGAAGGGAAAAAGTTGCCAGTCTTCAACCTTTTCAATCCAGCCCAAAAGCATGTTCTGGCAAGATGCAAGCCTCCAAGATACATGGTGATCCCGATGAGACAGTCGTCATGTCACGGCTCCCTCCTCCAAGCTCCAATCCATCCAAAAAATCCCTCGACCCATTAATTCACCTCCTAGCCGGCGCGTAAGTTCATCGTCAACTCCGATTTCGCGCGGCGAATTTCATTGAAACAAACCCCTAATTAAACTTCCTTCAACAGGAGCGGTGGCTTTGCAACAGCAATTGTAACATCACCACTTGATGTCCTCCGAACACGTCTCCAATCCGACTTCTATCAACCTATCTCTCAACCCGGCGCCTCCGCAACTCCTCTTCCCCCGAAAACAAGCCATAAGACCCTCCACATAATTTCAAATATCCACAAAGCTGAAGGATGGCGCGCCTTCTTCCGCGGTCTAGGCCCAAGTCTTGCTGGCGTGGTCCCAGCAACAGCTATTAAATTCTATGTCTACGGAAACTGCAAGCGCATCGGAGCTCAACTCCTCGGTCACGGCGAAGACTCTACCATTGTCCACGCACAAGCTGCTATCTCCGCTGGTATTGCAACAGCAACTGCTACCAATCCGATATGGCTAATAAAGACTCGACTGCAACTTGATCGAGCCCAAACAACTACCGGCACCCGGCGATACAAAAATAGTATCGACTGTGCCAAACAAGTTTTTCGACAGGAGGGAATCCGAGGCATGTACAAGGGTCTCAGCGCTAGTTATCTAGGATCCGTTGAGACAGCGCTGCACCTGGTTCTCTATGAGCGATTGAAGGGTATGATGGCTAAGTCGCTTGGATCTCCTGATGGTAAGGAAACTGCGATGCAGAAGGAAATTACCAGCTGGATTAGTACAACTGGTGCTGCGGGTTCGGCCAAGTTTGCTGCTGCTTTGATTGCCTATCCACACGAGGTAAGCAGACTCACGCACCATACGCGATTTGTCTTTTTATTAACTTGCCCTTTTCTTTACAGGTTATCCGAACACGACTTCGTCAAGCACCCCTCGAGAACGGCATGCCCAAATACACTGGTCTACTGCAATGCTTTAGACTAATTGCCAAGGAAGAAGGTATGGCTGGTCTATACGGTGGTCTGATGCCACATATGGTCCGCTCGATTCCCTCTGCCATCATCACACTTGGAGTTTATGAGTTTGTACTCAGACTCGCGGACTCTTCATAAACACGTTTCACTAGCCGTTTTACGCCACTCTGTACACTATCATCCCTGAATTTGCTATTACCGGTAGACAGGGCAGCTATCGTGACTTTTCTCAATTTTGCATGTATTTTATTGGGCGTTGGGGGATGGGAACTTTCACTTTGGCTGTTTACAGAATCTCCTGTCCTGGGACTTGTATCATATCAACTACTCTTTTCACTTGTATCACTTTGTATCAAAATATTACATACACTCTTCAATAAGATTATTGAAAGGATTATAGATCCATATGTAAGAAGCATTCAATTGATTCTACTGAACCACTAGGTCCAATTCGTAAAATAGATATATCTAGTACATCATTCAATACATGGGTTCTGAGTGTTCACCTTTAAAAAAAGCATCCGAAAACTTGAAACTCATGATAACATAAGGGCAAAGACTAAATAGCCTGGGTATGATATTTTGCTGGAAAAGAAAACGCCATGCAACGCTGATTTGAATGGGGATATATGACCTGGGGGGATAAAGAACAACAGAAAGGCCGAACCCATTCAAAAAGGAGGTTAAACAAACAGAAAAAGTACATGGGAGAGGGGAAGAGTAGTTTCATCCTCATCTTCAAGATGCCTCTTCGTCGGCTGCCTCCTCGACAGTAGCAGCACGACCTTTGCCCTTGGAAGTGTCTTCGGATTGCGTATGTTCTGCATTCAAAGAATTATCCGTGGCATGGCTCGTGCTCCATGTAGCTCCTGTGGAAGAAGTAGCATCGGCTGCTTGATCGTTTTGCACGTCTGTCCATTCTTGGGACAATGAGTCGGATCCATTTGATGAGCCCCAGTTGGGCACTGTGTGGGATGTACCAGTCGATAAACCATTGCTTGATTCCACCGTAGGAGTTGAGACAGGAGCAGTTTCATTAACGGCATCTTCACCACCAACACTGGCTTTTGGTAAGACCGGTGTTTGAGGCTGGGCCGATTCACTTGGAGTGGGGATGGTTGGCGGTTGAGCCGAGACCGTCGGGGTTGGTGTGAGCCCTTGTGAAGAGGCTGGGTTGTTGAGGTTGGTCGACTGGAGAGGAATTAAACTCCAGCCTTGGGGAAGAGTCATTCCGTCAGGTAGGCGGGCGTCTCCCGCGTTAAGCGGTGCTGCTCCCGGACTCGGAACAAATTGATGGCGCGTAATAGTAGATGTACCAGGTAGCACTGGTGAAGTGCTAGTAGAGGCAGTGGGTTGGGCGATATTGTTCGCAAGGTTGTTCGCATGGTCGAGGCGCATCCGCTCAAGTGGTACTTGCATGGCACGTACACGCTGGAGTTGCTCTGTAGCAGCACGCCAGGCGTTAATCTCTTGTGCCAGTTGCTGCTCAACTTGCTGTAATCGAGCTTGAATATCGGTAAGAGTGGAGAGTGTTGGTGTGTGTTGGTTTTGTGTGGCATCTGCAGCGGGCGTGGCGGGTGCACCGGGTGGACGACGGCCAAATCCAAAACCAAAGCCGATTTGGCGCGCACCTTGTGGGTTTGCATTAGCGGCTGGCTGGAGGGGAACGTTGCCTTGATGAATCTGGTTATGCAAGTTGTGAAATAGATCGCCTCGAACGGCACCGAAGCCAATTCGGAAGGGACCAAACTGGTATACTCGAGCTCGAGGGAGTCCTTCTCCTTGATCACCAGGCTGACCGGGAGCTTGATTTCCACCGACACCATTCTGTTGCTGACCTCCGGCGTTGCCATTTGCATTTGCGTTAGCATTGCCGTTGGCAGCTCCCTGTGTACTTCCCGCGCCAACCACAGGACGTCGACATGTTGGGCAGTTCTGTTGTCGTTCCAACCAGCTTCGGAGACATGCGAAATGAAGAATATGGCCACAGGGTAGCTTCTTTGGGCGTAATCTATCGGGCACACGCTGGGCATTCGCAGCTGGCTGTTCGTTACCCTCGCCATCACCAGCGGCTGGCTCTACTGAAACCATGTCCTCGCGACAAATGATACAGACTTCCTCTCTGGCAACCTCTTCAGCTGTCGCATCCGGATATCTTTCATTCATGTCACGGGTTGCATTGCGATACCGCAGGAAGTCCAGGATCCGACGGCCAAACGAACGAATAGTAACCACAACGTCGCGCAGAATATGGATGGGCAAACCGTAAAAGGTGAGCAAGATTGCGAAGAACACGAGGTAAACAATAAGCTTCACAAAGTCGGTTAAAAGATCAAGGTAGAAAACCCATCGTCCCTTCTCCTCCCATCCAGGAACATCGATCTCGAGTTCATTGACATCGTTTTCATCGGGCAAGTCGGTGGGAGGGGAAGTTTCCCCAGCTCGCGCATGGGCCTGGATAGCCTCCGTACGAGCTTGTCGAATCTCCGCACGACGTTCCTCCATCTTCGCCTTGACCTGCTGGCGAGTAATGTAGATCTCCGTCAAGGCGACAACGTACCGAGCGGCGGTAGAAGAGGAAAGAATGGTCAAAATTGCGAATTCGAATCCAAACATAACCATCATATCTGGCTTTGGTTGAGCCCATACCGTATCAATGCAGTAACGCAGCATCGAGGCATTGAAAAGGACCGTTAATACTAACGACACTGCCAGACGAGTATGGAAAAGCCGTGGGTTTGCAGGGGGCTGCTGCTCCAAATATTCAACGCGGCCCTCTCCAATCCAACCCCACACTTTACCAACGAGAAGGGAGATGAACATGACCAAGAACCAGCCCCCAAGTTCGCCTCGAAAGATGGTCATAGCGAGACATGTCTCTGTTACCGCGAACCATGCTCGCTCGTAGAGTTGTTCGGTTTCGATAGGACGTAAAGGGCCGTAGAGAAGACGCTGCAACCAAAACAACACAAAACCCGTAAAAAGTAGGCAGAGATTCGTGAGGATCTAACGGAGCGGATTGTCTGTTAGCGATATGACGCGGGGGCTAATATGACAAGAACACCACGAGTTCCGCAGGCTAGAAGTTAACAAGACTCACCATAACGTTGGCACTACTCTGCGAGAGATAGACACAAGCCGCATAGAAGTTCGATCTCTGATGCAGAGCTTTTATAAACACACCAGTGGCTAGGACCACGGAGGCCTGGGGGGGAGGTCAGCAGATGTCTCTTCGAGTTGATGAATTGAGGGATAGGTAACTCACCCCAGCATAGGCTGCCAGTCTCATGGCGAAGGAGGAACTGAGACACCCGAATCGAGGGTCATCAGATGGGAAGGTATAGAGGGAAAAGAAGCTCGGGGGTGAATCGACGAAGGAGTATACTATGATCTGGACAGCTTTCCAGAACAACGGCTCGCCTCCGCATATTACGTCAGCGTGGTTATCCCGCACGTGCCTCCGCGTTGGCGAGGAAAAAGGTGGATTAAGTAGATTATTGACGAATCTATTCCATATGGACTTGTGAGCTGGCTGTATAATGAAGTGCCTATTTATAAAATAGGGTCAAAGGTAATGAATGAAAGTTTGGCTGTTGTTCAAAGTATATGCACGCTAGAATTAGCGTAACAAGTACATGTATATGTATGTAAAGAATATAGTAAACACGGCATGTATTTGGTCAGAAGAACTTGAAAAAGAAATATATCAGTCTCTACTATGATCTTCGCACATGTAATCACTTAGTAGTTATGACGGGGATGGCTAAGAATAAAATTGTGAACATAACTTAACACATTAGTCAATTTCATTCCCCTTTCTAGAACCTATAACAAAAGAAGCTCTGTTATCGAAATTTTAGGCGTCAAGCCTATAACTATTCCGGTATATTCTACATATGTAGTCACTGGCGTTTTATCCATTTGTTGGAACTATCTGAACAGTCACAAGGGGGATCACATTACTATTCTTTGTTTCATTCTCGACCTTTGTTACGATTTTATTCTTTGAATGCTTTCAAGGCTATAGGGGTTGTTGAAGAACATTACAGTTGATCAAAGCTTTGGGATTTCACAGATATCTGTTTATATAATATCAGAAATTACATGTCAACCTAGCCTAGGTCAATGCAGTCAAGCCGCTGATCTCTCAAGCTTTTCTCTAGTTTACGAATTTCAGCTTGTTTTCAGTGTGATGACTTCCATTACGTGCAATGCTACAGTATAGAGGTGGGGCCCCGCCCGGAGCAAAAGCCTCCCGAGTGGCACTCCAGGCCACCAAACCTATATAGCTGTGCAAGGAGTAGATCGAAATGTATTTTCTATCCCACAAAACATACATGTACTATATATATTAAAAGGCAAATTGAAACATTACAGGCAATTGAAGATCACCTAATTTCTCCATCTTCATTTAACCCATTTTGCCACATAACACTGGTAAAAACAAAGCGTCATAGTTGATCGTGATCCCTGTTTATCTGATCGCACGTGACACCCCACCGAATCGGCCTCGGGCGACACAAGCTGAGAGAAGTGGCCGATCATTCTTGATCTTCTTTCCTTTCTCCTGGAAACCCCGCAGACAATGTCCTGTTCTCGGTGATGGCTGAATCTCCGGCATTGTTTACAGCTTCGAGGGGCCAGACCCTCACTTATTTGCTGGGAGTCTGTCCTTTCTCAATTGCCTTTTTAGTATTCATCAACTCATCCGTCTCCTTCGTGGTAACGGATCTGATCGGTCTACATGATGGAGAAGGTGACGCGGTGGGAACGCTAGGATTTGCAGACGAATTGCTTGCTCTCGTAGCTTGCCCATTGTGGGGGGTACTTTCAGATCGTATCGGTGTACGACATGTAAGTGCGGCTTCTTCTTCATATTTATCTACTTGAGATCTCGATCTTCTAGATAAACAAGCTGCAGAGTGCTAATGGAATGTTCAAAATAGGTTTGTACCATTGGCTACGCTATCATTGCTCTTTCATTAGTTCTATTCGTGCAGGCCACGAATGTTTATCCCCAACTTTTGTTGGGTCGATTGCTTTTTAGTCTTGGTGGCTCTGCTGTATCAACAATGGTCACCGCAGTCTTGCCTACTGTGACAGGCAAGGCACTTCGCAACCAGGTTTATCGCGCTTCTGTTTCTTCAGACCTGACTATTACACCTGAGCGTATCCATGGCCTGTCAAACAATAACTCAGAAACCTCGGCACCTGCTGCTTCACCATCTGCGCGATTATCAGGATTTGTTGGACTTTTTGCCGGTTGTGGTGCACTTGTCTCCCTCGGAGTCTTCCTTCCCCTCCCTGCCCGGTTTGAGAAGCTGGGTCTGTCACCAACCGAGGCCCTTCAGCGCAGCTACTACCTAGTGGCTATTACCGCCATCATCATCAGCGTTGTTAGTTTCGTGGGTCTTCGCAATTTGCCAGGGAAGAAGGGAAAAGTTGGAGCTCTTTATGGACCGCTAATTCGCACCGCATGGATGATTCTCCGGCGAAACTTCCATACTGGAAACAATTGACTACTGCTATGCTTCTCGGATTCCAGAATCGCAGTATCGGTCTGGGTTACATTGGAGGCTTTGTTGCTCGGGCATCTTCCGTGGGAATCTCCCTCTTTATCCCTCTGGCCGTCAACCACTACTTTCGTGTATCCGGTCTCTGCGACGAGGATCGTGACCCCGACCCCGGCTCTGGACTGGGGGCCATTAAGAAAGCATGCCCAAATGCATATATCCTTGCATCGATCCTGACGGGTGTTTCTCAACTCATTGCTTTGATAGCAGCGCCGGCATTTGGATACCTGACGGATAAATCGCGACGGTACAATGTCCCCTTGCTGGTGGCCGCTTTTGTGGGCGTGATTGGGTATATCGCCTTTGCCCAGTTGCCCAACCCAGAATTTAGGGCCCCCGAGGGCAATGCCGGGGTGTTTGTTGCGATGGGTCTCATTGGGATTAGCCAGATTGGTGCCATTGTCTGCAGTCTCGCAGTACTCAGCAATGGAATTTTGCGTGTGAGCTTGGACGAGGATACGCTGCGTAAGATTTATGATGATCCGGGACAGGTTCCAGGTGATCGTCGTGATGGATACGAGTCCAGTGAAGAAGATCGGCCTCTCCTGGTGGGGTCAGTGAACCGGCGACTGGAGCACCTGTCGCACCTCAAAGGATCTATTGCCGGGGTGTATTCATTGTATGGCGGGGCCGGTATTCTGCTACTCACCAAGGTTGGGGGGCTCTTGTTCGACCAAGTGTCATCGGGTACACCATTTTACATCATGGCGGTGTTTAACGGGATTTTGCTGATTGCGGGAATTCTGTGTGGGATTTTAAACCAGGTGGCACCGGTAGTGGAGATATCAGTGTAGGAAAGTTATTAGCTTCTTGCTTTAGAATCCGAGATTTACCACTACAATGTGAGGACCTGTGGGATTGACCCCCAAAATGACTGCCTTTGAGGCCAGAAATGACTGCCTTTCCACTCGTAAGCCCATTGCCACAGCGGCCGATAGCGTTCACTGGGAAAAACTCCTTGACCCTATACTACTAGATAGAAAAACAAGTAGAAAGATGATTGGAAAGACGAATAAGAAGATAAGTAGAGATGTATTTTAAGATAGTAGCAGGATTGAAGCTTAACTACATACCTGGGCATAGAACTTGGCGGTACTTACAGTACGAGAGTTATTTCTTTGATGCGGGCAAGTCTCCGAAATTGGCGCTCTCCCGCTTCGTGCGTGCTTGATAGCACCTGAGCACAGCTCTTGGAGAATTGGTGATGGTGTATTGGCCAATCTAAAAGGAGGCCAGACTAACCAGATACAGTAATTCTCAGTAATTCCCAGTCGCGTCCCGAGATGGGTCATGGGGAGGAATCTAGACTTGATAAGCGTAGTAGTGCCTTATAAGGGTAGAAATAAATAAGATTAAATGAAAATAAATATAAAAATCAGTCAAAGCAGGAAATTGAATCCAGAAATTGGGTTATTAAATATTTAACGCTGGGGGTGGGTTAAATTGCGATGATCGAATTGCTGCACTGTTAGCCCTGTTTAGACCCGCTGAGGCGTTTTCCTCCACCACAAAGAAAGAGGGAGGAAAAAGGGGTCTCAGGGTCCAGGGACACGAGGGGAGATACTATTTTCTACTCTTCTTGAAATCCGTCTGGGGGGGTTTTTTTTAACTTATTAGTTATTCCCGAGGTCAACTGTGGTGTAATTGAGCTGATCATCTTTTATAAGGAGCGACCATCCACTTACCATATACAGCGGGAACATCGGGACAAACCCAAGGCTCGGTCAAGGAACATGGCCTCAATCACAAACTATCCCAACTGTAGTCTAGTGCCTTTGAATAAATGGAGCACGAACCCCCTGATACCCACTTTTCTGACCCTTTCGAACTGCTGGCGCGGGTTCCTGAACCAAACAACCCGACTACTCCGTATATGGCGTAGATGGAAGTCATTCTCTGTGCCCCCAAATCCCAAAGATCCATAATTCATCCTGTACGGGCCCTATCACAGGCGCTCTTATGGCCCCCCCTTTTATGATTTATGGTCCTTGTAGGGTACATAGGAACGTATCGCCCACTATGGGCTCCGCTCCTTCTCTTTCCCCGACATCTCTGCTTTCCCTTCACACACAGTCTGGGCTCGACCCTTGCCATTCATTCTTTTTACCAGTCTTTCGTTAATCCCCAACCAGTCACTCTTTATTTCTTGGTAGTTGACCCTACTTGTTTCAAGTACTGTGTACCTCTTCATTCACTTCTTTCCACACAATTCAATTCGATTTGTCCACTATACCACAATGCGTTTCTCTACCGTGGTTCTTCTGACTGGCGCTACTGCTGCCTCTGCGACCAGCACCGCGACTCTGCTGCTCCCTGGTTTTGAGGGTCATGATCTGCAGGCTAGTGTTCTGAACAAGGTATGTAAATGATATACTTGATATCAATCTATGTGATATCGCGCATTGTGATGTGTCGCGCTCCGCCTGCCCTAATCGGGCGGGTTCATGGGGCCACCACAACAATCAAATCAACAAACACCCAAACTAACAATTCTACAGGATGCCGATGCCACCACCTACCTGGTGAGCTGCCCTACCAGCGTCGCCTCCTCCGCCTGTGGAATCCCCGGTAACGGTCTCACCGCGATCTCGGCCTCCACCTCGGCCCAGCTGCTCCAAGTTGCCGACGGCAAGTAAGTAGTCCGATATATCCTCACCTGATACATAATACACAAAGTACAAAGTACAAAGACAAAAGAAAACAACATCTAACATTCACAAGGACTGCCTCCGTCTCTTGCAACGTCGCCGGTACCACCTACGCCTCCTGCTCCGTCGGGTATGGCACCGCCCACGCTCACCAGACCCTGACTGGCACCGACCTCAACTGGATGCCCGTGACAATCTCCACGAGCACAACTCCCACTTCAACTTCTACTTCAACCTCTACTCCATCCCCAACCTCGACATCTACCACCGTCGCCCCAACCTCAACCCGCACCCCGACTCACTCGTCGACCCCATCGTCAAGCCCTAAGAAGTCCCCTACCAAGTCTTCTTCACGCGCTACCTCCACTCCAATGGTTACCAGTGCCCCTACCGGTTCTTCTGGTGGCTCTCCCGCCCCAACCACTGGTGGTGCGCCTGCTGCTTCTTCCACACCTGCTCATGCTGGTGCTGGCTCTGTGGCTCGCAACGGATGGGTCCTTGGTGGTGCCCTGGCTTTCGCGTATGCTCTTGTTTAAACGCAAGCAAGCCCAAACCAAACCAAACCAAACTAAACCTTTACTTCAATATGTTTATTTTTCTTTCTGGTTTCAGTGGGTTTCTCGAGACTCACTGTTGTGGATAATTTCTGGATTGTAACGTTCGCGTTACTAATATGGATGTAATCATGTATTCCGCGTGAACATATTGTACATCTAATCACTTCTTTTCTCTTTTCTTTTCATAATGATTGATACCTTTCTCTACGACAGCATGATCAGCGCAGCATCGGCTCCTGTATATTGTCATTTTTTTTTCTTTTCAATTTATCAATTACAGGGTACATACCACATATATTAATCCACGGCCTATACATATAGAGCCAATCTTAATTTCATCTTTGTCAATGCATGGGAATCTATTCCTCGATAAGATATGTAGAACGTTAATTACGAGTTCAAGTCCAAGACAAGAACAAGAACTCAGACCAAACACGAATGCGAATGAGGGTCATGATGTAATCCTCCCAATACTGCAGTCGAAACGGATGTGAGTTACCCGCCATAAAATGAACGATGTCGTAATCATGGTCGTAAGAGAAAGAAAGAAAGAAAAAGACAGTCCGCCTCCTCAACATGAATGTCCTCTATTACAGTACAGGACCAAAGGGAAGGAATGAAATCTATTCTTCATTCCAGCCCACAACTAGGTCTCCTTCTGTTCCGGCACACATGGCTGTAGTGTAACCATGAGCGCAGGCTTATCCCATAAGAAATATGCCTTTTGATTAGCCCAGTTGGAACTCTCAGGACATAACACAACATCAAAGTTGTACAGCAGCTTGCAAAGGATAAGGCGTATTTCACAGTATGCCAAACTTCAGAAAATACAGTCAGCAAGAAGCCAAGAACGAAAAGGATAGGACATGGTATCCAGGATTCAACTTACTTTTTACCGAGACAGTTTCGTGGACCTAGACTGAATGGTTGGAGAACGTCTCTTTTATCTTCGACGAAACGAGGGTCTTGGCCAAGCCATCGCTCTGGGAGGAAGCTGTGGGGGAAAGTAAAGTTTGAGGCTGAGTGGTATGATGCATAATGGTGACATGCGACGGCCGTCTAGGTATTTGGTGTTAATAGAGGAAGAGGAAGAGGAAGAGGAAGAGGAAGAGGAAGGAGAAGGACAAGCTGAAACGCGGAGTAGAATAGAGTAACAAGGATGGCAATACGTACTCCCTCTGCGATTACTTCGCCGTCAACAATCGATCCTCCTTTTGGTACGATTCTCGAAAGGCTAGTTACGAATGGCGGGTACATGCGTAGGGACTCTTCGATGACGGCGGCTAGATATTTCAGGCTTGCGATTGTGCGAAAGGTTATATCTTTATCATTGGCAAAGGCTGATCGGATCTCCGCGGTGAGTCGACGCATAGCGTGTGGATTGATACATAAGTAGAATATGCAACCCGATAAAAGAGTTGCAGATGTCTCACTGCCAGCCACGATGAGACTAGTCAAGTATCAATCAGTATTCGCGTTAGCCTCATGCCAATACCGAAGCAGTGAAGGAAAGAAGATCCTCACATAAAGGCATTAGAATGGATCTCAGCCCTACTCATGATTCTCTTGCCATCCATATACGCTCCCTTAGCCTCACTCAGCCCATTCTGCAGAATAGCAGATATAAAGTCCGGACGGGAGATATTCGCGTCCAATCGACGATCCACTCTCTGAGCAGCAAGGTTGAAATGTTCTTTTGCTGTTCGTGCGACTTTTTTTGGAATCATGGCATCAAGAATTAATCGTAAAAGCGGGAACTGCTGTGCCACACTAGCGAAAGAGATCGCTTTGATAGAGCTGAATATCAAGCGGATCCATGGATGCAACTGGCTATCCTTGAGACAATCAAAGGACTCACCAAACATCAGATCCCCTGTTATATCGAAGGTGGTGTAGTTCATCCAGTTCTTGATATCCAGACTTGCATCGATACCCTTCTTCTCCACCTCTGTTCGCAATTTGCTTATTAATGTATCCACATAGCCTCTAATCAGTCCCTCCTGATCCCTCAATGCATGATCGGAGAAAGCATGAGATAGCAGTCGCCGCTGACGTGCATGCGCGGCATTATCTACAGCGGAGACAAGATGATCAACCCCATTGGCAGGTGTGATGTAGCGACTACGATCCTTGGGGAAACAACCACCAGATCTATAGCCATAGATATCACGGAAGGCTTGCGGTGTATTAAACGCCATTTCTGTCGGGCTGATACGTACGACAGGGCCGTAACGATCATGCAGAGCGGTAACATCCAGATGGTTCTGACCACGGAGCACTGACAGTTGCAAGGGGATGTAAGAGAAGGCCCAGAGCCTTGGGCCCGGGAAGCTGGACAAGGGCGAGAAGTAAAGGTGGTAGATGCTAGAGCCAATGAGCCAGAGGACGAGCTAAAGGTTCCGGCGGAAGGAGAGGATGTCAGTGTCAGCCGAGCATAGATCAGAAGGGCTGGAGGAGAATAAAATCATTTCAAGGGCGAGAGGGTGATTCGATTGGACGAGGTAAAATCTTGCTGCCGTAGGGGGTCCTGCAGAGCTACATAGTGAGGGCGTACGGGAAGATGCAACTTACCAGGCTCCCTGCAGATAGTATCCAGAGCAGAATACTGGATGTTGTTGCAGTGCAGAGCATTGTGAACACAAAATGAGGTAAGAGGATAGTATCAGGAGTGTTGCAGAGTGCGCAGTTCATATTCTTTACTGTAAACTTGGAGATATCAACAGACTCTCTGGTTGGTGACGATACAGGTCGGGGCTTCCCTGTTAGACGGAAAGACCCAGAAGCAGAAAGTGAAGCCGAAGTTGCACCAAACAAAAATAAATCAAAGAAAAGAAAATTGCGTATTCAAGAAATGGAAGGGGATCCTGGGGCCCACAAGCCCCGAACAAAGAAATGAACAAAGAAAGAAACGTGATAGCGCTAAAGTGTGATCTAGTGCCATGTTTGCCTCTACTAGTGTGGGTGGCTTGAAGCCCGAGAGAGAAAGCAGATTCCTCTCTAAATTGAATAAGAAGAGGGGAGAATTTGAGAGGAAAAGAAGGTAAATCGTAATGGATTGAAAATCAATGAGGCCACCCAACAAAAGTATGAAGTCAAAAAGTCAAGACGCCTGGATATTCCTAAACTGACCGCGATAATTAATCTACACCTCCGACGACCAATAATTTTCAGGCCGATTCAGTACCCAGCTTAGCTAGGCCCCGATAATTATGTTCCGGCTTCCGGCCATAGACGACATGTAGGTTGCAATACGCATGGACTTTCGGATTTTTGAGGTCTTTACGGACACCCGTTAGGAAAACCTGGGTTTCGAGATTTGTCCATCCCAGAACTCGAGTAAATAAGGCCAGAGAGTACGACTCAACGGCCATCAACAAAGAAGCTAAGTTGAATTTACCAATCTGTTTCTGGGTGGGGTCCTTGGGCCAAGTGCTGCACGGAACCTATTATCTCTTATGTCAGTATACATCAAGTGTCGTCATCGCATCAACAACAAAAATGGAGAAGGCCTAGAGATCCCTGTATGTATGGCCGTATGCCAAGATACAAACGACAAAATGGGAATGGGCATGAAGGGGGAACCCAGAGAGAAAAAAGAGAGGGGGTTTTAGAAAGAAAAAAAACAGGCAAGTCGAATACAATGTCTAGGTCGTACCTTGTACATCTCATCTCTGACATCTTCAAAACCAGCCTCTACAAGCCGCTGCCGGTGCCCTTCGGCGATATTCATCGGTCGGTGAAACTTTGCGCTGGCCTCATGCAGGTGGCCGATAAATTGGCACAACGTCGGTGCCAAGCGCATTGAGTCGTCGTCCGACTTCAGCGTGACTTCAAATTCCTGTAATTCGATCCAACCACCCGGTTTGAGATGTGCGTTGGCCTGTTGCAGAAGTTGTGTCCAGTCGGCGATGGAGCCTCCCAGATCCCGCATGTGGATAAAGTCAAAGGGTTGATCTCGTTTGAACAACCACGGCGACTCCGCGTCGTCGACTAGGAATCGTAGGTTCGGCGGGACCCAAGAGGGCTGAATCGGACTGAGATCGGTACCTACCACTTCAGTGCCGGGGTAGTTGTCGGCAAAATCAATCGCCCATATGCCCGTCCCGGTGCCTACATCGAGAGCGCGCTGGAGGTTTTTGTCTACAGGCGCGCGGAAGAGAGCACCGTTTAGAACGAGACTGCGGACGTGGTGGAGTAAATCTTGTCGGTCTTGTTCGAGGTCGTCATTGGGCAGGACGTAGTGGCCTTCTCGATAGGAATGGTACCGTCGCCCATTTTCGTATGTGTAGTCTTTCACGTCAGAGAGTAAGGAGGCGGTGTAGGTGGTACTGTCGGAAAAGTAGTCGTCGTCATCAAATACCGATCCACTATCGCCAGTAGTAGAAGCAGCGTCTGATGAGTCTGTATTATCCTCAGTGATGCCTATTGCCACGGTACTTTGGCGAAGCGGGGGCGGGATGAAAGACCCCTGTAACCGGCTTGACGAGGTCCCGCGCGAAGTTGGTTGTGGCGTCAAGGTGAAAGACCCGGCTCTAGATGCGTAGGAACTAGCTGGAATGACCTTCAGCTCTGCTGGCATTGTCCACATCGTTTGTTCCTCCGCAGCATAGTCTCCTGTCGGGGGTACAGGGGTTGTAGTCGTCGAGGTTGACGTAGGGTGAAGGATTGAAGGATTTAGCGTTGCCCCACTTCCGGTATTATTATTGCCAGTGCTTTCCTCATGTATAGACGCAAGGGGAGGCGGGAGCGCTAGTGTATTAGTCTCTGGAATATCTTCATAGATCTTTTGAGATTGCAAATTTAATTCAGGACTAAAAAGTGATCGAGAGCGACCGGTGACATTCCTGTCCCCGTATAATGCATCTGTAGTAGTGGTAGTAGTATGCGAACTTGGCACTGGACGGAAAAGAAAAGGCGGTAATCTTGTAGTCTCCGTAGCATTGACCCCGGACTCAACATCTAGTTCATGTAAAGGCGGAAGAAGTAAAGGTGACGGAGATGAGGGAACTTGCTTGACCTCAGGGACGGAATTCTTCACCTTCCGGTCATCCGAATCCATAGACGTAGACTGTGGAGATGAATACGTCGAGCCTCCCTCCCCAGCCGCATATGGTAAGAGAGAACCCGGAGATGATGATGAAGAGGGCTTCATAGTCTCTAGATATGAGCGACACTGAGGGGACTCCGTAGAATTTTGTTCAGAGTACTCGGTAGAATTGTGGATCACAGAAAAGGTTAACAAGTCCACCAACTTTTGAACAGCGGCGGGTCAAGTCATGACTCTGTTGCACAGTGACGTTCCCTCTGATCAGTTGAATATGCGGCGGCACAATAGCCAATGTAGCACACACAAGTTGAATAGTTAATGTATATAGCAGGGTAGAACTGGGCCATCCAGAAACACCGATATCCTTTTCGAGGAGAACGTGGCGTCGAATTGGGGATTGAGATATGATCATAGAGATGTAGGAAATATAGGACAGAAGAGGAGAAAAAAGAGGGAAAGTACCGAACTTGTATGTCCATTGTGTCGGTAGCGAAGTTGTTCATCTGACTGAAAATACCGAGAGAATGGTTGACCCGACCAGAGAGCAATGGAAACCGAACGAGAAGTGGACGCGACTTCCCAGATGGTTTCCCAGTCATGCAGCTTAGAGAGAGATTCACCCGTTGGGCGTAATCCAGTCCGTCCCCGTTGAAATACAAATAAACTACTCTCCGAAATTGATTAGCTTTTTTTCTTTCTTGTTCGTCATAGAGCGGAATTAGCGAGGAAACCATGTATGATGAGCCAAAGTCAAAGGAAAACGTGGCAAAGTCCATGCTGCAGGTTTCTTTCTTTCCATCTGTCTTGACCACCATGCTGGGTCCTATGAAAAACGTCAGACGTTGAAGATGTGGGAATTTACAGCATGACCCTTGCAGCGGAGTCATGAGACTACTTGTTACTGTCCTGCCTGAAAGAACAGAATAGGATTAAAAATTTAGAAAAGAAGAGAGGGCGAAGAAAAAGCGCTGAACGTGCTGAGCCATTGCATAGTATTTCTTTGAACCGAGGTGATTTTTTCTCACGACGTACTGCTAGTCTAAAGATAAGGTCCACAGGTCATCTCGGTAGCTTGGGTATTATCTCATTTCTCATTTACATGGGTGGGTCCAGCGTTATCATTGATCATATTCAATCCTTGCATTTATGCAGTGCTGCTGAGCGAAGCAAATGCATCATCACCGCTCATTCCTAGCCCGACATCTGGACCTCGTCGCTGACGTCGATCCGCAGCAGTAGGTGGCGCTTGCGGTCCAGCGTTGATCACGGAATTACGTAGAAGACGCCAGTGGACCTCTCGATTGAAATCTTTCAAGCTTTCTAGTGCCTGGGATTGGACATCAGCTCTCAGGTTGGCTTGATTAGAAACGAGTAAGCCCTTCTCAAGGTCAATGCGAGCTTGAAGAATGTCATCTTTGATAAGGCGAATGAGCTCCTGAACAAAAGGAGACTTGAGGCCGATCGGCTGGGCTTGACCACCCACCACGCCAGGGGCAAAGATGGTCGCCATAGATTCAAGCGTGACATTGCTGAAGGGCACAAGATACTGTTGAATAGATTTTGTACGAATGCGGCTGTATAGATCGTTAACATGAGGCTGGAGATGAAGATCGAGTAAATAATCGGCGCGGTAGGCCTCCAGGATGTCAAGACAGAGACGGAATTTGGAGTTGCAGAAAAAGGTAATTGCACGCCGGATATGTGGCTCAAGCTCTAGGAAGTTTCGGAAGGAATTGTTGTCCAAGACACGTTGCTGCAATTCGTTGCGGTCCATGGAAGCCAGAGCACAAAGACCACCATACACAGCTACGTCGTTGGGGTTAATCACGTCCTGATAGGTCTCGCCCAAGCTAACATCAATAGATAGGAAAGTATTGGCAGCCTCCAGATATGAGCGCTGATGCATCTGTGCTAAAGCCAGGGCAACACCTGTCTTAGGGAGATATTTGAATAAGTCCTCCGGCTTGGATGAAGAGTTTCGCAGACGGTGCACATAGGATTGCACGCCAAGCCAGTCATTACGCTCCATTGAGACGCTAATAAGTTTGAAGAGCATAGATGCAACGTGGTTCGGGGTAGTACAGTAATCACGCATTCGAGAGTAGGCTTTAGAAGCAGAGATAAGGTCACCTGTTTCGTAGTAGTGGTTACCTAGATCTTCATTGCCCATCTGTTCACGAGTCAGCAAACACTCCCATTCATTTATTCAACAAAGGAAAGGGCCATACGCACTCGAATACTTTCTTTAATCAAGTTGTTCTTGTAGCCTCGAAGTTCACCTTCCAGACGATCCGTTTGGGCCCTCACGCTACGCTGGATGTCTTGAACCCAAACAGAATCGAGAGAAGCTTCCTTTTCAGACGGCGCGACTTCGGCAAGGGCCCGGACCGATCTGTCATATCGCCCAACATCCTTCCCAGATTGAGCCTCAGCTATCGCGAGCTTGAGAGCATCGGTGGCAAGTACAGTCGAGGTGATACCGATCAGATAAAGTCGGTTGAAACGTGTGCGTCCTAGATCCCCCACTGATTAGACTCCCAGAAGTAAACCCCGATATCATGGTTCACTAACCCTTATAATTGGAAATATAGGATTCAAGCTCAAACTTGGGGGGTTCTATTCAGATAGCCAGTTAGTACCTGCGCGTAAAGACCCATAGCTCTTATCAGCGGGCTGTCTCATCTGTTGCCCCGCAGCTGGTTCCACGTACCGGTGACTTTGATCTTAGAAGCGCTATCCTCTGTGCCCGTGGCACCGGCCAGAGCAGCATTTGAGCTGAAAAAATTCGCTGAATTCGCAGGAGCCGGAGCAGAAGCGTCTGGGAGTGTGGTGTCCATATTGGCTGTAGTGTCTCGGTGACGCCCACTGGCCCGGGACTAGAGAGGGGTAGCGTTCGAAGCAAGGAAAATGGATCAATAGGGTGATCGGATGGTAAGGTTTTCGATCTCGAAATTCGGGATAAGGAGGAAAAAGGAGAGAAGAGAGCTTGTCGTGAGATAGTACAGGTGTTGGGTTGAGACCATCACAAAGTGACGGTTGTTCACTTGTTGCTTCTACGCATAGGCATTATGTCACCGCCTGCCTTACCGCCATAGCAGCTCCTGTGGGCCTTGTTATACAGGCATTCAACGGTAGCTCCAATAACTTAGTTAGTTAGTTATAATTTACTCTATTACTCAAGAAGGAGCGAAAATGAATCTATCGCTCAATTTAAGTCAAATAGTTTGAAGTCATTTATTAAACCTACCCATTGACTGTGGTAGTTCCAGTTGTCCCCATTGCGGCTCCCCAACCTCGGGAGTGTATACTACGTAACTAGAGCCTCGGGAAGTGAGTAATCAAGAAATCATCGTCTCCTAGTATTGTCTTTCCCGACAAATGAGACTTTAAGAGATAATCATTTAAATATTTCCTGCTACACCTCTTCTGCCGAGCGCCGAAAACATTACCAAAGGCCTATTTTTTGATTTGAAGATATCCGAACACCACTTAAGCATCTATTTGAATATAAATTGAGCCGTTGTCACCAATCCCCTCCATTAATATTCCAACCCATCATTTCCGAGTCGACTCTGATATCTGGCCCCAACCGCTCATCTGAGATCTGATATCCTTAATAATGTCGACCACACAATCCGTCGCCCTTGTTATGGGTGCATCCCGCGGCATTGGCCGCCAAGTAGCCATCGATCTATCCAAGAATGGCTACGCAGGTATGAGCCCTGAACGAGCCAACAATAATTTTTTCTATAAGACTAATATCAATGTAGTGATGCTGGCGGCAAAGACAACATCAGACGCGACAAAGACAGTGCCATTCCCGCCTGATCCAAACTCATCACAGTCTACCATTAACACAGTAGAGCGGGAGATCCTCGAAGCAGGAGGCCAAGCTGCATCTATAGCGGTAGATGTACGTGATGCAGAACAGATAGAGCATGCAGTTGATGAGACAGTTGGAAGGTTTGGCAAATTGGATGTTCTTGTCTATAACTCTGGAGCGATCTGGTGGTCATCTGTTGAGAATACACCATTGAAACGCTTTAAATTGATGCAGCAGATCAATCCAGAGGGGCTATATGCCACTGTTCAAGCTGTGCTGCCGCATTTTGAAAAGAATAATTGGAAAGGTCGGATTGTGGTGGTGTCCCCTCCTATTTATTCCAGGTTCTTTCGGGGGAGACAGCTTATGCTATGGGTAAGTTGACCCCAGGCATAACGAAACACACTTGATCTAGTGTCTGACTAAATATAATACGAATAGGCAAGGTTGGAATGAGCGTTTTGGTTAAAGGCCTCGCTATGGACTTTGTGCGACAGGATCGGAAAGATATGGCTATTACAAGCATTTGGCCAGCATCGGTATGGAGTCTCTTCCTAGGTTGATATAAACATGCTAACTGAAAAGCTAGTCCATCGAGTCAGCCGCAACAGAGCATAATAAAGCATCTGACAAAGCCCACAAGAAAGACCTCCGAAAGCCGGTATGTGTATTCTGATAGTTATGTTGTGCCTTACTCACACCACTGCAGACTATTTTCTCGGATGCTATCCTGGAGATGCTCCGTGCTCCAACGGGTACCGTGAATGGGCTCCTAGATACAGACGAGGACTTTCTTCGGGAGAAGTGTGGCGTCACCGACTTTTCAAAGTATTCGGTGTTTCCAGGTTCCACGCCGCGCCGAATAATGCCTGCCAAATTTCCAGTTCTAGAGGTTGCGGAACAGGATGACGAAGGACAAAGAATGGATAGTACTAAGCTCAGAGCAAAGATGTAAGATGGAAAGAAGGTCAATTAATGCAAGATATTAGTGAATACATGTTGATGCTCTCGTCATGATTAAACTGTAAAGCCGGATGCCTAGCTTGTAGAGGCATCGGAAAGGGAACAATGAGCAAAGAGTTTATCGCTAATGGGAACAGATAAAAAAGACAATAAGAGTCATCACACAGTTGGAAACCGTATAACAACGTGTAGAACTGATATCCTTCCATACTTCATAAACCGCGCCTCAGAGGGTTTGCATACTTACATCAGAACAGCGAAACCTGCAGTAAATCCTCCAATCAAAGCACAAAGACCATAGAAGTGACCTATATCCATAGCCATTACCCGAGATGCATCGCCCGTCGCATGGCTACCGAGAGCATTGGTAATATTGGCGGTGGCCGTAGAAGTAGCAGAGGTAGTAGTAGTTGTGGTAGAAACATTGACACGCTTGGGAGCTTGGGCACCACATGGGTGATCAGAGCGACAAGAAGCTTGACACAGTGAGTCGGTGCACTTAGCAACACACTGATTGTTGGCCTCGGTGCAGACATAGTATGGAATGGTTTGGGAGTATTCGGTGCCATTGGGGGAAAGACCGTTGCTACATTGGCATAGGTAGTTGAGGCTAACCTGATTATTTGAAAGTAGGAATTAGTATCATGACCATTTATTCGAGTCGCAGATCTAGAACCCGAGAGTACTGTACTTACGGGTGAGCAGGTGTTGATGTATGCCCCCGTAGTGTTGGGCATTTGCATACAAAGAATAGGACAGGCATATTTCTGAGATAAGCACCAGTTTTCTGGAAGAAATTTATGTCAGTACTAGAGTCAAAATGCATTTAAGCATGTCTTTCTCACCTCGGGTGGCCAAAGGAACAGAGCTTGGGTCAATGTAAGGTGTGTATTGGCTGTTCGCCATACTGACAACCGAGGCGATAACTAAAACGAGTTTGGACAGCATTGCGTGACGTTGAATGAAAGTCCCAATTCTCCCTTCAAAATATTTGAAGATCGAAATAAATGAAAGTACTGAGAAATAAATTGGTTGGGAAATCTATAAGCAATCCCACAAAAGTCAAAATGAGCCACATGAGTCTATGGAATGAAGGGGCAGATAATGTATCCACAATATGATCTTTCGAGACTTACTCTAGAACCGTAAATTCTTGGACCAATTCCAGACTCAAGGGTGAAAGTAGAGAGTACGCGGTCACAGATTTCCCAGATGATATAGAGAATAAATGAGAAACGAAGGACTGGGAATAGCTCAAAAGTGGCAGATAAAGGAAACCAGGTAGAAAGGAACAATCGCCACTAATTGATCACACGCCATCGGACAATAGTCGATGGAATCTCAGCTCTGGTAAATAGGTACCTGTGTATCCATAGATTGAGCCCGAGGATCTCAATGGTCTGAAGTTCTGAAGGTGATACTGCATCCTTACCCGCGGGAGAATCGTCTATCGATGTCGAGATGGTAAGACAAGATTAATGCCACTTATCGCAGGTGATCAAGTTTGATCAAGTTGATTTATCAAAAATTTGTTGACAGTTTCTTAAAATAATAAATAGCCTACTTTTATCACCTAAAGACCTACATGATCATTTCCCAGTGTCCTTTTATGGCTACCGATTTGTCCTCATCTCCCTCCACATATATGATAATTTAAGAAAACAGCCGACTAGAGTATGGAAACTCATCAAGGAAAAAAAGTGGGAAAACCAACTGATGACAATTTATGATCGCCTAAAACTAACAATGCTCTGACAATGGGGGAGGATCCTAGGTGTTGTGGCCTACCACAAATCCTAACTGTAAGTCCTATGATCATCGCTACAGTCCAAATCGAAAGCCCCGATAAGCATGAAGTGTACATTTAAATTCCTAACAGACATATTGAAATGCTCAAATAGTGACCATCGAAGTTTTGTGATTTAAATCGTAAAATATAGATCTATATTCCGTTTACTTCTCTTTATTCTTCTCATTTACTATCTACCTAAATCTAGAATTATAGTAGGTATAAATACTTTGTTATGACTCATGGCCGGGAGTATCATTCATGTATGATTTCCATTAGGACCAGCCCTCACTGCAACGAGAATGAGACGATATAGATCAATGTCTCAGTCTTGATGCCCAACATGATCGGCCAATGATTGCCCGGTCGGGATTAGCGTGACAGATGTCAGTGTCGTGAATCCCCAAAGAACAATGCAAACAACTCGATATACATCAAAAAAGAAAAAAGAAAAAAGCAAAAATTCGAGTCGCTAAAAAAATGCCATCATCTCTCGCCATCTGAACATAACCATAGGTAGTATGTTGTTAGCTACATTCTTCTCATCTTCTCCATACCGGAATGCAGGCTTACTAACTTCTCCGCAGACATCCCGAACCTCCTCAATTAACTCTCCCAGCTCATTTTTGCTCTGCCCGCTTGGACTCGGTCCGTCAAGGTCAGTGCCCTGTAATACATCCAGCTCCTCGAGAGAAAACATCATCCCAGAACAAACTTTCCATCCGAACCCATTAACACACCAGCATTAGCCCCAGCCCCAGCCCCAGCCCCAGCCAACCCCTTCCCCAACTCCTTTCTCCCCGCACGGGGCCTGCACTAGCTCCATTATCACGAAAAAGCCAAAGTCAAAGCCAAATTTACTATGCATACATACAAACATCATACATCAACATCACCAATCCAACCAATCACTAAAATGATTCACAGCTTACAATATCCACACCCCATCCAATATCTAATGGATGGAGTCGTCACCTGAGGAGGCCAGACCGGCAGCGACGTCGACGTCGCCTCTCCATACCCACCTTGAACCAGAACCAGAACGAGAACCGGAACCAGCACCAAACACACAAAATCTCCCACCATATACCATCGAACAAGATGCAGAATGTACCTCCCCACCGCTTAGTACCTCTCCAAAATCCCGACCTGTCTCCGGCGTCGTCCCACCATACTGGCAACGACATACCCGCAATGCATCGCGCGCATCACAAAGCTCTCTCCGCTCAACACTCATAACACTAGAAGATCATACCGCGGATCCAGAATCAGAAACAACTCGCGGTCTCTGGGCCCAAAGCGTCCTGATAGAAGACCATGTTGTTGTTCAAGGGAAAACAGGCGTAGGGGCATATGTTGTCTGGAATTGTCGGATACAAACGCTTGATGTAAGTTAGCTTGACTCTGATCTAATATGATCTGATATTCAAGTCAATCAAGTCAAGTTGAAGTTTTACGAGGGTTCTTTTCTAATTCTAATTCTGATCTGATCTAGGGTGGTCCGATGGTTGTTCGAATGAGATATTCTGAGTTCGATGAGTTGAGACAACGACTCGTTTCTTCTTTTCCGCATGCGAAGAGTGCGTTACCTGCTCTGCCGCCGAAGAGTGTATTTTGTATGTCTGTGCTATGATATAGCTACGGCTATGTATGATTGGAGAAGAAAGCTAATGAGGATATAGACAAATTTCGACCGAATTTCCTGGAGCATAGGCGGGTTGGGTTGGAATATTTTCTCAAGTGAGTCTTTGTCTGATGATGCGATGAGATGATTTGGCTTGCTGCATGGATCTGCTGACTTCGTTCTAGTTGTGTTCTTTTGAACCCGGAATTCTCGAGTTCACCTGTTGTCAAGGACTTTCTCTTTGGTCGACTTTCATAATGTCTATGTGTATACCAGAATAATTTAGAGTGCACAGCTATCGTGGAGCTAATGGGTGATATATGCTTGTATAAGAAAATTGCAAATCTGATTTGGAATTTCAAACGCCGAGCTACTGCTCCCTTTCACCGTCCTATTCTAGGTAATTAACAAAGCATATGGAACATAAAAGTTTGGTGATGGAAGGCACGAAAAGAAATCAGAGCACAGTCAATTATTAGTCTGAGAAGGAATAGAACGCTATCGGTCTGGTGGGTAGATGCGACGTGACAGAAAGAAGGAAGAAATTAGAGAATGGAAGAGACGTGCTTCACGACGTCTGTGGAAGTCGGACCCAGTCCTTGAGCAGCGAAAAGGCAGAAAAAACAAAATAAAACAAAAAATACTGCCACAGGCAAACTCCATTGCTATGATACAAGACTCCGCATCTGCATATGATACAACAAGTCGAAGCTGAGCGACGATCCTCCGCCCTACCCCACCCCGAGCAAACCTTGCAATGCTTTAGCTATCAAGAATCCGGAAGAAGCAAGCCTACCCGTTTGCAAGCACAGGGGAGGGAATCGTTTGTTCAGACGGATCAGAAGCCGCGTCCTTGGGTGAAGAATTGGAGTTGGACTTTCGAGAGGGTAGACAGGTTCGCAGATCGGCCCAAAGCATCTTTCGAAGACTAATATTAGCCATGTGCATCATGGCCATCAAATGCCGAGGTCCTGGAACGCCACTCGGGAATACAAGATACAGCCCTGATTCCTGGGGTGCATCGGGCCGAAACTTGTCATAATAGGCTTTTTTGCCATGGATTGGAAGACGGAGAAATGTATGACTGTATAAATCACGCGTGAGGCTAGCCAATGGAGTAGACATGCCACTGATATCTTCAGGCAAAAGAGTATGGGTCGGCTCGAAACCAAAACCAAGATATGACACTTCAGCACGGTTTAATAAAGCCATCGCTGCAACGATGAGCAAGTCACTGATTCCTTTGGGGCTATTTGGAGCGGCAATACAAGGATCGATATGATAACCACCACAACCAAGGCGACGTAGAGCAGCAAATCCATTAATTTGGCCATCGGGACCGCGACTGTATACAAAAGTCATGAGTGCTGGAAGAGCAAAAGGATCGTACACAGTGATGAAAGCTTGTGGCCCTGTGGCATTGTTACGCTCTGCACGCCAAGCGTCATAGATCGCAACCAGATCTGCTTCGAGCGCAGTGTCAGCCCCATGCATGGCTGGCACGTACAGACCAAGGGTAATGCCGCCTTTGCTGGGATTCAACAATTGTCTGCTCTGGACAGCGATGCGCTTTCCACTTTTTTCAAGCAAAACATCATTTGTCCGAGGGTTCAGGACTCTTTCAGTGCCAAAACGAATGACGGTCCACCCAGATGGTTGAGATTGGGCATAATCCTGCACAAATGTTTCACTTGCACCCATAAAGGCGATTCCCCAGCGATGTCGGCGTCGGTATCTTGCGAATTCGTCTAATAATGCTGTGATGGTGGCTGGGTCTGGTTCACAGAGCGGATCACCTCCCACGATTGCCACTTTATTTTGAACCTTGAACGACAAGGCACCTGTTCGAGCCTTATTCACGAAGAATCGGTAGCTGTGATCGAGAATACCCATGTGTGCCACGCGACCATATTCAGCCGTGAGACGCTGGATGGCAGTCATGGTAGAGAAGTCATTTAGTGAAAAGACCTCCCCTTGATGGTTGCCTTTTGTATGATGAGAGTCGGTGCCTGGATCGGATTGATTTAGTACGGATAATGACTTGGAGGAATGAAGGTCGCGGGGGAAATCGAGGTCGTTGTGGCCATCGACGCTGGTAGCCGGTGTATAGTCATGATAGTGATAGCTTTCAGTTGTGGTCAATGTGCGGCTGCTACCACTTATAGAGCTGGCATTTGATGAAATGAGAGGTGTCTTGAGGGTGGTGCGTAGATGATCAACAACGGATGGACTGGATGAGTTTAACGGAATGCCCAGTTTGGAAATGTAAAACGGATCAATCAGCGCGTCATCCAACTCATCGAGAAGGAGGGTCTTCTTGGGTTTTGAGCTGGCATCGACGACCTTGGGCTTGCGAACTTTTCGCGCGCGCTTCTTTTTCTCGGGGGGAGAGGTGTTGGTATCGAGACGGCGGGTTGCACAGAGCCAGTCGCTGGGATGATCAGGATGGGCGGCACGGCATTTCCAGGCCATGCCATTTGCATTGATTGTTGTGAGAGCATCATGATAAACCAAGTCACCGTACAAAGCCAATGGTATGTGTATGGGGAGATGGAAAGAAGCACTTGAGAACGAGAGGGGAGAGAGAGATGGCGAGAGGAAGTTTGGCACGAGGCCAGTCAATGAATCGAGAATAGGCGTTGACGGGTCCCAAAGCAAAGGGAGTAAAAGAGAAAGAGACAGAGACACAGATTCGATGTTGCCGGAGTGTTAAAGAATAAAAGAATAAGCTTAGAGAGTGTTGAACACAAGAAGTTAGGGAAACTGTCACCAGATGACAATGACACCTCCAGCGAATCTTCCGGTTTTACGTTCCATGTCCTACGGTTCGTAGTTCAGCTCGTAAAGGAGAGGGTTAGGCAGAGTAATAAAAATTGACTGTTTGTGTCTTTTTTTGACTTTTGACTTCCGATTGCTTGTTTTTACTTGGGATACTTTTGCACAGCCTGCAATTTGACAACATTCATACATCAGCATCTTTGCCCTTAACCGCCGGGCTCCCCGAGGCTGTAACCCTTGGAAGTATAAAAAAAGGGCTGTCACGCTAGTACGCACTAAGGGAACTAGGTTCAAAGGGACTTACGCACCTGCACTTGGGCAGATGTCAAATAATATGGAAGAACAGGGCTGAAGTGGGGCTATGGACCAACACACCCGTGGAATCAGTCGAACCAGACCCAAGTAACCCATGAGATGGATGGAAGGATAAACCCTAGTCTAGTGTCATGGGTTAAGAGAGTATTCGATTTATATACATTGCATGTATAATTGACGAGTATACTAGAGAGTATACTAGACTCACTTCTTCGTATCTTCTTTCTTTTGCGTGTACTTTGTTTGTGTACAGTAAACAAAACAAAGCAAAGCGAGAAAGAAAAAAAAACAAAATAAAACGCTGGTGCCTGAGCAAGAATGACGGTATCCGCAGAATTCACCAAAGATGGGAATATTAACGTTAGAACCAAGCCTCGAGTGGGGCCATCTTAGCACTCATTCCTAGTTTCAAGCCATTGACTCCTCATAGATCCTTCCGCTCAGAATCCACGATCTGGATGCCTCGATGGATTTAGCGCCCACTGCCACCCGACCCCCATTCCCCACAAGGGCCCGAATTGGTCCCCTCGTATAATATAGCTCTGCAGACTATTAAGGGATACGTCCAGGGTTCATCACATTTTCACTGCTGCCTGAAACGTGGCTGCTTAAGGCTAGAGCCGTGAAGGTTGTCGGGATGTATCCCATGTCGCCACCCGCGGAGCCCGAGATACTTACTTCCTTTGGTTTCTTTCCCTTTCAAAATCTATTCTCGGTGGAGATCAGTTTCAGGTCTCAGTATTCGGAAATATACGAGGATTCCGGGCTTGAGTGGGCGTTCTCGGTTATTTCTAGCTTGTGATGGCAGGACATCATCTGCGCTGTCCTAAAATCGTACTAGTATGCGAATGGATTAAACAGGTAGAATATGTAGGGATCTGACATGTATCCTTGATAACCTGAGAATATTTGAGAAATACCCGTGCACTTACATGTACCTAATCTATAGACCTCGATGTACCCTGATGCTCCTCGAACAATCAAGTCCAAGTCGCACAAGACAGAAAGACGCAGAGACGCAAAGAAGCAAGAATTCTTACCAATCGTGTACTACTAGTAGAAATAATTGGAAGATTGGAAAGTGGGAATCTTCGGAACTACTGAGTTACGAAAAAGAAAGAAAGAAAGAAAGAAAGAAAATGTCTGGCAAATCCCTACTGCATCCCGAGGTCCCCACTCCGTATTGGACTTACATCCTGTGCACGAAAGTCTTACCAGTTTGAGGTCGTTACAATGAGCCGCATCAATCAAGCAACAGTATAACAGCTCAATGTAAGATCGACATAGGAAAATAGATTAATATTAATATTCTGGTTAGTCAAGATCGCTCCCGCGACACGATGAGGGAAGATCTCAAATCCAAGCTCTACTAATCTTTACGAATGCCCAGAGATAATTCAGTTCATCGCATTTAACCAGCATCTCCCCGGAAGTGGTCAATACCTTGAATTGCCCGCTCGACGACTTGATAACGTATTGTGTTGGAGGCTCAACTGAACTCGTTTCATGAAGATTTCCCCCAGATACCTGTTGAAATCCACAGCTGGAAGAGCGATCATATGATAACCACTATATCAATATACCCCTGATCCCGTTGACATCTCTGATTCCCCCATAATCAGGTATCTCTTAAGTACCCCCTCCTTCATACTTGTTACTTACCTATTCGCCTCATCGCAGCATTTCACTATCTATTCTTTGCCTGGCTTCAAACGAGTCAGACTCTTCCGATCGCCTCTGACTAAGCCAATCTCTGCTTGAAACCCCCAATCTTGCAATTGATAGCGGCCAGCACGTGGTAAACAAGCATGGGCATAACAAGTACTTTAATTGGCCAATGGATCATCGAGCTAAAAGCGCTTGCCGGATGGTCAATCCTATGATTGGCGGGTATGACTCGAAAGACCCACATCTGTCCAGGTACGGAGGGGGAATGTTAAGCTCCACGGGTTCAAGCTGCACGAATCTGCGTTGGATGATTCAAGAATCATAACATATCTATTCCCGATAGAGCTCTTGCCGAGCTCCGAGTTCAACAGGCACATTAATCTCCCCACTTATCACCGACTGTCCGGTTTTGTCGAATCGATGAGGGGCAGCATGTAGCCTATGACAATTGATCATGGGCACATGTGAAGTCAATGCGTACCACCTATTTGTCTTATCATGAAATGAACATCATTTAAATCGCGCGGACACTTACCGGTGCTCACCCTGTAGGTACTGGTCTACACGCGACTGGCGGCTTACTCTTGCGCCCGGAATAAAGGTATAAAAGTAGCAGCGCAGTCGTCTAGGGAAGAATTGATTTTTGTTCCTCCCCAGACCAACATCCCCCTTCTCCTTGAAGTTGCAGATCCAGTCCCGCAATGAAGGCAAACACTTTAATCCCTTTGATTGGTCTGTCGGGTAGTGCCCTGGGTGCTGCTGTGGCCCGGAGTACCCAAGAGCCATGGGGATACAAGTCCGGCTCTAAGGAGTCCATTGCCAACCTGAAGGACAAAATCGAGAATGTTGTCTGGGTTATGCTGGAGAACCGCGCCTATGACAACATCTTGGGTGGTGTGCATAGGGCTGGTCTGGACAATGTTGTCAACAATGGTCCTTTCTGGAATCCCCAGCTAGTGAACGACACTAAGAGCCGCAAATGGTCTAACCATTTCAAGGACTACGACTCTGTGCAGCATGATCCTGATCACTCTGTGACTGGTAATAACTTTGAGTTCTTTGGCACCTATACCCCGGATAACGAGGCCATTGCCAACGGAACCCTGAAGCCTAACCTGAAGGGATTCGTTGAGCGCCAAATGACTTCCTATCCCGATATCTCTGCTCAACGGGCTGCCGATGAGGTTCTCGGTTACTACTCCGAGAGTGAGATCCCCACCCTTGTGGATCTGGTGGATGAATTCACCACTTTCAACTACTGGCACTCCTGTGTCCCTGGGGTAAGCTTTATATCCCACCAAAAGCTCCCCTGATCCTCCATACTAACAATTATTAGCCTACCAACCCCAACCGTCTCTGTGCAGTTTCAGGTACAGCCGACGGCCACGGTGAGAATGACGACAGCTTCCTTGACTCTGGAGTCAACATCCCAAGCATCTTCCAAGTGGCCTCCGAGAAGGGCATCTCATGGCACAACTACGACGGCACCAACGGAGCTTTCCTGCCAGACTCCCTCTTCTTCAACTGGACCGCCGCCAATGCCAAGAGCAACGTCGTCCCTCTGGAGAACTTCTACCAAGATGCTTACTTGGGTCTTCTCCCTCAGCTTTCCTACGTCAACCCCTCCTGCTGTGACCTGAACACCAACTCGATGCACCCCAACGGCAACGTCTCATTCGGTCAAGTCCTCGTTAAGCAGGTCTATGATGCCGTCCGCGCGGGCCCCCAATGGGACAAGACCCTTATTCTCTTGACCTTCGACGAGACGGGTGGTTTCTTCGACCACGTTGCTCCCCCTCTTGCTATCCGTCCTGATGAAAAGACCTACGTTGAGACTGCTCCTAACGGAGAGGAGTATACATTGAACTTTGACCGCCTCGGTGGACGTTTACCTACTTGGTTGATCTCTCCTTATGCCCCTCGTGGTCACATTGAGAACTACGGTACCAACCCTAGCACAGGTAAAAGCGAGTCTTACAGTGCTACGTCTGTGCTGAAGACGCTGGGATACCTGTGGGATTTGGAGGATTTCACTCCTCGTGTGTCTAACTCTCCTGCTTTTGACCACTTGATTGGTCCTAAGGCTCGTGAGTCTGCTGTTGAGACTTTGGCAAATCCTCACACTTTTGCCGATGCTATTTAATTAGCGCAAAGCTATTAGTTATGTTTATGAATATGTAATATCGGGAAGGCTAGACTGTCAAAATATTTCGAGTATAGATTACTTTATGAATTGAGGATAGATATGTCTTCTGAAGGATCATCTATTCCAGTACTACTTAGTAAATACTTGTCCCAAAGTTATCCTAAAAGTGTAGGCCAAACTTAAACTTGCGAAGGCTCAAAGCACATTCGTGATTGCCACTCCATCCTACACAGAAGAATAAAGTTAGCAAGCAACCCGACCCAGTGTTTAACTTGAGGGACATCCTTACCGTTCTCCCACTATTTCCCCGGAACTCATGCAGCTTCGTCTCATAAACATAACTCGGAACACCGGGCACATTACCCAAATCAATACCAGAATCCCTAACCCCCTTCTCCTTAATAGTCTTAACCAAATCAACATTCTCAAAATCAGCACCAAACGAATACTTCCTCAAGATACCCTCCTTCTCACTCTGACTAGCATTCAACCAGTCGACATACTCAGTTCCCCTCTCCGCCTCAGGCGAGATATTATCAGCCACAATAACAGACTCCCCCTTCTTCAGCAGACCAAGTCTCTCAACAAGCCACAGATCATAAATATACCGATCCTTCCAATGATCCACGAACAAAATTTCAATAGACTCAATCAATGAATCCTTCACTACATTCGCAAGCGACTCATGACTAGGCGCCACGATAACGCTTACCACGTCTTGGAGCCCGGAGAGCTCAATAAGCAACTTAGCTACAGAGGCGTTGATCGGGTCAATTTCGAAGCTGTAGTATTTCTTTCCACCGGCACGTTTCAGTGCATCTCCGAATCGAATAGCGGAGTATCCGACGTATCCGCCGAGTTCAATCATGATGGATGGTTTCTTCTCTGAGATTAAGGTGTCTATTAGGACGCCCTTTTTGGGACCGATGTTTATGAGCCGCTTTTCTTCGGTGTTGAATTTGTCTATTGCGTCTAGGACTTTCTGGGGATTGTTTTGCAGCACGTGGAAGTTGGGGAGATTCCAGATATATGTGAGGAGGTCTGGCTCGCGGCCGGTCTATTCAATGTTAGTATTGTAATCTAGAATTTGGCGATTGGAAATTGGAGTTTGAAAATTCAATTGCTGATGGATGGGTGCTGATGGATGGGATAGATCAATTACCTCTACACGGGGACGGGGTTCAGAGGCAGACATTCTGCGAGTCTTGGATCAATGTTCAAATGTTGTAGGTATGATTTTAGTTCAAGTTCAATCCAAAGATTCCAGATGAACCCCTCTACTTATATCACCCAGGTCCCTTATTTATGTCCCCTCCTTGTTCGTACGTAACTCGGTGATAAGATGTATCCGATTCCATTTGGGCAATTACCGCCGAGACTTGTACACCCGAAGACAAGCTTCCGAGACGACCGTGCTCACACCATTCATTAACGAAATAAGCTAGTACCCATGCAAACGGAGTAATGATAGACCCAAATTGATTCAGAAACTATGCAGTTCATATTGTGTCCGTTTACTATGTAGAAGCCGGCATTAAATAGTTTAGCCCCCGTTAAAATTTGCCAAGCCCGCACACATTCAAGTTACCCTTCACCGTTTCCCGATTGTAACCTCGGGCTTAACAGCATCAAATCAATCAAGCTTATGATCAAGCAGACTACGATGATAACATACCGTCAAGCCCAGCTATCAGATCTGGATCAAATCCTCGCCATAAATGCACACTACATTCTCCACACCTCGCTTACGTTTATGAGAACCTCACCTCATATAGGAACATATGTCGATAAATGGCGTGATCTCCAAGCCCGAGGCTTACCGTACCTTGTTGCTGTAGAGGATACGAACACGAAAGAATTAGATGTGGTGCTTGGATATGCGTCTTTTTCACCATTTCGAGGACATCTTCTTTCCTATGCACCGACTGTGGAACTGAGTCTGTTTGTGCATCCGGATTATCAGTCACGTTCTATTGGGTCTGGGTTATTAAATGAATTATTTAATCTTGTACGAAATGGGAAGGTGCATCATGTTGTTGAGGAAAGTGGTCCTCGTGATATGATTGGATATGACGACTCAGAGTCGACTGGAGATAATATTCAAGTTCGAAATATTATTGCTGTTATGGCTGTTGATCCTGAGGGTAAAGATGGAGGGGAAGAATTGAGAAAATGGTATACTCGGCGAGGGTTTGTGGAGAAAGGAAGATTGGAGAAAGTTGGATTTAAAAGAGGTCATTGGTAGGTGATGTGTGGCAATTGTTTACTCTGACTGGTACTGATATCGTCATTTTGATAGGATTGATACGGTTTACTTGCAGTATTCTACATCCTAGATGAGATACGACGAATGCAAGATATAACTTAAGATTGATCATGAGGTGTCATGCTATGTACTGGGGATAATATCGATCATCGGGGAAAAACCCCTTGGCCATAGATGATCTTACCTATACTGTAAGCTCTACATAGATAGAAAGACAGGAGAAAGGCAGATGGAAAGGTAGATGGAAAGGCAGATGGAAAGACAAGTAGAAAGGCAAGTAGAAGGATGTCCTTTTTCCAAATACTTTAGATTATGATATATGACTATTCTTCCTAAACTTGAAAGATATCACGCCTTTTGCTCTCTATTATCCACAATCATGGCATCATGTTCCTCACGGGCTCGTTGGACTGTTTGCGAGTACTTCTTGCCAGCAATAAGCCACCAGACAAGCTCTATAATTAAGAACCCACCCACTACAACACATGTGTAGTTCATATTAGAGACTAGAGAAACGTTAGAAATTGAGGAAATCATCCGCGATCCATTGTCACTGCCTCATTAGACAAGAATCGGTACTTACCAGTTGCAGGCATCTCAAAGGGGAAAGAGAAAAAGATAATGGCAAAGGTTAACCAACAGACCGAGATAATATTCACTGTCATTCCCCAGAACTGGTTCATTGCAAATGGACCACGATGCATCGTCCGGCGGAAGAGGAGCACATTAGTAAGGATTGGAACGATATAAGCGAGGTTATTGATTGTTCTAGTATTCGTGTGTTAGCCTGGTGAAAGATTTCATATCTCGCACTTCTAACTCACACTGCCGAGCTCATCATTGAATTAAAAGCTGTGCTCGATCCCAAGTAAATGCAACCAAGCAAAGCAATAATAACACCTACACATAGCTGTGCGTTAAAGGGAGAACCAAGTTTAGGGTTCACACGCGCCCATCTAGAATAAAGACGTTAGCGAGGGGTTTATTCTATGAATTAAAATTGAGAAACCATACATTCTGGAAAGCGGGAGACCATCATCTCTAGCAAAAGCCCAGAAAACACGTCCAGTGCCTATACCTAATTAGAAAATGCGCGGTCCGGTGGAAACAACAATTCTTACTCAATTGAGAGCCGATCACACAAGGACCCAGTGCTATCCAAACCATGAAAACTAGGCCAAAAGCACCACCACGGGTTGAAGTCGCCTGGTAGAAGATCTCGGCTAGTGGGAGACCCGTGTTCGTGTCTGCTAGGGAAGTATAGTTCTGTGTTGAGAACATCAAACTAAGCAAGTAGGAGACTCCAGTAACGAATGCGATAGAGAGGGTGATTGCTAGATCAATGAGCTTTTATTCTGTTCCATGATTCAATATGAACTTACCAAGGCCAAGAGGAGCGTTTCTACCGGGCTGAAAAATATTAGTATACATAGAGCAAAATGGACCGTATACCTCGGAACTCACATTTGGCATTTCCTCGGTGATATGCTGGATTGATGTTAGGAGTTTTCTATCTCTGTGTCCATAGATATGAGAAACTTACTGAAATTCCATCTAATCCACCCAATGAGTACAGCGGGTTGACCAAGCCGGTGATAAAACACATGACATCGTTATTCCAGCCTGTCTTGTTCATCCAAGTTGCAAATACAAACTTGCTATCATTATGAACCGGTGCAGATGAAGCTACAACGACCATAGTGACAAACCAAGCCAATTGCAAGTAAATCACTGACACCAATTTGTAAGAATGAGAATACTGTAAACGAACGCGGAAGAGAATACTCACGGGAGAACTTATTAATCATTGGAATAAACCTGTTTCCGAACATGACAATCCCCGAGGTAATAATATTAAGAACCTGATATACGACGAATGTCATCCAAGGCTGAACAACCAAGTCATCATGATACAAAGCAATCAGAGCCATGAGAACCGTGGCATAAATGAGGTTGGTTGATGCAGTTGTGAAGATCCCTTAAGCTTGTCAGTCTCCAGAACACCCACTTAGTATGTCATTGTCCTTACAGCCAAAAACTGTGCACCACCCAGTTGCGAAGCTCAGGAGACTATTATATCGTTTTGGAGCAATTGCCGCGATCCAATGATACATACCCCCTTCAGTGGGATAAGCAGACACAAATTCCGCTAGAGATAAACCGACAAAAGACTGTAGAATGAAGACCAGAATGAAGCCGTAGATAACTAATATTGATCAGCTCGAATCGCTAGATGTGAGGATATAGGATCGGGATCGGGATCGGGATCGGGACCAGAACGTACGAGCACCAGGACCCCCGGAGTTCAGCGCTGTGATTAAACCTGTACCAAGACCTTCAAGTTCATAAAAGAATTAGAACCAGTCATTTATTTTGGAGATGGAGCACACAAACCAGTCCATGAAATGGTACAATTAGCCGCAAGACCAATCAAGCTCCAAACTGAGAAATGACGCTTTAATTCCTGTTTATGGCCTTCGCACGGCAATCACAATCAGTAAGACATCCTCAACATCAACATGAATGCTCATCCCATGATAATACCCACCCATCTGAGCCAGACGCAACTCATCTTCATCCCGAACCTTAATAACCTCCACACTTTGCCCGGTAGCCATCCCTTCTTTCGGCGATGTGGATTCAATCTCAGGGACACCCATTTTTGATTAAACTGCAGTGCCGCGATTCAAGGGAGCGGATACAAGAAACTTGAGGAATTAAAGATGCAGCAGGTTGGAGTATTTTCAAGTCGCATGCCACATTTTTTGGTTATCTTTCTGCAGCTCTTATCGCTGTCCACCGGTTATCAGGTGCATTTCGCCGATTTCACCGGACTGATCGCCGGGAGGGGGAAAAGCGGGGGCGAATCATAGTGTACAGGGGGCGGGGGGGTGAGAGTTATCAGTTGTGATTTCCGGTGATGAATGTTTTGTTTTGCCGGTGAGTGTGAAGGTGGCGGTGGATTTATAGGGAGACCTCGTATCTGAATGTCACGGTGTAGTTGGGATATGAGTTTGTTCAAGGTTAACTTGAAAGTCGAATATAATGTTGAATATAGGTGTTGTATGCCTCATGCGGGGTTGTCTTGGCGGATATCTTGGCTCTGTGATGCGGGAAAGAACACTCGGTTTGATGTGATGTGATTTACAATACAATGTGGCTTATCTGGAGATGGGCTCTTGAAATGAAGGAGTGAAGATTTGGTGATACTTATCGTCAAGAGATGAGGAGCGTGGAGGTGAGGTCTACTACGGAAAGACGGCTAGACCTCTACTGGTTATCAGGATCCGTGGAACGTGTTTGAGATTTGATTTCCCCGGAAGCCGCAGATTGATTTGATGTGTATATAGATCCAGAGAAGAGTTGAAGGTGTTGGGTACTGCGAAATAATTGTTCACCAGTATCAAAAACCCGAGCCTGCTAGTCCCAATGCTGATACTCTACACTGCAGAGATGATCGCACTGAAATCACCGCACCAGACACACCTAGATAATAGGTACAAACTTAATAACTATATCATATACTCTCCAAGGAAACCGTACACGCAGTGTTCACTAAATTCCTGACCCTCTGCTTTCCATTTTTAGATACAAATTACTCCAGCAATGCCCCATGAAATCATAACGACGAGGACCCTGATCCTTCTTCAACCTACGCATGCACATGGCCTTGGCAAGCTGGCTGTACACTCTAAAGTTTAGCCAGTCCGAGTCCAAGTCCACGTCGGATTATTAGAATTTTGGACCATTCTCTCCAACAGAAATCACCCCAATTATACTTTAAGTTGCCGGAATAGATTTATACATATCCGGGTCTCCATCTGAATAGGGGCTAACGAGGCTTCCAATACAGAGTACGGAGTAATTTACTGATGTATTCAAGCAATTTAATTAAAATGCTATACATGAATAGCGAATGAACGCAAAGTAGACGAAGATTGCATAAATGACACCATAATGGCAAATTCTCCGTATGAGCCGGACAAACCGAAAGTTTGAATCGAGACATGAGAAATGAAAAGGCGCCATTCGTCAAATGTAGCAGAAAGACCAGGCAACAACAAAAAAAAAAATCCAAGACTCTAAGTTAGTGAGAGGCAGGACTAGACTAACGGCCCCCGTTGAGACATTTGATGATCAGGGTCCAAGGTTAGTCATAATAGCCTTGGCAGAGGCGAAGATCTTAACTTTATACATAAATTTGGCTGTGCATGTTCAGTGTCCCGCGTGTTGCTCGATGCGGTGAAATCTGCGCGAGCGAGCCCGGGGGCAGTATTTAGTATTTGGGGCTGGGCGGGCTGGTTACTGGGGCTGGCTATTGGGGCTTCTGGGGGCCTTCCCTCAAAACCGTAAATTGAGAACAATGTTGATGGAGTGAACGGGCTGTACACTATGTAGTGACTAGTGACAAGTTACGGGGTGCGACCGAGGTCCAATCTCCACCAAGCAGTTCATCGGATACCAAGCTTAGACAAGCATTAAGACGTGATCGCGTGCGGTATCGCGTGATTCTGATTGCGGCTGTTTATCGAGATCAGTCGAGTCAGCCTTATGAAGACCCTGAAGTCTAATCTATATACAGTAGGTAGTCAGGGTAGTTATTAGAAATGTCTCGGATTGAATTTGCTTTCTTTTTGGGGTTACTTGACATTGTGAAATTGGCGGCATGGTGCCGTGATACATGATTGTTGGGACTTGCATTAGTCATGATGGTGATAGCCCCCTTTTCCAAGGTTGTTTGTTGTACAGCCATGCAAACCATCATTATTGATCTAGGAGCATATTATACTGTGGACATGTAGTTATTTTATGAATCCCCACACTTTCGCAGGGTTCATTTATCAGATGATCCAGTTCTCGGTTATTTTCCTTCCGTACCACAGACAATGATAGTATGGCACGGAGCCCTTCGTACGAACAGCTCTAGCTCACCATGATGATGGCAGATGGCACGGAACGGACAACAGAGAGTCCGGTCAGGGGCAAAAGGGGGGCCTCATTCCGTAGCGGGGAACGAAAAAAAATGCGCTAATGCAGGAAGAAACGAAGCTGTATCCCGAGACAAGTGGTTGGGATGGGATCAAATTAGAAGAACGGAAAGGACGGAGCCCATGGAACACCCAGCGGAGTCCATTAGTCCCTTCTGGAAGCCCACTTAGTTGTGGTTAGGGTTGAGAAAGGTCGGCTTGGCTGATTCTCCATGAGACCGAGGAGGCTGATGATGAGTATCTGGTTCTGGAGGCAAACTTGAACATGTTGTGATTTGTGCAATTGGAATGTGCTCTCAGATCGCACTGTTAATGCTACATAGTCATCATATTGTCAAGGCTAAAATTCTTTCACCAGTAATAATGATGATAAAATACCAGTAAATTATAATCTTGGTTCTTTTTCCCGAATCCACTTGTCTGGTCCACCAGTCAGAATTGGCCCCCAATGGGTGAAATTTAGCGAAGTGAAGGAGAGTCAATGTGGCAGCCTGGCAACCTTGTGAGGAGTTTGCAGTGATTGTGTGTGTTCTGAATCTTCAGACAGTATACGATATACGATAAACTGGACAAGGTAATTATCTCAGTGTGATATTCCGGTATATTCCTTCTCCCACTCTAATTTACCCTTGCCAAGACCAGGGAATCAGACCCTGTGAGCCTCGTTGGAATCCTCTTAGTCATGGCTGTGAAGGTGAATCACTTGAGGACTCGGAGGCTGAAGCGAAAGCGATGATTGGTTGATCAGGGAGATGACCCCAATTTCTCCACTGTAAATGAACAAAACAGAGAATAGAAAATAGAAAAAAAGGGGCCAGAAAAAAGACAAAAAAAAAGAAGAGCCAAGACACATCTGAGCCGCAATTTCTTTTTTTTTCTTTTTTCTTTTTTCTTTTTCCTTTTTCCTTTTCTTAGTCTCAGTAAGTGCTCTCGTGCTGGGCATTCAAATTCGACCTAAACTATCGAGTTCAGGCATCCGACTAACGTCCCCTGAATACACCTGAGCTGAATAAAATTGAACAAATAAGGCTAGTCCAGAAGTCTCCTCCGTACCGGGATGGATTCCTCAAACCTGGCCAAAGTAAACCTTGGGGAGGAATAAGCTGTATAAACGGTATTTTCTGTACAACGTTAAGCTCTGGGTGGTCTGTTCGCCCCTTTTTTTATTATTATTCCAGATTACTATTATTACCAGCTTTCATCATATTTAATGTACCTATCAGCCATAGCCACGATGTAAGAGCCAAGTGAGACCATGTGGGGATCGCAGTCTCGTACGGAAGCACCGGAGAGATGGCATTTTCCGACCAAAACTGGAGTCAGAGAGCAGTCAGGTACAGTTTTACCTACTTCAAGCCAATCAGAACCGCATCATAACAGTGCGGATGGACCCTGACTGGGATCCACTCGCTTCTAAATGGGGCAAAACACCGCATGACCCTAGGAAAGGCTAATACGGGAATTGAATGAAACCTTGGTCTGTCAAGTCTGTTAAGTCTGTAGACTGGCTTATTGGTGATCCCGTTTCCCCATATTCTATTCGATTTATTATTTGATCGGCCTTTGCCCAAGGCTGCGAGATTCTCTTTTAAAACCTTTTGCGATCTTCGTTGTTCATCTTTTTCCGTGTTGATTTTCCTCTTTATTTTATTTTTTTTTCCTTTTTTTGTTTTTTTATTCTTTCCCCATCGTTCATCACTCTCTACATACGCGTTGCATCGAACATCACATCTAATTCGACTGTTCGCTTCCATGATACCTTCAATGCTCGCGTGATCGATCTCTTTGTGCCTTTTTTTTTCTGCAAAAAAAAAAGAAGAGCTTGGAGTCAACAGTACTCTTCAACTCGACTAATTTGACATCTAATCTCGATTTCGCCGCTCAGCACCGTTGCTGAGTGAAGATCAGCACAACATGAACGCGGGACGGGTTGGTGATTGCCTCAGCCATGTCTGTTGCACACTCCCCGCTCGCGCTGTGAAAAGTACTTTGGATTGGGATATTGCGAGGAAATTTTGGTTCTCATTTTTATTTTTGACCGTGCTTTGCGCCAAGCTTCTACACATCTACGCTCACTGGGACTCGGTGCCCATGAAAAAGTTGTTGTTGTGGGGATCTACATTCTTTCTACAAGATTTCATCTTTCTCGCTATCGGATATGCATTGACTCAAAATTTCCTTTCGAGGGCGGTGCGCGTGGTGGCAGGTCTGGTGGTGGTGGTAACCACGTAAGTTGACTGCTCTGAAAGAAAAGATTCGATATGTACGTGGGGATCTGTTGCTAACATGGGGGTTTCCCTTGAATTAGTCTAGTCCTATCCGTCATGGCCTCGGCCAATACCTCCTTCTTTTTCCTTACCGGTGCCGAAATTCACTGGCGTCAAGCGGGCTCATTCGAAAAAGATCCAGCATCAGTCAACACCCTCCTCACAGGTCTGACCGGTCTGGTCATCGTGGAAGTCGTCCTTCTCATTATCGCCATTTTCGCTTCACCATACCCATACATGGCCGTGGAGGCTGTCGTTGATGTCTGGTCTAAGCTGCTGAGTGCCGTTTTCAAGCCTGCTTGGCGCGCGTCCAAGCCAGGAAGAGAAGCCTTGCTGCTTCGATCCAAGCCTTATGTCGAACGGTTCCTGAGCCGATCTGCGTACGGACGAGCGATTTACCAGAACCTCAAGATCTACGAACCCGTCGCTCTTAACGACTATGACGAGGATGATAAGGAGATGTCCGGCTCTGCTCCGCTGCTTGAGGGTCAGAATGCCGAGCCCGCTGATGACACAGAAGCTGCGGGCTGGAACCATGCTCGTTGGAATTCTTCTCGCCGTTTTGATATTAGGAACTGGGATTGGAAGTACATCGCTCGAGGTGCTGCCATTATTGCCCTCACCCTCTTTGTCATAATTATGCGTTGCGTCCGCCCCAACGATGAGTCTTATTCATTCCTCTCTCAAACCATCGTTATGTCTCCTTTCGCTGGTGTCGATTCTCAGACTAAGCTTGCTGGTATTACCGGAGATCATGAAATTGATGGTAAACTCACTGCATTGACTCAGCCACCACGCTTTGACTGGCTTCCTCAGGGTGACTGGCCTGGTTTCCGTGACTGGAAGAAGTCCATTACTGGCGTCTACGACAACCTGCACTACAACTCGACTGAAGATCCTCTGCACATCTCGAACTTGCACCTGGACATCCTCGAGCCCCTCCGGAAGGCCGTCAAGAGTGATGATTTCAAGATCAAGCACGTTCTCGTTTTCAAGATGGAAAGTACTCGCTTTGATGTTTTCCCCCTGCGCAAGGGTGGCTACATGCACGACCGCATCCTGGATTCCTACAAGAATAAGAAGGTTCCCAAGGATGTCAAGGCCCGCTTGGCCAACCTCACCCATACCGCTGAGCGTCTCACGGGTACTGAGTCTGGACTTCATAAAGAGGGAATGGTGAAGCCTTACGGTGGTATCTACGCCACAAACTCGTACACCTCGGGTACATTCACCTTGAAGAGTATTACAGGAACCACCTGCGGTGTCTCCCCACTGGTTATGGACTTCAACCATGAATACGAGTACCACCTTTACAATCCCTGCATGCCTCATGTTCTCGATATCATCAGCGCCGAAGGAAAGGATAACACGAGCGAGGACTTCACCAACTGGCCTTGGCGCCCACGCTTCATGCAGTCTATTACCGATACCTACGACCACCAGAACCGACTTACCCCTGCTCTTGGTTTCAAGCCCGAGAACATTTTGACCGTTGAGTCGATCGATAAGGAGCACGCGAACGATACCTCTTTCCACGGCGAGAAGTTCAACTTCTGGGGTTATCCTGACCACGACCTTGCCAGCTACTTCCGGGAGGCCATTAAGAGCGCCGAGAAGAACCATGAGCGTCTGTTCATCGAGCATTTGACTGGTTTGACTCACCACCCCTGGGATACGCCTGGCAAGAAGTACAAGGAGCTTCTCGGATCCTCCTGGGGCGGTAACAACGACGATGTCAACCGTTACCTGAACACAATCGGTATCAACGACAAATGGTTCGGTACTGTTCTGGACATTCTTGAGGAGACCGGTGTTGCCGATGAGACCCTCGTTATCATGACAGGTGACCAGTAAGTTTCTCATTACCAAAGTCCCTTCCACATTACTTCAATACTAACCCTTCCTTCTAGCGGTCTCTCTGTTCTCGAGGACAACAGTATCACTCCTTATGATAACCCTCACGTCGCCAACTTCCACGTTCCCCTCGTCATCTCCAACCCCCGTCTCCCTCCCATCCAAGTGAACTCATCTGTCACCTCGATCCAGATCGTTCCCACCATCCTCGATATCCTCAAGGAATCCGGCTCCCTCGACAAGTACAGCGAGCGTGCCATCAAAGACATCCTCCCCATGTACGAGGGTCAATCCATCATCCGTCCCATCATCGACAAGACCGAACAGACCCGCAACTGGCAGTTCACCGTCATGAACACCGGAGGATCCATGGTCGCGATGCGCTCCGCAGCAATGCCCTACCGACTGGTCATTCCCCTCGTCCCCGAAGTCGAGTGGCGATTCACCAACCTCGAAAAAGACCCTCATGAGAAGAACCCGATCAAATCATTTGGTCTTGAACCTCTCACATCTGCCATTGCTATGAAGCATGGCGCTGAGGCTGTCGCGTGGACTGAAGAAGCTGCTAAGGCAGGTCAGTGGTGGGTTGCTGATAATTGGCGCCGCTACGAGTACAGTCCTGCGTGATTGAAGAGATTTCACGTCACATTAAAAAAAAAAAATCTTTTCCTATCCATGAACAGCAAAAGAAAAGAAAAAAAAAGAAACAAACAAACACAAACACAAACGTCACCTAAAAACAAAACGATCTACACATTTTTCACCACACATTTATATATTTCTTACGTGTGTATTATTACGGTCAGTCAAGAGTTTCTGATGACTCCGATCAGCATGGCGCATGGTATTATTCCCCGGTTTTTCCTGACTTGTACATATTTTTGATACTTGGTATCATTGCATTGGGCGGTTTCATATCTTGATGTACAGTTGAATCACATACTCATTCTAATTTCAATCTATTGTGATCAAATTCACTTATCTCTATCCTTACTAAAACTAAATATAGCTGAATATGTGTATACCGTAATAAAGTCATGCATCTCGTAGGACATAGGTGGGTTGCCCGAAGCTTGAACGTGTTGGAATCCGGGACACTAATTCGGTCGCCACAAATCACATACAGTATGTAGACTAAGCTACTTTCTGCACATGTAGTAGCACAGTAGACTATAGCACGGGTCCAATTAGTAAAAGAAACCTACATTTCGCAATGAATCGACAGATCACATTACTAAATAATGAACTTGCAGAAAATATGCCAATATTATGCAGCCCACCCACAGCCTATCAAGTAAGGTGGCGCCGATCTGCGATCGGATCAGCGCACACCCAAGGTTCCCGAGTGCGGACGAACCACTTCAAATCCCACAACCTACGTCAACTCTTTTTCTTCACATATTCTAACTTCCAGGACATATCGTCATGATGCCAGATCATGGAGAAAAGCCGTGGCTTTTTGATTTTCGTTCCTCGGAGAGATTCCTGGTTGTAGTTGTGTCTATTGCGATTTTCACTGTGAGATTTCGTTTCCGTTTCCGTTTCCGCGGAGTTGGAGTCGGTCGCTGTGCTAATGTATTCTTTATCTGTATAGGATTCTTTTATATATGGAATGGTGAGTCGATATTACCTTATTATAGATACTTCTTTCCTTTTGCTCAAACTAATTCTATCTTTTAAAGATTGTTCCTATCATTCCAATCGCTTTGGTTGATCGACTAGGCGAACGGCCTGAAGATGGTATTATTCTCGATTCCTCATATAATCCATTCATTCCAGAACAGAGATTAACCATCATAAACGTTGAACAGCACAATATCTAGTCTCAGTACTACTAGCAGTCTACGGCGCAACACTACTAATTGGATCCCGTGAGTAAAAAATCTTCTTCAACAGCATCTCGATTACAAATTCAACCCAACTAACTACCAAAGCCCTGTTCGGATATTTCGCGGATCAATCCAAACTTCGCAGAATCCCATTTATCCTCGGCCTCATTGCACTAGGAACATCCACACTCCTCTTTACTTTTGCGCGAACTTTCCCCGCTCTCGTCATTGCTCGCGGTCTCCAGGGGCTATCCGCCGCAGCGGTGTGGGTCGTCGGCCTCGCCATCGTAGCGGATAGTGTACCGAGTGAGCGTGTCGGCGCGGCTATGGGACAAACCACTATTGGACTAACGTGGGGGTTTGTACTTGGTCCTATGGTGGGAGGGTATATTTATGAGCATTTAGGATGGTATGGGACGTTTACGGTGCCGGCCGCTTTGGTAGTTGTTGATATTGCATTGCGGTTTGTTATGATTGAAGCTCCGAAAAGTAAGTCACGATAACTTGAACACTTCACTGTGTTTTGTTTTGTTGTTTTTGTTGGAAGGTTATGGACTTACATGTTTTCTCTCAGATAACCAGCCTGATAAGGCAGAGCAGAACTTGCATTCAGAGCATTCGCCGCCTGGATTCAATTCATATGACACTTTCAACGACGAAGGCATTCATGCTCCCGCCTATTCTACTTCAACTTCATCTCGGAACCAAGAAAATGAAGCCGCTCCTCTTTTACATCCCTCTCCTTTCCCCGAACATGACCAAGACCCGGATCGCAAAGTGCAAAGGGCTACAATCTTCCATCTTTTACTCTCTTTCCGCATGCCATTCGCACTACTAGCAACATTAACCATGGCAACTATCTTCTCATCCCTAGAAACAGTGAGTAAAAGTACCAACTTGAACCACCAACCAACAAAATCTAACTCATCAGACCCTCCCCCTATTCACAATGCAAACATTCAACTGGGGCTCCACCGGCGCAGGCCTAATCTTCCTCGCCGTCTCAATCCCAACATTCGGCGGCGTATTCATCGGCGACGCAATCCATCGCATCGGCGTCCGTATCCTAGGCTCAACAGCCTTCGCAACAGGATGCATTTCCTGGATCCTAATGCGATTTGTAACGACCAACAGCATAGAACATATAGTTCTCCTCATCATCCTGTTACTTTTCCTCGGATTGGCCATTGCAACGATCGAAATTGCTGCAATGACAGAGGTAGCAGGGATTATTGATGATTATGAAGCTGCGCACCCTGGTGCGTTTGGGGGTAAGAGTCCCGTTGCGCAGGGCTATGCTATGTTTAATATGGCGTTCGCGGGTGGTCAACTTATTGGGCCGCTTATAGCTGCTGCTCTGAGGGTTAATGCGGGGTGGGGTACTATGACTTTGGTACTTGGGGTTATTTGTGGTGTTGTTGCTATTCCTGTTGGGCTTTTTATTGGGCCACGGCCGGCTCGGGAAGGCGAGTCTGAAGTGAGTGATAGTGTTTGAGATGGTCGTACATATTGAGGACTGTTTATTGAAGACCATATATATGTGCTCGCTTTTGGGTGGGTGGTAGACGTGATTAGAAAAAAGATGATCCAGTCGGTGCTGTATAGAAGCTTAAAGAAGTCGACATGGATATTGAAGCCGTATCAACTTAAATTATAATCGTTTCGCATTCCAATGGAAGATACATCTCAAGGTTTGTATACCACATGCCATACCTTGATCTTGTACAAATTACCTTTTTAAGGATGTCGCTTGGGGAATTTCCTAGCCTTTATATTTCATACATCCGGCCATAAGTAAAATTTACCTTTGTTGCGTTCAGATCCTTCGCAAGGGGTATCGCACTTGAACAAAAGAAACAAAGTCAAGCTAATTTGGAAGCTTGTTTGTTGGATCGCGCTCGGGAAAGGGCAGCATGGGCAAAGCGACCATACAGGATAACAGCTCTGTTCCACGGGTGGATAATCGGTAATCGGGCCTAGAAGAAGTTGTCGAAGTGAAAATAGCATGATCTCATCATGCTCGTCGTAGTGTCATAAGTCCTAGCAATGTCGACAATTACTCAACCTCTTCAAGCTCGGGTGAATTTCTATCTAAGCTTCAAGTGCAGAGTAGATACTGGCATTCCAAGCCAAGCACAAGAAACGGTATGCTTGAGCGAGCGCACACATATAAAGAGAAAATGAAAATGAAAATGAAGATGAAAATAAAAAATAATAACTCCGGGGATTACTAGCCCCAATGCACTCGGTTGATCATCGTATAGTCGTAGATTGTAGACCGACGCCATGACTTGGCGGATCTCGTTTAGATTGAACTGTCTGGATAGCATCTGATCCGATCAGTTTCTTGCTAACAAGATGACGAATGTACTCCATCGTCCATTCCTGACATCGTTTATTCGTAATCTGACAATATCAGCAAGCGCTACATGTAGTGCATGGCGGTAGTGATAGTGATAGTGATACTGGTCACTTACATCGTTCACAGGAGCAAGAAAGTTCTCACTAATTCCCGGTGTAGGAATCTCGGTCGCAGCAACCTCTATAATCCCGATAGGATCTGAGTCACTTGTTTTCAACCCAGGTGTCGGATCAACTATACTGCCTGAATCTATCTCACCGATCGGAAAGACGGTGTATTTCTCAATCGAATCAGCGGGGGAATAATTCCGCTTGAATTCTAGGAAGTACCCCACCATCGGTGCACCGACGGCTTGAATCAATGTTCCATTTTCGTGGTCTTGAGCGGTAGGGACAAAGATTGCAAAGTGCGCTCTTTGAGTTTCGCTATTTCGAGATGTGATGAGTGAAATGGTTCTGGTTGTCATTGTGGGAACCTGGTGAGGTCACGGTTATGAGAGTAGATAGAATCTGGGGTATATTGAATTCAACCGTGACGTCAGGTGAACGAGAACTGGGATATTGAATGCGGGGTTAAGCGAGCTTGGTGTTGGGGCTTTTATTTCTTTTGTGAGATGTCTTTTAGGTACATGGTAATTGTGACGTTTATTTTGGGGTATCTTAATATTTATTGAAAAGTTGAAGGGGAATAAGAGGGCTGGAAATGGATGATGGGGTCGTAGGGAAGCTTCAAGATTACCCACCATGGCCATAGATCTTGATATTATCTTCAACCAAAAGCTTCCTATTTAACTTGAGACCCCTACATCTTCAAGAAATTCTAGTAACTGTGCCGTATCATCAAACTCACCCTCTAATGCAACCGAAGGTCCAAGTCGTTTGTAAAAAGACGCCTCAAAGAATTGTGGAATGAACCCTGCATACTCCCAATCTATAATACCATTGATCTTCAATGTCACAGGATCCACGATAATATTGCATTGGTGAAGATCGTTGTGACAGAAAACGAATTTCTCACTCTTAGATATCTTCTGGGTCCAATCATCTCTTTCATTACACGCCATAACTCGATATGGAGGAATCACAATCTCAGATGATGGACCGCCGATTTTATTCGATGTAAGACTGTGAAGAGTGGCAAGATGCTGATCAATTTCAGGCCACACCAGCTTTTTCTGATCTTCTGAAAGCTCGGACATGCCAACGCCTTCAATATATTCCGTGATAAGAAAGTGACTGTCATCGACATCGAATGAACCGTAGACCTTCGGAACGGGGATATTGGTTTTTTGACTGACAAAATGTAGAGATTCCCCTTCGTTTTGAAGTCTTTCCTTTCCTAGTCGTTGGATATAAATCGTTCCTTTGTAGGTGGTAATATACTCGCTAGGACGTAGGCTTCTTTTGGTGAACAAGCACCCGTGGCGATAGTATTGTCTTTCAGCTGTTTTACCAAAAGAATCGGCTTCTTCTGGCAAGGTAACCGAATCGTGCGCGGATAAAGAATCTTCTTGGGCAGGATTGGGCATCCTGTGTGGATAATCAAGAGCGAGAACAGAAGTTGGCGCGGGAATCATGATGGGAATCGATGGGAATTTAAGCGGTGTAAGCCTGAGATATTTCGAGATGAGCTGTTTCTAGTTTCGCCCATATCCAATTATCATAGTCCAAGCTGGGCATCATTCATTGGTCTTAAAGAAACGCCCCCCTTGCGTGGGAGGCTCTTAACCAATCATCCTTGGTGTCCATGTACCTTGCGCATGACGGTAGACATGACTGGATTGTATCTCAGGTGAAGAATTGAGTCTTGACCAGATGACCTATGTACATGCATATACCACTAGTACCTGTAGTATCTCTATATAAATCCCCATTAAATACCCGACTCTGGTGGGCATCATCCTCACATGAATGTCAGGGCGACCACAAGACATATTCCAAAGTTTCATCACGATATATCCTTTCGCATGAAAACAGTTTTCGTATCCCAATATTTGCCATTTTTATCCGCAATATTGTAATAGTTTTGGACAGTCTTGATAAGACGATATCCTCGCCGGGCATACCAGACTTCATTCGCAACCTGCAAAAAGTTAGTGGTGGGTTGGAATCTTCATGAGCAGATGATCTTACCTTAGGAATGCCCCCAAAGCTTATTATTGCAAACTCCTCACGTAGCTGGTCGTCCTTTTCGACAGTATCAAGCAATAGAGTTTTGGCATTCAGAGGCTCTCGAACCGCCATGTCTTCGACTTCATCCATTGCTGCTCGGCCAACGCCCTGACTCTGTAAGGACTGTGTGACGTAGAAAGTTTTGATCCAGAATGAATCAACCTTTGGAATATCGAGCTCATTATCTTTGGCATCTGGATTTACCGAGTCTAAGGAGATATGGCCAATGGGAATGAAGGTCTTATGCGATGGCTGTCGAGAAACAGCATTTATGGATGTAGCTGTATCCTGAAGTTCCTCGTTGGACTAGCGAGTCATCATTAATTTAAATATTTGCAGATATTCATGATTATTCATCATCTTACCTTTGGATCAAGAAGAGACTTCATCTGCGCAGTTGCCCCTGAGTCATCAAATGGTAGAACCTATGTATGTGCGGCGATAGTTAGAGAACCAATCAAATTTGAATAGGTAGAGCCTCAGTATGAATACTACGACACTTTAGATCAACTTACAATCCAGTAGATACACTTTGTACCCTTTGCTTGCGACTCTCTCCATTCTTTTTCGACCTTGTCTTGGTGCCAGGTACATTCTTCTCGTTGTTGAAAAAGGACCCGCCGATGGGCAAGTGACTCGGAGTCCCACGGAGTCAATACAACTGTCGCTCTAGAGGACATGGTTTCAAATCTGCGAACTTCCAAGAGTATTGAAGAACTGTCATCTTCTTTATAGTGGGGACTAGTGCACAGCCGAATTACTAAACAGCGGCTTATCGTGGGCGGAATTATCAGTCGACTCGGAGTTCCGTGTTGATTTTAAGTTTTACCCCATTTGACTCATAATGTAATGCCAAGACTTTTATACAAATGCAATTTTCTTGTTGAAACATTGATGTTGCTAATATTCTTGAAGCTCTGGATTAGACTGTATATATGGATCCCTGCAACTTCTATCCTTTAATAGATTCGACTTCTTCAGACCAGTGTGCAAATGCTCTTGTCGATAGACTTGCTTCGAACATTGTATCAATCTCCAATGTTGTCCGGCCTTTCATTTCTGGTACAATGAGCCATGTGACAGCACAAGCAATAAAGCACAGACCGGCATATACAAAGCCCGTCTTTCCTTTCAGATCTCCTTCATCTGTGTTATAAATATACGGTAGAACGAGGTTGAAAACGACGTTTGACAGCATGTAGGCAAGGACTCCAAGCCCCTGTGTCTTTGCGCGAAGGCGAAGGGAAGAGGCCTCTCCAGATACTGCGTATGATGCAGGCCAAGCACCCATTCCACAAACAATGACAACGGCCATCATACAAGCAGCAGTATACCTAGGTCGAAGATGTTAGAACCTTGCTTCAAGTAATTATTCATTGCGTTGACCAGGAAGCTGCTTACCAGATCACAATATTCCCAGACCAACAACCTGCGATTCCCATGCTCAGCCAAATGACCGTAGCAACCGCCAATGTCCCCAACATCAAGCGTCTGCGCCCAAATATACTCATTAACCAGATACCGACACCGTTGGCTAGGAGGCCCAGAACGATCCCGACAATCAGCACAATAATACTCAGGCCCGATGACATGCCAACAACCTGCATAAAGTAGCTGGCACTTGCCAATAGTGGAACCCCAAACAAACTAGGGACCATGAAAGAGAAAGCGACAATGATTGTTCGACGACGATTGATACTTTTGAAGCAGTCAACATATGATAGCTCTGCCGAAAGCTGCTCCTCGTGAATGATTGATAATCGCATTTGTTCCAAGATGGGTGCAGTTTCAACACTAGCAATATGAAGAGACTTCATCGCCGCGTGGGCTTCCTCATACTTCTCCCGGCGAAGCAAGTACGCCGGGCTTTCCGGCAAGACAATAGCCAGAACAAAAGGTAAGAGGGTAGTGATCCACTGAGTGCCGAATGGGATAAGATACGCAGCCGATGAGTTTTTGTGCTCACAGGCGAAGATCACTGCAGCACCAATAAGCTCTCCTAGAAGCATAAAGGTAGGGGAGAGAGCCATAGCAGATCCTCTTAAGGTGGTAGGCACAGTTTCAGACAGATATGTCTGGGCACCAGTCATCGCACCACCAACTCCCACCCCCTGGATGGCTCTTCCTACTAGGAAGGTTCCACGTCGTGAGCCCATCTCACTTGGAAGATTTGAACAGAATGCGATGGCGATACCGACTGAGCAAATCACGCAGCTGAGAGCGAGTGACCATCGGCGACCAATGCGATCTTGTAACCATCCAGCAACAGGAGCACCCACCATTGATCCGATCGGACTGATTGCACTCCAAACAGATAGCCATGCCGAGGGAATAATATAAGAGCCATCGTATAGTTCGCCAAATTGTCGTTTGAAATAGGGGACGGCGGTAATCGTTCCAAGGATCACAGTATCGTAGCCAGTTAGGAGGAAGGCAAGAGCTAAGCCAAGCGAATATGCAGATATCTTGGGATATTTGCGAATTTCCCGAGACAAGGTCGTATTATCTGGATTTGGGGGGTACGAAGTGGATGAAACCACAGTCTGATCCTTATTGTCTTCTGGCGTTGGGCAACCCGTTGCCTCTGGTGCTATATTAGAGGACATTTCCGGAGGTATGAGGACAGAAACACAGCTCTTGAGTAGATGAATAAGATTGATTTCTCCAGAGTTTACAATGCAATGTCCACTTATATATGAAATCTGTGGGTCCTTGACAAAATCTGGGCAGTTAATCAGGAGGCAATGTTGAAAGATAGTACGCCGTGCGGGGGAAAACACGCGTGATAAATTTCCAATCAGATCACTAGTTTTAGGATGAAATCTATCATCACTATCTTTCTCAATTGATAATACCCCAGCCATGCTATCTTTTCCATCCCAATTCTCCTCGCTAAGAACGCGGGGATTGTTTTCGCGATCTATGGAGGAAGCCGATGCAGCCAATCAAAGCCCACTACTTGCCGACCCCACGAATCACAGCGCAACAACGAGAGGCTCCGTTCAACAACACTCTAGCGGCCTCTCCACCAGGCAACGTACAGCAACTCAATTTTACTTCGGCTGGAGAAGTTTGCATAAATTGGCGAGAGAATATGGTTACGCTCGCAAGATGATGGAAGCGAGTTTGCCGAGGTCTAAAATTGGACCAGTTTGCAAGACAAGCTGACAACCCGCAGTTTAATAGAGGGGTCTATATAACCACGCTCAGCTCTTTAGACAACTTGAAGTCAGTTGTACTATATTCCAACAAAATTTTTAACCTATTTTTGCTTCCACTCGAGCACCGAAAGACAAGATGGATATGTCTCGCATTATCAAACCTTGGAAGCGCCAGCCGCACAAGACCTACGTATTCACAAATGCCACTATCATCGACCCCGTCAAGGGCGAATTGGTTCCCAATGCGACTGTTCGGATATCTGATGGCAAAATTGTTCATCTAGACGTGACCGGCTCGGCTCCTGCGACCGAAGATATTCCTGAAGATAATATCATCGACCTGAGTGGAAAGTATTTATGCCCAGGTCTGATTGATTGTCATGTTCATATCGCAGTTGTTCCTGGCGAAATTGATCTGCGAGCCTACTTGGACATGTCCGAGCGCATCAGTCTCCTTCGTCAACCGCATGTCCTCAAAACTATGATCGAGCGTGGTTTTACTTCTATCAGAGATTGTGGCGGTGCCAGTTTGGCCATGAAGGAAGCTGTCGAAGAAGGAGTTCTTCCCGGCCCCCGCCTATTTATTGCCGGACGTGCACTTTCGCAGACCGGTGGACATGGGGATATGCGTGGTCCCCATAGTGAACAACTGTGCTGTGGGGGTTCGCTGTCCGGAATCAGTCGCATTGTTGACGGGCCAGCGGAATGCTATAGATATGCACGAGATGAGCTTCGTCAGGGAGCAGACTTCATTAAGATTATGGGAGGAGGTGGTGTGGTTAGTTTGATCTTGAGGACCACAAAGAAACGTCATACAGTGCTTTTTTTCTGACCACAGAAATCTCGTTATAGGCAAGCCCCACAGATCGGATCGAGCACGTTCAATTTTCCGACGAGGAGATCAAGGCTATCGTCACCGTCGCGAAGAATGCCGGTACATATGTGACGAGTCATAGCTACACACCCCAAGCGATCAAACAAGCGATCAACCTTGGTGTCCGAGGAATCGAGCACGGTAATCTGATTGATCTGGAGACAGCTCAGCTGATGGCTGAGAAAGGCACGTTCTTGACGCCCACTTTGATTGCGCATGTCATGTCCAAACAGATGAATTTCCTACCAGCTGAAAGTGCCGCAAAGAATGCCGAAGTGCTTGAAAAAGGTCTGCGGGCAATGAAAATGGCCGTGGATGCCGGCGTGACTGTCTGTTTTGGCACTGATCTTCTTGGCCCCATGCATTTTGCTCAGAGCAAAGAGTTCTCCGTTCGCAGCCAGGTTCTTTCTCCTATTGAGATCCTGCGTAGTGCTACAATTAATGCGGCTCGCCTTGTCATGCGAGAGGACCAGCTGGGTCAAGTCCAGGAAGGATTCGCTGCCGACATGTTGATTCTCAATAGTAATCCCTTGGAGGACATCACCGTTCTAGACAGGGCCGAACAAAGCATCGTTAGTGTCATCAAGGATGGAAGAGTGGTGACATCCCGCTGGGAAAAGTTGACAGCGGAAGCTTGATTTGGATGAAGGAGACGTTGCTCATTGAGAAAAAAAGAATTGATTTGAATATGCATGATAATACAATTAGTTGAACATTTGGTTTTGGATAAGTACATATGTGCAGGACAAGAATAATGATGCGAATAGTGGACCGTTGCGGTCAAGACACGCCATGATAAGGTATCGTCAATGGCAGTATGATGTTCTAATTACAACAAATATGAAAGGCGTATAGACAATAATGCATAAATGCGCAACGATTAGTCACAGCGCCATGGAGGGACGAGTGGTCCTTCCAGGAGAAAATGTTTTTGATGCTTCGGCACGAAAAGATTCCACGAAGAAAAAAATGAAATGCAGGTTAGTGGTTCTTGAAGTCATTTTCATCCTCTTCCTCAGCCTGGGCATTGCCCATGGAGTTCAAAGGCAAGCCGGCTTCGCCGAAGTCGCGGTAGACTCTATCACGAGCGGCAGATCGGTCTTTGCGAATGGTAAGGCAGTTAATGCCGAGGAAAGTGGTGATACGGTTGATGACCAAGACAGCCCAGTGCATGTAAATCACAAAGGCGAAAACCAAGTACAAGCGCAGGTACCAGATTTCAACCCAGGCAGCAACCATTGGGAGACCGACACGAGGCAAGTTGGCGAGGATAACACCACCGATGAGAGGAGCTTGCAGAATGGTCCAGAGTGGGAACTCTTGGCGCAACAAGTGAGCCAGGATGATCATGGTGGTCATGCGACCAAACACAAATGCGATGACCCAGCAGTAGAGAACCAGGTGGTTGTCAGTAAGAAGATGCGAGTAAGGAGAGAAGAGCCAGGCAATGTTGCATAGGGTGAAAATGATCATGGGCACCCACTCCTTCATGACAGGAGTGAATGGCAGACCGTGCGCCTTCCGGGCGGAATACACATTCAGCACACACCCTGGTAGATGACCGAGGAAAAATCCGACAGAAAGAATTGGCACCCAGAGATCCTTAACGGAGTTCTCGCCGAAGATTTGGGGGATATTGATGAGATCAGTGATAGGCTGAGACCAGATTCCGGGTCCCCAAATTCCAGAGGCGATCATAAGAGAGATAGCAATAAGAAGCCCTTCAGTGGGTCCATTGAAGTATCCCAAGTACAGGGTGTGGGTGTGGAAAGTCTCCCAAGTCGAAAAGTACATCGCCAGGCAAGGTACAAGTGCGGTGTATGCACCGAGCTGGGAAGCACCGAATCCCATAGCAGCAGTCTCCAAAAGACTGGCCAGAGTACAGTTCAGAGAATCAATTCCGTGACTAGTATTTGGTCAGCAACATATCCATGGCTAGCACAGGGACGGTACGAACTCAAAAAGTTCACCCAACCCGCTCGAGGTTCCTGTCCTGCGAGCTTGTTTTCCATCCACATTATCCAAAGTAGAGTACCTGTTAAATATTAGCCAGGTGCAGGTAAAGCGCCAGGAGGGTATGTATACTTACATCCACATGCCAAGGGCGAAACTAAAGTAAAGCCACCCGGGAGCCTAAAAAAGGGGATTTAGTAATGCAATTGGCGGTACATTGTGGTTCCAAGATCTTCTTACCGGCCCCGTAAGATCAGGCACGAGCAGAACAATCAAAAAGACGTTGGCCACAATCCACATGAAACCAAGTAGAGTGACCATATTAGGGGCCATCCACATGGGCACAAGCTCAACGAAGGCATTCCACTGCATAAATGAATTGTTAACGACATGGTTGGGTCTCATACCATACGGGTTTATTTTTGGGTCACCGTACGTAGTGCTTGAGAATGTAATTGGAGATCGGGGATTTGTCCACGCTGGAGTATTTGTAGGACTTCAACGGAAGGAGGGCCTCGTCGGATAGGGAGTCTTGGGTCTCTGTAATAAAGAACCAATATGATTAGCATTCACATTCCTGAGAGATCCAATTGTTCTTCCAGAAAGGTATGAGTAGCCTTACCTTGGACCATCCGCTTGATAAAGTCCATCTTGGCGAGAGGAGGGTGGGGAGAAATGTGAGAGCCGCGTCGCGTGCACGTTCAGGCAGCGGATAAGCAAGACTATATAACAAACTTTGGGTAGGCAACAGGGCTCAGGGGAGGAAGAAAAAAACGTAAAAAGAAGACGGAAAAGGTAAAAGATGAGCGCCTGTGGTCCAAGCACGTTAAGAAACGGAGCTGACTTGGAGTTATAAAAATAGCCGAGCAATTCAGGGTCTTTTTAATCTTAAGTTGTCTCACTCAGGGATTTTCTAGGCAGCGGTCACGTGCTAGGGGGGACTCCGCAGCGGAACGCGCGATCGATCCACTTCCGCAAAGGTTAGGCTGAGTGCTGACTTGAATCTGTTGCTTGCTTCCTTGGGTCTCACCATCCTTCGTGGAGACTTCTGTCGATCTTGATTTTGCTGGTTCTGATTCACTTCACCTCACGGCCCCAGTTTTACGCCCGACAGCCTTGCTAGTGGCCCACCCTCCAAGACGTCCTCTCCTTCTCACTACCACGCCCCAATCGCGCGCATCGAATCTTGCGCCCTCACTTCGTTCCGTGACTGTCCCTGCCTCGTATCCCACGCTAGTCATGTGTTAAGAGTGGATGGGCATGACGGTTGATGGTCATACAAGCGCCCGTCGCGCAGCTTGTCATTAAGGATTATACGCGATGCCGGGCGTCATCGAGACGCCCGTTGCTGGCGGTTTGATGCCGAGTCTGGATTTTAGTGTCGCGCATCAAAAAGTCGAGCTGGAAATTGACTTCATCAACAAAACTCTGAAAGGAAACACGGAGATTACGATTCATCCGCTACGTCAGGACCTGAAAAACATTCGTTTGAATTTTCGCCAGGGCGAGATCAAACGATTCAGCGTGAATGGCAGAGCTGTCCCCAGCTGGGAATATGCTGACCCCTACGAAAATATTCAACTTTATGGAGCGCAGTATTACCAGCGACTGACTCCAAAGATCGACTCCCTCCTCAAATCCCCGCGCGAACCCGAATTAAAGGCAACCATCCCGAAGAGTGTGAGAATCGAGGAGCTGGACCCGACTTCTGCAGAAGCGCAAGATCAGATTGCACTGCAAGGTGCTGGAGATGGCGTTGATGGGCCAGCGGGTGGTCGAGGGCCAGAAGCGAATCTCCCACGCTTCAAGGCTGTGGTTTTGAACATCGAATTTGTAACGGACCGCGTTCGCGATGGATTGCAATTTGTCGGAGTGGACAGCGGCGACCGTCGTTACCCGCATGCATATACCACCAATTCTCTCTATTCTGGCGTTGGGTGTCCATTATTTCCCTGTGTTGATGATGTGGCATCACGTTGTACCTGGGACATCTCAATAACTTGTCCTTCCACACTGGGAGACATGTTTGATCGAAAGGCTCGCGATGCTTCCGGGTCTCGGTCACGAGCTCCAACCAGGCACATCTCCGTCGACGACGAGGGTTTGGATCTCTCGGTGGTTTGCTCTGGTGAGCTGACGGATGATATTGTTGACCCCAAAGATCCTAGTCGGAAAACGGTCTCATTTGGTTGTTACTCGCCTCTCTCGGCTCGACAAATTGGATTCGCCGTTGGTCCCTTCGAGTACGTGAATCTGGCAGATTTCCGTGAGAGCGATCAGGACGAACAGCTGGGTCAAAATGCCATTCCTTTGCACGCATTTTGCTTACCAGGCCGGGGTGATGAAGTTCAGAACACCAGCTTTCCCATGGCACAAGCGATCGATTTCTTTTCATTATCTTATGGCTCTTATCCTTTCTCCAGTTACAAAATTTGCTTCGTCGATGATGTGCCATCAGATACATTACCGACAGCATGCATGTCGATCTGCAGCAGTCACCTCCTCTTCCCTGCTGAGATCATAGATCCCATGTATGATTCAACTCGAGCTTTGGTCCATGCTTTAGCATGCCAGTGGAGTGGTATAAATATCATTCCAAACGAACCCGCAGATACATGGGTCACTGTAGGTGTTGCATGGTACATCACTGACACATTCATGAAAAAGCTTTGCGGCAACAACGAATATCGATTTCGTCTCAAGCAAATGTCGGATCGTGTCTGTGAGGTCGACTATGAACGCCCTTCAATTTATGACATGGGAAATTTCTTGAAGATCGACCCGTCTGAATATCAATTCATAGCATTGAAGGCACCTCTGGTCTTGTTTATTCTTGACCGGCGCCTCACAAAAGCCAGTGGAAAAGCAACTATGTCCCGCATTATCTCCCGTCTCTTTTTAAATTCCCGCATGGGTGATATTCCCAACGGAGCTGTGACTTCTTCGCTGTTTCAAAGAGTCTGTGAGCGGCTTGGTCACGCAAAGCTTGATGTTTACTTTCAACAGTGGGTATACGGGGCTGGATGCCCCCGCTTTCAGGCTACTCAGCGATTCAATAAAAAAAAGCTTGTGGTTGAAATGATGATCAGACAAGTTCAATCTGAGCAACAACCTCCAAGGGATCTTGATAAGAATGCCTTCCTGCGAGACGTGAAGGAAGAGGTTCGCCATGTCTACGCCGGTGCTATTCAGCCTGTGTTCACCGGGTCAATGACTCTTCGTATTCACGAAGCTGACGGTACCCCGTATGAACATATTGTCGAAATCAAGGAGGGTGTCACCAAGTTCGATATCCCATATAATACGAAATACAAACGGCTCAAACGAAACAAGAAGCAACGGGAGCGGACTGTCGTCAATGGTGACTCAGAGGCCCAAGAAGACGTACTTCTTTACTGCCTGGGGGATGTTCTTCAGACAGAAGAAGAAACCCAGCAGTGGAAGTTAGCTGATTGGACCAAGGAAGACGAAGAGCGTATGGGCCAGGAGTCCTACGAGTGGATCCGAATGGATGCAGATTTTGAATGGGTATGCAAACTATCCCTGGGCATGCCTGGTTACATGTATCTGTCGCAGCTCCAGCAAGATCGAGATGTTGTTGCCCAGTTGGAGGTAAGTCGTTTCGTCCTAGATGCTAAGACCACTGCTCCAAACTAATTCAATACAGTCACTTCAATATATGGCCGCGCAACGCGAGCATCCTCTCATCTCCACCATCTTTGCACGAACGCTCATGGACAGTAGGTACTTCCATGGCGTCCGCGTCACAGCTGCTCGCGCGTTAGTCAAGCATGCCAAGGATGAAGTGGATTGGATTGGATTATTCCATTTAGAGAGAGCTTTTCAAGAGTTGTTCTGTCTTCCAGGCTCTCCCATGACTCGCTCAAATGATTTCTCAGACAGAGCTGCGTACATCCTTCAGCAAGAGATCCCAGAGGCGATCTCAAAGGTTCGGGACAACAGCGGCAAGACTCCTCTCCGGGTGAAGCGGTTCCTCTTTGACAAGCTGAAATTTAACGACAACTCTAATAATGAGTACTCGGATAATTATTATGTAGCGTCCCTAATGCGCTCACTTTGCCACGCCTTACTTGGCCGCAATGAGTCGCGGCAAGACGACGAACTGGCTCATTTTGATATGGAGCGTGTCTTGGAATCTCAGGCAGAGGAACAGCTCGAGAAAGATGCACTAGCAGAGTTTGACAGATACCGGAGAATGGATGAATGGTCAGGCTCCTATCAGAATCTTTACGCCCGAGCAGCATTGCAATGTCAAATGCAAATGATGCAGGCCAATATTCAAGACCTCGATCTTATGCGGTTCATTCCGTATACAAGAGCTGGAACTTACGATCTTCTGCGATTGCAAGCGTTCGAATGTCTTGTGGACCTTGATATCTCCCAAATCCCCGATCTTACTCGATGGCTCATTTACACCATGACCAGTGACCCGTCGGCGTATGTGCGCCATCACGCTCTGCGATTGTTTGGCCGAGCCTTGGCCATGATTGCCTTTGGCCGCCCTTTACAGCCAGAGAACAATCAGGCTGATGGCTTGATTATCGAACAAGAGTCCTCTACCGATATCCGACAGGCAGATCTTGCACGACGCCAGACTGTTCCCGGTGCGATTGAAGCCCTCAAGCGGGAACTCGCTGGTGATGGGTCAATGAAGGAATATCTCTGGGCTGCGGCCAACTCGTTTCCCATCGGAATCCTTGAGATATCTGAAATCGGCGACCTTTGCAACGTGATGTTTGAGCCCGTAACATCAAAAGTTGCCAAACTCCGTCTCCCCAGATTCTGGAATGTTCAAAATATGGGCCAAGGAAAGGTGCGGTTCTATCGATCAAAAAATGTGCGAACCAGTCTGGCCCCCTCGAAGGAGGCTGTCAAGCGCAAGCGTGAGGAACAGGCCATGCCGGCACCTGCCCCTCGTATTACCTTCAAACAATCCAAGACGAGCTCCACGCCCAGTGCACCATCCACTCCTAGCCTTCCTAAGCTTCACATTCCCAAGCCGTCCCCTGCCCCTGCAGCAGCAGCTGCAGTTGCCAACACCCCTACCGCTTCCACACCATCTACGCCTGGCACGCTGAAGCTGAAGCTCAAATTTGGGCAGAAAACAAAATAAACTTTTGATACCTACATTCATCCTCTCTTCATGTATTCTACCACTACTTTTTTACACTTACGTTGGCCTTGCTAGCTTTGGCATTTTGTTAAACACGGTGATGAGGATCAAGCATGGCTTTTGGCGCAAAGGACACTGGTCCATTGATTTAAAGCTAATATCAAAAAATTCATAAATCTTCATCTGTATATTCAGCAGCCACGTTGCTTTCTCTCAGTAAAGGTTGATCGTCTCGATAAGATAGCAGCGGGCAAGCGCAAAAGACCGTGGTAATATATCGATCAATACCTTCTATTGGTCTCCGCATAAGTAACAAAGTTCCCAACTGCTCCTCTCCTGCTAGTTATAGTTAGCTACTATCCCATCACCATGGTGTCTACTTTACTCGCTGCAAACATCATTGCCTCTCCTAATATAAAGTCACCAAGTTCTATGGAGTAATACGGTCAAGAATAAATTTTGTAGGCTTGTTCATTCAGAGATACCTCGCGCAAAACTGCGGGGCCAGATTTATTTAGGTAGCATAAATTCACCAGATTGAAAAAAAAGTGCAGGCGTAGAAACAGAAAAAAGGTTTTGATGGTTCCCAGATGAGCAACCAACCCATAAACTCCCTGTACCATTATGATCATCCCCAGCCGCCGGTTTAGCCGCGTACTTTCGTTTACCCCTTCAAAGAAAATGTCATCGATCGTGTGGTGCGCATGCGCTTATTTGTCGTTTATCCGTTCAAGGGCCTCGATCATGACAACCGAGTTACCGCGAATGACCTAGGCACGTCAGTTAGTATGAGGCTTGCGGAACGGGATCAGACGAAAACGTACGACCATGCCAATGGCAACCTTCTCACCACCTGCTTTCTCTTCGAAGGCTTCATCAAGGACAATGTTCATGAACACCTAGAAGAATTGAAGATCAGTGCTCGTTCTTCAAGTGGGAAGACATGCCCCAGGTTCCAATGTCGAGTGGCGCAAATCCGAGGACGAGATAGCTGGACAAGCTCGACCAGTGCAATCTATTTGGACAACTTGAAACGGAAGTAAAGATTGAACGTACATCGTAGCCTCGGAGTAGACCAATCACTTTGCGGTTGCCGTTGAGTTGGCAGAAGACCCGCTTCTCCATGTACTGCGCAAAAAAAAGATCAGCATGGTCCTATGAATCAAATATGCGAAGGATCGAGGTGAAACCATACCTTCTTCAATTCCGGCTGAGCTTGAGGCATTTTGGGCAAGCTGGAAAAGACGATTGGGGATTGACAAGAATCGAGTTGAACTTATCGCGCCGCGTGCTTTGGTATCGGTGGTGGCGGAACAACTATCTTCCAGGCTCCGGATAGGCGATAAGAAGAATAGCTCTCTCATGAGCTCGTCGCATTCTTCACACCCACCATTCCAAGCACGCGCATTATGAGTTCTGCTTTTTCAAATCGCCGGAAACCTCGGAAGATTGGGGGAGATGAGGAGGAGGAAAATAATGGAGCAGCGGCAAATGGTCAGTCACTAAAACTAAATTCAGTCTACTGTTATCAACATCTAACCATCCGACTTATAGAACCTGTTGTCAAAAGACCAACAAAATCGAAACCCAAGTCAAAACTACGCATGTCGTTCAATCCAGGCGGCACTTCAATGGCCGAGGAGGAGGAAGAACTAAACGAAGTCGTTATCCCGAAGCGACATGGACTAGGGCGAAAAGCGATGGAACGAAATACGTCACATCGTAACATCCTCCCTTCATCTGCGGCTGAACAGCTCTCTGCACGATTCGGCCATGATCAAGATCGACCCAGCTATAGTAATGATCATTTGAAAGAGTTGAAGGATTCCACACCCTCTACACCAAAAAGCACAGAGGACGAGGCGAAAGCAGTCGATGTCGCAGCCAAATTTGGCGAAGTTATGACTGTGTCTGCCCCCTCCGCCATCCCGAGCGAAGCGGAGATTCGAGAGAAGAAAGCTAGGCGAGCACGTTTGGCCCTGGAACACAATGCGACCTCAACGGAGGAAGACTTCATGGCGCTGGATGACGGTGCCGTAAGCGACGATGATTGGGATGCCATAGCTCGTGGCGAAAAGACGGCTGAATCCGCCAAGGATACACGACTTGTACCCGACGACGAAGATTTTGCCGAAGGTTTTGATGAATATGTGGAGGATGGAAAGGTCTCACTTGGAAAGACAGCGGAACGTGAGCAGAAGCGCAAGCAGCGTGAAGCTATGCGTGACCTGATCAATGACGCGGAGGGGCTTTCTGATGAGGAAGATTCTGATGTTGAAGAGAAAGCTGCGTACGAAGCCACTCAAACCAAGGCCGCGATGGGGCAGAAGCCAAATGGCACTGATCGTTCCCGTACGCCTCCGAAGGTGACATCCTTGCCCCGATTGTCACATAGCCTTGAAAGACTACGGACAACTTTAGCCTCGATGCAAACTTCCAAGACCCAAATGATCAGTCGTATGGAAGATCTCCGAAATGAAAAGGAAGATATTGCTGTTCGTGAAGTCGAAATTCAGGCTATGATAAAAGAGGCGGGAGATAATTATGAGCGTTTGAAAAAGGAGGCTGGCGTGGATCCATCCACCACCGAGCAGACGTCGGCAGGTGCGTTGGAGAAGACTCGAGGTCTGGAAAGCATTGGCGCGCCGTTGCCAATGTCCGATTCAAGCGCGGAAGAATCTTGAGTCTCGCCTTCCTCATCTACACTTGCCTAGCGACCCCCAGATCGATTTATGTATAATGTCCAACCCAGAAATCTTAGATTGCAGCCAGTTCACTTTTATTTGATACCCCATGTTTTTAATCTTGAATGAAATATACCATGTCCCCACCAAGATTTCTTTCTTTGTTGCGCCAGCCTCCACACCCAGCCTCTGATGTAGCAGGTCCTTTTTCGTGAGTTCTTCTGAAATCAAGTGGCAAGTCTCTCGTTCCTGACACAGAGATAGCCCATATCATCGCCCACTGCCATGGATCGCCAGCCCAATTGAAAACGCCGATACCAGTCCTCGTCTCTACCGCCATTTAGACGCAACACCCATCGAACTTTTCTTCGACCTATTTTTCGTTGCAAATCTTTCCACTTTCACCGCCACTCATGAAATCAACAAGGTGACCGGTAAGTTACTGTCGTATGGACTGAGTACTTGGATAAATTTGCTCTAACTCATTCTCAGCACTTGGTGCTTACGTCGGATTTCTTGGGGTGATATGGTTCACATGGTTACAAGTAACTTTGTTTGATATACGATTCGCCCGTGACTCTGTTTTCGAAAGAATATGCAAAGCACTTCAACTTGCAGCGATGGTCGGCTTTGCGTCTGCTGGTACTCGATTCACCACCCACGTACGCGACGACAATATCTGGGCGTTTCAATCGCTCAGCTTAATGCTGACAGGGAGTCGAATACTACTAGCCATTCAATACACAACTAGCATAACCTTCATGAAGTCCCGCATGAAAGCAGCCGCCAAGGGGGCTTGGTACACCGCGATAGTGTTTTGGATAACCACTGCCCTTCACTTTGCAGTAGGCTTTTCAAAGACTCTGTGGACTACTTTGATCAATGAATAACCCTCTCCTAGATGTACCTTGCGTTTACTCAACCCCGTGGGCTCCCACCTCGGATTTGGGTTATTTGGTTCGTCTTGTTCGTCTTAGAAATGGGGGCAGTAATGCGTATTTCTTGTTCTTTCCCGGAGATTGGGTTTCAAGAAACTCACCTCAATGTTCGATTGAGTCTCCTCACACTGATAATCATTGGCGAGGGTGTCATTGCGGTGACTAGAATCGTGAACAAAACGGTAGGGCCCGGGGGTTGGACTAAGTGGTCATTTGTACATATCGTGGGAGTGACTACCAATGTGGTACGTTAGCGAACACCGCAAAAACCTTGGTCGTTCTTCATTGCTCCGAGCAGGGAGAATATCACTGATTGTTTGCTTGCAGTACCTGTTATGGCAGGTTTATTTCGATTTTTCTCCACCTCACCGACTCGGAAAATTGGCTCAACAAATATGGACAATGTTTCATTTTCCATTTCATATTGCCCTTATTCTTCTGCTGGAAGGGTCTCAAATCCTAGCCTTGACTCTGGATGTCACGTTGAAATTAAAGTACTTGGCTCAGACATTCTCCTTCGTGTGCGAAGAAAATCGACCCAGTCAGGAGAGAGCGATTGCACTCATCAGAAGCACAATAGCAGACATGGAGATCCCGTTCAGTCGAGGTGCAACACAGGAATGGAACGCTATATCAAAGCTATTGGAAGACCTTGCCAAACAACCACTCTGTCCAGACAGTGTAGGTCGGGTGCAAAAACAGCCCCTGATGCCGCCTCGTCTTCTCTACACCGAAGATATTTTCAGTGATCTTATGGGTAATGTCACAGCGGCACTTTTTTCAAGCATGGACATTACCCCACCAGTTAAAGTGGACATCAGCCTACTCGACAGTCAACAATTGCTACATATGTACATGAAAGTCTTGGCTTTTGTTTATATATACTTTTTCACCGTTGCAAGTTTGTCGATGGGTCTTTTCGGTCTCTTCTCAAGTCTATCTCGTCGACATGAGCGGAGCCTATACTCAGGGATTTCAACCGCCGTGCGCGTTTTGCTTGCAATTTCCTTGGCTAGCCTTGTGTCGTTTGCTGGCAACTTCGCGCTAGCATATTCATTTATGACCTCACCTATCATCCTGTATGCCTTCACTTTGACTCTTCTGACTGGTCAGTATATTCTATTTTCCCGTGCGGAGCTACTGATTCTAATTGGCTATAGTCCTTTTGGTTGACCGACTTTTGGACGGTCTAGCATCCGGAAGAGACGCAGCTCGCCGACGGAAGCGGGAAAAAGGCAGAGGGCTCAAGGTTTCCACCCCTGCCGGTATGACTATGGGGGATCGCCCAGCTCTCATCACAGAGCCTAATTCTGATGAAAGTCCCTCTTTGTCAACGTCCCCCTGTGGGGAAGAGAGGCTCGTTCCCGGATATCTGAATCCTAGGCAATGATTATACCCACTACAGCCGCGGTCATTGAGTTCAAGCAACCAGAGCTGTTAAAATCATAGCCTCAGCTTGCTACTAGCCAGGGAGCAATGCCGTGCTCTGCATGGGTACCCAGAAATCTGTCCTCCCTCGTTCCCTCGAATCAGTGCCTCAGTCATAGAGTATTCATCTCCTTTTTTCTTGACCGCCGCTTCTGATAAAAATGCACACTGTAGAGTATGGATCTCTCATAGATTGAAGAAACCTGAATGGCATGATTCATAAACTTTGAGCGGTAAAGGTCTTTCACTTCTACTGACACAGGGTAGCTATCATGTAGCTGCTTCTCAGGCCTAGCCTGATCCCCTTTCGCCATAGTCAACAGGCATCATAAAACTGACACTCTCTTGTCCATGCACGCAATATTTTTACGCAACTTGATTTGCCACTAAGAATGGAACCTCTGCCACACTGCCAGCAGCAGTTCAAAATAATCAGAAATAGCGGGGAAAAGATTTGATGCATCATAGAGATAATTAGCGCAATATCCGCGACAGCGCATACCTACATGTCCTTGGCAGCACCATGACGGAAGGAATGACCTGCAGCAAGCCATGCCAGCTTTCAGAAAGGGTATTCCTCCTCTCCCCTGCTTTGAGCCGTTGGCTTTATTGTTGATTATGACTTACACGGGGCCATTCTGGGGATTTGATTACCTGAAGCGCAGTGAATAATCTTGAACATTGGTAGCGGAGTTGACTCTGTATGAAAGGTGCAGCCCCAGGACTGGTACTAAAACCTTTTCCTCTCTTGATATTCCCTTGATTTTACATGCGCCGGTCTATCTAGTATTACTAATTCTCTTTTCATAGCTCGATAAACATGCCTCATATAGGTTTTGAATTTCAAGCTTAATGCCTGTTCCGCGGATATGCCTTGAGTGTGCTCTACTATCAGGCCACACAAATCTACATGACCCCCGAGTAAACACAAAGAACCTGAATGAGCCAACTAGCGTCCCCAAATGTGACATGCATATGCAGTTAACACTCCCATCCCGACGATCTCAATCCCCACGCTATTAAAAAATGTTAAGACAGGAAATTATTTATCCTCCTATCAGAAGCTGAATAATGAATAGTCTTTTTTTTTCTTTCTCTTTTCTTTTTCAGAGGAGAAACAGTGACATGTACAGCTGTGCTAGGTAAGTGGGCCCGGGATGGCTTCCGAATGGTCAGTAGAAATATACTAATATACCCTTAACTGAATGCAGAGCACAACCGTTGCTCGTTCGCATTTTCTGCAGGCGAATTCTTTATCTTACTGGTTTCAACGCCACCCAGCCCATCCCATAGAGCTCATCCGATGGGAGGGAAAGAAGCTTGTTTGAAAGATCTTTAGGTCAAGGGAAAAGTGGGAAAATCGGTAGGCCCAGACTACAGTCCGGGCTGGAAACATGACTATTTACTTGACATATAATTTATTGATATGCGATCTGCTTGTAGTCGTATACTACTACCAAGTGTGACGGGGTGGCTTGGATGGCAACTTGAGCAGTGGTAGCCGTGGGATACTATGCATACATTTATTATTTTTCCTTTCTTGGGATACTCAAAACAATGACTTCAGCTCTTCGGATTTTATCCTCTCATTTTTAGCTCGCGCTTTTTGCAATGTAAATAGCCAGTCTTGTGTCGTCCTCGGCAGATCGCATCCCCCGGATTAGATAGGTCCAATCCCCGGCACTTCCTATGATTTAGCTCAATTCTCCACCGCGAGTATATTGCTTTTTATGAACTGGTTGGACCAGTCCGTTCTCTTTGATTGGAGCGGATGATTGAGCACTCTCCAATTAATCCTATGTGGTTACCCGTTCAGGATGGAAAATTACCAAAGTGCCCATGCCAAAGTCAAAATATGGGGCGAAGGATCAGTCCCCAATTATTAAATATTTGTTTAATTTCCTAATTTCCCACTGGGGCTCGGGGATGATCTGGTTTAGGGCTGTGTATACAGAAGTGTGGGTTGGGGTTGCTTTGGTTCTACTCATGATATAACAGACCGCTCCGTCCTAAACGACATAACTAGTAGATAGGCCTGGAATGGATTCGAATATATACTATATGATAGCCTACTGTTGAGTGAAACTAGATCAGAATACCGGTCAAAAGTCGAATTGGTGTTTTCAGCGAACATGCTGGACCTTCAACTCGACCCAGTCCTATCCGTGTACCTTGTCTCACAGCCCTCTTGCCTAGATCGAGGATCAGCCAAGACATCGCACTATACAAGATCGTAATGGGGAAATTATCTGAAACGGCCGGCAAGTGGATCATGGTGACAGTTGTCAACGTCCCGGTCATTTTTGGTTTGGCTAGGGTTGAACGGTCATTTCGGCCACTAATCCATGTCTCCCTTCTATCTTGATCTCTTCTTGCCCCCTTGGTGAGCACAAAAGTGGATAAATGGAAAAATATAACGGCTGTCTAAGTCTTTCGCAATTTAAAAAGGAGAATAATATTAGAAATAATAAGTCTGGAGTTTCTTGTCAAAGCATTCATCAAAGACTCCCCAGCTCTGAGGTGACGAAGTGTCTTTTGCCCTCACTTTTCCGCGCACCCCTTCTCTTTTCCCAATTCATAGTCTAATTTCAAGTCGACGGAAGATAATTTAAGACAGAGAGGCTCAATTCGCTCTTCGAATTGCTTGACCGCAAGATTTATGCCAGATCCGAAACCGCATTGCATCCAACGGTCTACCTGCACTGCGCATCTGGCACGCCAGTCCTATCATTTGAACTCGAATCCAACAGATATTCAGATACACGAACTTCAATATTCTCTTTCAAAGCACTGTCTATTGATACAAATATTGCCCTTAATAGGGCTAAAGTTCATTACCCAAAAGTCTCTGTCCAATATCATAAGGTGAGTGGAAAAAAAACAAAAAAAGATTTCCCCCAAAGCCTGCAAGTGAAACCTCTCCATCCACAAGACATCAGAGCCTAATAGGAAATTTAGCGCTGCAGCTGTCACCTGTCATCTAGCCGCCCAACGGTTGCGCATTGACAAGTCTTCTCTGAGCACCAAAGAGACTTCAGTTTCGACGGTAGTCCACACGCCGCGACAACCCGTGTACAACCAGACCACCAGCTAGCAATTGCAAGTGTAATTGCGGTGAATCCAGATCTACGGGAATTGTTATCTCACTTTGCTGCTTGTTTCTTTCTATTCTGGACCGTTACTATGGTAGATGTGCTGGTCAGCCCTGAGAGCCCGAAGCCATGCTTGTTTTATCCGACGGAACTTGCCGTATTGTCCCCAAGATTTATTGCTGGGGATATTTCTTCTTTCAAGCAAGATCTCTCCTCTCCTGAATCAACAAGAGATACACTTCGTCACTGTGATTCTTTTATGAACTATCCCCAATCACGCTCTTCTTTGAAAAGACTTCGGAGTCAGTCATTCTCTTCAGTATATACTGAAAGCGATATTCCAATGGAGAATCCTTATCCCACCAAAAATATGATAATATCTTATCTTTCAAACCCCCAATCACGGCATCAAGCTATAATGTCTTCATGTACAGAGTATATTGCTCCATCTATGAAGACTACACATTCCAGCAATGGGAGCTTCTATGATAAAGTTGGAACAGCTGACCAACCTAGCTTTTCCTTCACGGCTACTACTCCAGAGCCATATATGGGGATAACCGAGTCAATGCCTGTTCCTGACTGGATTTCCAAGAATTTGTCTTTCATCACGGAGACAGAAGATACTCCGTCCCTATCATCATCATCATCATTTGACTTCACGAATGCCCTAATGGACGAATTCCCCAGCTGGGAAGACATATCCTACCACCCATCGAACTATGTGTGTTCTACCAATAGAAAAGACTTTTCTGAGTCCTTCGAGCCTCATCACTTGGCCGACATCTCCTCTGTGCCATGGCCTCCTTGGCCTTCTTGGCCGCCCAACAACTTAGATCAGCTGCTCCCTACTACAGAAACTCCTCTTGAGGCCCGCATTCCAATATTTCCGGAATACCAAACAAGCGATTGGCAAGAGAAAGTGAATAATCAAACGAGGAAACCCGTGAAACCATCCTCTGTGCCTTTCGATCATCTCCAACCCCTCACAAATGAGATGATCCATTCAATGCCCATGACCAGCAGCACACCCTGCTTTGCGACAGCGACATCCCCGATCGCCATATCAGTACCGGTCTATCAAGCCTCTGGAATGCCCTTTGAGACCTATGATATCCAGCCAAGCACAAGCCTAGAATCAAGCAATACACTTACCTCTCTGCACCTAAAGACCGAACCCGCACTCACCAGAAACGTCGACTCCCGAGTTCCAATCGTGGAAACGCGATTCCCAACCAATCAGCATCAGCATCAGAATCAGCATCAATATCAACATCAAAACTCCCAAACCCAAACTCATTCTCATTTTAATACTCATGCTCAGCCCCAACCCCAACTCCGATTCACTCCTCCCAAACGTCTAGAAGCAAGCCTCCACCCCATAGACAGAAGCAATGCCTTCCTGATAGATTGCAAACGCCGCGGCCTATCCTACAAAGATATTAAGCGCATCGGCAACTTCAAAGAAGCAGAGTCCACACTTCGAGGCCGCTTCCGGACTCTAACAAAATCCAAAGACCAGAGAGTCCGAAAGCCAATTTGGTTAGAGAAAGACGTAAGTCCTTCCCGTTTCTGTTTCCTTTTTCTTGTGCCAGAAGAAAAGAACCCAGCTGATATAGTATTGATACAGATTCAACTTCTCTGTAAGGCTGTTGGTATTTGCGAGAAGGCAGGATCGGAGTCATTGGATGAAGACGATATGGGATGGTCTTCTGATATACTCGAGGGGCATCGTCAATACCCACGTCTGAATAAAAGCCAGCCCCCGAAGGTGTCGTGGAAGAAGGTTGCGGGGTATATTTCGAAACATGGGGGATCGTATCAGTTTGGGAATGCGACATGCAAGAAGAAGTGGTGTGAGATTCATGATATCCCTATTTGAGGGAGTTCGAATTGTTGCTTTCAAGTTGGACTCTGGTTTTCATTGGCGTGCAATGGGTGGTTATGGTGCCATCGGTGTTGGATTCCAAGGTTTCTTAAAGTGTGGGAAATTATCTAGTTTTGTTTGGGTGGGATTTTCATTTAGTTGACTTTATGTTTTCTTTCTATTAATGATATTGCAGCTGGCCTGAACACTCCTTTCTACATACTATCTTCCAATTACATGCTATATATTATGATAATATCAGCTACTATATACTAGTATACTCCATATCATATAGCTGAGACCTATTTGAATGGATTCAACTTTGCTAGGAACTCTTAGGTCTTCAACTACTAGGTGGCTATTACAACTTACCACTTGTCAAAGCTCTTATCTTCCTATCAATGGTTCTTCTTCGGTGTCACCGCTACTGTTTTTTGAGTTTTATATCAAAGGTTTGACTCGTCAAAGCTTTTTTTTTGGCTGTCGGTGCTTTTATCTACTATAGTATATGTAATTGCTAGTTCACATTTTGACTTTTATATCATAGCTTTAAATCTACTGCCAATACTTCCTCCTCCTAAATAGTACCTTCAAAACAATATATATAGCTAATGAAGTGATCTATCACCGTCTTTTAATCAGCCATTGGTCATTATATTTCCTAGCATAGAAGTATTTTTATGAAAAAATACTATTTTGTAGAAGCGATAAACGCATCCAGCTTATTGATAGGGAACAGTGTTAGATTTTGAAGTAATGCTCCCACATAACGCGTTGGGTATATTGATATTGATATTGAGTTAAAAGACCCAAAAGCTCTAGGTAGCTACTGACGTGTATATACAGCAAAGCCATACCAATGAACAGTACTCCATTTAACTCACAATGAGCCCTTACCATAAGAATCGACCCTTGGAAATCCCACGTCCCTCAAGGCACGATTCAAGTACTCCGGATTCGATCGAAGCGTATCCCACTCCCCCTCAGCTTTAACCATCAACGTTCCGGCAAGAATTGTTCCATTGAGTGAGATAACGCCCGGATCCGCAATATCACCCGCCGCAACAAGGTCAACCGGCACCCTTGCCGTCTCCTGTCTGCGCGGACAAATCATCATCGTTGACAATGTCATTGCGAGATTATAGCTTATCGCCGCGGGACCTTCGGTGGGTAGAGAGGATCTAGGTCCTTGTTGGGGGTCGCGACCTTCTGTTGCGGCGACGGCGGCGCGGTAAAGAGAGATGTAGATTGAATGAAGAGTTTCCGGCGATGGGTTTTGAGGGATCGGAAGAGCGAAATGAGTGAATGGGAGGTGAGGGAGGTATTGGAATGTAGAGGGGGATTGGGATTGCGAGTGAGCGGTTAAGAGTTCGATGAGAGGGTGCCAGCCCTCTGCTTCGGGTTGTCGCATTGCTTCCACGGGGAGGAATTGGAGGTGGCGATGAGGTTGGCTTGCACCGCTGTCTTCGCCGGAGTTGAAGAAGGCGAAGAGACGCTTAGGCGCCCGTCCGGTTGTGGACTGGTCGGGGTTAGCATTGGTATCGTCGTGGCCCCATGTTCGGAGGCATTCGTATGTAGCTTCTAGGTCTGCCAATTCGAGAATATCTGTTTGGGCTCTCCATTCTTTCGTCGAGAGGATAAAGTGGTTCGGGATGACGGGGAATTTATTGAGAACGAGGGCATGAGATGGGTTCCCTGGGGGGAAGTGGGCGATGAGGAGCTCTGGAGATGGGTCTTGGAATGGATCTGGTTTCGGTGGTTTGGGGCCTGGGCCTGTCTCAGGTTTGAGGTTTGATGGCTTCTTTGCAAGGGCGGGACAATAGCGAAGTTGGTACTGGGAATGGGAGAGAAGGATGCTGTTAGATCTCTTGTATTGTGTTTGGTGACGCAACACGGAAGTCTTCTCACCGGTATCCCTGCAGCTGTTACTAGGGACAGGTGTGTTTGCGAGAAGACAAGGTTGTTTCCTGCTTTCGCAGAAGCGAAACGTCGCGCAACTAGTGCGGACAGATTTTCCGAAATGCCAAGTTGCATTGCAGCAGCTGTTGTTTGTGTAGGAGTCTTGGAACTTGAGACGTGGAGAACGAACTGATCAATGGGCGCGGGGAAGATCGCGATAAGGCGGTAGAGCCGAGATCGGGCCAATAATTAATTGTTCACGGAAGAAGACACTGCTCAATATCTACTTTAATACCAGGAATTTAAGTTTTACTCAAGAATGACTAGTTGTTATAAATAGACACAATGTTCTGATGCAGAGATTGGAGATGTGATCTCATTAAATTTGAATATTCTCCTTGCCAACAACACCGCCCGATCAGATCACCCGAGCCAGCAGGGTCAGGTATATAGGTGCACGGCATCACTATATAAGAAATCTTTCCTCATGGAAATCAAGATAACATAGAAAAATCGTAACCAACATTTGAGCCCAAGGTATCATATCAGTCGTCCGTATTCAGGAAAATTGCTCGTCAAGACGCCGTTCGCTGCTATACGGAAACATGAGATGACCAAAAAAAACAACAAAAGGAAAATAATAAATCAATAAGGAAGAATACAAGAGGTCTCATGCCAAGGCCCTCGCAGAAGAGAAGATGAAGATCAAAAACAATATCAGAAGAAAATGGTATCTCTCGTTTAAGCCATGAGTTCGTGGATCGACATCTCGTCGTCCTGTGTTTGGCACAGCTCTGGGAGAAGCATAGCCGGGTGGCCCATGAGGTGAGGACTGGGGCCCTGGAGCCAGGCACCACGCTCTTCTTCGGTGGCGCTGAGGACACCCTCAGCCCGCTTCATGGTCTCGATGTCCAGATCAGTGACATAGGCATCACGGTTGGTACCGTCACCCGCACCACCTGGAAGACGCAGACGAACTTCGAACTCATTGTTCAACATCATCTCGTCCTTCCAGAGGCGCCGCTGACCATCAAAGACACAGAGGACACGCTTCTTGGTCTTCATGTTGCTGTTTGGGCAGCCCCAGGAATTGGGGTAGTTGCCCCGGTTGTTGCGGCGGCGAGTAGCCACAGCACGGGGACCTTTGCCCACTGTACCAGAGGAAGTACTCTTAGTGACAGCATTGCCGTTCCCAATGATGGGACGGGAACCAGCGGCTCCCTTGGTGGCCTTGGCGGCTCGACGGCCGGCGCGCCAACTAGCGAGATCGTGAGAATCATCATCATCGTGAGAGTCATTATCATCGTATTGTTCCGCGGAACCAGCCGTGTCCAGTAATTGATGCTTCTCCATCGTCTTCTTTACTTCCTCGTCGCAGGCAACCTCAGCGAGATGCTGCTGGTTAATCGCCTCAGAAGGCTCTTCCTGCTGCACCACGCGAAGAACACAGTCATCCAAATGCTCGTAGAAGTCCTGGGCATTGTTGAATGTGGCGGAACAAGTCGAACACTTGCCGGTAGCATCGCTGCCGTAGTTGGTACCTCTCTTCGTGGATGATGTGGGACTGCGTTTGCGGCAGTTTGGTGGTGTCTGCTCCACGCCATGGACGGAGGTAAGGTGACGCTTGAATACATCCGCGCGGTTGAAGCTTTTTTCAGCGGGAGATCCAGATCCCGGGCAGAAACCGCACACCATGGTTCCCTTGTAGTGGGTCAGAGTGTGTCGGTTCTTGTCGTATTTACGGGCAAAGCCCTTGATGTGGTATTCGCAGTTCACAATGGGGCACTTCTCTGGCCTCTCGGACTGGTGGGTAAGCAAGTGGGCTTTCAAATCCTTGACGGGTCGGCCACACTCAGGGTGAGGGCAGCGTCCCTTCTCTTTCACATCCTCGTCTCCTTCGATGCTGCGCAAGGAAGGGCTCCCATGTTGCGAGCGACGAGAGTTAATGGAGGAAACAGAGGACCTTCGGTCATAAACTGAAGCTGGTCGAGAGTTGTAGCCAGAATTCATCATTGGGGGTGATGGTTGGGGAGCAGGGTGGAGTCCCGGTGAAGGTCGCTCTGTGCTGCTACTGTATGGAACGGGGGATGGGATAGGAGAGTGAGGCAGGAAGTTAGAGGGGATTGTTGAGTAGATTGAGTTGGTTTTTTGATCGGGGAAAGAGATGGTAGGAGCGTAGTTAGGAGCTCCTGATACTGGTTGAATCAGGTGAGGATCTGGATATGACGAGTCAGTGCCCAATACGAAATTCTGTTTAGAAAAATGGATCTATGAGAAACATACCAACAAATGGGTCAGGAAGCTTCTCGCGATAGAAGCCATCCATGTCCACTGAATTTCCCATATAGTCATTGGCGAAAAGATCAGGCATGACAGCAGCCGGGAGGCCCAAGCCATGGTTGGTGTTCACCCAGTTATCCTGGAACATCTGTGTGGGTCCCGAGTATGGAGATCCAATTGATGAGGAAGGTGCGCTCGCGATAGAATGACCTGACGCAGCAGATCCCGTGGGAATGTATTGTTCTGTGGGGTGGGATATAGAGCCCGGAGGAGGTGTGGCAGGCATAGAAGGGAAATTGGAGGACTTGTGCATCTCTGAGGACTCGGTGTACTGGGGCTGGGCATCGAAGTATGACTGAGCCATTCTTGAGAAGTCGGTGGAGTGCGCATATTGCGGCATGCCGTCGGCGGGAAAAGAGAACATATCCACCATGTTGGGATCCATCATGGGTTGGAAGTATGAGTGTTGCTTAGATCTAGCGGATTCGACGGCCAGCATCTTGGATCGGAGGGTGATATTCGAAGGGTAAAGTACAAAATCCGGGTGGTCCAAATTCGACATACCCTTGCTGCGATAAAAGCAAGTAGGATAAAGAATATGTGGGGAAGAGGAGGAAGAATCTAGGGACTCTATAGAATGACGGTTAGCTACTGTTCACTTTATTGACATCGGGGGGGGGGCTTTAAGGACTCGGAAGAATCTTGGAACATACCAATAATGTTCGGGTTGCGGCCCGGTCAAATGCGAACCTCGGAATGGTGAAGAAGGCAACGTGTGGAATTGACACCCGGGTAAAGATGGGGCACCACGCTGAACACTGCAAGGGATTGAAGAAAAGGTAGACACAGATGGTCGCATTCAGATCGTTGCCCGTTTAGAACTTTTTTTGTGTTTTATTTCTGACTTGTCAAATGATCCTTGCGTCCAAGAGGAAGAGGAAGAGGAAGAGGAAGAGATTTGGGCAGTTCGGGAAGCACACAAGGCGACAAGGTCTTAAATAGTAGCCAAGGTGAAGGTGACGGTAGAACCCAGTGGTTGACAGACCGCAGATAAAGAACAAGAGAAGAAGAAAAGCGAATGGGAAGTGAGTATCATGCGGTCAGAAGAAGAAGGGGGTGGGGGAGGAGAGGAATATTATAGCAGAAGCATTGTTGGATGCAATAGTTTATACTACAGTAGTTCGGGGAAAGAGGAATCAAATAAATAATATTATAATAATAATCTAATTATGATGAATAAATCAAAACGGAAAATTAAAATAAAAATAAAATAGTATTTACTTTTTTGTACGGAATGACGATTTTGATTTTGGGGAATTAAAAAAAGAAAAATGAGTAAATAAAGGATATTTTAAATAATATTATTAGAATTTATGAATGGTATTATTCGATTATTACTAGGTACTATTAGATTACAGCAATTACTCCAGATCAAATCAAATCGACCCACTCCACGGCTAATCCAATCGTAAATTACCATACCCATACACACCAGGCTCAGACAGCCACATGCCTGGACTCGCTCGAACTGGTCTCAACTAGTCTCCGTGGCTGTGCGAAGCGAGTGGATCATGGCTGGTTCGCACACCTGCAGCTCCCGTATGGATGGATGTATGAATGTAATCTGATTACACCTAGGAATGTACTGTGTGCTTTTTTCCCTGTCAATCCGAGGATCTGAGGATCTTTTCCACGAGCATGAAATGTGTTCATCTTGGCCCAGATGGCCCAGATGGCCCATTCCGGTTTCTCATTAGCTACATATCGCTCATCCTGGATCTCCCTCTTCTGATTCGATATCCCGATACCAAAGCCATGACATGTTAAGACTCAGCCTTCCTGTCAGGCGTCCCGTCTCCCGTACTCTCTTTTGACAGCCATACCATTGACCATTTACCCACTTCACCCTTTTATTAAGGGGGAAAAAAACCAACCCATAAAAATTAAAACCATAATACATAATGAAAAGTCCGACAAATCCAAAATGGTTAATTTTATTTTCTCTGCCCTACAAGGTTCCCAATCCCACGGACCTTGCTCGCGGGATTTCTCCGGCCTGGTAGAATTCCTTCAGACCTGCAGTCTCTCCAATAGTGCGGGCGGGAATGAATCCACAGCCCCGATAGATTGGTTGAGGTTGGTCTATCTGTGTGCAGAGTGCAGACCTGTACCCAGTTTATCAATTGTCACGGACACTGCCATCACTAGTCGATTCCTGCAACTATGGATGTGCTATAGGTACAGATTCCCAAGCACATTACACTATGGAGAAGGACAACCGAGACAAAAAGCGGAGCGTCATGCTTGAGAAAGTGGAAATCTAGTGCATTGATCGTCCTCCAGTCCACTAATACGATTTTTTCCTCTCAAAAGGTGGGAATAGCCCTACGGGGACGGTCTACTCCGACCTGTCAGTTGATCGGTCCATATTCCGGACGAAATACATTAAATCACTGTGGAAAAATCAAATAGAGGACCCATTGATCCATATTATACGGAATCCTGTTGTTGATCTCCCCTATTTTATTATTTTCTACCACATCTTTCCCTAATTTTTAGGCATCGGCAGGTCCGTGAGTTACTCGACCAAACCTCCGGATCTCAATTTGTCACCCTCTTAATGGGGAATCTTGATTCGAGATTAGTACGGGACTGACATCCCTGCCCGTTGTAGATCTGCGTTGTTGACGTTACATATGCTTACTGGTGATTTGCAGCCTCAGGGTATAGACGAGGCCAATTGATCCCGGGGGTCTGGGTCGAATTCTTGGTATCAGCATCGAGAAAAAGGAGCGAATCGTCTCGACAACAAATCAGATAGGAGAGTAGGGGGATACAAGCAAAATGGGCCAGAAGTCAAAGTCATGGTGGATCCCAGGGTCATCATCCACTTGGAAGACAGAAGTGACCGATCTTGACGACGGGCAGGTCCGTTTTGCGTTTTCCACGAGAAAGAAAGTAACAAATAGTACCTTCGTATTCTGGTACCGTCGATTTGGATGTGATCCTTGTCGGGTCCAGTGGAGCTTGGGTTTTTCTTTTCAATTTTTAATAAATTTTTTAAATGATTTATTTTCCACTTTTCCACTTTTCCCCACAGGGATCAGCCCTTTTGGCAAGCGTGGATAGCCCCGTTGTGGGCCATGATTGGATGACAGCAAATCAATCGTGAAATGAGGTTCCAACTTGCTTGTCCCAATCGAGGGCACCAGATGGCCTCCGAAGAAAAGACGGGCCTTAGGGTGTCGGATACTGGGTTCATACAGTGACTCGTCTCCCCCTGGGTCTACACTAGCCTACTTTGGAGATGGTTCTGGGCGATGATCAATGGGCGAGTCATGTCCATCTGGACTCCGGAGTTCCAACTTGGGGCCCCTTCTGTAGCGCCCGTAGAGCCGCATATGATTCCATTTATTGTAATCTGGCCTGGGGCACCCTTGTTGTTTCTCTTCGTGTGGCGTCATCATTTTGTTGGTAGTATTTCTTGTCTTCATTGGTTGTTATTATAACCCATTTGAAGTACATATAACATAAAAGGCAAAACCACCGAGGCTCACATGGACATCGCTCAAAATGCAAGAAGATAATAATCCTACCGTACATAGAAAACCAAAAATTTAAATTTAAATTTAAAAATCTCTTCTGACATTTTGACGCGACGTTCGATCTGGGTCTGGAAACGCCAAGCATCATCAGTGGGGTCAATCCGACCATGAGATACAAAAGAAGGGACAAAAAGAAAGAAAGACGGGTATGTCAGATAATAGTGTCAAAAAACTACTCGGAGTTCCCGCTGAAGTTTTGATTAAAGTCCCTTAATTCCGGGACTGACAGCAAAACTATCCCCCGTCAGACTGAAAAACAAGGCTAAAAGCAAATGTCCACAGGCCAAGCCTTAGTGCAGAGTGTAGTGTATCCATACAGGGAACTAAATATATGGACTCTACTGTATACGGATACAGACTAGACCCATCCGGAGTGACCGTCAAGGGTCGGTGAGAGACTACACCAAAGATGAACTAGCGCCACAGCCCAAAGCCTTAGCCACACTCGGTCTTCTCCTAGAGCCCAATCATGACGGAGAAACCCCATGCTTGGCGGGGCCATGCACGACCAGTCGCTGGTCTGAGGCGCAGCATGACCTCTTTTTCACCGCTGTGGGCTTGTCAAGGGCTCGTAGGGCCTGTCGGCGATCCCGGCGCCAACACTTTTAGAGACCATGACAGCATGGAAAATGGGGAAATCGTCCATGCGACTATGACTCTGGTCGGAAACACATACCTCGTATTGATCCATGTTCTGACCCACGCTTCCCGCTCTGACTCTGGGGGAAGAAGAAGTACGGAGTATCAAGGTTGTTTTTTCTTCCCACTTCTAGGCTTGGAAGAGTCTCGGCAAGAGAGAACTTGCATGGGCACTCGACTCCGTATACGGCCGGGCATCGCCTGCCCTACGGTATCTTGCAGATTACTCTAACCCAGTTGAGTTACTATGAACCTATGATTCGGCGGACTTGGGAAGAACACGAACATGCATGTCAAAAGTTTCATGATCGCCAGGTGGCAGTGCCAGCACGAATACCACCCCAAAAATGACCGATTGCTATCGAATCTCCATTCACCCTCTAATAAACCAGCTTTCTTTGCCTCTTCTCCATCCCCATCCCAACGGTTGGGCCGTTCACTCCCGTATGTGTCACCTTGAAACACAGGGCTGAACGATAGAGTAAGCCAGTCAGCACCAAGAACAGGGTTGTCGGGTCCGGCAGCCCCTGCACACACGTGTGATGGAGAATCATCCACAGATCCAATCTGAGTTGCCAGCCTTGTCGTCTCTTCCTCTGGCCCCCAACAAAGCTTCCCCACTGTAATTCCAAAACAGTACACTCATACTTAATTCCAATAGGCTTGAAACAGTCCAGACACTCCCGAAAAAGGATGATTATACATACTTACATAGGTTTCCATTAATCCCACTCCACTCCCCCTGCCGTCGCCGTGGTCTCGGGAATGTCAGATGTACATACAAGCTGGACTGTGGAAAACGTTGAACATATTGACAGAGTACTCTGTATATTGCTTTAAATTGTCTAAGAGCTGGCGACCCCGACACCAGTTTTCCCAGGCCCGCAATTGTGGAACTAGCACATTATGGTATACGGAGTAATCTTGTAATCGTATTGTATACGGATCTATCCACGTGCTCGGGTAGAAGCTCCAGAAGCTTAGACCGATGAGAGGCCAAGGAGTTGACTCCGTTCTCCGAACAGATCAATATCCCAAATCATAGAACCTTCCAGGAGTTGAGCACATAATAGGGTAAAGAAATATGACAAAGACGATTATCCTCCCGGGTCCTCGGCTATCTTGGATATTACCGATCGGAAATTGCAAGAAGCCGTTCATATCCATGTGCCCCTTTTCGTTTTGTGGCCGACAGAGACATTTTCCGGTGTCTCCATTCCATCTTTTTTTTTCCCCGTGGATTCCATACTGCACGGGCCAAACACATTACCCAAACCGATACTTTCTTTGTTCTCGACCCAATGGATAGTCCGTGTATTTCCCA